CCCCCCTCAAGAAACCAAAAGAAAAGTCTCTCAGGCGCGAGTCGAACGCGCGACATCCAGATCACAAAGATAACAATTACAGTCTGACGTCATAAACCAACTAGACGACCGAGAGTATTTTTCGAGTTTGAACTCGAACAGGTCACTCATGCTGCTGAGGCAGACAGACATGATTTTGGTGTTTTTTTGATATTGTTATGGAGATTCGTGGTTTGGGAATATGTAGTAGATATATGTGGTATGTGGGGATTGAGTAGAGTGGAGTGGGGGTGGGATGGGGTGAGATGAGATTGAGGTTGTTATTTAGTGAGTAGGTTTTGATTTTGATAATTTGAGTAGCCAAGAGAAAATACTCAGGTACAGTACACGATATATTTATTCTCAAGTCCCAAAACATACTCGTATTCATGCATTCTTTTCGATATACCTTTGACAATTCTAAAGGGAAGAAGAAATTTTCAAATCAAATGCACCGCTTTAAAATCGCAGAAGTATTAAAGAAATTTTTGTGAAAGATTTGAATCATGAGTATAATGTTCGTTTATTTCCTTTATTTATTTCCCTATCGAACCAAGGCTTCAGAAACTTTGTATATCTTCTTCAATATCTCCTTCCATACTCCTCTGACCCGTATCCTGTAAATAAGCCCACGCATGTATTTCTCTAACCCCCAAACCATCAAACCCCCTAACCCATCAAACCAACCCGACCAGTACCGGTATTCCCCTCCCTCACCTCACTGCAACATCAACTCATCCTTCCCACCCTTCTGAAACGGCCACGTCCACTCCCTAATAAAGATCGGATCAATACCATTTTCAAAAGCATCACTCCTCGCCTTAATTTGCATATTCAACAATTTTTCCCTCACGCCCGCTGCCGTATTACCCAATCTCTCCACCCTATCTATGGCATCCATGGCCAAACTATATCGATCCGTTTGATTCCTAATCGCCAACTCTAATGGAGTGTCGATGTTACCCTTTTCCTTGTAGCCACGAACGTGAATGTTGGCTTGGCCGGGTCGTTTGTAGGTAAGACGGTGGACGAGCCATGGGTAGGAATGGAAATTGAAGATGATGGGTTTGTTGGAGGTGAAGATTGATATCCATTCTGCGTCAGTGATACCGTGGGGATGATCACCGTGGTGGATTAATTTGAATAAGTCAACCACATTTACAAAACGGATCTTTAAATCTGGGATAAGGTCTCGAAGGAGTGCGGTAGCAGCGAGAGATTCATGGGTAGGTACGTCACCGCATGTGGCCATGACAAGATCGGGCTCGATGCCTTGGTCATTGGATGCCCAGTCCCAGATTCCAAGACCCTTTTCGCAATGGGCGAGAGCATCTTCCATGTTGAGGAATTGAAGATGGTCTTGTTTGTCGGCGACGATGACGTTGACGTAGTTTGTACTGCGAAGGCAGTGGTCCATGCAGGAAAGAAGACAGTTTCCGTCGGGTGGGAGGTAAATGCGTACAACTTCAGGACTCTTATTGGCGACGACGTCGAGGAAACCGGGATCTTGATGGGTGAAGCCATTGTGATCCTAGAACGCCAGAGAGTTAGTGATTATTTTATATGAAAGGATATTGGAGGGAATCGAGGCAGCGAAATGGATGAGAATGTAAGGATACGATGGAGGAGGATTACGATCGGGGAATTTGAGATAAAAATCATTATTGCTTACCTGTCTCCAGACAGTGGCTGTTAAGAGGATATTGAGAGAAGCCATCTTTACACGCCATTCGACTTCGTTGCACTTCTCGATCCATTTGCAATGTTGATTAACCATAGAATCGATAACGTGGATAAATGGCTCATAACTGTTGAGTAAGCCATGTCGACCCGACAGAACATATCCCTCCAACCAGCCCTCGACAGTGTGCTCACTAAGCATTTCCATGACACGACCTTCGGTAGCAAGATTTCCACCATCAGCATCCTCTTCAAAGTTTTCACCCATCCAAACCTTCTTGCCAGCCTTGTAAACCTCGCCGAGTTTATTTGACTCGGTTTCGTCAGGTCCAAAGAGACGAAAAGTGTGCATATTATTGGCAACTACATCGCGTAGAAATTTGGCCATGTTAGACATACTGGGAAGATTGCTGACACCAGCTTCGATGTTCTCGAATGCGTACTTGCGGAAGTCTGGCATATCGAGTGGTTTTCGGAGGATACCACCGTTACCGACAGGATTTGCGCTCATACGGGCATTGCTGACAGGAGCCAGTTCTTTAAGCTCGGGAAAAAGTCTACCCTGCTTGTCGAAGATCTCTTCCGGTTTGTAGCTGCGCATCCAAGACTCCAAAAGATTCAAATGTTCGGGATTACTTGCAACATTGGGAAGTGGGATTTGATGCGCGCGCCAGAAGCCCTCAAGTAACTTGTCATCGACCTTTCGTGGGCCTGTCCAGCCTTTAGGACTTCGAAGAACAATCATGGGCCAGCGTGGTCGGATTGCTTTACCAGTCTCACGTGCTTCCTTCTGGTACTTGCGTATTTCTAGCACGCAACGTTCCAGAGTCCCCGCCATAGCTTGATGCATGCTCTCCAGATCACTTCCCTCCACAAAATATGGTGTCCATCCATATCCAACGAATAAAGCTTCCAGCTCTTTGTGACTGATACGAGCAAGGATCGTAGGGTTATTGATCTTGTAACCGTTGAGATGCAAAACTGGGAGTACAGCACCATCCGTAATCGGATTGAGAAATTTGTTTGAATGCCATGCTGTGGCTAAAGGTCCAGTTTCTGCCTCACCATCACCAACCATCGTCAATGTGATCAAGTTGGGATGATCGAAGACGGTACCAAAGGCATGTGAGATAGAGTACCCAAGCTCTCCTCCCTCATGAATACTACCTGGTGTTTCTGGAGTAGCATGACTACCAATTCCACCAGGGAAAGAGAACTGCTTGAAGAATTTTCGCATTCCCTCCTCATCCTCTGCCTTATCAGGGTAAACTTCAGAGTAAGTACCCTCCAAATAAGCATTTGAAAGTACAGCTGGAGCTCCATGACCTGGGCCAGATACAAATAATGCATCCAGGTCGTACTTCTTAATGAGTCGATTCATATGAAGATATGTGAAAGCTTGACCAGCATCGGAACCCCAATGACCTAAAAGTCGAGCTTTAAGATGTTCTTTTTTGAGTGGCTCTTTGAGTAAGGCGTTTTCTCGAAGGTAAAGCATGCCAAGACATAAATACATACAGCCACGGAAGTACGCATCATATTTCTTGAGTTCGTCGGCTGAAAGTGGTTTATCGTCGACTGTGGTGCGAGCAACTCCATATGGAGAAATGCTCTCAACTTCAACTTCAACTTCACCAGAAGCTGGAGCCATATTGAATTATCCAAGGTGTTTGGAGAAACTTAACTGATTGAATGAGTATTGAGTGTTGTATCGAAGAGTATGAATTGTTGTTGGTGTTGGTGTTCACCCAGCAGCAAATCTTGGAGTTGCAAAACGATACTTGAGATGGTGTTGTTGTATTGAAGAAGAAGATTGAAAGGAATGGAAAGACAAGGTGGAACTGTTGTATCCTTTTATTCACTCACTGTATGCATCAAAGAGATATTCATTCCAAGAACCAGTCGCATGGAAAACCACAAACACGGGCTGGGTAGAAAGTGGCCTGATAAATCTCACTGTCATTCAATACTCTTCATTCGAACCAAATATATTTATTCACCATTCACCATGCACTATAGATCTAGATCTCGTAGAGCAATAAAACCATAGCAAATCAACCTGATGTTACATCGCATATGGGGTGCATTGCAAATGGGGTGATTGAAAGGGACCTGGACTCTGCAGTTATCTCTAACCACGGTACTGACCGTAACTGATGTTCTGTTTGCAAACGAAAATCGCATGCATAAGGGATCTCCCTACTCCTTCCTTACCTGCTAATAATCACTCGCCGAACACCGACTAGCACCTAATCCTCTTACAGCCAGCTCGTGAACAAATAAACCTAGATAGAATAAGAAGTATATTTTCGGGTTGTACAGTACTGTAGTAACTGCCCACCACGCGAAAATGAGCTCAGCTGATAATGACGCCACTACTTTATCCAACTACTGCATCTTAGATACCTACAGAAAGTATTATCATTCGTTTATCATCGCTAATATAATAGCCGCCACCAGAATCTTAGACATTGTACTCATACGGTATATACAGTATATGGTCTGATAATTTGAGGCTGAGTATACCCGTAGTGTTGTATTGTTGGTCTACCTACCTAGGTACTGAAGGAAGTGCACTGTGCAGTAAATTCCGAGATAATAATAATATGGCTGGCTATTCTACGAATGAGTACGGTATTGGGGGCGCTGAAATATTCACTATCTAAGATGTACTCGAGTACCTACCTAGTAGGTGAGGCCTTCTATAAAGGGAGGAAAGGGAGGAAAGGGAGGGGTAGTTTGTAATGCGTGTGGTGCTTAGTCATCATTGAATTTATCGGTCTAGACATTTTATCCTCGTGCTAGTGAACCGAAACCGAAACCGAAACCGGATACTTTTTCACAATGGAATGTAGTAGAGCCTTTCAATAACCTCTCACCGCAAGCAGATAATGCAATTTGTGAGATACTGGGAGGAATTGGAAAGCAATGCCGCCAAAACATAGATAAATTAAGGATTAAAAATTCAAGGAAAAAAAACCCCCCTTTTCTAACGTCAACTTTCTTACTCATAAAGTAAGACCTACAATTTACGTATACCTCTCCATCTCGAGCAGTAACATCAATACTCCATCATTCAAACAGCCCACAATCCTTAGATAACGCAGTTTTGGATGTCAATATCAACATCCATACAAGACAATTCTCCATATACCGTCGTAGCTCTCTCCCTCTCAATAAAAGAAAGAAAAACCTCGCTCAGGCAACCCCCTCCCTGTGATTCACAGACCCCACCTTCTCCTCGTCCGTCAACCCCTTCCCACCCGCACCTCCAACCCCATTCGCATTTCCAGTACCCTTCCACTCCTTCCCATACCCCTCCTTCGGAACCCAATGAACACTCTTCCACGCCTTCCCCACACTCTCATACAACTCATCCACCTCCTCCAAACTCAGATCTTTCGTCTCATAAATAAAAAGGTACACAAACACCGCACATAGCAAACAACACCCACCCCACACAAAGAAAATCTTCGCCTGCAAATTCGCATTACCGGGACCAGGGTTCACCAAATAAGGAGTAGAGTAAGCGATAGCCCAATTCAAGAGCCAGTTCGAAGCGGTAGTCATAGAAATACCCTTAGCGCGCACAGGAAGCGGGAAGATTTCTCCAGGGATAATCCACCCGACGGGGCCCCAGCTGCAGGCGAAGAAAAATATGTAGATGCATACAAATGCCACGAGGGCTTTCTGCGCAGATTGGTTTTCGCCATTGGGGAAGGCGGTGCCGACGCTGCCGACTATCATTTGACAAGCGAACATGCCGAGAGCACCGAAGAGAAGAAGACGGCGTCGTCCCCATGCTTCGACGAGATAGAGACCGGGTAGTGTGGAGAAGACGTTTACGGAGGATGTTATCATGCTTGTTACGAATGGTTGTTTGATGCCTGATGTTGCGAAGAACGAGGTACCGTAGTAGAAAATAAAGTTGATACCGGTTAGCTGTTGGAGAGCTTGAAGCAAACATCCTGTTAGAAGTCTGAGATATGTCAGGATGTGATTGAGTGATTGGAGATGGGAATGTGATAAGTACCTTTTGCCCAACGTGTGCCATTTCAGAAATTGTCGATATGACGATCCCTTGACCAAAGTTTGTTCATGGACATAGTTGGACTCGATTTCTTGGAGCTCGACGATCAAGTTAGGGTCATTGACATCCAATCTTCGAAGTCTACTGAGCGACTTCGCGGCTTTGTCGTGTCTGCCGCGTTTAATCAGATAGCGGGGTGTTTCGGGAAGAAATAGAAGTCCAGTTCCGAGAATAAGAACCCACTACAAGATCGGGGAGTCAGTGTTTGCTTATCAAGAATTTGAAGGGAAGTGAGGAGTTAAAGATGTATGAACAAGATAAAAGGATATGCAAGATGAAATATAAAAGTGGAGTTAAAATTGTGGAGCAGGATTCCATCGAGTATTTGGAAGTGCGAAATTGTGAACTGATGAAGCTTACTGCAAATTCTATGCGATTTAGTTAGTTACTGGATTCGAATCTGATTCATGAGATAGTAAAAAGATAACTTACGAACAGCTATTGGAATTCTGTACGATCCAGTATTGTTGAGGCCTTTGGTAGCGTTGTCAATGACTGCCGCGAGTAACAACCCAATCGTGATGGCAAGTTGATAGGCACCCACTACTCTCTTTTAGCAATGTACGACGACAATGATCATAAATCCTCCAGGGCGTTCTTACCTATAGCTCCTCTGATCCACTTCGGTGCCGTTTCTAGCTAAAGTCAGACCCACCATATAACTCCACCTGGATTCAATATAGCTTACCAGATTGATAAAGAGGTACTATACTATACGTTAGCACATACCAAAAAATATACTAAAGGAAGCTGCCATACCTAGCATAGAAACCATACCGACCCCCAAGCCAGCAAAGAACCTCCCCGCCACAAACAACGGAATCGCGATCGAAGCCGTCTGTAGTATAACCCCGAAGGAAAATACGCATAGACTAACTAAAAGCGCAATTCTCCTTCCAGTCCAATCAGCTATTGGCGCCGCGAAGAGGGCGCCAAATAGGGTTCCCGCCGATAGAATTGATACAATCAGGGATGATTCAGAAGAAGTGATGCCCGGTAGACCAGTCTTAGGATCAATATATCCTGTAGAGAAAGTGTCCAGCCAGTAACGCATGGTAATAATACCCCCGATTGTTCCGGTGTCATATCTATTCGATTGATTAGTTTGAATATGACTACCAACACCATGATATAGTAAGATACAAACCCGAAAAGCACTCCACCGAATGCTACAAACAAACCCACAAGGATAGCAAAAACAGAGGAACCAGCCACCCCCTCCGGCTTTTTAATCCCGATCCTTTGAAGACTAAACTTGCCTCTTTTACCTTTCGAAAACATCATAACGTTAAATTTTTGTGATCTTGGTGTATTCAATGCAACTTTGAATGTCCAAACATGGTAATTGGGATGCTGTTCAATACAGTATATGTAAACTAATCGAGACAAAGAACTTGTCAAAAATCATGTTTGCAAAATGCGATGGAAGATGCGCGTGACGGGGAAAAAAATTAAGGACGTCATTAATTCCCGAGATCTGGGGAAGACAAGCCTCAAGATTTTCATGCGGAACCAAATCCGGTGGTAGGTGATTGTACAAGACTAATAATTTCCATATCGACGTCTTCATTGCGGGTGCACTTAAGAATATACACGCCCTCCTGGAGTGAGTCTCAAGACTTGCTTCACCTGTTGAAGGGTCGAGCGACATTTCAACCATAATGATTGTAACAGACTGGCTGGTTTACTAGCATTTGCTTTCGGACATTGAAGCTCACGGCATTCTCGTCAACATGAGGTTGCCGAGAACGATGCTGAGAGAACAAAGAACAGCAATAATAATGCAATGTCATTAATTATTTAAGCGAAGTCCCGAAGAACAACAGATTTAGTTCCGAGCGTCGGATATACTGCCCCATGATTGGTTTCAGCAGTTTTCTGAACGTTTAAGGACTATCTATACAATAAGACACTTTTTCTTCTTTGTTAAATATTTTTGAACCTCCAATGGTAGTAGTCATGAGTCCTTTGACTACCAATTGTTGATATGTCCTGTGACGCCGGCGATGATTGAGGGATCAAGAATTGTTCTTACTGCATTTGTACACCTGCAGATGCACACTCGGCACTTGGCATACTCATACCACTGGCAGGCAAGGTCTATTTCATATACAGCCAAATTCTTTGCCCCACTTGGGTCATTATTCACTCAATCTGGAGCAAACGGAAAAGGGACTTAAGCGAAGTAGCATAGAAAAATAAATTGTCCTCGTAGAGAGGCAAACTAACTCCGCCATGCGCCAAAACCTCAAAAATATGATACATCGTCTTCTGCCCTACCCAAAATCATACAAACCATGGTAGCATTAATCATATATCTGCGAATCTTCTTTCAACCTCCTGGTATAATCTAGGACTAATCTCATCGCTGCTGTTTCCTTGAACTTCCCACAAAACTCCTTTGCGCGCATAGTGTTCCAGCAATGGTTCACTTGTCTCTTCGAATTTCTTGAGCCGCGTCTTCCATGTTTCTTCGCAGTCGTCTGGACGTTTTGTAAGCTTTTCTCCAGTGATGTCGTCAAGCCCAGCAACCTTGGGCGCATGGAATGTAGTATTATAGACTCGACCAGATGGAGCATGAACCCAACGTCCCGCAATGCGCTCTAGTATAACGGACGCTGGGGTTCTCAGGGAAACGACGAGGTTTATGGGAATGAGTGAATCGAGTTGAGTGGCTTGCCCGGCCGTGCGAGGAAAGCCATCAAGTATAAAAGAAGCAGAAGGATCGTCGGATGTTTGAGGTGGCGAAGCAGCTTCTGCCAGTGATGGTTGTTCAACATATATATCTGTGTCAAATTCGGAAGAAGAAGCCGATATAGCATTGGATGCGAGTGTCATCGATGGTGCAGACGAGGGAAATAACCAGCCACGGGTTTTCAATTCGTGAAGAATAAGTCGAAGTATCATGGCATCAGGAACGAGCAAGCCGGATTTTATAGTACTTTCCGCTTTGATTCCTGCAGATCTCAGTAAGCCGCAATCTATGGGATTGTGGAAGTGTATATACCTAGAGGAGTCCGGTTCTTGACATGATCTCTTAACAAATCTCCAGAACTAATCGCAGAAAGCTGTGGAAATCGCTGTAGAAGTCGTTCTGCCTGTGTGCCCTTTCCTACTCCCGGCGCCCCAATCAAGATAATTCTTGCTGCTTTTTTAAGGCGCATTGCTTCGCATGTACTGATTATTGTGAGTCGTAGGATATCGCAGATAAAAGTAACTTGTGCCAAAATTCTCATGCACGGAAGTCCGTAAGTGATTCACGAAAGATACTTTGGTACCCTAATTCAAGCTGGGGGAGTCTGCCGCCGGATGCTGCCGAAAGATACTTTTGGTACCTCGATTTAAATTATTCTGCCGTATGATACCGCATCAACGAATTCGAGAGAAAACACAACTATGAAAATGACTGGGGAATCTAAATTATAAAAGAATCTTGATATGATGGCGGGGGGGTAATAGTAAAAAGCCAAAGTGAAGGACGCGATGATTGAAACAAGAATGGAGAATTTGGATGACTTACCTGGGTAATATGAACCCTATGTACCGGGTACTTCAGAAGTATGGAAGTTTATCAGGCGAGCGAGCGGGGAAAAATTTAAATTTGGGATTTGAATGAGTTGGGTGGTCATAGCGTCCCCGGATTTTGTTGAGGAACAGAAGGTGCAAGGGGGCTCTCTGGATAAGAAGCGATCGTCCCGATTGTCCGACAATGATTATATCATATATCAAATACCGGTACTGTGCTATAAAGACATGATTATGATTTATGTTGTATCCGTTAATCTAACTCTTTACCAGTTTGCAGCCAATATCGCCTTGTATGCATTTGCTTAAACGAGATATCACCCTACTCGAGGACAAGTATATATAACATTCCGACTCGAAGTCCTAATCAGTATCACACACCCAGCAGGCAGGCTCATGATATGATTTCAATACCAGAAGTTAGTGAATGGTTTGTATACCGGTGGACATGAGTGTAGTCTGAAATATACATTGTGAAGTGTACTCTGGATCTTGGAATACCTTTTTTACCCCGTTTGAGTTACATCCTGCATTTCCACTATAAATATAATAAAAAACGAATCATTCTCAAATTCAAAAATTGTCTATAAGATTATATAAAAAAGAATTACTGTACTTTGTATGTATAGATAGCAGTTGGTTCCAATCCCAAGTGGATGAATAGCTGACGCAAAGGGTGGTGGTGTATGTATGGTTCGCAGGAACATATTTCCTATTCTTGACTGCAGTATCCTAAAAACTCATGCTCAACTTCTCTCAACGCCCAATAGACACTTGGGTATCCAACAGCAAGTTGCCAAGATGGAGAAATCTTCACTAGCACCTATTCCCGGAAAATCTGAAGTAATGCAGTTATCAACCTCTCTGTGGAGGCTAAGTCGTTTCTAGTCACCACAGGAAAGCAAGACATTTTCTGGATGGTAAGTTCTTGCTTCACCCTCTGCAATTACAGTCCTTTTCATAGATGATAAGACTCTTTTCCTATCGTCTTTTCATCAACTGTCCGGATATTCACCAACATAACTAGTTGCTTGAGCTGGAATGACGTTTTCAGTTTGACGGTTTCAGTCTGGCCAGCCTTTATTCTTGGTCACGACAGCCGTTTCATGCTTGAGATCTACCTCACGGCTGACAATCGTTTGCAATCTTAGAACAGCTGAATCGATAGTCACACCAGGCATAGATCCATTCTCACCACGTCCGAAGAATGTAATCTTGAATGATTGCGGCACACCATTTCCAAAAACGACATCAATGTCGGTTATCATCCCCAAACAACAAATTTGTTGGTTGGTTGAACGCTGGCTCAAATCGGATGATAGGTAGGTGTTGGATTGAGCGTGACCGAGAAAGCTTTTCGACGCAATCGTCGAAATAATAATAATCATAATATTTTTACAAGTTAACCATTGATGCATCAGGCAAAATTAGAAAACTCTTCAGGCCCCTTGCAGATATCCTAAGAACTCAGAGAATATTGGAATGAGACTTTGGCACTTTGCTGCAAGTGGCTACTCAACCGTGACGAACTCACACCTGTATATCCCGAGTTCCCGACATCATACATACCATCGACTCCTATTACAGAAAAATAGGGAAAACAAGTAAAAAATGATAGATTAATAATCTCATCTATTTGTCCTGCCAATATATATTCCAATCTTGAATATTACAACCTCACCTCAATGTGTGACTTCACTTTTAATAACAATCCAACTTCCACCCCAAATTTGAGAAGTAGATACCTATAGACTAGTATACTATGGCTCAACATCCATACAAGCTAAAGTTACCTAGTAAATAGCTTTTGTCAAGTTTAGTCACGGTACTAATATTAGCTCCCTCACAAACATTCCCTTCCCTTTCTACAACAAACACCCCAAAGATCCCCTCTCATATCCCAATACACGTATAGAAACCAACAACACATACACATACACATATCACAGACAAATACTCGAATCTCCTCCTAATATTCATCCAACCATCCATCCAACCCAAACCTTAACAAAGTCACAATCATAACCACAGAGTCTCTCTCGCTCCTCGCTCTCATATGATTACAATAGCTCTGAATTGATATACCCTATACCCACTAGATTTTCCAATACAGTACCGATAGTAGTCGTAGTCGTAAACTCACAATCAACATAATCTACTTATCCCCACAACTACTCTAACACTACAAGCACACAAACTATATAAGAATTCCATGATTACTTATATACAATACAATACAATACAATACAATACAATAAGCAATAACACGAGAAAAGAAAAAAGAAATCTGCTTCCTCTTCCTCCCCCAGAAACAAAATTGTTAGAAATGCCCATAATAAAATAACTCGTAGTACTCGTACGTGACTAGAGTAGTAGCAATATATCAATCAATCTATCTATCTACCTTCCTCTTCTTTCCTCTTCTTTCCTCTTCTCTTCTTTTCCACATGAATCACTTAAGTAATACCTACCTACCTACCAACCAACCTACAAGATCAACATTCAAACCGCACACACATTTCCCGAATTCAGTGAATCACCAGCAAAAAAAACCCCCCAAATATTTCTATCCGAACAAAGATAATATTGTTTGTCTCCCTCTAAAGTTGCATGAAGCAGACATTGTTGTTGATTTCCTGCTGTGCAAATGATATTTCCGGTAGGGAAAGAAACTTAATCTACAATCTTATAATCAAATAAAAAAGATAATCACAACCTCTCTCATTTCTCCCTTCTCCCTTCCACCTTTGCCACCTTTTTCCTACCAGTCAGTCAGTACTCACCCTCATCACTTCTCCCCTCATCACTTCTCCCCTCCACACAAAACACAACACAATATCTAATATATCACATCACCAAAAAGCAACCCCAGCATCGACAAAACCAACCTCAAATGATAATCCCATTCATTCATCTTTTCACCTTTTCATCTGTTCATCCACCCATTCATTCATTCCATTACCACTATAACCCATCATCTATAACCCATCATCTATAATCAACCCTATCCCCCAAACCCCAACCTCCATCCAACCTATTCCTAAAGAACCTAAAAGTTCAACATACTATATCCCCCTTATGTAATCAATCCCTGGGAACCTAAAAGTTCACATCAGATGAGATATAGCAAAACATGCGTCCTATTTTAATACCCCATGCGTCCCGTATGACCATTGCCATCCATACGCTCGCCACCAGACTAAAACCAAACCCAAAGCCTATCAATAACTCCGAGTAATGTAAAGTAAAGACGCAAAAAGGTGAGTAAAATGATACATCAAGCGTAATAGTGAATAACCTTTGACGGAAAAGGGGGGTATTGCAATAGTTGCTTTTTCTCGCTCGCTCTCTGCATCCTTCATCCATGACTCTTCAGATCGTCGTGGTTGTCACCCCTTCATCTCTTCACCTCTCCTTTCTTTGCTCCTCACCCCAATTGCACTTCATCCCACTATCCCGGGTATCTCACCCCCAGTCTACGCGCTATTTCAACTAGCACTAAGTTTCGTCTCACCATCCATCTTCTGGCCCTTGCTAGCCCTTCTCTTCTTCAACCATAAGATCAAATCATACTCCCTCTTTCGCTTAGCGGCCTCATCCCCCATATCATCCTCATACCAAAGAGCCGGAACCAGCAATCTATACGGCATAGTGATTCCCGCCGGATCCTTCTGATTGACCTCAACATTTAGACAAATATCCAATCCACCCTCCAAATTGATGTTTTGATAATTACCCTTCCTAATTTGTTTTTCAGACAAACCAGTGGGGGTGCGATGGAATTGGTCGCGTGTGAAAACAGGTTCTTGTGGTTGGTTTCCAGCGATGGAGGTTGCGGCTTGCTTGTGCGAGTAGGTGGCGGCATGGGGAGCTTCATTTTCAAAAGCATAGTATTCGTCGCCGGCACCTCCACGCATAGTGGATGGCCCGTCAAGATTGGGGTTATAGGCCAGATCGTCTTCGCTCTCGGATCCGTAACCATTAATACCACCAGAGTCCTTACGCTTGCTGCTTCGTCGGAAGATTCCCGTGAAATCCTTTCGTGTCAGTGACAAGGTTCTCTTCAAGCTTCCTGGTCTTGCAGACTCGGTGGAATTTCGACGGGATAAAGACAATGACGGACGTGAAAACGATGGACGTCTATTAAAGAACGAAGGATTTGACAACGGTGGTGCATCAGGACGATATGAGGGGCCTTTTGTTGAGAAGCGACGCAGTAAACCGGGTCTAGGTGATGGAGTAACACTACCATCATAAGATGCAGTGGCATCTGGTGAATTAGGACGAGTCAGAGATGGAATGTATTCCCGGATCGAGCACCAATTCCTGCGATTAAGTAGGCGTCTATTATTCCTAGGTTTACCATCCACATCATGAGTAAAAATTGGAATCATGTCTTCGTCTGTCTCAGCATCAAAATGGTGTACTTTGTTCCGTTTGTTCAGAATATCCGCGAGCATGTCTGGCGGTGGCGCATTAACAATGGCCGAAGATATGATGTTGGTCATATAGCGGTAATCCTGGTCCTTAGGAATCTTCAGTTTGGGATTTGAGTAGAACTGGCCGATAGCACCAAGATGGACATCGCCACTGTTAATATTAGCTTCATCTCCAAGAATTTGAAGAGTGTGGTTGTACATACCCTAGAATAGTAATTCGGACAGACTTCTCGGCTGCCAAATCCTGTAATTCCTGGATTAACCAATTGCGCTCTTCCTTGTGATGGGCTGCTGTCCAATGATCATCGAGATCATCAAGGATTTCCACACCACCATCGAAGTGGTTCATGAGACTTTTTCCTAGCAAGCCAGCCCGGCCCATTGCCTTTATAGGTGTCATAACTTTGGATGTGAGGCTACAAATCTATTAGAAACGAAGGAGAAACATTAGATCACACTTACAGAGTCTCAAGCCAAACCATTCTTGGATACGCAATTGGTACCCCAAGTAATACAATAAGATGCTTCGTCTGGCCCTTGATAATGTCCTTTTCAAGCCGATCGAATATCTTTTTATATGTCTCGGCAGTAACGATTTCATCATCCATTCGCTCCGTACGACAATCGATACCAAGGAATGAGATGCCACGACCCAGACCAGTGAAAATGGTTCGGCTCAATTCAGGGATGTAGGGTCCTGGTTGTGCTCCCAAAATCCAACTTGGCTCGGTATCTTCGCCTTCATCGATACTGCTTTGCTGTTGAAAAAGCATGTAGTATTTGAATGCTACGCTTCCCAAGCCAGACATAACCGGGCACTTCATGTAACTATCAGGATACGAACCGAACCCATCTATAATATCATGGTCATCAAAAATGTTGATCATAGGAATTTGTGAATTAGCAACTCCAAAGAGACCTTGAGAGAACCACATGCAATAGCTATCCAAATAAAAATGCTCCATTTCGTCTTGCATCTCCGGCGTGAAAGGTAAAGCTTCTTTGCGAAGAGGATTTTTAATATTGAGCCATTCCTTGAAAAGGGTAGTTCGTTCCATCATGTGATCGTTATAGAGCTGATCACCACCACCGAGCATGACATGAAATGGTTGTGTTTGATGAGTGTTCAGAACATCTCTCCACAAAGGGTCGGGTCCGCTGAAGTCATTTGGATGAACATCCATGGTGAAACCGTTGCAACTATAGAACATTATGTTCATCGCTTGTCCACGAGCAGGAACCCAGAAACCTGTGGCTGGACCACGATTAATTCGATAAGCAATTCTTTGTTGCTTGCTGCGCAACTCTACTTCAACATTGAATCTCCAAAATGTGACTCCTCGGTCTGCATGTAAACGGAAACCTCGTACTTCTTTATACTTTCCGGCCTTCTCGCCATCATATTGCTCTCTCTTGCGTGTCTTTCTTGGGTCTGTATTTCCATCGAGATTACTTCGATGAGACTCAAACAGTCCCTTGTCTGTTTCAATCCGTGAGAGATCTTGTTCTTCTGGAAGGTGTTCAACGGGACGAGTGTAGAGCGTCCTACCATCTCGCCCGATCTTTGTAAGTCCTGCAATAGGGTCAATGTACTCTGGAGCGAGTTCTTCGCCATCAACTTGTGCGGGTGGTGGTGGAATTAAATCAACAGGCTGCAAAAAGAGTCTCAAGGTTGGAGCAAGTTCGTACGATGAACTTGAGTCTTGAGTCACGATCATGACACTGCCTCTCCAAACTTCACGTTCTGGTAGAGGACCACGAGCAACTGAGCGACTGGATGTTTTCTCGGTGCGTATGCCGTGGTAACGTAAAAGGGGCCCACACTTTAGTAATAGCGGTGGTTTAAATCTAGTAGGAGCTATATCAGGACGAACGCGGATAACCCGCATCGCACACGTTAGCGAATGATCTGGACCACGAGGGGGGCTGGGAGGAAGTTTCTGCTTTTCAGATGATTGGTTTGCAGCAACCACCTTGCTCGCATATCCGGATTTGTGCTTCGGTCGCAGTTTAACAAATCCAGAAGAAGTGCGGGTTTTGAGCGACAGGTGTTGCTCAGCAATACATCCAGCACAGTCTTCCATAGAACCAAAAGCTAAAGGTACTGTACCATTACTGTCATCATATTCCCCGTCGTAGGCCTCGGCCTTCTTCTGTCTAGCGGATCCTTTTCTGCCAGGACCTGCGTCCCACCAAAGCGCCTTGTTACCGTTGTCATTTTCGTTTGCCTCGTCTTCAAGATCCAATAAAGCATCTGCCAGCAAAGCTTTCTCGCCCTTCTTCCACTCAGTGAGTCGTTGCGAGGGAGCATATAATCCATTCCCTGGTTGAAAATCGTGATGATGATGGAACATCTCACCAAGACGGTGACGATGCTCCTCACGATCAACAGCAGGGCCATCGCTAGTTGTGGCTGGGCCTGTTTGATCCTTTGAAGAAAAAGAACTTGCTTTCCGATTGTATATGGCGGATGCCGATTGCTTCAATGATTGATTGTGTCCAGCAAATTGCACAGTCTTTCTTTTCGATCCTCGCCTAAAAGGGGTATCCCTCATTTCTTCTTCGGTATCGTACGGAGACTCGTCACGCAACTCGGGTTGACGTGCCTGAAAAGGTCTAACTGCAACAGGCTCGGTTGCTATCCTATGAAGTGTCGTTGAAATTTGCCGACTATTGGCAAAAGTAGGTAGCACGTCGTCCTGCGTATCAGTCTCACTTTGGCGTCGGCTCCAATGATCTGGCGGTGGATCTTTTCTCAATTTATTGCTTTTGCTTCGGTAAAGAAGACCAACGGCTTCGGTAGCAGCTACGACTCCAACCGCTGTTGGTATACCGGAGCTCTGTTTTTTACTGGATGTACGTTGTGGGATTGAACTGCTCTCGATTTCAAGATTGAGAACAGGACTTCTTGCTTGAGAGGCTACACTAATCGGTGGAGATGTATGCGTGATTGGTCTCCTTTCCAGTACAGATCCACTACGCGATAGACTTTCTTTTGATTTAAGACTTAAAGTCTGTGGAAAACTTTCCTCGGCAGCCGGTCGCCTCTCTGCTTGCAAACGACTTTCGGATGCTTTTGCGACTGGTCGATTTCTGATGCGAACTATATTCTGAGTGGGCTGTTCAACAGCGCGTGCATATGTCCCTTCTTTTTCTTTGATTAGTCGCTCTGCCTCTTCTACACGTGCTCGCTTCTCCTCTTTCGTGATGCTATCAAGTGTCAATTCCAACCTCTGTAGAGGAGACCTGTCTGGTGCCCACTCTTTTCGTCGTTGAGCCTCTGCCGCTTCGGAGTAAGAACCTTTTCTCGTTTGTGAATCTGAAGTCTGACTTCGTCTAGGCTGTTCTCTAGTTGATGTATGCCCTCCTCTGCGCGAGAAGCCTTTGCCGTCACCCCTGCCAGTTGTACCCGTTCGCTGAAGATCGTCTCTTTCACTTATAGGAGAGGATGTGCCAAGAACTTCCCAGTTTGTTTCCTCGGATGCTATTGTATCAGCTCCTTCCGATTTGCGAGACGCCCTCGATCTTCCTGAAGCTTGATTTGTAAACAATGCTTCACTAGCAACAGGCTCTTTAGAGCTACCCGATGGCGGTGACCGAGATATATCCGCAACAGTTGGAGAAGAAGAGTGATTGAATTCGGATAGATTATCCTTATTACGACTCTCTCCGCGCCTTCTTCTCTTCTCCAAGTAATCGTTTTCGTAGGATGTGCTAGAGGTATCGTATGGAAACGAGGGTGGTCGAGGAGCTAATCCATCTCCGCGAAATGTTGAAGCAACTGGAGAAGCAAATGGACTTTGTGTAGATATAGTAGGAGCTTCCGTTTGTGTCGATTCTCGATTGCGTCTTGGATCTTGAGATGAGAGTCGGTCCTTTTTGCTCTCGACGGGCAGGCTGTCCCTTCTCGAGGTTGGATTCGCAGCAGAGCTAATTGAGCCTTGCCTTGAGACTTTTGGAGGAGGCAACTGCCCCCAGTACGGTGCTGCCATGTTTGATACCGTGATGGATACTCCCGCTTTCCAATTCTAGACAAGCCAGTGTAAGATTGAAGCTTAAAAGTTTTTCAGAGATCGGGGGAAAGTGTTTCCCTGAAATTAATATTTCATCCTAAGTGCACACGGCGGGGTATCCAAAAGTGAAAATCTCGTTGGTCGTATATTGAAGTTGTGAGCTGATAAATTTTGTCTTCACTGTCTTTATCAATCTTCTTTTCTTTTCAAGGTTTGCGCCGCGCGATTCAGTGAAGAAACGACTTTGGAGCTCAATCGGATTGAGATAACATGATTATTAGTTCGAGATGCAGATGGATAGCAAGGTAAGAGAAGTATAGTATGCAAGTTGCAAGATCTGATAAAATAGAAATAGACTCGGTGGTGAGAATTCGTGGAGGCTAGGTATCACAGCATTCACTCACCTAATAAAACCTCTTATTCTTTTCGATTACCTCGTCTTTTCTCATGGCAAGATGAACCAAGAACCCTTGGAAATCCCGGCATTAGCGGTACAGGCGTGCATATAATCTGGGCTGCTGCTTTGGAAATGGCTAGGGTTGCTAGGTTGGCACAGATCGTCTGGATAACAAGAAGATACGGAGATCATCAAGCTTCGTATTAAGATGATATTGGGGGGGAATGGGGGGGAGAGGGGGGAGAGGGGGGGAGTGGATGCCATTGGGAACAAAGCTACTTACTATTGTAGGTACCGGCGGAATCTGTGAAATGACTTTCGGACGTTGTAGTTTTGTAGTTTGAGGGCTGTATGTTTGAGTGCGATTGTTGAGTTCTTTTTCGTAGGGGTTCCGACGGGAAGTATATATTAGCGCTGTCTTGGCTAGATTCTAATATAACGCTGAAGCCGCCCGAGCATTGTATATGAGTATATGATATTGGAGATGAGTCCAATACCGGTATAGGAAAGTATTGGAGACTTACTCGTAAAAGATTATTGAAAAACATTCAAGGGTTTATTCTTATTAGGTTGTCCTCCTGTTATGAGTAAAAATCTCGTACAAATAAATGATAATTACCTACTCCGAGACTACTCATAGTAGAGCTAAGGTTAGGTACACCCTAAGTCTACCCCCTAAAGCTACAAGCTACACTACCTACCTACCTACGCTACCTACCTACGCTACCTACCTAGAACAACTTCGAAACATCAAAGAAGTCAAAACATAGTAAAGGGTCAAGGTGGTTCATTAGATCAAACATCAATAATCCCGTCCATTTATTAAATACTGTACCTCCTCAATCACGGATTATTATACAGTTCACTATTTCTCTTCCTCTTTCTCTTCATCAAATCATCCCATCCTTTGTGGCGAAGACGATTTGTTGCAGCTTACTCTACCTACCACCTAACTAATAAAACGACAAAACTCTCCTGGCCTGGACTTTACGAGTCCTTTGTTCTCCCAATTGAACACTTTATTGTTACACGACCAATACTTTTATTCATATAATCACTCGGAATCGAAGACCAAAAAAAAAACTCACCACCTATTGATGCGAGACTGTTAAGATATTGAGTGCGAAGGAATTTCGGTCATCGATTCAGCGCCGAACTTGCGACGTAACATACACAATATGAAATTACACTCACTTATCGGCCTACTTGGTCTTGGGTATCTAGCAAATGCCGTGAATCTACGCCCACGAAATTACGATGCCCACGATTACTATGTCCTACATCTCGATTCTACTGCGGACCCTGTACAGGTGGCAGGGAGGCTGGGCTTAAGTCATGATGGTCAACTGGGAGAGTTGGAAGATCATCATGTCTTTTCGACACACAAGCAGGATGAAGATGTTGTGCACACAGCTTTGAAGGAGCGAAGGAGGCGGAAGCGGTCGCTGGGCGACTTTGATATTCTGGATAGGGTGAAGTATGCACAAAAACAAAAGTTGAAGGCTAGAATGGAGAAGAGAGGTCTAATGCGGCCGGCGCCTGAAGGATACGAAGTCGACAAACGGGAAGACACCACAGCACCCGTTGATGCTGCGCTCGTGAAACAACAAGCGGTTCAAAAAGCATTAGGGATTCAAGATCCAATATTCAAAGATCAATGGCATTTGTACAATCCGGTGCAAGTCGGACACGACGTCAATGTTACCGATGTTTGGATGCAAAATATCACTGGAATTGGCTCAATTGTTGCTATTGTGGACGATGGGCTGGACATGTACAGCAATGATTTGAAGGCCAATTACTACGCCGAAGGGTCTTACGATTTCAATGAGAATACTCTCGAGCCCAAACCTCGATTGTCTGATGATAAACATGGCACACGATGTGCCGGTGAAGTTTCGGCTGTCAAGAACGATGTATGCGGTGTTGGAGTTGCCTACGATTCTAAGATTGCTGGAATTCGGATACTATCCAAGATGATTACAGATGCCGACGAAGCTGTCGCTATGAATTACGCATACCAGCACAATCAGATCTACTCTTGCTCGTGGGGTCCTCCTGATGATGGAAGATCAATGGACGCTCCAGGTATACTTATCAAGAGGGCCATGGTAAATGCAGTTCAAAAGGGGCGTGGTGGATTAGGCTCCATCTACGTTTTCGCATCCGGAAACGGCGCTGCGAACGAAGATAATTGCAACTTTGATGGTTATACCAATAGTATCTACAGTATCACGGTTGGAGCAATCGACAGAAAGGGCCTGCACCCATATTATTCCGAGAAGTGCTCTGCTCAACTCGTAGTCACCTATAGTAGTGGAAGTGGAGATTCTATTGTAAGTTTCAATCCTCACTTGGAAATGGCAAGGACTAATCAAGCTATAGCACACGACTGATGTTGGTACCAACGCTTGTTCTTCTGCACATGGTGGCACTTCCGCTGCTGCACCTCTCGCAGCAGGAATCTTCGCTTTAGTTTTGCAAATCCGACCAGATCTAAGCTGGAGAGATTTGCAATACCTCGTGATGTCAACTGCTTTGCCAGTTGATCTTGAAACTGGTGAATGGCAAACAACAACTATCGGAAAAAAATTCAGTCACACTTTTGGATACGGAAAGATTGATACTTGGGCAACTATTGAAGCCGCGAAGAATTTCAAGAACGTCAAACCTCAAGCCTGGTTCTATTCTCCTTGGATTCACGTCAACCAAGCCATTCCGCAAGGAGATGCAGGAATTTCAGTTTCTTTTGAGGTCACCAAAGAAATGTTGCAAGGAGCAAATCTAGAGAGATTGGAGCATGTTCAGGTCACAATGAACATTGATCACACCAAGCGTGGAGATTTGAGTGTTGACCTGGTCAGCCCAGACAAGCTCGTTAGCCACCTTTCAGCATCGAGACGTTATGATACTGAGCCCGAGGGATATGATGATTGGACTTTCATGTCCGTTGTTCACTGGTCAGTGTATTCCATTAGCAATATGTTGTAACTTACTAACATGTACATAGGGGTGAATCTGGCATTGGAACTTGGACCATCACTGTCAAAGATGCTTTCCTAAACGAACATAATGGAACTTTCACAGATTGGCATCTCAAGTTATGGGGAGAATCTATCGATGCTGAAAAGGCAACAGTACTCCCAATGCCTACCGAAAACGACGACGATAACCACGCCGAAATTGCCACAACCACCATTGCAGGATTCACATCGGGCGCAACATCTGCTCCAACCAATGCCGCTGCTCCAACCGACGAGCTTCCAAGCACTCCATCAGACCACCCCGATCGTCCTATCAACGCCAAACCTTCTGGCACAGAAGATGAATTAACCTCTCCTACCTCCACCACACCAGCAGGCTCAGAGACCACAACTCCGTCCACGTGGATTCCATCCTTCCTCCCAACCTTCGGCGTCTCCTCCAAAACTCAAATTTGGATCTACGGCGCCCTAGGTCTCATCGTCACTTTCTGCGCCGGTCTAGGAGTATACCTATATATGGCCCGCCGAAAGCGCCTCCGCAACAATCCAAGAGACGAATGGGAATTCGATCTACTCGAAGAAGATGAAGCGGAAGCTCTAGCCGGAAACAACGAAATGGCAATGAAGAAGGGAGGAAAGAGAAGAGCGGGTGAATTGTACGATGCGTTTGCAGCCGGCAGCGATGATGAAGATGACGAGTATAGGGATGGGGGTGATGAAAGGGAAAAGAAACTGTACGAGGATGACCGGGAGAGTGAGGGCACGGGAAGTGGAAGTGGTCATCATGTTATCGGGGATGATGACGATGATGAGGATAGTGATGATGAGAGTGCGGTGAATGTGAAGGATGAGACGAAACCGTTGAGAAAGTGATGATGTTATGTATGGGTGGGGGTGGGATTGATGTAGGAAATGGAGAACTGATGGAATGAATTGATTAGGAATTTTTGAACATTAAAAGATTAGCACAAATGGTAATGAGTAGAGAATGGAAAAAGACGTCAAGAGGTAGTGTGGTTTTTCTTGGATTAAGCATGTGATCATGGATGGATGGATGAGTGGAGTAGTACGTATGTATGTGTGTATTCTCAAAATGGCGTTGAAAGGGATATATGCAGGAAGGAAGGAAGAATAAAGGGATGAATGGATAGATAAGATGAATATAGATGGCACTTTATTCATACCGGATACTTGCAGGGTCGGGATCCATCATTTATATATATCATATCCCTAGATATCTCAACTTATCCTATCATATCCTATCATATCATATCATATCCTATCCTACCAATGTCGCTTGGGAATCATAACTTGTTTTATATCCTATCCTTTCAAGTTCAAGTCATTAGTAGGTGTTGTGTTATTACGTTACTCATCATCTATCTCATCATTTCATCTCATCTCATCTCATCTCATCCCAATCATGTCACCGATTTATACTCACATACTCACTCACTCACTCAGTATACATGTATACATGTATTCGCTACGAGTATGATCATAACATTACATCCTTTAAAGACTATAAGAAATCACAGCAATGCACGTTCTTCACATATACATCTATATATGTGTGTGTGTACTCGTATATGTATATATGATTCATTATTCTTGTCTACCTGCCTATCTGCCTACCTACCTACCAACCTAACTAACTGAGTAACGTCATGATAATCATAACCCTAATCATCTCCACGATGAGAATGATAATCGCCAATGCGCACCTCGCACTGATATTGTATTGTGCTCTGAACCCATAAACGCCTACTTGCTTGCAATGAATCAATCCGAAAAGTATTCCCATCAGACAAACTAACAGACAGACACTCACTCATCTACTTTCTTCCTAGTGTATTACCTCCTCATTTCCTTTATCTCCCCCTTCGTTTCCCACCCACCTAAGCATCCTCCCCACCAACAACCACCTCATCACCCCCCATTTCCTTGACATAATCCTCCCAAATCCTCCCTACGCCCTCATAAAATTCTCGATGCGCATCCGCCAACGCCCCCAACTGACTCCTAAACTCCACCCTCTTAATCCTCTCGAAATCCGCCACTTCTCTCACCACCTCCTCATCAAAAGCTTCCGTCGTCTTCTTGGCTTCCTCCACTTCCTTCGTTAAATCTTCGATCCTGATTTCCAATCTCCGTAATCTTTCTCGGCGAGATTGTTCATGGTCTACTCCTCGCACATCTTCGATTTTCGAACGGATGAACCCGCCCGCTCCAGTGAGGGCGCCCGAGCCGTGGGATGAGGCTAGCGTATCCCGATCGTTGGTGGATTTATTAAGGTATTCAGTGAGCTGTTCGAAATCGAGTTGTTTCTGTTCGCGAGCCTTTAATAGATTCTTGACGGCAGTGCTATAAGCTTGCATATCCCTCAAGCTGCCTAGATAATTTTGATCCGTATGATCCTTTAAAGTTTTGATGCCCGAACTGGTATCTTCCACACTCGCACTGAATGCGTGGACGCTTTGTTCGACTCCGGGCTCTAGATTGATGAGACGTTGAAATTGTTCTGCTAGGTCTTTATAATCCGTTTCCAGGTCGCCTTCACGACGAGCTACACGAGCGACGATCTTTTCAATATGCCCGAGGTCTTCGTCCAATTTGTCGGACTTTTCTTTGACTTCAATGAAGCGTTGATCGGGCTTGTGGACTTTGGTAAAGGCATTTATAAACGTATCCGTAAAATTATCAAAGACTCCTGCAGCCTGCTCATCTCGAGAGGCGCCTCGTGAAGGGCGCGACTTCATCGTCGCATTCCAGTCTGAGCTTTCCAAAAAGATTATCAAAAGGGCGCTGCGGCGGAGAACAGGATGAAGGGTGAGGCGGGTGAGGAAGCGTGCGAGGGAGTTGGCGCGTCTTTGAGTGAAATCGGTACCGAATCGATCGCCTCGTACATATTCCATCTTATGCTTGTCTGGTAGTGGAGGAACGGCACATGCTGGATATTCTCTAAAGAGCGTATTGTATAGAAATACAAAGTCGGTAAATCGTCTTCGGACAGAAGTGGTAGGTTTTTGGAAAGAGGGAAATGTAGTCTAGGTTTCATATCAGAATAATGTTCCGCGCCTCGAAGCAATTCGATGGAGACGAACATGCGTAGTAACAAGATAAGACACGAATGCATCTTTGGTTCCATCATTCTCCTTGATAGGCGTACCAACTATGCACTCCAGAACCCCTTCTCCCACGCCTGCTAGATCCAAAGCATCTGCATTTGGCCCTGCTTGAGTTTCACCACCATGTTTTTCGACATTGGGACCTTCGCTCTCGTCATCACTTCGCGGATGCCCTCTTCGATTGTTCTGCCATTCAATATTGGCAAAATCGTCGTGGTCCATCTCGGTGGTTGAGGTGCGCGGGGCAATCGAAGCTTGCTCTTGTACGAATGGTTTGGATGGATGACGAGAGAAGTATTTCTGTGTATAATTATTAATAAGATTTATGAGCTTTAATGCGATTTGTCTTTAATTTGTGCTTGAAAAGAGGTGAGAATAATTGTAGTGAATTGTAGATTCTCAAAATCCAAGCATTTATGGAAGCTTCCTTCGTCAACATCTAGAGAGGCGGGCCAATGTCATCCATCAATGGAAACCAAGCCTGTTTGAGCATGGCGTTTTCAAGTGGTCAGGAACTCACCACTCTTGTTCAAAGACACACTTTACTAGTACTACATACATAGATAGATAGGTTGTCTAATTAGCTTACAACTCTTTTCAATCACAATGATTCACAAATTCACAAACAAATAGTTATTCTAAAAGGATTATTACAAAAAAATGTGTTGGCATTCAAGGGATTTTGTGCTGCAATGTTATGCTGCTTGCTATACCTATGCTCTTGTACCTATACCGATGCTCTTGTAGCAATCAGGAAGTCTATAACTGTAAAATTCTATCGCATTCCCATCCAATCCATTGTATCCATGCATGAACCAGATCCAGTAATGTTATATCTGTTAAAACAACAAGAGAGAAAATTGTTCAAATGTACACATCAGGGTAAGCTTATGGCTTATCATTCCTTGCCTTGCTCTCTTTTTGCTTTAGTAGTTCACCATCTTTCTCGGCAGCAATTGCCTCATTCACTTGATCCTTCTCTGCCCCATCCTTGGCCTCCATTCGTCGCTCATCCTTTTCATCAATATCTTCGTTATCTTGAGGAGTGGCTCTGCCTTCCTCGGTGTTCTCTTCGTTCTGCTCGTTTTCCTCCTCAATAAGATCTTGTTGCTCCTTGAGGACTTCAAGACGTTGTTTGTTGGTGGCGGCACCCTCTGCATTGTGAACTTCAAGCTCAATCTCGTGGAATAATTCCTCTGGAATGGATGACAGAACACCAGTAAGTGCGTCAATCTGGGTTGCGAATTCGGCATCCTTACCCTGAGCGTACATAAATGCATTGCTCAATACCAACAATGTGGAGGGGACTCCATGCTTGAGTCTCAATTCTAACCAACTTTGGAGGTCATCACGAAGGCGACCAGGGGACATGCCGTGGGTCCTGAGACCACGATTGAGACAAGCAACTTGAAGCTCTGGAACGGACAAAGTTTCCACACCCTCAAAACTGATAGCTCGGTCATCCCTCTTGATTTGTCTCATACGATGACGGATTTGGTAGCGAAGCATGGTATCGGTACCAAACGTATTTAGATTCATGTATCTGCACATGCCAACGAGTTGGGGGCGAGACAAATTGTCCAGAGTCATATCGTCCTTGAATATTTGGCAGACCTTAATGACTTCCGAAGCATTAGGAGTTTCACCTGTAGCTCGAACTTTGCGGAAGAATTGTGTGAACTCCTCTTTTTTAGCATTTACTGCGCTTAATGGTAGCCCGGTCTCTTTCATTGTGCTTCTCAAGAAGTTGCTAACATCCTTTCGAGTAGCTCGAAGGGAAGATACTTTGGCATCTTTTGATTTCTGTGCCTCATATGTGCTTGGGAGCATGTTAGGGAATAGCTTGAGAGCGATGGGAAGAAGAAGTTCCGCGAATGGCACAAGAACAAATACCGAAAATGGCACCAATCGGGCCATATCCTGGACTGTTCTTCGTAGTTGCCTGTGCTCTCTGCGACTGAGCTCATATCCCGCAGCCATCTTCAAAGCTAAACGTGAACTGATTTTCATTTCAGTTCCCAGTAACTTCGTGCCGTCCCAGTAATGTGCAACCTCTTTCTTGATCTTTTGTCCGAGTGTCAATTTCTTCTCTGCTTTCTCGCCATCCGGCTTCTCCACCGACTTTCCAGTTGAGCCAGCCAACTCCGAAAGCGCCAAGCCTTCAGAAGCATCGGTTTTAGATACTCCAGTGGCCTCATTACTTGGAATAGGGTCAATTTGGTGTTTCTCGGCTTGTTTCGCAGCTGCTTTGGATGTCGTACTAGAGCTGATTGAGGTCTCCTTAATTGGTTTTCTGGCTTGTTCGGCATTGAAACCTGGTGGCGGCGCACCATTTGACCCTCCCGATGTATGAGTATCAGTTGTTACGCCTCTTCGTGGGATTAAAATGGCCAGCGCTGGCATTTGTGATGGGATAATTCGAGCATTGCGACGTAAATATGCTGATGCAGGACTGAGTGAAGATCTTTGAAGAGCACGAGCTATTAGGTGTTATTAGTACTGATACATTCCCTATTGCAAGAATAGAAAAAACTCAACGAACCTCCTATGAACGATGTTTGCGCCGCATTGCGGACAATTCTTGATGAAGCGCTCATACTTAAGGTGAATCCCCTCAACAACGATAAACAATGAATGCTGTCAACGGGGTATCAAAAGTCGCAATATTGTAAAACTCTATAATGGAAGAGATGTGTGGATTATGTTTTCAGAGAAATCATAAGAAAACGTATTCCTGAGAAGAATGATTTGTTATAAATCTTTATGCATCCAGCTCTGAAATGCCTTCAACGACGGATCGGGCATAATTCTTCGCCGTAGAAGATCACGTGTTAATGTACCCACCTTAGCTAATGTTTTAGCTCCTGCTGATAGGTCGCGGCACGGAACGGACCTAAGTTTTGAAGAATTTAAATGTTCTAGAAGAACGTGGCACTCCATCCGTCAAGCTGGCCAGATCCATATACCGGTAAGGTTAGTGTGTGGTACAAGAATTTCCATCATCGACAAGTATGTGTTGTTATTTTATAAACTCGAAAAGTACGATTTGGACACCACTGTATCTACTTTTAAGAAAAGACAGCAATCCATTCTGTCAGAATTTTGGATCAATCCTTGTCTAGTATTTTTCAGACGGTTCAGAAAGCATTTTATGAGATTGATGTTCTTCTGGTCTCTCTTGTCAATTTCCCCAGAGTTTTATTATTGCTGTCGTCTCAGAGTTGAAGATGCAGAATTTTTAATCCTGGGGTCACTGCCGGTGCGTTGACGAAAAGACGAGTCAGGAACCCGATAGCTTGGGGGGCGGATTCGACGCGAGGCCCAGCCTTGTTTTATAGTATTAGCTTTTGATGAGTAAGGAACCGCCGCTGGAATTGCATTTCTGGCTTGCCACATTCTCTCCTGGTGAAGACAACCGCGTTTTGACTTTGACCTCATCCACCTTCTAAGTAGCAATTCTGTGGTAATCGACATAGCGAGGCCAGGCTTCCACAAATACACCTATTCTATCAGCTTCGGCACAACAACCTCTGGACGTCTCCCTTTTATTAAACGAAGCACACAGACGCTGATTTGCTCTCTGCAAGAGACTCGCACGCATCATATATTGCTTCTGCTTGTAATTGTTCAGATGGCAGCCATTGAACTCCATTGCAAGTTTCCCGTCCCAAGTCAAAGACTATGGAACACGATGTTGGCATGCGAAAGTCAGCTCGGGGGGTTTCATGGGTCTCTTTATTGATCGATGGCTACTCTCAAAGAAGCTGAGAGCCTACTTTCTCAATGGAGGGGCGCAGCTGCAGAAAACAATAAGTATATGTTTGACCTAAAATTTTGGTTAAAATGCTTCTTCTTTGAATACACAGAAACTTTGGGGTCCCTGAGATCTAGAGATATCAGAACTTGGTCTGGTCGTCTATTTCGACTTTCCTTTAGATAAAACCCTTTGATATGATTTCACAGTACTCGTAGGTGCTTGAGTCTTTCATAATAATTGATACTAATAATATATTAATAGTCTACTTAAATATTATCGGAACCCCCAATTAACAAGATGAATTTATTCCTTGGCATGACTCACGAAATGTCATCGACAAAAGAGAAAGGGACAATATCACTTCAACACTGAGCGTGATCCGAATATGAATGCCTTCTTGTACGACCGAGGAGCTTCGAAAACTTCCGGCACTTGTGCCAAATCTCAAGCTGCATCACGACCGATCACCCTCCTGTAGTATCAATGTTTCACGGCTTTTTCATTGTGAAGCAGAAGTCACAGATCCAAGAGGGTAGTTTAAAATCTCATGCGATCGCTGAATCTCAGAGCTCCAGGTCCATGACTCTGACTCGTCATAGCTGACATGTTTTCCTGGGCCGGAATATATATTATTGAGCTGGAGCTTTTGCTACTGTTGATGTTGTACCGCGGGGATTTGGGTGACTACTAGCTAGCGTTATATATGCAGGCCACAAAGATGTACTGTAGTAGTGTGTACCACAATGGTTTGGAACGTTTGCACGTTCAAGAGTGGATAATTTCCCAGTCTTCCATTCAATGATAGATTTTCAAACTCGAATGAAAACTTTCCAGACATGACCGAGCTGCACACATCGAACTTCCCCGGTACAGTCGTAAGAAAGTACTTTGATCAGACTGTTGAAGGTTGCAAGTCTTAGTTCTAACACCAATATGTTTCAAGTGGTCGTACATCCCTTTATAAAGCTTTCGGGCTATGGAAAGTGGTACTAAATCCAACTTGATTTGATGTATTACATCAAGCTTGGACGAGGTTCCATTCCTGGTGCCCATCAATGACAAGATTCAAACTATACATTGAGGTACTTTTGAAGTCGTGGCGTCCTGGTTGATGTTCCGCTTCTCTTACGTGACTCTTCAATAAACCATAATAGCAGCAGTAATTGCAGAGTCTACGACGAATGTCGTCCCCAAATTTATCCTTAAGGCACCTAAAGAGATGTGAGCTGAAGACGAATTCAAAATTGTCATTGTAGTTGTACTTTGAGTTGGTGTTGTTGGGTTGAGTATGTGAGATCGTCATAGGCGAAGCGATTTCCTAGACTAGATATAGTCTTTTGGGAGTCTTTAGTCGACGTAAATGTCGATGCTCGAGCAGTGTGTAAATGGGACTGAAACTGTGTATTTATAACTAATTAGTCGGCGAGTTGTTTGAAGCTCAACTTGTAGAATCTGAAGATGGCGATGAGGTGCAATTAGTTGCATATAGCGTTTTCACAAAACAATATATGGTCAAGGTAGCTCCTAAACTTGATGGCGGAACACTGGTTAAAAGAACTCCTTGTCCGATTTTGATTCCTATATTGCAAGGCCTTAATTTTGAAGGCATAAGAGTTATGATTGTGAAAGGTGATGGGCTGCAATCAATACTGACTGTATTGATATATGACATAGCGTTATGTGTATATGCCAGTGAGGTGAGGATATACCGTTTATGACTGCCCTTCGAGTGGAATTCCCGTCAATGATACTGTGGATGTGAAAATAACAATAAACATCGGAAGCAAATATTCGAGATACAATCGTTCAAGACTAGGGACAACAAAATCAGAGCATTTCGCTGGCTTTAAACTAGGCCGTATTAATTGAGAGTATCTTTCGAATCCACACTGATAGATTATGATATCGTCAATGGAGCCATTTGACCCTCAAAACAGTAGACAGATAGACATGGAAGTTTGCGGCATGGCGCATATGCCTGATTGGTTTTGAACAGGGAGAGTGACTACAACCAGCCCGGGTTTTAGGAAGCCTCACGAGACTGAAACACTGCGCTTATGGTCCACCGCTGCAACACCATTCTTGCTGCATCCCGGACTGATACTGTATAACCCTTCTCGAAACCAAGGATCTAAGGAAGACTCATGTATAGCAGATTTTGCCTGAAGACTTCTTCCAAGTATACAACACGATATTGTCTCTCTGAACCAGATATCTGATAAAGAAATCATTTGTCTCTTACCCCATAATTACAACTTGTACAACACTTCTTTTTATATACCTCAACCAACAGGCCTATACTCTAAATCCCATTGTTAACAGTCTAAGAGAACACCCTTGTAATTTGCTAATGACTTTTCTATACCTCTGAAACCTTGTCACATTCACATCAGGTTAATCATCGAATGATATCTAGGAAGGATTACTGCTTCAAAACTATTTGTAGGACTTTTATACCATTCCTATGTGCGTGCAAGTGGTGGGTAATTGACTTTATAAACTTAAATGATACTATAGATACAGGGGAAAGTTGGTGTTCATGATCTAGGTACGAGACGCTGAATCAAGCCATTTCCCGATAGCAGATTTTCTCGTTTCGATGCAAGCAGGAGAGATGCCGATTGGTCACGATGATACGGGAAGGGGCCCGTCAAAATGTATTCTAAAAACAAATTTGCTGGAATAGAGCCTGGAGAATGATAAATAGATCTTGAGAAGAGGGGATGATACAGCTGCGCTTGGGTAGGTATCGGTGCAGCATGCACAAGTCCTTAGCTAAATCCTTCACATTATTCTGCCAGAAAGCGGTGAAGGTTTCACCAAAACCTTTTGTTGCATATCTTAAAAGTAGATGTTCTGTGTTCTAATTTCCTAATTGGGATAAAAATTATTTTGAGTTCTATCAACTGGGAATAAAGAGAATCTCTGGGGTTATTTCCGGTGTGTCAAAAATCCGTAAAATGTACAACATCCATCCTCCACATCACCACCACCATCTTTGCACAGTCTAAGACGAGGGGTGTCAACACACTGTGTATCGGTTGAAAGTATTTGAGATATTAAAACAAACGTATATTTGATGAAATTTGTCAACATATGAGCCTTCATATTTCACTTCCAAACTACCGTAGCAAAGAATACTCTTCAACTGTGATCGTGTCGCACCATCCGAAGCTCTATTCATAGCTCCACGATAAGCTAGCCTTATCATTGCGACAATGTCCTGGAAACCTCTCCAACTTTCTAATTCTTCTGGCGCTCAACTGCCTTCTTTCCTCATCTCGTCTGAATTCGACAGTGATTCGTATCTGGTTAGACTCACCGATTTGTCGAATACATGGGCCGAGAGAGTAGATCGCGATGCGATAGTTGAGCGGAGTAAAGAGGATAATACAAGTATCGATCCGAGCGAGGACGAGGACCAATTATCGATATTTCTTGAGAAGATAAAGATAGGACTTGCAGGAGGAAAAGACACAAACCTATCTTTGCAAGTTGGGGCGGGCATTGGAGATAATCTCTCACCCGATCTAATTCTACATGTTACGATTCCACTACCTGGTGGACTGAAGGACTTAGAATGGCGGTATCGATTGACACCACAGTCGCCAAAAGAAACGGTCGATAAACTATTTCTTCCGAGTCTGGTCGCGCTACAAGAAAACAGAAAAGGGGTCGAGGAGCTAGTGGAGCTACTCGAAGAGAAAGATGCTGTTATTCAGAAACTTGTTGATACATTGGAAAGTCAAGGGACAGACCTGGGCACAATTTTTCATCAAGCGGCGGGAAGACCGGGTAGAAAGGTTGATAGGAAGAAAGCGAGTGAGAAGGTTAAAGGTCTGAAGATTTTCGACGTGCGTACCTGGAGAAGGGGGTTGGGATCTGATAAGACGGGAGACACGTGGGAATTGCTGAACAAGGTGTTTTTTGACGATGAAATAGGCTCGAAACTCCCCACAACAAATGATCTGGGTAGAGAGGATCGGCAACCTGATTGGTGGGACCGCATGCAGGGCAAGACGGTAGGCACCTCAGGGAATAAGGTTGCGACGAGTCCAATGGATTTACCAAGGAGGAATACCAAACAGGAACCTATACCACCCGAAGACGATTTCCAAGTGCAATCAACACCCCCTCATATCTCCAGACCCAAGTTCAAGCCCGATATACCAATGGAAGATTCCACAGAAGACGAGGGCGATGATATTGATGCTCCATCCCAGCGTTCGAGACTCCCAGATAGTGTACCCATCTCACAAGCTCGTGCGCCAAGTCCTAATCAAACTCCAACCCCAAGCCCGAATTCCCCACTAAAAGCAAAAACTACTGTCGAAGAGTCGGGCACAAAACGAAAAGCCCCCACGCCAAGTCCTCCGAGTCAAAATGCAGATGATACCACCGAAGATGACGAACCTATACCAGCGAGTTCACATTCTACAAGAACGATTGATAATGATAATGATAACACTGACGATGATACCCCATCCTCTCCTCCATCAAAACGACAACAGACTCCCCAGAAATCACCAACCCCTCAATCTCCACCAGCTAAAAAGAAAGGCAAGCTTGGAAAAATAGGCGGGAAGAAAGCTCCTTCTCCATCTCCAGAGCCGGAGCTAGAACCAGAAGTTGAACCTGCAGCCATCAAGCCGCGACCTAAAAGAGGTATGTTAGGCAAGATTGGTGGAAAGAAAGGAGAAACCACATCGACCCCTGAAATTGAACCACAGAGTTCGGCGTCGCCAAAGAAGAAACTGGGTACGATTGGTGGGAAGAAAGCTGCTGCTGGGAGTGCTAGCCAGAGAGAAGATACTATTGGCGAAGATAACAGAGGGAGAGGAAGAGAGCAGATGAAAGAGGAGCAAGAAAAAATGAAAGAAAAAACCCCACCACCTAGAGAAACTTCTCAAGAGCGGGCTGATAAGAAGAGAGCAATGTTGAAGAAGGAACTGGAAGCTAAAAGCAAAGCGCCGGTCAAGAAGAAGAGAAAATTTTAGGGGGTAGGCCCAGGTATGAAGATGTGTAGATCTATGAGTATGTACATCTATTTCGGTATGAGCATGCCTGCATCCCTCCTTGCAGAGATTACCTTTTCTAATTCATTGATCTTGCACATATTGTTTTTCCTCTTTGATTATTTAAGAGTCCATAGGCATCTTCACTGGATAGTGAATCTGTTAGCTTGAAGTTTCATCGCCTAGATCATCCCCTCTCCCCTTACTTCAACTCCTCTTATTACTTTGCTGCATATTGCAATATCTAGTTATGATCTTTTCACTATCAAGTTGACGCATATCTTTTGTGTTAAGCCTCTTCTCTCACCCATCCCTTGGGACTTTTTCTTATGTCTGTTGTCGTCCACCAATTTCTGTGACTGACAGGGAGTCACAGCACACACTGGGAATAGATATCCTCACGTTATTTGAAATTTATCTGTTGTTTTTCTCATGCTTCACTTATCTTCACTACCTAGGGGACTCCAAACCTCATGGTAGTTGGTTACAAAGCTTTTCCACATCACTTCGCTTCACTCGGCTATGAAAGCACTTCTTTCCATATGATCACTTGTCATGGGGTTTTATTGAATATTTTGATATTTATTCTCCAAGCTCTCCTCTTCTGTCAACTGATTAATACTACTTATAGGTAGGTAGATAAAGATCCTGGTCGCATATCTCAAGCACGGATCATATACTACCCAGCCTGTTACCTGTTCCCATGTGGTTTTGTTGCATATCTTGAGCACAGACTGTATTAGTGATGAGGCTATATGTATGGGCGGGTGGATGCGAATATTCTGTTATATCTCTTACTATCGATCTTCTCGCCATATCGCCAATATCGCTTCTGATTCTGATGGGCTTTATTTGGACTCGACTACTTCTGCCATATATCTCATCATTAAATCGCATGGCGAAAGTTCAAAACTTCAACCACATGGTTTTGTTGCTAATCTCGAGCTCAGACCGATCCTTTGGGGATGGAAAGTAATGTATGGTGTTGAAGCATGCTGTCATCATCGTTTACTATGCCTGACTGAGTGTGGTAGGAAAATATATGTCCAGATAGCCTGGTTGAACATCGGCATGTTTCACCTCTAATCTCATGTTACCTGGAAGGTTGGAAGGTTGGTGGTGTCAAGACAATATATGTTTTCTGTTGTAGCTCTCCATGTGCACTGAATTAGTTGAATAGTGGATAACTTTTGCTGTTTTCCAGGATTCTCTCCTATCATAATGTTATGTATACTTCATTTGTTTTTGGTATGTAGTACGCTTAAACATATCTCATAAAGTTTCCAGATACCGGTATTATACGCCATTCTTATTATGAAACAGCTAAGCTGGTTCTTCTGTATGCAATTCCTGGCTAGGCTATATTATTGATGTGAATTTAGTAGGTAGGCTGTTCGTAAATCGGCTATCCGAATTAGCTGTCCGCAGATTATTTCTACACTTTTATTCGCCATCTAAATGCTATCTGAATTTCGTGTCTACTGTTATCAACATAATCTACATCATGGAGAAGTCTGGATTTAAGAATATCCATCAAACGGGCAGAGCTTTGATTTCATTGACTTTTATTCTCTTGTCAACATACGTATTATCTGTTATATATCAATCCAACAGATACATTCTCCAAACCCCCCCTTCAAACAATCATGCCAAATGATCCGGTTATCTCACCCTATAGCTAGGTACCCAGTATCCAGTACTCGGTAGTCAATTCCCTATAAGTCAAAAACATCTGCTTAGGTAATCTTACATTTCCCCCTATCTATACACATAATACTTATTAGGTGCTTATTTCAATCACATAGATGTACTCGACTACCTCCTAAGTATATAGTATCTAAACACTCAATTGATTTGTTGCACATCTACAAATATTATATCACAGATCCAAACCTTATCAACAAAGTATTTGGCTCGTCTAGGTATTAGTTTAGTTTACTCGTAGCTTTGCTTCCCCTTGCCTAGTTTTAGTAGATCATGATGCTTCTCGAGAGGAGAAAGTTCAATGCACAGCAAAGTCCCAGATGGGAGAGGAATGTATTGCTGATAATCATACCTAGCCTACTCATGCCATCAGAAAGTAGTCCGCAACTTGGGTAAGTCAGCAAGTACCATATAATTCTAAACTACAAAGGGAGTACCGGTAACCTAGTTTTTAAAAGTTCCAAGATGCGGTAATCTTAATCGAGATGCAATAGAGTAATCGAATGATTAGTAAACATTTGATAGGAGAAAGGGTGAGAATGATGTTGAGAAAAATTGTGGGAATGCTAATTGAGCGCGAGGGAAGTGCATGCCTTGTTGCATATCTGACATCGTCGATGAATTTTTGCTTCGATGGAGTTTGGTGGCTTGGTGGGATGGTGGGATTCCGATGCGATGATGGAGTACAGGTGGATGAACGAACATCAAGTTGTTGGAGGGAATTTTTTATGAAGGGATGGGTTGTGCCGATATCGGGATTATGTCGGTTATGGATTTAGGGATTTATGAAGGGGTAAAGCATTCTAAGGTTTCTCAAACTCGGACAGCAAAATACTATGAACATCTGCGCGGAAGGCCAACCCGAATATGTATTTTTCGGGAATAATTCAAGTGATTATTCCGGAAGAATATGATATTTCAAGATTCCTCCTTTATTAAGTTTGTTTAGATCGATCTAAGATATCTCATAGATGTTGCTGCTGTCCCTCCCTACCTTCGCACGGACTATAATAGTAGTTTGCTATAGAATCACTACGCTCGTTGTTAAAAGCGACAATTCGACTACGAATGGCAGTAGATTATTCTGTGAATATGAAATGTAATTCTGCCTACTCAGTAGTGGTGAATATCTAAGACATACAAAATATTTACCAAAGTTCATAAATACCGTGACAGTTACATGATAGAATGAATTGAAGAATTGAAAATACCTACTTAGTACTCGAGTAGATGTATCTAGATACTAGATAACGTCTGATCTGTTCATTCACCTACTTATAGCTCTCTCTTTTCTCATATATCCCCATCAACTTTCTTGTTGCATATCTCACAATTCATTCAACTGCCTTGGATGTACATATACAAAACTTCATTCTTATATACTAAACGGGCAAGGAATATCATTCCTCTTTCCTTATGTATCGCTATGTTCTTTTGGTTGCACGTCTTAATATTCACCTATCCCATATCTCACATCTTATGGTACTCAAGTGTACTCGTATTTGATATAATTATCGAAAGAACTATATTTTCTTATTGCATGCATATCATTCATTAGTATTACTAGCTATCATCTCATACTCATAAATATCAATTCCCATATCTCTTTCCTCCTTATACTTAGCATTTCCTGCTACTCAGTACAGTAGTTATAAGTACACATCTCAACGTTCACCCCCTCACTCTCGCCCATTCACCCCTCTCACCACATCTCCAGTATCTATACACCAATAAACAAAATCACATCTTCTTGTTGCACATCTAAAACTACTATTCACCTAACTATATCTATAATCCATCACCAATTCATTTAAAAATATGGAAACAAAATATTCATTGCATATACTCAAGTATTTGTTGCATATCTGAATATTCATTTTTATATAGTCATCTGTCCGATGAATACATATGCACCAATCATGAAGACATATATCTTCCTGTTGCATATCTTATTTATTCACTTGTGTTTCTCATCATCATCAATTATCAATTCATATGGATAGAGTGAACATGAGATATCTTTTGTGTATCTTGATATTCACCTAGATATGAGATAGTGAGAGTAGCATAAGTGAGTCGTTCAGTCATTTGGCCAGGATTCATCATCATCATCATCATCATCAATTCATATGAATAGAGCAGGGATGATATGGTTTGGAAATATTCTGATGGATGATTCTTCACAAGATTAACTTAACTCTGACTAATATGCATACAAAAACAGACATGAAATAAACCAATCAGCTTAACCCGACCAGACTCAAACAACTCTCATGCCTCTAGAACGGAAAAACATAAGATGCTGAACAATTGTCGTCCAGCAACTAACTTACAGAAACCTCACTTCATTACAACAACCTTTCCTGCCCCCGTCCCCACCCCCGCTCATCCCCTTCATCACGCCTTAAAATCCGAAACCTGAAACTGCATCTTAAACCCCTCATGCGCCTTCCTCCTCCCCCTCTTATCAATATACCCCACCAGCGCCGCAAACCCAAGACTTCCCAGCGCAATCAAATACTGACCAATCTGCAACGGTACCCCCCTACTAATCTGCTGTCCCGTACTCATGCCCGTAACAAATTGGATCGCGCCTCCCGCCGTACTGATACTACCCGCCGCACTCATCATGTTGCCCGCGCTCCACTGCAGGATTGCCGAGGCCATTTTGGAAGTAGGGAGAACCCAGATGGTCCACAGGAGTCCGATAGTGAAAGCGATGAAGGGCATGATGATTAAGGGAAGCAGCTTTTGTTGGATGCCGACGGCGAGTTCGATGTTGGTGGCGGTGGAAGTGTCGGTGCTGCCTTGAAAGAGTGCGGATTGCACGATGGCGGCAGCGCTAGCGGCGGATCGCCCGTAGGGAAAGTTGGGTGTGCAGATATCGTTACCTGTGCTGGGGATTACGGCGCAGATTCCTAGATGGGGATTTGGTTAGGACGGGGATGAAGAGGATATAGATTGTGAGTTGTAAACTGTGTATAGTGTATAGTGTATATTGTGTACGTACCAAAATAACCAACGCGAAAATTGGGAACGATGAATTCGTCGGATGCGCCGCTGAATACATCGATGGTAAAGAAGGCTCGGGATATCACATTATTTGCCATGCATCCCGTCAAAACAATAACTAAAAGGTTCTTTAGCAACGTATGTAATTTGGTATGCAGCAGAACAAATCGGACGTACAATATAAACCAATAATAGGAAAACCAGTAAATATAAACAACGTTCGTCGAATCCATAGTTGCTTTGTCGGCAATTTTTCATCTTCTTCGTGATACCCACCTACATAATCTACCGCCCTATCGATTGTTTCCCTCACCCTCTCGCTATATTCCCTCAATCTTTCCCTTGCAAGACGAAGGCTTCTCTTCTCTTCTCGAATCGACGCCTTTTCATCTTCGAGTTTTTCTTTCTCGACTCGAAAAGCCGCATATTGCTTCCTCAATCGACTTTCATCTCTCCTGACATCGGATTCGGCTCTCTTTACATCTTTGTGCTCCTCTCTTAGTATTTCGGCAGCTTCCTTTTGATCATGTTTAGCCACATAGGCGTTCTTCTCAAATCGCTCTTTTTCCCTAGCGAATTCAGCGTCCTGTTTTCTCATATTCGATGCTTTGTCTGCCATCCTCCTCATCTCCATATCCTCTTCCTCGGGACTAGTTGTTTTTTCAGACTCCGCCCACCATCGTTCTTGTCGAGGCTTCTTATCCTTGGCAGACCACCAACGATCCCTACTACTACTTTTTGTTTGATTCTTTGGAGCACCAAAATCCGGGTTATTCTTCTTTCTATACCTTTTCTTCTGATGCCTTGCCCACAGAACTTTGCCAGCAGGTCGAGCCAACCACATTACCTATCTCCGATCTCTGTATCGTGGGGTCGATTTTTGTTTGAAAACATAAATATAGTCGGGATGTATTATAATGCTCGCTGATTGATGTAATAATAATGAGTCAATCCGTAGTAGACATCATTGATTATGATAGAAGCCGCAACAGGAATGTGCGAAAGATACCGACAGAGGAGTTGGGGGGGGGGGGAGGCTTGCATTATCTCTCAGGTGAGAAGACAGGACGGAGGCCTTGGTCATAACCATTATATGGTTTGCGGTTATTGCAAAAAGTTCGTAATGGCCATACTAAAGCTACGTGTAAGGTCTGAAATTTGGACCTGTAGAATGCTCCTACTGGGAGATGTGGCTTGCGATAGGCGGACCAGCGGAAGACGCCGTTTTTCCAGTGTTAAAACACACGCGACACACATCTAAACCTATCCAACAACGTTTATCCGAGGCAAAAACTTTTTTGTCGATTCGAAACCAACACATGATGTCAATACGGGGTATATATGTGGCTGTGGTTGGTTGTGTAGGAAGAGCGCGCGTATGCTTCCTGGACCGCTCGGTGTGGCTATTGGCAGCCATGACCACTCCAACAGATCCCACGCAAACAAGCCAGAGTAAAACCATGGCTTATAACGATGCTTTCAATCATCTTACATTGACAAAGAACAATGACCATGCTACTTATATGGTCATTACCTAGATAACTGAGCACAAAGTGAGCGATAATTGCCCGCTTTTGCAATAACTAGAGCGGCAGCATGTGACATGAGGAGCACAAATGACAAATCGCTGAATAACTAAGCAGTAAAAGCAAAGTACCCCGAGGCTTGTTATTCAACTAGCAGAATCTTGCTTAGCAGACAGAAGACCCTTTAATCTATCTGTAGAGCAAAGAGAGGGACTTTTGCCGAAGTTCGACTTTCAAAATCGAGAAGGAAAAGGCCATCTACCCTACCTCATATTTGGACTTGATCGTAATCTAGGCGTTGTTGGTATATAGGTTAAGGAAGTTCTCGTCTTGGTATATATCAAAATGAATGCATGGAAAGACAAATGTTTGACACATTTACCTGCTATCTACCATAATCATTGCCCTAAAGCTTTGGAAAATCGTCTCGATCACTTGATCATAATCATCAACCCTTTCATTTTGAATCCTCCCAATACTTTGAAAAGAGTCAACCTATGGCTTCGATCTATAATAAAGTCGACTACGACTCAGATGATGAGTTGGAAAGCATGCAACTCAGTTCTCACATTAACAAACTCATCTCAGCAACTTGATATTCGGTTTTCAGCTGCAGGAAAAGGAAAGTATTAATCACTCTCTGATGGGAGCATTTGCTCTCAAGTGACTTTCCAACGAAGAGATTATAGCAAATCAATGAACTAGGAAGCCAGTGATTCCCAAGTAGCATGCAATTGTCAATCAACATTCTGATATCGAGTTCATGTTGACTCCACAACATTCTCCATTGCTTTGAGAGTATACTGTCACTGCGGGTAATATGAACAAGGGCAAGGAGAGAATGAAGATACCAAAATAGTAGTTATTGCATTACAAAACACACATGGACATACCATATTCTCATAGTAGGTAAATGAATGATCGAGACTGCGATCTGGTATATAATTCCTTTTGTGAGTTGTCATCAAAACAGTACCTAGGTATGTTCATCGGAGACAACGCCGGCAAATACAGAAGCTTTGTGTAAGTCTGAAGCTGATACAAAGATACAAACGGGCATATATGAAATATTTGGCATACGGGAAGGTGCTCAAAGATGATGCATTATTTGGTGTTGTGTTCATGTACAAGCAAGTAGCTGCGGGTAACATTCTCTCTCTCGGGCGGTGTAACTTTTAGGTCGGCAATTTCAACGCTATTCAATGCCTAAAGCTTTATACCGAATTTGCTAAACATTACTAAAATATCGACATTTAATCTACTGGTACACAAATGCTGTTCAGGATCGAGTTTAGAATGCCTCCTTGAGGGCGCAAATAACCTGCAAACAACCTGCAATCATGAATAAAGGAAAGATAATGAGAAAGTTGCTTGGTCAATCTGCCACTACTACTGCTATTGAGGTTTCCGACACCAATAACATTGACTCGCCTCAACTTCGTCCGACTGCTTCACAGGGCACCATCTACTCAGCAGGCGCACCACTTACATGTCTCGGTCGTTCACCCGATGGTTCACGCGCTATTGTAGCTGGTCCGAAAGTCTTCAAGATTGTTAAGACAGAAGGGTCGACAATCACAGAAGATATTGATCTACGTGCATCGATATCTCTATATGCAGCAGCGCATGACGGGGCAGCAGCTACCGCAGAACAACTTAATATCAGAGCCGTTCGATGGTCTCATACACAATTCAGCTCTACAATCGTAACGGCCGGTGGAAATGGAAGAATAACCGTCTATGATCTCAATCGCGCTGGAGGGGAAGGATTCGAGGTTGCGCGGATTCAGGAACACGCTCGGCAGGTTCACAAGCTTGCGATCAATTCATTCAAAGGGAACTGGTTGTTATCAGCCAGCCAAGATGGATCGGTTAAGTGTTTCGATTTGCGTGACACTCGTCGAAGCGTAGCTACCTACAAATGTAACGCAGATGCTGTAAGGGATGTCAAATGGTCTCCAACGGATGGCATGGAGTTTGCATGCTCTACGGATGCTGGGATTTTACAAAAGTGGGACTTCAGGAAGGCGCATGCTCCCATGATGAAGATCACTGCTCATAACAGTGCTGTCTTCTCAATCTCATGGCACCCGGATGGAGATCATATTGTAAGTGGAGGCAAAGACCAGCAATGCCATGTGTGGGACATGTCGAGGTCGGAGAGGGGTCAAAGGGCCCGATATTCATTTACTACTCCCGCGCCCATCTCAAATGTCTGTTGGAGACCTGCTTGTTGGACAGCCACAGGTCAAGGGAAAAGAGTTGCCCAGGTAGCCGTTTCTTATGATGATACCAGTGCTAATAGAGCCCAATTCTCAACGGTACATCTATGGGATATTGCTAGATCGGCCATGCCATTCAAGGAAATTGAGGTATCAAATAACGCACCAACAGGTATTCTTTGGAGTACTCGAGATCTTTTATGGAGCGTAGATAAGGAAGGACACTTTGTACAGACAGATGTAGCATTTTCACCAAAGGTCATCGATCGTCGGAGTTTATCAACATTTTCTTTCTCCCCTGCAGGCGATTTGTTGATGTTGCTTGAGGAACGACAAGCGCCTAAACGAACTCGGCCTTCTATTAATTCTCCAGAGTCGTCTTCGAGCTTTCAACAGCATCCAAATGCCCCGTCCTTTGCTATTAGTCATAGTGACTCGGAGGAGGACGTTGTTGGCAGTTTTCTAGGCCCAAGAAGGCGACAACATCTCCGAAGGCGGCATAGTGGACGACTCACGCAGAATCTGAGCACTACTCCACCCAATGCGACAGGAATGGCTGATAGTAGAGTGATGGGATTAGAAGAAGCTGTACAAATTACCGGCATATATAAGCCTCAACAAATCATGGCTATTGGTCATGCTCCTTCAACGCCAAAGCGGTCGAAATATCAATATATGACCAATTGCTATTTGGAATACATGACGAAGAACGCGAGTGAAACAGCCGAAAATACTCCTTTGAATGTCATCATTTCAGCGACTATAGAGCACTTTGCTAATGGTGCCGAGAACGCCAGATATTACCGGCTGGCTCAGACTTGGAGACTTCTCGGTTTCACGATGGATCTTTTGTTAGTTAGACGTGCAGAATTCCATCGCCAGCATAGACTACAAAGTCACTCGCAAAAGGACGGGGGGCCAAAACGCATCAGCAGCTCTGCGAGACTCAATGAAGAGCACAATGAGTCAAATGAGAGGACTCCCCGGAAGAGTCAACGACCGATTGCCCCAAGCGAAGTGGCCATTCATCCAGCCGTGAGGTCAATCATTGCGGATGAGATTGAAAGTACTTCGAACATGACAACGCCACTTGTACGTCCTGTTATGGATTCTATTGCAGAAATGACAGAAGCAATAGATACACCATTGGTAGAAATTGACACTTTGGTACTTCCACCCCCGGTCACCTCAACAATTCGTGAACCAATACCAGTACCAGTACCTGGAAGTTTCATCTCCGAGCAGACGACATCAAGTATAGAAGGGTATGACTTTTATGGTATGGACGCCTTCAAGCCAGCCGCCGACTTTGTCCCGCCTAAAAAACAACCCCTTCGTTTAGACTATTCGGAACAAAACAGTTACGCTCAACGAATGGGACTTACTCGTCATGATTCTGGGGAGAGCTTCCAGATGTTTTCAACATCAAATGAGTCTCAATCCAAATACTTGGGCGGTGGTTCGGATAGCGATGCTCATAGTGTGAGGAGAGATGATAGCTTGCGAGAAAGAGTCTCTAGTTGGGAAGGTAACGTCGTGTCGCATTCTAAAGCCTCATCTAGCCTCAACTCTCGCCCATCAGAAGATTCCATGGAGAAAATCCCCGAAGAGTTGCCCAAGATGGTAAATCCAGATCCAGTAATTCCTTCACCCCAGACCCACCGCAAACGCCCACCAACACCAATAACAATCAAATCCGCCTTCGAAAACGATTCCCCTAATCCAAACCTAATCGAAACAGATTTCCTCCCCTGGCCCAACGACAATGATACCGAATTCGTCATACCCCCGTTAAACCCCATCACCCTCGTACAACGCGCCATCGAGTTCGAAACTCAAACCGGAGCTTTAAATGCAGCTGCAATGGTCCTCCTCCTTCGACGTCTCCTCCCTCCCGATACAATTGATCCAATCCACGCCGAAGCCATTCTCCGCCAATATAATCATCGACTCATGAGCATGCAACTTTTCTATGAAGCAACTCTTCTTCGGAACCTTTGCGTCCCACTCTATCCCTCAATCTATGCACCTGCACAGGAACAAGTCAGTGTCGGCTTCTACTGTACAGAGTGTAACAAACCCCTTGAAAATGATCCGCTAGTTCCTGGCTCCGAATGGTCTTGTCCACGTTGTCGAAAACCGATCGCGGCGTGTCCGATTTGTCAACATCGGGATGATATACCAGGAATGGAAGGCGTGCAGACATGGTGGTATTGTGGCGGTTGTGGACATGGGGGACATACAGCTTGTATAACTGAGTGGCATGCGGATGCGGGGGATGAATGGAAAGAGGGTGAGAGGTACAGTGGGGGCATGTGTCCGTTGGAGGGGTGCATGCATCCGTGTTTGGAAGGCAAATGGAGAGAAGAATTAGTGGAGGAGGGGAAAGAGAGGAGAGCGAGAGAGTTGGAGAGAGAGGTTAAGGAACGGACTGGTGGAGCGGGGATAGGGGGTTTTGGTAGATGGGATAGGGGAAATAGTGTCAGGAGGGATGCTAGGGAGGTAGGACAAAGCAGGGCAGTAGAGGGAGTTAGGGTAGCGTTAGGTTTTGGTGGAGGAAGCGGAGGCACTGGGCCTGCAGTAGAGAGAAGAAGAAGCGTCAAGATATTGGCGCCTGGTGAGGAGAATATACAGTAATAATTACGGAGATAAGGAAGCTAGGGTCGGCTACTTATAATAAGGAAGACAGTATCAGGAGCAGATCTCAGGAGTGTGTACTTGGATATCTGCATCGTTAATTGGCTTAGCTTGGCATAGCATGGCATGGGATAGTAGATGAAGGCGTTCGGTCTTTATGGTATACCCAAAGGTGGCTAGCATATACATACACCCGCACGCATACATTACATTACATTCTGTTCCGTGTCGCTGGCACAAATTATTGTACAATGATATTATTATAAATAATAAAATATGAAAGTAGGTGGGTATTTGAATAAACGAATCGGGTAGAAGTTCTCGAGGGGATTTTTGTAATCTCACATTGAAGATGGCGATGGTGAATATATGTACTGTATAACATGACATGTATGATATGAAAGAAAAAGACTAGATAGATAGCTAGCTAGATAGTCACAGAATGCAGAGTGTATCATAATATACTCGAGTAAGCAAGCGTAGTGTCTCAGGTTCTGCGTCCTGTACTCGAGTATAAGTCTGGATAAGTAAGTATCTTGGATGAAAATGTTTTATTTTATTGTTCGAGATTACATACATTCTCAGCTTTGTAGGTGTCTGCGGATATTGGACTGGGCTTGCGGAATTGGTCGTGGATTGTGATCTAGTCATTTGTGATATATACATGCTTGGTGTGCTTTAGAGTTAGTTCAAATTAAGCATACTCGAGTGTAAGTTCTGTACATCATGGACATGGTATCTCCCGTTTCAGGGCCAACGAAGCAAAACTCGCAGAAATCACATTCCTGCACTACATTTCATTTCCATCCATGTAATGTCATCAGCAAACAAATAAACCAACCAATAAACCAAGAAACAAACTCGCTTCACACCCCCTAATCCATAAACGTAACTGTCTTCGTCCTAACCCACTCCTCCAACCCCGCCGCCCCAAACCTCCCAAACCCACTATCCTTCATGCCCCCATGCGGCAGTCCCGCCTCATCATGCACACTCCCATTATGTCCATTAATATGCACAGCACCACTCTCTACCGCCCTCGCTATCCTCAATCCCCGCTGCAAATCCCGCGTGTAGATGCCGGCTGCGAGTCCATAGTCCGTGTCATTTGCGACGCGGATCGCTTCTTCCTCGGTCGATATCTCAATCATGGAGACGGTGGGCCCGAAGGATTCTTTGTGGTAGATGTCCATGGAGGGGGTGATGGATTTCAGGATTACGGGTGCCATTTGGGTGGTAGGGGGGGAATCGGGGGATGGAGGGGTGCCGTGCAGGATGGAGGCCCCTTTGGAGAGGGAATCGTTGATTAGGGAGGCGTTGTTGGAGACGCCGGTGGGGTTAATGAGGGTTCCTGGGGTGGAAAACATTTCTGCAGTCGCGGCTGCGAATGCTTTTTCGCTGTATAGGTTGTTAGTTTTGTGGTGTTTATTTATTTCCCTTTTTGTCGGGAATCACAAGGATAAAGGTGCAAATATAATGGAAAAGAAGAACTCACAACTCCGCTGCAATGTTCTTGTGAACCAGTACTCTCTCTGTACTCATACAGATCTGACCTGAATGCAAGAAAGCCCCCTTTGCACACTCCGCCGCCGCCATTTTTAAATCCGCATCTTCCCACACAATGACACTAGCCTTCCCACCCAATTCCAGCACGACCGGTTTTAGAAACTTCCCAGCCAATTCCCCATAAATCCTACCCACCCTCGTACTCCCAGTAAAATTGATCTTCTTGATAATCGGACTCGCGATCATCTGTTCCGTTCGCGCCGGAGCCTCTTCACTCGCTATCGCCACGAATGTCAAGACTCCCTTGGGTAACCCTGCTTTATGGAATATATCACATATGTGCCAACTACACATGGGTGAAAATTCCGGCGCTTTCAATACTGCGCAATTTCCAGCGGCAAGCGCATATGTCACGCTACGGAAACCGAGAATATATGGAGCGTTCCAGGGTGCAGCGCCGAGGATCACTCCATAGGGCTCCTTGTACACAAGTGCGCTGCGCCCTTCTTCAGAGGTCATGGGTATACTACCCGCGATGGAAGTTATACGACCAGCAACATCGAGGAGTCCTTCTCGAGCAAGATGCGTATTGAAACCGGCCCAAAGGGGATCGGAGCCGGTTTCTTTAATCATGGTTTCTTCGAGGGTGACTTTTTGTTCGAGTAGGAGGGCGGCGGCTCGGAGGAAGATATCCCGTTTTTGAGGTGGAGGTAAGGTGCGCCATGCTGGGTATGCAGCTTGAGCTGTATTGAGGGCGAGTTCAATATCGGATGCTGATGCGGATGTGCAGTTGTGGAGATGAGAGTTGTCGGATGGTGAATGGACGGGAAAGGTTTTGGAAGATTGGTGTGGTTCGTTGTTTATGATGAGGGGTATTGTGTAGATTGAAAAGGAATTTGAGGATGAAACTGCATCATTAATTTTGGATGATATCTTGGATGTGATGCCATTGCCTTCGGTTGCGGATGGAGACATTGTTTCTGATATTAAGTTGTTTGAATGAATGTACTTTGTGTTGGACGTTGCAAAAGGGGTATAAAAGAACAAAGAAACGAAAGAAAGGAAGTGCTGTTGTATTTTGTAGCTCTTTGATTGATTGTCAGATCTTTCCAAATGTTTCATCCACCCCCACAAACTTAGTCAAATGGCCGGGTGGCTTAGAAATCCTCCCGGAATAAATTCACGGCAATAATGAAGGATGACAGAACCAATGAATCAGAGATATCGAAGCACATAATCTGTTCTATCGTTATGATCCATGTCAATGACCCAAGTCTAAAAGGTGATAAGGGATATTAGGATAATATTAAACCCCGGGATCTTCAATGGGAGGGGGAAATGAACGAGCTGGGGATATTCCATCCACTCCACATTCCGGAAACTTTTCCGGCACACACACACACACACACACACACACACACACACACTACTACACTACCAGGATCAACCTTCATGAATCAACGTCAGTAGTTATTATGGCAACAAATGCGGTGTGAAGAAAAGAAAATCGACCTCAATGTTTCTATTCGTTATTCCCATCTGATTCAGACGGTCAAACCAAAGCTTTCAATGTTACACTAATAGATTACTCCTCTCTTGGCATCTCTTGGCCTCTAATTCGTTGTTATATTGATCTACTAACTCCCCGAGTGGATACAGGGTATCGTTATTGCATTGTAAATGCGTAATATTTGCATGTATGAACACCACCTACCCCTATGTCTGCTGCTGAATTGCCAAAAAGGATAAAACTGGTGGCTTCTGATGAGCCCCGGGCTTACAGCCCTCAACTGTCTGGAATCAAACAAGTCGAAGTCGCGCATTGTTTTCCATATTTTCTACTCGTTAATGGCTGGGGTATCAAGCCCGCTCTCGTCAAGTTCTGGAAATGCCATTCGGGAGCTGATTCCGTCTTCCACGTCCAGAACACCCATCCGGAATGAGCTTCGTATGCATCAAGCTGGGCTTCCATAAAGTATGCCAGGTTGACTTTGTCGATTTCAAGTAGACCATCAACCGTTCCTACATCTTTCGTCTGGCAAGATCCGTACCATGCGTAACTACCCGGATATGAACCATCGTATCGAGAACCTACACCAAAGCCATTCAACCATTTTGCGCAATCCGTTTGGGCACCGCTAAACTCCCCGACGATGGTCCATTTATCTGTATTGGCTAAGTTGCCAATCTGACTGCAAGCAACCTGAACATGTTGACAAGGCTTCATGGCCACCTCTGCAAAGGAAAATATTTGATAAATATGCGTGTCGAGAATGATGTCATTAACTCCAGATTGATAGTTCATGAAGCCATTCCATGACGGCGGAGAAAGAAACGCATCATGAATGACAACTGCGGTATCAGGATTTGCGTTTCTCACGTTTCCCCAACCATCATAATAGAATTGCTTCACTGCACCCATGTCAAGGTCCCAGCTAGCTGGCTCGTTGAGAAGCTCAATTCCCGTAACAACGTCTGTCGCTGGAGCATAGCGGTAGGCGAGTGACTGGATAGCAGCCAAGGTTTGCTTAGTAGTGTCTCCTTGGGTCCAAGTAACGGGTCCTTTTCGTCCAGAGTTATCGAATCTGCAGATGCTGTTAGCCTTCTGATCATACTCCAAGTTCTTGCCATATTCAACGAACCCATTTTGGCTTCCTGGAGCTGTCCAGCAATTAGCGAAGGTTTTTACGCAGTTACAAAATGTGTCTTACCCCCATGAACATCCAGAATAACTTTCAAGCCAGCTTGTCTTGCCCAGCCAATAGCTTGGTCTAGGTATTGCAGTTGTCCCTGGACATAAGGATCACCAGGCAGCGGATTCAAAGCCCAATATCCGATTGGTATGCGGACATGATTCAACCCAACACTTGCAATCTCATTGAAATCATGTTGTGTTATCCAAGTTGCCCAATGTGCGTTTAATAGGTTTTGAGAAGCAGATTTCCCAAGCGTTTGAGTAAGCGTGTACCTGGAATGGGTAGCTTGTTAGCAGATATCTGCTAGCGGTCATTATTAGAAGATACGCACTCATCTACCCAAGAACCATAGAACAATGATGGGGTAATCCAGGGCTCGAGCACAAACCACCCTCCCAAATTGACTCCACGAACCTTGCCGCCATTGTAGTCGAAGCTCAACCCCTTTTTCTTGAGTCTAAATGCGTGTTAGTGAACTACTGTAAGTTGTCTATAAGACGGTTCTCACAAGGGTGTAGCCTCGATCATTAGCAGACATACTGCGATGAAGAGAGTTTTGAAAGATGATACCATTTTAATTAAGGTTCTAGATGGTATCCAGAGGACTAGATGTTCAGAAGGTAGTCAAATATTGTATGGAAGTCAACGTATTTGTTTTTCAAAGTACGGTGAAAGGAACGCGCAAAGGAGGCACAAGATAACTTTTGTTGGTTTGAAGGAAGTATTCATCCAAGATTGGGAGGAGCTTCCGAATACTTATTTCCCGCAGCGAAGGAGCAGCCAAGATAGTAAGTATACGGTACTATCCGATATTGCATGAATGGAAGGCAAGAACGAAAATTGCGGCTGCAAAAAGACACGTCGGTCTTCATGACCATTCTATTGGAAATAGCGTATGTAGACATGGTAGTAAATAGAAACGATATCAGCCAAGCCGCATGCTATGTATCGGGTGATTGCACAAAGCCAACTCCTCGGAAGATGCAAGTCTGATAGATCCAGTTAGGTAGTCTCTTTTGGGCCTCGTAGCCAGTAGATAAACTCCAATATATGAGGGTCCAACATGAACTTCGTTTGCAAAGGTTGAAAAGGAAGTACAGCACCGGCAATTATTGGTGCAAGGTACATATCTGTGGTGCAGGCTGTGGTGTTGCCGCTTTTACCTATCAAACAGTATCAAAGAGACTGTAACATCTACTAAAAAATCTCAAGACTTCCTACAACTAGGTATTTTATCCATTTTCAAGTTTCCAAATCTCATCGAAAGGAATTAAAAATATAACCTAGACCAACTCTTGACTCATAGTTATTAATCGCCCTAATACTTAGAGCTTTATACCCGCAAGAAAGTACTACTAGGAAAAGTACTTCCATGTTGAGCTGGGCCCGAAGCAAACGGATTCTTTAAAGCAGCTTTCTGAGGTTTGTCCCGAATGATGTCGGTACATCTCTTGTGCGTTGCATATCAAGCATGCTGCAGCTAATATACTCTTTAAATGAACGATTGGAAACCTTCGGAAGCTTTGCGTTTCCCGGTTGTCAATAGAGATGAGAAGATCTTGCTCTGCGTTGTCCCCACAACAATCCTGGTTCAGTCATCCTTGAGCTTCTCTTCTCACGTGGTATATACACCTTCATTGGCTCACTTAAGAAAGTCGTGGTATGTTGATCGACATAAAGGCGTCATAAGGGGTTGGCAAGGAGTTCCACGAGGTCGACTTTGGACAACTTGATGTGAAGTTTCTTACCTAAATGACTCGGGCCTATTTGGTATTATTTTGATGATATTTCGAGAAAATGAACACGTCGGGGGAAAAGCTGGTGATACACATCGATTTCCGCATCGCACATCTATTGGCTTGCCCGTCAACACTAGCCTCTTAGTGCTTACGACGAGTCAATGCCGATAATGTTTTGCTCGGATTTGACGACGCCGAAGTAATAACTTTGGGATCTAGAAACTTCTTGCCGAGGTTTGCAATAATGCCATGGATGACTTTCCATAGAATGTGGCAGCCAGCCACAGGGAAGAACTTAAGCTTTCAGGGTCAATCCATTCATAAGAGATATTAAAAAGGCGGGGTGCAGTAAGAGGCGGCTCTGATGATCCATCTTTATGCACACCAGATCCAAAGTATGTCAGTAACCGTGACTAGGGGGTTCTGACGTCGCCGAATAGTATCACATCTCTTACATAAAACCAAGGAATGAGCCCAAAGTTGAATAACCTCATTGATATCTTCAGGTCATAAGGAACAACAGATGAGATCTATCAGAACATGTAAGTACCCGGATAGCTTCAAAAATCGCGTGAGTGTGGTATTTAGAAAATTCCGGCCGACTTCGGACCTTTGGAAGATGACCGCTGTAACTCACATGATGGCCTAAGCATGCAGAGCGTCGTGCATCTTCAAGAGCAGTCTTCTGGGTAGGACATATGAATGAAAATCGGAGATTAATTCGGCATTGATGACTGCAACCCGAACGCTTATCCCAAACAAACACGACATTTAACAGATCACGTGATAACAGTCACGCATTTGAACAACCTCTCCTTCAAGATCTCGAAGAAGCTCTAGTCTGTCGTCTCTCAAGTTGTTCCCGTGTAATTCTCTCTTGAACCAGTTTCCATTCTCGTTCCAACTGAATCCTTTTCTGCATGATTGATGGATCAAGAAACGGCTGTGGAATTGTAGATCCACTGAACTCCACAACTGTGAGATGATAACAAGTAAGTATGAAATCCGCGTATAACAGATACCGACATAAACATCGCAGGAGATTCACCTCTGATGTTACCACCTCTGATACCTATTGATACTTCGTTTCTTGATGTGGGAGGTTGGGTATAGGATATGGCTAGTGGGTTTGGTCGAGGTGGACGGAGAGGACCTTGGAGTAGGGGTCGTTTTGCGTTTGAATCTGACATTATTTCTAGGTGATAGAACTCCAATGTTGGATGAAATGAGTATCTAGTTGATATCCTGATGATGTTTTGATGTACCGGTATAGCTTTATTTGCTGCAGCGTTACGACCCATCTCAACAATGAGATGTTCTAAGTTGAATACGAATATGAAACTAGTCTTCATTCAGGTTAGCCTCAAGTTTCTGATCTTGGAGAAAGGTATGGAAATGGCAGGCACGATGAAAGGATTATAAATTACTAATAGGTAGGCAATCAAAAGGTCACCGGGGATAATTCTAGAAAAGGATGTCACTTCACTGGAAATTATTTACGGTGAGCTCCCGGTGAGCTTCGATCGAACATCTACCTAGCATAACATTCAATTTCACTCATGGGAGAAATATTCCCATTTGATTTTGTTTTCAAAATCTCTACTGCATCTCAACCATTCCTATCATCGGTTTCTTTTCATTCGTATTCTCAATTGAGAAATCTCCTGTTGCAAAGTTCAAAAATATCGTTGTTGCATACCGGTATCTCATCTTTTTTAATGCTTCTTTTCAATATATGATCATAACAAGTACCTTCTTTTCACTCTCTGAAATTTCAAATACAGATTGGAAAGAAGAAGAGCTATCCCCACGTACTAGCCTGAGACAAAATCTTGAGTGGTTGATTCTATAAATTGTGTTGGTTGTGAAAGTGCAAGTCTGATGAAGCGATGCAATGACTACAAGTGTATTTCATCTTCTATCTGCTTCATTCAAAATTAACATGAACACATATATACTCACATGTACCTTCTATTTATTATATTTCAAAACCTAAAAACTTAAAACCACCAACTTTCCTTCCAACTCCTTCAACTTCCCCTCATCCCAACTGCCCTCAACCTTATCCGGCACCGTCACACTTTGATACACACTCCCCAATCCACTCAACAATTCCCCAATACCCCCTCCATTAGCAAAAATATATGCTCTTGCATACACGGTCTCAAAGCCCACCTTGAACTTTGTACCCGCAGGTACAAATGTGGTTTCTCCTGCTGGAGCAACGACTTCCTCGCCTCCAATGATTAATTTGAGGGCGCCTTCTACGGTGTATATGGCGTGGTGAGTATCTGCAAATTGGACTTCTTTGTCGAATGCCTTGGATGTATGCATAGAGCTTCCCAGGATGTCGTAAATGGCAAATCTGTGATCCGTTTCCTCCCTGCTGCACAGAGCTCTCACTACTGTTCCTCCGATAATCTTCTTTTCGCCCTCTCCTTCCTTTAGGAAATATCCTCCGTTCTCACATTTTCCGGGTAACTTATTCTCAGTACCGTTCCATGGCTGTGGATCGAAGCTCTTTTTTTCACGTACGGGGATCATGTCGAATTTCTCAGTCGCAGCCATTAGTTTTGGGATGAGCACTTCGAAGGGATTGCGATTGTCGTTTGTGGGGAATAGGGGACCAGAGTATGGTTCGCCAATGAAACGGAAGAATTCCTCCCATCCACCAGGGATGATGAGACCCATGAATTCGGTGTGAGAAGTGGTGATTTGATATTGATGGATTGTCCCCTGGAGAGGAGAGGAGAAGGGTTCAGTTAGCCTTTGCATTATTTTCCTATGTGCTTTATCCGAGTAGCATCGTCATATTTTGACTCGACGCCAACATTAACTTGAATGTTAAAAGCAACCAGGACTTCAAAGAGTCATCATCCCGAAATCCCACCCCGAAAGCAAAAAAATACATCAACAACAACCACTTACCGGCGGCACACTAGCGAAATCACCCGGACCCAAACTCCTCGCCTCATCATTCGCCCACACATTCAGCGTACCCTTCAAACACAAAAACACATCATGAGCCTCTTTATGATAATGAAAACCAATTGGGTCATCTTTCGTTCCACCCGTCCCCACAACCGCAAAAGCTTTATTTGTTTCCTTTCCCGTGATGAGTAATCGCATCGTGGAATTGGAACAGGGGATCGTCCATAGTTCGCCTGTGAAACAGGGGAGTACGTATGGTGTTGCTTCTCCAGGGGGAGTGGTGAGATGGGGATGGGGGCCATTTGGTGGGATGTGTGATATGTGTGGAATGCGTGGAATGAGAAGGAAGGAGTTATTGCACGCAGAGATGGAGGAGGGAATTAGAAAGAGGGAAAACAAAGTATAAGATGATCCAGAAACTCTCTTTGAAAAGTTATCTATCTATCAGTCTACGGCTCGCGGTACGTCCTCACCGTCCACATGGAAATGTGGACGATACATGAGGGGTAAAACAGGGGACCCGTAGACTTCATCCCATCCCCCACACTCTCACATTCGTAGGACTTCGGGCCCCAACTTTCTAGGGCTTTTAAATAGGCTTCTCAGAGGATAATTCTCAATAGTCCGAGATCGTCCGTTTCTAATCTCGCTGTTTTTGTTTTGAATCCGATCACCGAGTGATGGATGTATCGGTATTCACACAGTCCGTGTCTAGTGAGTCTAGTGGACGTGAATGGAGTCATGAATTCATTCATATTCATATTACTGGTTGAAAATACGCATGATGTGTATGTGGACGGCATGCCTCTTGTAAAGTGACAGATGACGAACCGGGTTTCGAGATTTACTCGGTGTATAAAACATACTTCAGCAACGATTCATCACTCTTCCTTTTGATTTGCTTGCAAGGCTCGAGGGATATTTGGGAAATTGTATAATACAACACCATAGCTCTCACCTTGCTTCACCATAGCAAATCAAGCCTTAACCATCCACATCATCACACTACACCTCCAAAACCACAATCATGGAAGAACTCAAGAACCTTTCCCTCACAACCGGCACCAAAATCATGGACATTATCCTCCCCACCATGCAAATCATGGCACCTTATCTCATCCAAAACCGCACCGCCATCCTCTCCGTCCCCCGCAGCACCCACACATACGGAACGCACGCCCGCCAAACCCTCGATCTCTATTCCTCCGCAAGCTCCTCTCCCTCCCCCATCCTCATATTTTTCTACGGCGGCGGTCTCACCCGCGGTGATAAGATCCTCAGCAACTCTTTCCTTGACAATCTCGTCTACCATAATCTAGGATCTTTCTTCGCCCAAAAAGGAATCACTACCATCATCCCCGATTATCGACGTGTAGATAGCGATACCGGTGGCGAGGGCGCTGTGTATCCAAGCGGAGCCGAAGATATATCGGCTGTTCTGCAATGGCTTTCCAAAACCGATATTTTAGACGGAATAGGAAATAAGAAAAATGTATATCTAGGAGGTAGCTCAGCAGGAGGACTTCACATTGCTACATATCTCCTAGAACCACGATTTCTAGCCGAGAGAAAAGCATGGCAGGGAGATTCATCCAGCGTCACGCTCAAAGGAGCCGTGGAAGTAGGAGTACCATTTCACTTCAACGAGGCGTCGGAGGGACGCAAGGAGATGCTGCATCGATATTATGGGAGAGATGAGGATGTGAAGACGAAATGTCCATGTGGGCTATTGAGAGCGACGAGGAAGAGCAGAGAGGAATTGGGGGTTCCGAAACTTTTGGTCATGAGTTCGGAGTGGGATCCGGTTGATGAAATTCTAAATTCCAATGAGGATTTTGTGAGGTTGGCGGAAGAGGTGTGGGGTGAGAAGATTGAGGTGGTGAGGTTAGAAGGCCATAATCATATTAGTCCACCGTTGGCTTTGAATAGTGGGGAGGGAGAGGAATGGGGCGAGCGGGTAGTGGGATGGATTAAAGGGACTGCTTAGGTGTTTGATATAAGATGTGAATGAGTTCATTGTTTCCAAACCACGGTTCAAATGAGATGTAGTACATGAAGTTGTGCATGCATTCTTTTCCGATTTGGGTATGTTAGTTGTGGAAATGATGTGACATTTTTCGAATAGATATTCAGGTAGATGATAACTTTTGCGAGTTTTTGTGACTTCTAGGGTATCCATATCCAGCCTCCTAAACTCCAAACCAATGCCCACAATCCCTAAGCCTCAAAACTATCATTCAAATATCTCACAAAAGTCTCTCTAATCCTCTCTACCGGCACCGCATTCGTCCTCTGCAAACTAATGAATTGTCTCCTCACCCTCTGCAATCCCGGTAATCCTACTGGATTGCCCGGCAACTCCACCGTCAACTCCTCTCCCCTCGAATCCTCCCCTACACTAACTTCTCCTCCTCCTTCTCCTGGATGATCTTTACTCCATTCCAGTATCCGGTTGAGAACTGTTTGTGTCGTCTTATCCAACTCATACAAAAAGCCCTCACTACTATGAACCTTTGCCACTGTCGCTGCATTCGGCCTAACTATCTTCCTCTTTCCTTCAGAATCATCCCCAATTATAGCATCCCATATCGCATCTCCGGGTACATTTTCATCTTCCCACACAACTGTAAATAGCGGGGAATCCCAGCGTACCATCGCATTCGGTTCCTCATATCTGAATACTAGATTTTCCCAATTATCCTTTTCATATGCTTTTTTCTCCTCCTTAATCTCCTCTCCGCCCTTAACTTGCTCCAAATGTGACGTATTTTTCTGTTCCAACCGCGCCTCATTAACCTCCTTAGCTTTATCAGTCGGAACCCCAACATGCATAACACAGCATCCAGTCCTCACAGCCTTCGCCTCACAAAACAATTGGTACCTCCATCCTTTAATATAATTCCCCCCATCCAATATCACCACATCTTTATTACTCAACACTCTCTTCACTGCAGCATAGATTGAAGCTCTTGCATCTTTCTCGCTCGCATTGTTAGATCGTTCATTCGCAGACTTGGATTCGAGATTATATACTTCGCGGGGGATGGCGAGGGTATGGTCGGAGATGAGGTGGACGCGGAGAGATGAGGAAGGGCTGGTGGAGGGGGAGGCGGATATTTTGGCGAGGAGGTATTCCCGGAGTTGGGTTGCCCGGTAAGTTTTACCGGATGTGGGGTAGCCGGTTAGTATTATTAGCTGAGAGGAGGACACATGGTTAGTAATGTTGGGAACAGAATTGGGCGGAGCGTACTCACTGGCATGGTTGATGTATGGGTAAAGTTGGATTGATCACCACAACATGCGAAACGCGGTGGAGTGGAAAAATCCTCTCCTCCTTTCTGATCCCCGCGTAGACGGAACTAGATTAGAAGAAGTCACGTGGAGATAACGATTACCCCTCTATTGCGGGAGAAAGCATGAAGCTTGCTACGATTCACAAGCTCAAGCTCTAGTGAGCTCATGTGTTTTATAAGAAAGTTGATATTTCAGGTTATTATTATAAAAATTCTGAGGAAGAGTTATTCTGTAGAATATCACGAATATGTCCATCTTACTGAACTGAACCCATTTGCTCAAATTTGCTGACTCTCGACTCTTTTCTTCCCGCTCAAGTCACTCTATCGAATCTACGAAATATACGAAGCATTTTTATTTATTCATACCGCCTTTTGATATATATAATCTTTTGTTAGGCCATGCCTGTTTCTTCTTGGTCTATTTCCACCGTTGCTCAACTGCAATCCAGACATTCTGTTGATTCTCATATATAGTGTCTCTAATATTGGCGTCTCCTGGTGTCAAGTTCACCGCCTCATTCGCGCATCTTTCGGATAATCGCTTGAGGCGGTACAACATGATTCTAATCGTAGCAGCTGAGGACAGGAAGTGGTGATTTGATTTGCCAAGATTCATAGGCTAGTGATAGCTGACTCGGATCACAGGTCACTCGGTCGTGTTCTAACACGAGTGTCGTTTTCCAATCGAACTGTAGGCTGGCGGCTCAAGTGGGAGCTCAGTGTTGGACTTGTTGGTACAGTTATCGTCGCGTAGCATTCTATTCTGTCTGTCAAGTCTCGTTTGATAAAGCTATCCTTGTACATTGCACGAAGAAATCACAGTCACTGCATTGAACATCGTGCCAATGGGGAGATTGTAATATTTCGTGTTCGGGATCATGCAGATTAGTTGGATCTAATCAATCTACTCACATATAACAAACGAAATGTGAAAAATTTGTGAGTAGAATAGGTATCTATTACTCGGCTAGACCATACAACATAGACTCGGGTTGAGGGGAGCTTCTGATTCCTATTTTCCCCTCCCGATGTAAGCTCTATTGGAATGTGAATTGACGCGTGGTTTGAAAACTTCTCCAGGGGCTTTCCAATCACTTTCACTCTTGTGACACACATGTTGGCATGCGAAGACTCTTGGGGAAATCAACTTGGCTATAGCGATTACTAGATGCTCAGTTATTTTAGGGTAATGTAACCTCGAGTGTCTAGATGGTTGGGATATGATATTGCTTGATACGATCAACAAATCATCCTGAAAAATTTCAGTATTGAGCGGAATACCCGGTAACTTTCTCCTCAGCCCAAGAAAAATACTGGGAGACTTTAATAACCGGTGTGAAATGCCTAGAGGAGTAATAACACGGCTACAAACAAACCTCGGATCATCTCGGTGAGAGTAAGCAATATCCTTGAAATTATCCTCTCCGAACCTTGCTTGTGCTACCGTGATTTGTATTGTTGTTCCTGAAGCGAACCAAGTAGTGGAACATAGGACATAATCTAAATACTCCGAATCTGGTGGATTAAGCTTGTAGCTTTCAAATATACAAGCCGAAAACCGTTTGTAATTTGATTTATTATTGTCGAGTTTAAACTTTTACGCCGAGTACAGTACTCTGAAAAAGTTTGTAAGTCTTACAGTAGACCAACATGAAAGTGGGTTATCGCAAGCGCAAGGTCAAAAAATCGCGCACAGAAAATGGAAAATTTGCATCTGCCCTTGTTCAATTGAAAAGGTCTCTCTCCTGTAGCTGTGTAGCCTCATGGCCTCCACCACCAAATTTGATGTCACCGTCATACAAAGTAGGTACTGTACCCCCGAACAGGACCACACAAGAAAGACTCATCGTGTGTTCGCAATTTGAGGCCCCTTAATACTGGATCGGTAATAAATGAGGGCGTTATACCCCCCGTTTTCATCGACTTTCTATGGTGTGATGAAAATGCGAATACTACAGGTTGTATAGCCTGTAGACAGCGAATACACATATCAGAAATGGAAGGACGACTGCGATAGCTTCATATTCGGCCCATACAAATATGTATGTGCATTGTGCAATAATGAATTGCTTGCAGGATTATAGGCTTGCAGGCTTGCACTCATGCAGCTGGAAGAGAGGGTTCGATTGGTTAGGTAAATGAAACTATTGATGATACGGGGTGACAACTTGCAGCAAGAAGCTGGGGGAGCTGATGCCAGATGGATTGTATGCCAATCGATTTTCAAATCAACCACACAGAAACCAGCGCATCAAAAAGAAAGCTTGCTAAAAAAGCAAAACCCATTAACTACCTTGGTATTTTGCGCATCTTCATGCTCATCATACTTACTTTACTGTATGTAGTATGTGTTCATCAAGCTGCAAGATCAAAATCTAGAAATTTGGATCATGATTTTCATGTTCAAGAATTTAAAGTTTCGATCCACTGGATGATCTCGTGTTGAAATGATTCTTAGGGTTGTCGGATCTAACCATGCTCTGAGCGTTCAAACATTTGATAGACAGGAGCGGGTAGGGGTTTCCGCACGTTTTCTGGGTACAAAAATACAAAAGATAGAGTTTATTCTATAGGTAAGTTTTCTGTTGACCTTCTTATTTTGGATATTACCAATATTCGATTAGCCTAGGAGAGGAGTTATTAATCTATATCTTTCATCTAATTTCATCTAATTTTTATATATAATCTTTCTTCTTTCTTTATCGAATGAATAAGGGTTAATAACCCTGAATTAGTATGATCAATTCTTTTATTTTCTGCGATAGTGATTTATAATTCTGTTTATAAACACATTCTTACTCAATATGGATTGGTTTTCTTGCTAGTGCATTTCATGAATACTTCAGTATTAATACTATTCTATTATAATACCGGTAGAGTATTCATATCATGCATGTTCCCTGGAGTTTATCACATTCAAGTAGACGTCGTCATCCCATGATTCCCATCACAGCAAGCTCTTTTTTTCGTGACTTTCACATAGTTTTACAGACTTTCACAGGCTAAAATACAATATCCATACAATACCTGGTCTATAGAGGGGTCTATGCAGTAGTAAGTGAGAGTAAATGATATAAATGGTTCCATAATTTATTTTGAGAAGAAGAGAAGAAGAAGAATGACCAACCAGTGATATCAAGTGGTGGCTAATTCAAACGAGGCAAGCGATTCAAAAAAAAATGACAACGCATCAATGTCTCATATGGCAGGAGCATCCTCGTCAACAAATCAATTACCCTAGTCCTTTTAATACATTCAACTAATATCACATCCTTGGTTTTTGTTCGCTTTGTGCGTCTCTTACCTTGTCTCCTTCATTTGGTTACCATTGAAAAGCATAAGTGCCCAACCTCCCCACCTTGGACGAACTCTCCTTTTCTTTCCAGTCTCATTCATCCTTTACCTTGCTCACATCACAGTCAGCCTTTTTATCTGTCACTCAAATCCATACATTCATCATCCTCTACTCCTGTTCTTGTATATTGCGGACCCCTCCCCCCAAAGCTGCCCAATTTGATTTTACTTTCACTTCCAACTGCAGATCTATTCAACAGAGAAACATCCAGCCGGATTGTTTTTTATCATCAACATCGATTATCTTTTCCTGCTCATACCACAAGGCCGTGGCCATAAGAGTAGTATCTTCAACGTACACAACAAAGCACATTGCCGTTGCTTCAAAAAGGATCCCAAATGACTTGCACGGAGACCTTGACCATTCTCCCGGAAACCATGACAGGCTTCGACACATATCCTCATTCCAGGAAGGCACCCGCCAGGTATATTGTTTATTTTCTATTTTGCTTGTTTTTTGCTTTGCGTTGAGTTTGCTTTTGCTTTTACTGCTAGAACCCCGGATTTCTTCATGTTACGAGAAAAATCATGTACTTTTCATTTTACGATACAACATTTCCAATGATCCCGGACGTTCCAAGGACTTTCCCAGGCATACATTTCCAGACTTTCCCAGGGCTTCCAGTTATCCACAGGATTTTCGATGGTCTTACCGTGTGTCCACACGATGAGAGCATGCTTTACCTCTTCTGAGGTTTCAAGAGCATTCTGACAAACAAAAATATGAACTTTCAAACAAGAGACCTCCGGTCTTAGGTGAGTATACCTACACCGAATGGATATCCAGGTTGCAATTTTCTCTTTATATATACCGGAAGGACCGGAATTTCCAATGGATTCAAGACACCCGATTTCTTTTCATGGGACCTATCATGATTAGCTAGTTATATTTCCGAAGACAGACAGACAGACCAACAGTTCCAAGATGTGGTGGGCTCGCATATCCTGCGAGAGGCGAATACCTTCCACCTGATCAACAACAGCAACAGCAACAGCAACAGCCTTCATCTCACGTCCACAGCGCCAGCTGCACGCCAGGGGATTATCAACAGACAAATACCCATCTATATTCAGATGATTTTCTTCATGTAGCCTCCCTGCGTGGGGAATATCTACAACAACCTTCTGTCAAACCGGGCTCATCAATACTTCCCATAATGGATACCGTGGATTTCTTTCTTTTTTAATACCCGCGCATGGACACAATACCTCAACACGGCACTCTAAGGAGCTACAACAGGAAGTAACCGGCTATTCCAGCTGGTTACGATGCTCTATTAAGCATCTGGCATCAATTATGCCACTGAGTACGTAACCTACTCAATGTCGACTACAAGTCTGACAATAATCCCCTATAACGCGATTGAGCATCAACTAACAGTATTGTTGTTTTCTTTTGAGCAGAAGGATTTACCAATTTTCAACAAAGCCAAACATGGAGACAACTGTATTGCAAGGAAAAACCAGCCCACATGGATGCCCAGGATTTCCAGAGATATCCATCCTTTCTCATTTGTTCATGTTTCTCTTTATCCTGGACGCCTCAATTATGCCCTGGATACCCACGAGATCATTGCCCCGGAGTCGACCATTTTATCTTCATGGCGAATCCCACTTGGTCTGTAGACTACCCTCTATACCTATTTGAGAGCTTCAAAACTAATGTGTTTCTGCTACAGGACTCTCACTGGATGTTGTTGTCTTGCTTTATTGTTTTTCTGTTTTTATTTGCAATTATGGTTGTTTCGATAGTGTATGCACAGCACACTAACCTAGATCTTGTGTAGCGGTTTCCATTCAAGAACTCCATTTCAAGGAACTACCGGATTTTCTTTACATCATACAGAACCTACCCAGGGTCAATACAGTGGATTATCCTGGAACGAAAAAAGTGAGGGATTACAGTACTCACCCCGTGTTTCCACAACCCAAGGATCCAATGGATTTTCTGATTCGTCTCTATATACTCCCGTGGCTCAGATGACAAGTCAACAGTGGTCTACCGATCTGGCTTCTGGTCTTGAGTCGGTGGAAATGACCCGTTTCCCATCTCAGGAATCATCACGGACAACTCAATCAACATTGGCCTCTGAGTCTATGCCGATGGGACACTTTTCCATTGCATCTCAGGCACCATATCAAATGTCTTCTGCAAGATCAGATGCTACAGGTAGATCAGCTAGCCCATCCATTTCTGTTCTGTATACCCCGGCAGCACAATTTGATCTTCAATCTGCATTCGACACTTTCCAATACCCAGGAGATGAATTAGCCGGAAATGATTACCAAGTACCAGCTACCAGCGCATTCCAGCAGCCACCCACTTTGTCCTTGACAACAGGTGGATTTGATATGTTTCCCAGTACCCATGGATTACCTACAAGTATGACAGCAGCTTCAAGCTCTCTTTCCAGTTATGTTCACAGCGCACAAGATTCGGTTTTATTCGACAGCTCCATAATGGGATCTCCAGATATGTGGGATACTACTTTACTTGAATCCTCAAAATCGTCACCAACCATTGCCGAGGAATCATGGACTATTCCACCACCAATGATGTCTTCGACAAACAGCCCATTGGACTACTCCCCAATCGAAGGCCGATCACCCAGGTATGTTCAAGGTCTTCCAGACTTCGTGGATTCACCTCCTTACAAGACTGGTGACAGGATCATAAGGAAGCCGATGGGACCAAGAGCTTCCAAAGTTGCTAGCGACACCAATGCCAGACGTATCCCAGGAATTGAGATGCCAGAGGAGTCCTTCAAGTTGATGGGACGTTCCAGTCTCGATGCTGATAATTCGGCTCGTGATCATCATTTGTACCATAATGTGACGACCAAATCCGATGGATTATACCACTGCCCATGGGAAGGAACTTCGCAATGCCAACACAAGGCAGAAAAGCTCAAGTGCAATTATGAGTAGGATTCACATACTCCCCATACACGCGTTCATCAAGCTAATCATTTCACCTCGCAGCAAATTTGTCGACTCTCATTTGAAGCCATACCGCTGCAAGATTGCTGCATGCGCAGACAACAAGTTTTCATCCACAGCCTGTTTACTTCGCCATGAGAGAGAAGCACACGCCATGCATGGACATGGAGATAAGCCCTTTCTTTGCAAGTATGACGGCTGCGAGCGCGGCGTCATTGGCAATGGCTTTCCACGCCGCTGGAACCTCTTTGACCACATGAAGCGTGTACACAATGACCCATGCACATCCAGGAGTGCTGATGGATCCCCACCACCTACTGAAAAGTCAGCCACTGGCTCCAAGAAGCGTAAGCAGGATGCCATTACGGAGCCAACTACCTCGGATAAGGAAGCCGTTAAAAGAGTCAAGACACCCCCCGTTGTTAATCAGCAACCTTCCTTGGTTGATGTTTACCACCAAAGTGAACAGCGACTCCAGGAGGCCGTGAAACAATTGCATGATCTTAAGAGTGCAAACGCGATGGCCAATTTGAGAAACGCGAGTGACTGCATCAAAATGATGGCGAGGACTCTTCAAAAGATCAATCAAGCTGCTCCCGCCATGAGCCGCACCTTTAGCCATGGATCAATGGGCTGAATGAGAATTCACGTTAATATTCAGTGGGGATTATAGTAAGTACAATCCTTATGACTAATCTCGTACATGCGTCATTTTACTAACACTCTCTCATTAGCATATTCACACATTTCGGACTTATTTCCCCAAGGATTTTTCCAATTCAGGATACATCACAGCGGATCCAGCCCGCTCAGACGGTCCCGTCAGGAAACCCCGGGATCTCTTAATATTCGACAGAATTAAAGTCATGGAGCCAGTCATGCATATACATATCCCAGAATCAAGGAGCCAGCCACAAGGAACTTTTCTTCATGTCAGTGCCGAGAATTACCAATGTCCGGGAGTCGACGGTACCAGCCTGTCTTTTTGAACTCCGCAATGGAATTGGCTCAAGCCATGGATTTTGCATACTGTTTGTTGATTAGATGCCAAATTAAACAAGGATGAGTTGGTGGGAGCAGAAGGGCCAAGGGGAGGAGAAGGGGCCATTTAGGTAGAAGAGTCTGTGGTTGTTTTGCTGTTGGGTTTTGATTATGTTTTTGGTTATTTGGTGGAATGTGAGGTGATTTTGTTAGGTCAGGGTTGGTTTACGAGGGATGGATGGATGGATGGATTGGTATAAAAGCTCGATAGCAACTACAATAGGCCGACAGGCACTTTTTGAAAAGATTTTGGGAGGACGGACAGATACCATAAGGATTTGGGAGGAGTATTTTTTTTTACAATTTAGATAGATACCTAGGGTTTATAACATGATGGGAAGGATTTGGGATTTGGGATTTGGGATGGGAAGGGAATGAAATGGAATGGAATGAAACTCAGCTTTATAACCTTATATGTACCGGTATAGGATTCGATTGCTTATGATCATATCTTGTTGATGTTACACGTGAAATTAGATTTGTTGATTTCGATTAGGGGAACATTTTTTTAGGAAGGAATATTGATAGTGTAAAGATAAGGGAAGGGGGCTTGTGCATTAGATATTATTGACTGCTTATGTATGAGTTCTTCATTTTGCATTCCTTTCCGTAGGTTTTACTTTCTTGTTCTTCGCAAGAATCTACCTTCATATTATTTCATTTCGCTGTGGGTGGGTGGTTTTTAAAAATATTAATAAAAAAGAAGGAACGTGATACCACTTCACAAATCCAATTTCCCTCATCATCGAAAAGAAATTTTTCTCTACTCTACCACCCCCATCAGCAAAAGCATCCTCATTCCCCATTTTCCATCCCCTAAGCAACGGTCCCCTTAACCTGCTTCATCTCATCCACCCTAAAATCCCTCCACATCGCCACAAACACAAAACACGGAATCAAGAACACCGTCCCCGCAACCGCCAACCACTTCATACTCTCTCCATACGCATACATGACCGCATCTCGTTCTATACTCCCCATCGGATACGCCAGCTGCGCCGGCAAACTTCCATATAGTTCGTTTGCTAACGTCTCGTTTGTAATTCTTTGCGCAAGCGCTGCTGGGAATTTATTCGTGTAGATTGCACCGGAGATGGCGACGCCGATGGCGCCGCCGACAGAGGTGAAGAGTCCGATTAGCGCGAGCATGGATGCCACGCCTTTATGGGGCGCGGCGGCCATCACGGCCATTTGTTCGCAAATTACTATGGTGCCGCCGGAAAAGGCGATGAAGATTTGACACATGATGACGTATCCGATGGGTTGATCTGGTTGGCGGAAATGAATCATGAGGCCTACGCCTAGGATTTGGAGGGGCACGGCGAAATAGAGAGCGAGCCATTTGAAGCGACCGGTGACGCGGATGGCGTAGGATATTACCACGGCCCAGAAACAGGAGCCGATGGAATATATGTTGGTGACGTAGCCGGCGTGCGTGACGCTGAGTCCATGCACGGCTTGCAGATAGTTGTAGAAGTAGGAGTCCCAGCAGTAGAAGGAGATGAAGAAGAATGCGGAGCATAAACATGCGCCTATGACGGTGTGGTCGGTGAGGAGTGCAAAGGGAATGAAGGATTGTCGATCGGCGTAGCGCTCGTAGAATCCAAAGGCGATGAGGCAGCATATGCCGATTACGAGCATTGCGATGATCATGGAAGCGTGCCAACCTTCTTTTTGATATGAGGCGAGGGAGAAGGGGAGGAGGAAGAGAACAAAGCCGGCGGAGATGAGGAGGAGACCGATTACTGCGGGTTTTGTTAGATGGGAGTTAGAATGAGTGATTGATGAGCTTACCGTCAAATTCCCAGAAGTAGGAGTTGATGCTCTCAGCCCATGTACGACCACTGTCTATTTTCTTAATCAAGCCTGCCTTTTTAGCTTTGCCTTGATTCCACCATAAAAGGGTGAGAATCGGGATACAGATCACAGGAGTGATGATGGCAAAAGTACCAAAACCCCATGGCCATCCACTTGTTTTGAGAAAAGATTCCGCAGCAGGAGGTCCAATCCATGTTGTTGCAATATATGGAGTAGTTGAGAAAGCGAAAACTAAAGCTCGATTTTTCAAACTTGATGTATCGGCCATGAAAACATCGAGGACATACATCATACCATCGAATCCTAACCAATAGAAAACCTGCCTCTCTATTAGTAAACGTAAGCAGAGAAGCGGAATTCGTTACTTACTTGGGCAGCAGCATAAGTTTCTACATTTCTGCATGCGGCCATCATAATAAGACCTGTATTTGATTAGCTACATCGAAGAAGGCCAAGGATTACCGTGACACGGAGGGTGGGGTGACAGTACCTATGGTAGCGAAAACAGTCATGATAGCAAATCCTTCGGCACGACCGACCAAATCAATAAACTTAGCAATGGGAAGTCTGAAGACACCTCCAATAATGCTTGATACAATTCCAGTGGTACCTGTCAAAGGCAGAAGAGCGAATGAAGAAGTAACGTAATAAGATAGATTGTTCTGGATCTGCTGTTGCAAGGAAATCACGAAGAAGACGAGGAAGATACTATATTGTATTAGGATCTTATTGTATGGAAAGCATCGAGGTAATTGATAACTTACAATGCGTATGCCAAATATAATTGACTCTTAGTCCAAACCAAAGTCACAGCTTCCACCGCTTGAACACCATGCTGAGCGTCTTCCTCTGGTCTATCACCCATCGAACTTTCTGGTCCATCGACGGTTGAATTGGGACCAATGTTTTTATGATCGAGTCCATCAGGATATGATGTTAATTCAGGACCGACGGCGACCTCGGAGGCCAAGCCATCAGTCTTGGTTTTCCATGGTCTGAATCCCATGATGGTTTGTTCCTCAATATCAATCTCACTTCCTGGTTTCTTGGTCGTTCAGTTATTGTAGATAGGCATGGAAATATTGGATGTATGTATAGAAAACCAATAATTGAAAATGCAGCTAAATGGGAAGAGAAAGATGAATATCTCAACCTTGGATATCACATATAGAACAGGTGCATTACAACAGAAAGGGAAGGAAAGCCACCTTACTTAGTGTGTCCCCGTGCCATCCCATAGATTAATTAAGTTAGCAGTTGCACTACCGTATGATTTCCATATTGTCTTTCGTATACCATGGCCTGGATAGACTCGGAGCTGCCGTATCCCATATCGAGATTATTGAGAGGGGTGCTCGACGGAATAATGATAGCCATACAAATTCCATCCTTTTGATGGGGTTGTTAGCATCTGCTGCATAAGAGAGCAAAGGGTCCGAATCCATCCGATGGTAATGTGAAATATGATATCCAATCATATGAAGGAATGAGGAGGAGATTTTCTCGGATATGCAGCACTTGAGTTGTAATTGGTTGGGTAGTTCGGTCAATATTTAATCAACGGATCTGATAACTTTAATGTCCGACTATCTGATTAGCTCCATCTGATTAGATTGATAATAAATCAAGTGGCGAAGTAATTAATATTCATTGCTCCTCGCATTCGGTTGTTGTAGAGACCAAGACTTCTCTTTTCTTCCATTTCTCGATACATAAATGACTTATTGTTAGCTTCACTCTTTTCTATACGGCTTCTATATACATTGGTTTGGTCACGTTGGTGTAATGAAAGCCTTTTCTTTTCCCATCCACCATTACTATTCTGCCACCCAAGTAAATCAAGAAGCAATACTACGACGTAGATTTTCATTCGTTCTCGGGTCCACGTTCCTTATGGGGATGAAGGATCGCAAAAGCGGGAGGAAATTTGTCGGAAAACGCTTGACGTGAGTAAGATCTGATCAGCTCTCCGCTGTTTGCACCCTTTCACAATTTCACTCCAATCATATCAATGACTTTATTCCCGCTACCTATCACCATTACTGCTGCTGCATGAAAGCTTCTACACATGGCAGTGAATTAAAACCATTTAGATACATCTAGGAACAGGCCTCGAATACCACAACGTCGTTGAGTAAACCTTCTTAACCTTCTTGATGCTGCATAGAATCCTTGGCGAAATCAGATATCACATCCTATTATATGAACACATATGAATTCAGTGTGCACATCTGTACAATGCCAAACAGGGGTAATCAATGAACTAGAAATGAACCAAACTTCTAGGCCAAGGACGGGAACGGAGCAAATAACCCTTGCGGAGTATGTCCGTTCAAACCACGAAGCCATCAACAATCCACCATACACTGCCAATATTTAATCAACCAGTCAATACAAACCAGATCAATTTTTTTACTCTTTCTCATTTGGACCTCAGTATCCAGACTCCAAAACTCCAAAGCATCAATTCTAGGATCATCATGGGATTATCAACAACTTTGAAGGATCCATCAATCATAGCAGAAATGTTTCTGGTGCAGCTAAACGATATTCACACACTAAAAGTTTGGAGCTGTTGATTTTGAAGCTACTGTACTTGAATTCCAGAGCTAACATCTTCCAAGAAAAAGGCAAAGACTATATCCGACTAGTCATCATCATTGAATGCCGCTCTCTTCCCTACTTCCGAGATTCAGCCCGATGCGAATCAGAAATCTTTGATAACCTAAGTTGAGACTCAAGGAGATCCACTTGTGGACTAACACTTAACTGCTACTTCCAATCTGCCACTTCTGAGATCGTATATGAACCTGGATATCTTCTTGGCGAGTTCATGTCGGATATATTGGTTTCCACGAAGGATGGCGATATCATACGTGACTGATTATTTGAGACTGGAAAGACTATCAGTATGACAAGTTGTCCATGGCGAAGTTTTCATACTCATCAATGGCACCGAAATTCGAACGTTCAATCTCATAATGGTGCTTAGTCGGCATCCTGAGCTTTGAGGAAATTACGGATGCCTTCTGTTTTGAAATGGGTAGTTCTATAATCTGGACTTTAATCAGATATGATGAGTTTTAGATTGAACCAGACGGTCAATCCTGTATGGTTTATGATCATGATCTCATCGACGCGAAGGAACGCATGCAGTGCTATGATGTCTTTCGATGTTGGCTCAATATGGCCTTCTGCATTTCTTTTGATACCGACTTTCTCTCTCTAGCGTTAGTTGCTGTGTATCAATTTACTCACGAGTTGCGTTCAAGCAAAGTTGTAGCGTTCATCTCTATGGATAAGCTGGCAGTCTTATGATGATAGTTATGGGCTATTTTGATATGGTTCTGATGAAGAAGAGCTCTTGCCTTTCGTTCGTTCCAGAGAATGTTGTAGGTGGTTCTAACAGATTTGTGATTAGGACTGAATTGCAAAGTTCTGGAGGATAATCGACCATACTTCTAACTCGGAGATATGATCAAATTTACATCCAAGTCAGCTAACATTGATCAATATTGTCCAACTTTGGCACTAGGGAATCCTTTCCTAGGTCGATGGTAGACACTCCGACAGTGTAGTCAGTAGTTAAGAAGTTAAGCCAGTGCACTGGTTCAACCAGTCCGTTAGGTTTGAGGAAGTCAAACTGCCAGTTAAACTACAGCCTCCTAAACTGCCAGTTTCCCAACTGGTTCAAACTGCTGACTACACTGAACTACGAGGCACTGAATGAATTATATCATGAACAATCAGTATTTGGGGTACCAATTTCCCCTTCAAACCTTGAGATTATCCTAAAAACGATTCAGAGAGACAACTCGGAGACATATCGTAATGATGACCTTTGGTATGAGACTTGGTAGTTCAAGTGTCTTGGGTGACTGATTTCCTTCGTTGCTGAGTTGTACACCCGTAAATCCGGCAAGCATCGAAGAGTCCCGGAATTGGAAGAGATCATTGTCCTGCCACGTATGCATTGTATCCATATCAATTTTGGGCCTTTTGAAGCCATCAATAAACAATCGTGTTAAGACCTTTCTGACCTCCCTGCGCCGAAAATATGCATCTGTAATAGGTAAGTGCTTGGCCTTGTCCTTCATCTTCGCGACGATGGAACATCTGATAAGCTGCGGCTGTTTCGACTTTCATTTTCCTCACTGGGAATGAATAAGGCCAGCACTTACCTATTATGGATGGAAGCTGTCTTGGCGATGATTGATTGTCTCTCACCCTGACGTTAATGCATCGTTTAGTTTATATGGTTCCTTTGATCTTTGATTCTTCCCGACAGTTCCGAATTCGACGCACTATCTAAGCATGAGAACTTAACGTATGTCTTTGCTTCACATATATTAGATACACCTTCTCTCAACATTACAAGAATATGTCGTACAATTAATTTCATTGTAATTCTGTCTCTCTGCTTCGATTGGGAGTTTTCATATACTGGCACTTGCCGCAAATCCGAAGACCACGCAGCAAATGTTTCTTTACATTCCTACTCTGCGTCGTCTAATTCACCATCGGCAAATAAGAGCCCCTTTCCTTCCTTCTCGTTCAAAACTGGTCTTCCAAACTGCCTGACTTTCATCTATTATCATAACTGCATAGACGCATCCCCATGGCCTCGCAAGCAACTCGATGCACCTGGAACCGTAAAACCATCTCATGTCTTCAACTAATATGATAATCAATGCCGTACCACTCATCTAGGTTCACTGGTAGCCCGCAGCTATACCCGTCGAGGATGAAACAGACGCCTTCTCAGCCTCAACTTCTTTACTTGGTATGATTCTTACACACCGGCTGATATCACATATATATACTAGTATATCTATACGCACCGAGCATTGAAGGAGAATGCACAATATCAAGAGGGTGCAAGTGAGTAGGTACTAGGTCGCACAACGAGTCTGCGTCACTATCATCACCAATCACTCAATATATTTTGACCCGAACTTTAGCAAAACATTTATTCACCGATTGGATTTAGATTTGAAGTTATACAAACTTTCCAATCTCCCTGGGAATTCTTACCCTCCATCATCGTTGTCCAACATAAGCGGGAGGAACACAACCGCATCGACGATTGGACTAGAAGCCATAACGCTTTGAGATGACAGTACCCTAGTCTATCTTTCCGTACCCATATAACACCTGACAACTTCTAAGCTTTATTTATGCTGCTTTTATATTAGGTATTTGCATAACACGCACAAATTTCATTATCTTGTCTTTTTTCTGTAGTACAGAGCATTGCGGAGTAAGTGGTTGTTGTCATTTTATGAACAAGCAAGCACAAAAGCACAAAATGAATAAAACAGCGAGGGCTGGTGACTTGGCAAACCCTCCCCTGTCTTTCTCGTGATCGGAGCTTGTAGCAAAGTAGCCAAAACATTTGCCGCATCCTTCACCGGTATTCCGTTTCACCATCCATCCCCAGTTTCCCTATCGGCTGCTTCGAAGTCTACCACTCAATTTCCAATCGGCCTTCTCGCCATCTCTCTCACCACTTGCTAACTACTTAAAACTTGGCATATAGATACCGGTACCGGTATATCATATACAATGTATGTGTATTAAACATACTTTTAACGTCAGATCCTCCCTTCATTATGCCATACGTCAGCCTCTTCTTCCATCAAAGGACTGCGCCTTCCAATACCACAAATATATGTTTTGTGCGCGGTATGCCAATGTGCGCCCATTAATAAAAATGTGTAATATGCAGGAACCAAGATGGGCACTTGTGTGGTATCCTGATATCCCGCGTTTTGGTGGTCACGGTGTTATGGTTTGAGAGAAGGCTACGTTATAATATATTGACATATCCAGGAACGAGTGTTTCGATGGTTTCTATTTACAATGAGCTAATTGATGATTTAAGTATCGTTCGCACAAGCAACAAAAGGGTAGTGAAAGAGAGAAAGAAGCAGAATTAGGTATCGGCCTACTATCATGCTATTTGATTCCCGCAACTTTATACTCCAGTCAAGCCAATATCAAAATCAGATATTACTCCATCACCTCTTGATCACCACATCATCAAACGAACCCTTGTTCTTACAAGCAATCAATCATGTCCACTTCCACCTCAGCACCTCGAGCTCCCGCTCAACAAAAAATGGAATTTCAATTCGTAAACAGCACACCCCTCAACCCCTCCATGCCACAAGATCTTGCCGTTCGTGCTCTCATTCGTAAACAAGCGATGAAAAAGGCCAGTGCCGCCCGTCGTCGAGATGGAAATTATGGGAAACATAATTTGAGACAATATCCGGTTTTTGTACTGGACGAGAACATTATCTGCTCGGAGGAGACGGGGGTTAGAGTTATTGGGAACGTACTGAACGGGGAGAAGAAAATCGAGAATGGAGAGAAGAAGGGAGAGAGAGTTAATGGAGAGGGGAGCTATACGGCAAATACACATCGACAACTGGAATACCATCCTTCTACTTGGACAAATGGACCAGGAGCCAGTAAGAGTTCCACAATGAATCCGAAGAATAAGCTCAAAACACCATATTCAATTGCTGAAGAGAAGAAAGAACGAAGTCTTAGTCTGACGGATCGCGAGAAACAACGCTGGCATATGAAAATGGGTTCACTTCCCTCCAATTCAGCCATCCCCGCTTCAATCTTCTCTCCCACATCTTACGAGGTCATGCTCTCGAAATTTGGCTTTGATATCCTGGAACTATCGACTTTGGCTACCTTGCATGTGGGTAGAGCGACAAGAAGAGCACTGTGTCAGAGTCCGGAGAGTATTGTGCATCAGATGAGAACTCAGAAACAGTGGAGTTTTTTAAGTTTTCTACCTAGTATGTTCCTCATTGATAATATCCCGCTATCCCGTATCATCCTCTCCAAAGTCACAGAATTAGCTAACCCATCCTCAGCTCGCTATGGCCAAAATAAATGCCTCTCCGCCGCCGTAGATTGCGTCGTCGCTCGCGCCCGCCAAATAATCTCCCCAGCCCAACACAACAACTTTTGGGAACCGCTCGTGCTAGCCAACTACATCACGGCTCTCGATTCCCTACAACGTGCACTCGATTCCCCCACCACGCGCTATCATCCCGAGGTTCTCTGTGCGACCGAAATACTCGCTCTTTACGAACTCCTGGAACCCTCGGGCGAAACTGCTTGGATTCGTCACTCCGCCGGTGCCGCCCGTCTCATCTTGTTGCGGACGCCGGAATCCTATACGACGGATTTTGAACGCGCGTTGTTTATGGGTCATACGGGTCCGATTATGACGGAGGCGTTGTTAAATGGGGAACGATGTTTTTTGGAACAGAGTGCGTGGCAGGATTTGTTGACGTCGGTTATTTGCAAGGAGGAATATTATACGGTGAGTGATCGTAGCGAGATTGTGGTAAGGTTAATTATGGCGAAGAGTCATATCCCCGGCTTGTTTTGGGATTTGACGCAGATTCTTTGTAAAGAGGTAGAACCGTCTCGGGAATACGTGACACGCATTCAAAACTGGTGTGGGGAACTACGGATGAGGTTTTTGGATTGGAAGACCAGGTATGAAGTATTGATTCGGGAAGCTGGGCCGGTGAGAGAGGGGACAATGGAATTTGATCGTAGGGCGAAAGCTTACGCGACGTTTTTGAGCTGCATCATGTTTGTGAATCGACTGCGGGGTTGTGTGAGTCCAGCGGAGAGAGTGGGGTTGGAGAGGGAAACGCAGGGATTGGCGGAAGAGATGTTGGAGTTGGATGAGAAGGTTAAGGGCGCGAGTAAGGCGGCGGATTTATTTATGCGGCAGACGGCTGGGGTTGCATTGGCGATTCGGGCGAGTAGAAGGGATTTTGAAGAGGGTGTTGGAAGGAGGGTACCTGGGGGTTTGAGAAATGGGTTTGTGGAGAAAGAGGTGTTTGAGAGATGGTGTGGGAGTTTTGGGAGGAAGATTGTGGTTGCTTAGGTTTGCGTGGGGGATTTGAGGGAAATTCAATTTTATGAAGAATATCGTCTAACACGAAGCAGCTGTGGTTCTAGATTCATGGTTAGATCTCAATCTGGGGGTTCCCTACACATTCATGATTCATCCTATCTTCTCCTTCTGTCTGAATCTCCCCTTCATCATAAATTTTAGAACGTGTATCCCCAACAGAATCCCCCTTGGTGAAAAAAGTAGTCCAACCAACTTCACTAGTGTTTTGCTTAACTAGACGTTAGTTACTGAATCGATGGAGGATACTCGGGTTTAGATGCCGTGTGACATAGAAACCCTTCAATACCAACATCTAGTCTCTACTCGAGTAGATTCGACAATCCTGAACATTCAGTAGTTAATCAATTTTAGGAAGATGAAATATTTAATGGTTAGATACATATATACATCTTGTATACTCGAGTATATGTTTGCTTCTTGGTGTTCTGTTTTGTGTTGTACGGTTGACATATTATTACTCGAGTAGTCCTACTTTCCTACTGTCCTACTACTCTAATAGCTCGTGACTAAAATGATAGAACATGATACCTAATTTATAACACGTATTCCTCGAATCGAATCGAATCACTATCTTCCATCCATCCATCCATCCCTCCATAAATTGCATAAACAAACGATATTTTTATAGTAATAATAGTACATTGCAATACTACTCGCAGTAGACAGAAATCCAAGTCTAGACTTTAGATTTTAGGCTTTTCAAGTTGAGTGTAGAAGGAAAGCTTTTTGTGTATGTTTTATTTGCGGATATATGTATGTCGTTAGTGCAGCCTAGATGATATGCGTTCTCATTTTTGTCTTTGCATTGGAATTACGATGGAACAACAGATCATGTTATCTATACTCAGGCTATTCTAATTAGTTCTTTCAAAATAATTACCCTTTCATTTCAATCTTCTCTAGCTAAAAATACTTTCTAGCAAGTGAAATTAGCTTTTGATTGTTAGTAATCGATCGAGTAAGGTACATGCAATGTGTGCTTTCTTTCTTATTCAATACTTATTCAATACTACTAGTATGATAAGATGGTATGGAATTATCCCATCTAATCCAACTTTGGAATATCTCAAGTTTCGGAAATTGATTAGATGGTCCTTTGAATCTCCTCAGATACCCTGAATAGAAATGTATGTAGCTAATTTTGTCTCAGGGTCGGGTTTATAAAACAAACTTATGGAAAATTGTAAATTATAAGGACTGATACATGGTATCAAACGTCTTTTCTCTTATGTAATTTATACCAGAAACCCATCCGAGGAAAGCCACATATTTAGGACAAAGATATAAAGGATGCAAAAGCAACGATGTAAAAATTCTAAGTCTTCTGTTGAAGCCGAGTTTCCACAAAGCACTTGGAAGAAGCAAGTCACGGTGTAAATGTCGAGGTTTCGAAATATTCCGCAACTCACATTACGAGTAATAGTACAGAAGCTAGTAAGGCTGAATTTTATTCCCTTTCCTTCATTGAAGTCTTTTCCGTTACAAAATTCTAGGGTAATTGATGATAGGTACGACAAAATGTCACTAAATCTGCATATAAGATGTCAGAAATATGCTAGGTATATCTGAAAGATGGAGGAGAATCCTAAGATCATCGGAATAGAGAAAACAGTGTTTTCAAAGTCGGGGTTGCCGCTTAGCATTGAGACATTGTTGATTGTGAATCAATCTCAAACATTACATATATCTAAAAACTTAAACTAGTTGAAATATTGAGTATACTCACAAATCTTACACCATATTCGAGGAGTCACAACTTTGTGGTATTGAAAGCTTTCAGATTGAACTATAATCCTGGCTATTGGATACGCAGGAATCTTCTCGACGAATTCCAAAGAAAGTTTGAATAAACTTGGGTAAAATTTACGGTACGCCTGTTATTAAGCACGGTAGAATATCAGCCAGAATCACTTGTAAAATATTATAGATTTCGAAAGCTGGGTATCCATTCTTCAAAAGTTCCGTCCAAAATTGCAACGCCATGACACAGAGTAAGACGTCCTGTAAAGTGAGACTTGTGTAGCAGTACCTCTAGATGTATGGTGTTGCTGTATATTGCAACTTCGATGAAGCCAGAGTAGTATTCAACTTTTCGCCCCCAAATGGGACATCTCCCAATGAGGACTGAATATTCTGGCCCAGTAATACCCCATTTGAAAAGACGATACCGTATGATTGGAATCTTTGACTTGATGGAGTAGACTCTTGTATTTTTGAAAATAGGTGAGACAGAAAAGGATGATGAGAAAGCAGAGGGTGTGAGAGTACAAGAGTGAATAAGTGATGAGTCTCTGGTGTATAGAGAATGAATGGGTGGTGATACTGGTAATGAGGGAAGAAAATACCAGTATGTTGAATGTATGATGTATGATGTATTGAGTGCGAGACGAGATAGGGTTGGAAGACTCCTTCTGCTAAAAGAAAAGGTCGCCGATACTACCTACTAGGTAGCACTATTGCATTCTTCTGACCACAACTCGGTATTGAAACTTCTCCAGATAATACATTTGTTATTAAAGGGGGGCGATGGGTATCAATACAGTATCTTGGGAACACATATCTGATGAGGAGAAAGTGTATTGTTTTCCTACCTACATAAAACTCTGGATATGTGCACACCCATTCATTACGCCACACCAAGTCTAGCGATATCCCCAGATTGTGGCCGTTAACAGCGCAACTTTCAGCCACAACTTTGAAATCGGTGAAGATCTTAAGGATAACCACGATAACTGGAGAATGCGAATACGTTTATCAATGACCATAATCCGTAACTCCTCCTCCTCCCATATCATCGACATCCCGAAGCCATACCGCGATGTCGAACTTCAGGCGCGCCCCAGTTGGGGGGAGTAATCGAAACAGCATCCTAAGTTCTTTGAGAGCCACTGAAATGGTTGGCAGCAATGGCAGCAAGCCTGTTCTACCTGCTGAAATCATTTCTACGATTCTCGACTACCTGCCAATTCCAGACCTCATGAACTTTGCGCGCACATCGAAACGAATGCAAGAAATGGTATATGAAGATTCGCGATGGGTATCGAGGTTGAAATGTATGGGTGTGTGGAACGAAGGAGAAGCTAGAAAGAGATTCGAGGATATACTGAGAAAAAAGCGAGAGATGGTGCGGGTAAGCGCAGAAGAGGATTCCAAGAGAATAGGGATTGGTGTGGGTGTTGGCGGTGCTGGACGAGGAAGTGGTAATATTGGAGGGACGAGGAAAACTAGCACAACATTATTCGATGCGGGAGAGGAGGAGCTACGGCAGCAGCGGAGATCAGCAGAAATTACTTCGAATAGCACGAGAGGACTGGCAGATGGATTCGAGACGTTGTCAATATCAGGGCAAGGCCATATGAGTATGCCACCTCCACCACGAAACCGAACGCCTATGCAAGATCCGGAAACCCTGTTGAACGTGTTTGCGGAAGTTAAATCTATACGTGGGTCTGCGAGACATGAATACGGAAAGATATATGCAGCATTAGGACCGTTTTATTACGATTTGGCTAGATCTAGAAGTCATATTGATCCGGTTCTATTTCGAGTTTACCGGTCACCAGAACAACAGGCACAAATGCTCGCTCATCTCCAGGTATTTTCGCGGAGTGATTGGGCTCAAGGATGGAGACAACGAGAGGAGAGATTAATTACTATGACGGGCATATTCGAAACCGCAGTATTACGAGAATTCGAGCAAGGTTACGAGGCGTGGGATATTGACGGGAGAATGCGGCGCTATGCTCATGTCTTGGGTGTACTGAATGGGGGCCATGCGGGCATAGAACTATTCGTTCAAAAACATCCAATCTTCTCTGACCGGGATGTTCTTGGTCACTCAATGGATTGTATCAACCAGGCAGCATCCGAAGGTATTGCGCTTGAGCCATCACGAGAATTTTTGGAAAAGTTATCCAAAAAAGTAAATGAACAAGCAGATATAATCGATCGGGTTTTCCCTCCTGGTGAGGATGTTTTACAAATCTTTTTGGATAAAATTGCAGAAGATATTCTCATGGAATATGTAACTCCTTTATTCGATGAATCGCATGAACGAAGCATCGCGTCTTATTTACAGGCTGTTTCTGGTATCTTTGAACAAAGTATGCAGTTTGCATCCACACTCAAGCCCATTAGGAATTCAGGAAAAGACTTCGTTGATAAGGTTCAGGCTGTCATAGCGCGAGTATTCGAACCTCACGTGGATCTCTACCTGTCAGAAGAGTTTGATCATTTCAAAAGACTTGCCGAATCGGAAGTAGGAGATTGGGAGATAAAGCTCTCGGCACAAGATGCTTCACAGGAGTCATTCTATATGGGTAACGTTAATCGCGTTGCAGATAAGAAGGATTTCATGAGTTCGTTCAAGAAGGTCGTGATGATGCCTGTCAATGTTTTGCCCACAATGTCACCCTTTGGTGCAACTAAACCTGTGATAACACCCCAGGCAGGGAACCGATCGAGTTTACAGGTACTTAGCGCGAGTCAGTCACCAGACCCTTCTCGATCTACCACTCCCTCTTTGCCACCCGGTGCTATATCAGTTCCAGTACCAACCGAAGCCCCTACAGATGAACTTGCAGCCAAAGCTGCTTTGATGGCTTCTAGGTTGGAAGGAATTCGATCACTCTTTAGCATTGAAGTTGCACTAGACCTTACACATTCTGCAAAAGCGAGCATTGAACGTGCAGCTCTATTTGTCCGACTTGGGGGTCAGACTGGAGAAGAAGCCCGAGAGCAGTGTGAAGCAATATTCGTAGTGCTACTGCAAATTCTTGGGACAAGACACGTCAAAACTGGGTTTGACAAAGCTGTGGATCATCTTTCGAAGTATAATCCTCGGGAGATTAGCGAGCACCAGCAGGGCGTAGTAGTACCTCTGATGACATTCTTGGAACTTGTCAATGTAGGTGACTTAATATCTCAGATGATCGATGTATTCTATGAACAGCAACTCGCAACGACCAAACTCGCGGACCGAAATGATTTCCTTGATCCTGCCGTTAAGGCCAAGAAGAACTTTGAACAAATGCTAGATGAGCGAGTTGCCGCCGGCTTGAATAAAGGTATCGATGTCTTAATGGACGAAGTTGAATATATTTGCGGAACAACCCAACTCCCCACCGATTACAATCCACCAGAATTCGATGCAACCGGCATAAGCCCAGATATCGACATTGGACCCACCAGCACCGCCGAACAAGTCGTCGCCCTCGTAGAATCCCACACGAAAATGCTCACCGGCAGCACCGACAAAACCATGCTGGATGTCTTCAACCAAGAAGTCGGACTCCGTCTCTTCACCGCCGTCTGCAAACATCTCAAGCGCCAACGCATCTCCACCTCTGGAGCCATCAAACTCATCTCCGATATGAATATATATTTCGTATATATCAGGACATTGAGAAATGCGGACTTGCTGCAGTATTTTAAGGCGTTGCGGGAATTGAGTCAGATATATTTAATCAGTCCGAATCATGCTAAGGAAATGGCGACGGTGATCGCGGATGGTGATCGATTTGGGGGGATCTTTAGAGCTGAAGAGGTTTATGAGTTTGCGGAGAGGAGGGCCGATTGGTATACGGTTAAAAAGGATGTCGAGAGGGCTATGTATGGGATTGGATGTGGAGTTATGTGAGATTGGGGTTGGGAATTGGAGTATATCATGGAATGGCGTACATAGAAGCGTAACGAAATATGAATGATTGTGTCTCTCCGAGACAAATAAAATATCATGGGATGATGTCTTTATTTGCAATTATAAGTGACTATGGCTGTACTCTTGTAGTTTTAAGTTTCCGCTTCCCAATCATCCTGGACGCCAGATGATAATCACATACGCCTCCTATAATTTCCAATATCCTAAGAGTCTTAACCCATCGACGAGAAATCCAACTTTCTCGCTACCTTACTTGCCCGATCATCATCTACCATTCCCGGCCTCCTCTTCAAGTCCTCTCCCATCTTTGCCTCACCGCCCCTCTTCCTCGGCAGATCTTCGTTCTTTGTAGGTTTAGGATCTGACGCCCACCAAGGATGTTCTAACACCTCCCTTGCCGTAATTCTCTTTCTTGGATCCAGTATCAACATATTCATCAGTAAATCTACTCCCTCGGGTCCAGCTGTTCCAAACATGGCCAGTAAATGTTCTCGCGGAACTACTGGGTTTGGTGGATCCGGCACTGTGTATTCTGGCAGTTTGGTTACCCCCGGCCAATTATCTTCGTTTGGTGTACCGATTGCTTGACATATTAGAGAAACTTGATGGACCTCAGTATCACCCGCCAAATAAGGCGTTCTTATCACCAATTCGGCAAATACAAGTCCCACGGACCAGATATCCACTGCGCCAGAATAATGTCTTGCGCCGAATAATAGCTCAGGTGGTCGATACCAGCGTGTGATTACGTTCGATGTCATAGTCCGCTGGGGATCTGCGAAATTCCTTGCCAAACCGAAATCTGCAAGTTTGACCTCTCCGTCTGCGGCGATTAGTAAATTATTGGGTTTGATATCGCGGTGTAGAACGAAGTTTTCGTGACAGAACCAGATGGCTCGACTGAGCATTCCCATCCAAGCCTTTATATCGGCTGCACCGTAGCGCACGCCATCGACATCCTTGATCAACATTTCGAGATCTCCGAGAGGTAAGAATTCGAGGACGAGATTTAGGTTTTGGTCTTTTGAGGAGAATACTGAGAGGAGGGATATTATATTGGGGTGGGAAATTTCCTGGAGATGCTTGAGTTCGCGGATGGCATCAGGTGCCATACCTTCTGTGTATTCTTTTTGTATTTTTATCTTTTTGATAGCGACGAGAACACTAGAGTCGGTGCTTAGGTGACCCAGATAGACGTTGGCATAAGTTCCTTCTCCGAGCTTTTTACCTAAAACGATGGGTGGTTAGCTATGTAATTAACGATGGTGAATCGAAGAATATGTACCTTTGATGTATTTAAGTCTTTCATTTTCATTCATCTGCTCTGCTAGATCAAAAGTTGTGCTAGCACTTGCAGTTGGCCCGTCGGAAGGAGTCCCATTTCCACTTGTGATGGCACTTGAGAGCTTCGATCTGCTTGCACTTCTGTCGCGGGAGTTCCCAGATGGCACATTGAGAGGTGAAACCGCCATACTGGATCGAGGCAAGAGTATTCAGGGCTATCTCAGCATATTCTGAGGAAAATGATCGTGGACTATTTTGTGTTGTTGGTCTGATGGTTTGATAGGAATTTAAACTCAGATTGGTGGATAAGGCTACGATATGCACAATTCCAAGCTGAAAACGCCCCGAGTCCAGACTTAACAACCGCTCTTACAATGTCCCCGAGACAGTTTTCTCGAGACCCTAGAAGGTGTCTGATTTCAAATATGTGTTCAGAATTATACTTTTTCCGTTGATGCTAATGCTCAAAGCTTGATTAGTCGTACAACAAACATTTTGAGGATTGGATGACAAGGCTGAGATTCTTGAGGTCGTAGCGCTGGTTGATTTGATTAGTCATCAATCTCTGAATGGCCTTCTGCTCGTCCGAAGATTTTCCTCGTCGCTTCAATACTCGAGTACAAACACCAGAATTGAATTGCAATCTGGAGAAACTCCTCATTTTCGTAATACTAATACCTTTTAGGAAGGTACGAAGGTATGGAAACTAGGTAGTGCCGAGTTTTGTAATTACTACGTATGACAAAAATAGTAAGGGGAATAACAGATAGAAAGAGCAAATGGGTTAATGTTTCGTCCCATATGCATCTTTTCAAGTGGAATCGGTTGCTCTTTCTACATTGGACTCTCACTTATTTTTCTTACATATCCTATTTATGCTTTAGTACATCTCATTGCAATGAAACCTCTCTCTGATTCTGAATATACTACTCATACTTAATCCGCATACACTCACTCTTTCAAGTGTGATGGAGGCTATGAGAAGCTTAAGTTGATTGTCGTATTTTATCTCTTCATTCATTGCTATCTTCTTAAGCTCTTGCTTGTAATATCAATAATTTCAGATAACGGACCTCTCCCTCGTCCATCATGTGGCAGGTGTTTTCTTACTGGGTTTGCTTCTCCGTTAGACTACGCCTTGACTCGATGTCTGACAACATGCTAGATGATTCCTACGGCCTCAGCCATGATCTGGTTCACTACACTCAATTCACTACTCGGTGCCTTTATTGTCTTTCCACCTCGCGATCCCCTCAATCCCGCTTTACCTGCGCGGCCACCTTATCCTTCAATGGCCTCCCAATTCCATTCAGTACCATACGTATCCGACATTGGAGCAAGTAAAGAAATGCAGCCGGTATTTATAATAGGTTGTGTTCTCACTACGTTCTTGCTCGCAGGCTGTTTTATTGCAGAACGAGCACTTCGTCACCAAGGCCGCCTTGCAAGGAATACGGATATGACTGAGAGAATAGTGGCTTATTTGAGTATCGTGTCAGCTGGACTTGGATCAATGGGCCTGATTTTCCTGAGCGTATTCGATGTTTGGAGATATAGGGGCGTACATATTACCATGGTGGGTTTCTTCGTTGGTGGATATACTATCAGTGCATTCTTCCAGTTTTGGGAACATTATCGAATGGGTCGTAGTATGTCTCCATTTCTTTTTAACCCCCTTCGTATTATCTGACATGCAATAGAATATCGAGACACACATGCGAACCTGATGGTATCAGCCTACACGAAACTAGTTTTTATTGCTATTGAGAGTATCCTAGGTACAGCATACTGGTATGTCGTTATAGCAAAGAACTGGGATGCGGGTGCTGTTATTGAATGGGGTGTCTCCTACGTTTTCAGTTTTTACATCCTTTCGTACCTTTTCGACTTCCTCCCAGCATTGACTACGAAAGGGAAGGACTGTAGGTTTGGAATTTACACGGAAGATTCCATGGTCCAGGTCAATGGGCGCAGGGAGCGGGCTCAAGTCCGGGAGTTTACGGGAGTTGCACCGGGATAAGATGAAATGACTTTTGGGATTGGAAGTGTGTATGTTATCCTAGACATTATTCTCGGTTGCGACCCCATTACAATAATCAACCAAGATTCCCAGACATGCTAGGTATATCAATTTTAAACACAAGTTTCCAGCCACATCTCCAATAACATTAAAATCCAAAGTTGGCTCGATACTCCCCAGCACAGAACAAACAACTCAAGCAAGACTACACCATCATCAAATCCCAATATCCACAACTCATTTCCCTTTTTGTCCCTCTTTCGCCGTCGCATTATAACTTGCCGGTTTATTCTTTCTAACCGTCAACTTCGCCGTCTGAAATCTCACAAAGCATCCTGCTATCACTTCCTCCTTCTTCTTGTCCGTATCCACCAAACCCGTCTCAATCAACTCCTTCACAAACATCTCCACATCCTCAAATTCATTCCAATCATTCCAAAATCTGTCCGGCATTCCCGTATTATTGAAAAGTGCTAATAACCCCGCGTTCACTGTATTAGCAGCGGCTAATATAGTTATCGCAAGTCCATGTTTTGCGACATCAGAAGATCCGAGAGCAGTCAAGACGGCCCCGAAGAGGAGTTGAAGAACTAATGCGAGACTATAGAAGATACTGGATATATAATAAGCTAATTGGAAATTCTGTCGTGTTCGGACGATTTCTTTATAGAGACCATTAGGCAAGTGCCGGTGCGAGAAGAAGGGTGAACCAGAAGCTATTTCGACAGGCTGAGATGGGTCATCGGGACGAGTCGCGCCTATGGAGCGTAGAATAGATATGTAGTCGGCTTCGGAGAGTGTGCAGAGGGGTGGGAGCACGTATTGGGTCTCGATTTGGCCGAGCGCGTCAACATCTTGTGGTGTAGGTGTAGGAGATCGGGATGGGGAAGGTGTAAGATTGTCATTTAGTCCACCTCCTGCGGTGATTGTGGAGGTCATGGTTGAAGTCATAAAAATAGAGGCGTATAGTGTTGGTTTGGTGAGTGGATTGATAGAAGAATTGATTTTTATGGATTGATAAATGGTCGATATTGATTAGGATCAACCAGGTTAGATGCAACGCCAATGGAGAGAAGCCGGTACAATATCTAACTCAAACCACATAACAAGTGTCACAGAAACAAAACAAGGAATGAATCCTTCTAGGGACACATACTCTATATATCTCCCATAACCTATGCCAGGCTCACAATTTGCCCCCAACTCGATATGGGCGTGCGGCGCTGTTCAATTGTTCATTGATACCACCGACATTGCCGTAATCTCGAGACGCAATACTTCAAGTCACTGCGTCAGCGGTTCCTAAGTTGAGTCGGGCTGTGTGTGAGCGTTAGGCGAGGCTCCTGATGATCGCTCGATATGGTAAAGAATGAGCTATGGATGGTAACACAAAAGCGTGAGACAGATTCGCCAATTCGAGACGCCACTTCTCTTCTCGTACACCGATCGTAGCCTTATGGTAATTAAAAGGATGAGTCAGTTCACATGGAAGGGTATGTGCAGAGCAATAGAAACCTTGTACTTTACTGTATCCTGGAGTCTAAAAACATCTCTCGCATCATGTTTGATTTTTGGAGGGTTTTGTCGAGTGTAGAGTGGTGTAAAGTCATTTGTTTGACGTTTCGAGGTTGGGGTGAAGTGAGATGAGATTAGATGAGACGACGTAAATATACATGTATGTAAGTAAACTAGGTCAGATACGTAGGTACATCTCACTCCAGGGATAGTGTCCGTAGTCATCATTGTCATATGCGCAGACCAAGATCTCCACGAACTAGTTTCTATCCAGAAACGCTTTCTCACGTCAGCCCATTACAATCGACACAAAGCACTTGGAGACGAGGAATCGGAAATCAAAATTGTAAACGATATGTATTCTCAGGCTGGGTCGGTGGCACCAATCGGTGAGAGGATCGCATTATTGTTTGCGTCTGAAACAAAAGGGGGAGGTAGCCCTATCGCTTATTCTTTTTAGGGGTGGGGGGATCAGAGTATGATTGGTGGGGATGGATGGTGGTGGCGCATTATTGGGATTCTTACTCACTTCCCCTTTACACCCCCAGTTAAGAGCGTTTATATAGTTGGTATACATGTATACGTAAAATATCGTACAGATTATTAGTAAGAGGTAAGAAAGAGTCTCAGGCTGGCTTATGGTAATTGATCATGTGAAGGATTTGAAGAGAGAGAGTGAGAGAGTGATGGGCCTTAGCTGTCGTTTTTCTTTTGTACTTGTACGAGTACGATGATGTGTGTGTGTGAGTCTTGGAGAGGGGAACGGGGTACATGTAGATGGGATAGAACATGGGTGATACGATATAGAATGAAGAGGAATTATTTTGAAAGTGGTTCAAACTTGATGGATCCTTGCAATACCAATAAGATATTTTCTGGGGGTACGAGATGAGTGCGAGTTATTGGTTTGTTCACATGGGATTTGTCCTCGAATTAGTCGTTGATGATGATTGTTGGATATAAGTCAGTCCTTGATAATCAGGCCGGATGTATGTTTCCCAGGAAACGTGTGTGGGAAGCAGTGGTATCCCCTCTTCAATACTCCCTTCCTCTTCCTCTCTATCCCACTCCTAATCTTTGAGAAATAAAGGGTTTCTAGTTGATCGTAAGATGCTGATTTCTGAGCATATGAGCGTAGTGTGGGAATACTATCATTAGTAGTGACTCAAGTCAAAATTCGGACTACGACTGTAAGATTGAAGAGATTGTCGCCGGATAGTTGCTTCCAGTCATTATCTGAAATAAACATCCAATATATTCCCTATCAATAATTGGGCCGGGACTCACTATTGCATTATACATCGTTGCATTTTATGATTATACATCAATCCGCACTAATAAACATGTAGCGGATTTCTTTGACCATATCTTGCACTTGCGAGTAGATACCTACCCAATACACTGAAATCCAGTTCCTGCTCCTGCTTCCTGCAAAAGGATCGTTATACCCTCCCTTTAAGTCAACATACCTTTGCTACATACTGTCCCTGACCCTCATCCAAAGATCAGAGACTCATTTAAAATTCATAAATATGCTCAAACCCTTCCACAAAACTCATCTCTACCGAGAAAATTCACAAAAGTTTGGGAGCCAGTCATTGTATTGTACTATTTCCGTGGCAATACCAGTACACATGAATACTCATCAGGATATATATTCATTCGAATATCACTATACTTGAGCTCAAGCAAAGCTACGAAATATAAAGGAACGATTCACAGCTTATATCAGCATGAAAGCTGCACACGATTGAGCGTGACTTCTAAACCGAATCGCTAGCAACTTCTCTAGCACGCCGGTAAAATATCCACCGCTTGGTGTATAATTGTATTCGCCTTTATAGGAAAAGGGCGAATCTACGATTCAAGTTTGCTGCAGAGTAGGCTTGTCAATTGACTATCGACTTAAACCGTGACAGTACAGTCAATTCATGTACGAATATATTGACTCAAATTTTTCGAACATTACTAATTTGTCACGCGAACATACATGATATTCTTGCTTCTAATGAATCGATCTTTTAGTTAAGTTGATATATATTGCATTTTAGCAATTTTTTAAGCGGATCCAGCCCCCAATCCTTTACATATACACATTATGTATCAATCACTCATATCTATACCTCGAGAACTTTGTCTCACGCTGTAGAGTAATTAGTAGATCCATCCACTCGAGTAGCTCTCGGTGATCGGATGAAAGTTGCTACTACTCGAGTGATTATCTTCTTGAGCCATGCTTCAAAGGCCTTGAAGTATGGCTACCGCGGATCCAAACTTGGTCAATTCTTCAGTCTTACTACCGTTGATAAAATGGTGGGATTCCAATCAATCAGCTACCTACGAGTACATGCAAAACTCTTATTATTGTGAAGGGAATCTCCACCGGGAACGATAGCTCATTACGAGCATATCATTGACATGGTTCAAATTTCCTTTCCTGGTACAGCATTCTACGAAAGGCATACCGGTACCTTTATTACATTAGTAAATGGGTAATACTATTATCGATATACTCGAGTAAAGCAAATACTCAAATATATTTTGCAAAATATCCACAATCGGAGCTGGCCTACCTGGTCTGGTCTTTCAACGGTCATCAGTTTTCGGAAGCGTGTCACGAAGTCACGGTTTTTGAAATAATACTCGGGGCTTTTATTAAACAGGTGTGTTTTCTATGATCGAATCGAATTTAATTATAGTCAAAGCTAATATGATATGATAACTAGATTGAGGAAGTTAGTTCTTTGACGATCAAGAGTAAAGATACGCAGAAACCGTAGCAGAGCTCTCTGTAACTCAAACTCAAATGCAATGGAGGATGGACCAGCACCGGACAAGAAGGGAAAGACAGATTATTGAAAGATGAGCCATCTTATGACGGCTCTCCATATCCTTAATGAACTCTTTCTCTCCCTCTGCGGAGTTGGCCGTACGTATTCAATGCTGTAGATGCCACTGAAGAAGCGTAGCGTGACCATATCAAGCAAAAACAAAAAAACGACGATATCCAACTAATGCCAACAACTCCATAGTTTATTGGATTGAAAGGAGCTGTTGAAGCTTATACCTTTCATTTTTACCTGCATCAGCATATGTTCGAGATCAAAATAATTATAAATCATCACACCACTGGCAAGTGATCTCCAATACCGGTACTCGACAAACAATTTAACAAGCATCACTATCCTTTCCCTGAGTCCCTGAGAAAGGGACCGTGACCAAACACCAAACACCAATGACTACAAATCTGCATTCTCAACTACTCGTAGACAGCAATAACTTCAAAAACTCAAGGTCTGTCGCTCAGGCACACTCTACAAAGACTCCCAACCCAATGCAAAGGCAATGCCCTCGCCCAGAAAACTAGAGTATAACATATATATACCATGAATCTTTGGTGAACGAGTATGTATGTATGTATTTACGCTCCCGACAAACTCAAAAACAACTAATGATCTTTTATATCTCATGAGTCAAAGTCAAAGTCAAAGTCAAAAACGACGACATGATGAAATGAGACTACATTAATATTGCACTGATAGATACACTGCTACCTACCTACCTACCAGATATATCACAGAAACCCCACCGGTATCCCCATCCCATAAACCAACAGGAATTCAGCACCGAGATAGAGTTTACTGCTTGCTGGGTTCTTGCATCTTGCATCTTGCATCTTGCATCTCTTAACTACCTCGAGTACAATAACCGGTAATTTATCGAGATCTCGATTCTCAATCCGTGATATCGTTGCAACTTCCAACTTTCATTATTCTATGCGCATGCGCATGCCCATCCCCGTAAATACAGATTATATTATACAATAAAAAGATAAGATAAGATACCGCATAAGAATAAGAATAAGAACAAGAACAAGAATAAGACTCAAGAATAAGACTCAAGAAGAGAGGAGGAAATTGATTCGTGTGGCGATTTCTTACTTTGTAGTGAGTGGTAGTGGTTAGTGATATATTGTAGTGAGTGGTAGTTGTAGTGGTATTTTAACCCCCGATTACTTGTATATATACTAGGTACGAGTAGAGAGTAGAGAGTAGAGAGTACTAGTAGAGGGAATCGACATCGACGATGTTGAGAAATGAATTTGCCGATCATAGGTATGTATGTATGTATACTCGAGTACATGTATGTATATATGTACCACCAAAACAATGGTATAGATTTAATGAGCTGATCGATAAGGTATCTAGCTACTGTAGTGTAGTATTGTAGTATCGAGGGCGATGAATGTGATGAATGTGATGAGTGTGATAAGTGTAATGCAGGACTGCAGATATGATGGATGGGTGTAGTGGTGTAGTAGTGTTGTAGTGTTATAATTGTTGTGGTGATGTGATCGCGATGAAGGAGGAGGGGGGCCCGGGAAGGGAAACATATCTTACAATTTGATACAAAAGAGGATACAGTACAAGTCAATGTAATATGTAATAATATAAAGAGGTCTCGGATGAAACTTATACGCTTACACTGCACTTCATCAAGAGTCTTCCGTCTTCCGTCTTCAACTTTCAATGTAATTATTAGAATATAAATAAGAAAAACCTCGCCTCCGTCCGGTACTACTCATACTCGTACAGCAAAACTCGCTATAAGGTAAGCATTGCATTATACTCGAGTACATTATCTAAATGATATAAAAAGGAAGCCTGAGTGCATAAACGGATAAGAATCTTTTTACTCAACTAAAGAATTAGAGGTTCTGAGGATTATGAAGCTATATAGAAGAATGGTGTTGGTTGGTTGGTTGGTTTGCTGGATTTATGTATGTACTCGAGTATGTAGTACAGAATGGGATTTAAGAGGATGGTAGGATGGTAGGATAGTAGGATAGTTGAATTGTAGGATAGTAGGATAGTAGGATTGTAGGATTGTAGGATGGTAGGATAGTTGGATTGTAGGATGGTAGTAGGATGGCAGGATATTAGGATAAGTCATCAATAGCTCTGTATTGGTTGAAAATCTACTCGAGTATCTATAGAATATATTCATATAAAGTGATGAAATTGAAATTGTAGAATGTCTTCTTCATGTGCGAATGAGCGAAAGAGCGAAAGAATGGAGGCAGACAAGTAGATGGCTGACTAAGACTAAGGTCTGTAGTTTATCAAGTTCTTTAGTTTGGATTGTCTGGAGAGGATGTTGAGATATATACCAGGCCAGATCGGAGAGCCAATCAAATTTTAGAGGAATTCCATTTGAAATGAAAGGAAAGGTTCAAATTTATTTCTCTGTATAGATTTAATCTGATTTATCTTTAAGTGCATACTCACCCCGATAAGTTCATTGAACAGTCGAATGTAGACATGCACTCTCATTTCCAACACATATCTTCAATTCCCGCACGAGAGCAGCTCTTTCCTCGTCCATAAAACCAATCGTCGTCAAGTAATTCCCAACACCACCATACGAGTCCTCCAAATAGTCATAGGTTTTCTCGATGAAATTCTCAGGACACCCGGCAAAGTCATCACTGAGACCTATTTCGTGAATTTCTCGGAGACGATTTTCTCTTTCCGGAAGTAGTTTTTCTTCGCTCATGCGGTAGTCGTGAGAGATGGCTTCGATGGGTATTTCAAGCACAAATAGGACTAAGGCGATGGTGAGCCCGGTACGGTCTTTTCCCTGGGTACAGTGGGCGAGAATGGGGTAATTGGATGGAGAACTGTATGTTCTGAGAACCTGAGATAGGTTAGGTTAAATATATAAAGTTGTGAAAGACTGATTATGGCTTACCGCGGCGAGTTCTGGTCCACAATGATGTATCGTATCGAATCCTAATCCTAAAAGTCCTCGAGGTTGCATCACCTCACGTCCCAGAATACCAATGGCTTCCAAACGGTACCCCAAACCCATCAGGCCGAGCAATTTACTATATATACATGTAAGTCTATAATGGCGAAGATAGAGAGGTCAACACTCACAGTAGACTGTAAGGTGATAATTGCCATACTAAACTTCTCTCAAACCCTTTACCATTCACATTGATCTCCAGATACTCGATTCCCGGTATCTTTACTGGCTCTTTTAGTGCGCTGTTTAGATTCCCGAGACCGAGATCTCGAATATCTTTTGTGCGCTTCTTTGCTTGTTTATCATGTTCTGTTCTGCGATTTTTAGGTTCGCTCAATCTTCGGGAAGCTTAGATCTCTTACAATGTCCGTAGGTCCAAGACGGTTTTGATGCCATAATGGTCTCTTATCCGCTGCCTATCTGATATCGTGGCATCATCTACAAATCATGTTCGTTAACACAATTGACATTTGCCAGATATCACTAACTCAGGGCTGATCGATATCCTGGATAGAGCATGTATAGTTGCACGGCTTGGATAAAAAAACACACCTAGCCTTGCGGAGCGATATATTCGTCCTTCTTTGACAAGCCTTGAATGTAAAAGTTAGTTCTTAGAGCTCAACCAAATATTATTATATTATTATTAATAGGGTGCATACTTTCGACCCAAGAAATCATTAATGGTTTTACCAACATCACGGAAATTTAAGATGTTGTCAAATTGACCATCGTACATATCTTTCCGTTGCGAGGCCATCACCAACTTTGACGGGTATTTCGACTGGTTGAATGGATGGATGTGCGTTATAGTTGAGATTAAACTCTAAATGATAAACAAATGAAGGAGATTGATGTGATATTGATGCTGAAGTTGTAGAGTAGACAAGTCGTTACTTCCGATTGCTTCGAATGAAACCCAGAGAAAAGGTACAAACAACGTGAACAACGCGGGAAAGGAGAAGGTCTCGAAGGGTTAACGTCGCAGTCGCACGATTAGCTCCATAGAACTTAATTAATTGCGTATAACTGCCGGAATTTGCTGAGATGAACGTTTGTGGATTTTATAGATTCATATTAAGTGGTACAAATCACTTCACCGGCGCTCAAGTGACGAGAATTGTAAAACAGGGAAGTAAGTGCTAAAAGATGTGTAATCTCAATCCCTGTTGGAGATCATGAGAGAAAGATCCTCATAAATATCCATATATACATACAATACAAATACAGTATAATTCTTTGATATCCATTCACGATACTTTTATTGAACTAGCGAACTGCAAACTTCTCCTCCTTTCACTTTGGATATTATATCAAGTAGTGAGTGGCAAGTGGTAAGTCAGTGAAGTGGCAGTGAGTGGCACAATTTAATCCTTTTCTTGGCGTGTGGCTGAAGGCAAACTACGTCATGTCATGTTCGACCCCAATTACCCTTTTTGGCTTTGGTTGGCTTTTTGTGTTGTGAGAGGATTAGGAAGAGAAGAGCTGAGAGAAGATTTAGATGACGATGATCGATGATGAACCAACCATAGGTAACCACTAGCCAAGTTCACCCATATACTCAAACTTGCATATCTCCAAGTTTAATTGTATTGTACTAGTAAGCTTCCTCACCCTTCAGACCCAACATCAACGCATACTCGGACTTGGCAAAACAATTACTTTGACGACAAAAGTAATTATTTCGGAATAGCCTCATTATTTCAATTCACACCCAAGCCCCTTCCCTTCATTCATTTCTTTGACGCCTCGACCTTTTGCGGATTCTTTGTTTGATTTTTAATACCAGTCAGCTTGCATTCTCAGGAACCTACCAGGAGACAAAGAAGGGATATTTCGTAATCATGTCGACTACCAACAATAATGGTCCGTATAAACTACCTTGAAAATTGCTTATATGTATGCTAACACATTCTGCACCTACAGACATTGAATCCAATGGTCTATCAGTAGAAGATAAGACTTTTAAACCACCGCATTTGATTCCATTGCCTGATGATAGCCCGACTCACACAAGTTCGAACGGGACTTTTAAAGCACCACATTTAATACCACTACCTGGTGATAGTTCAACTCACACAGGTTCGAACGGGACTTCTAAAGCATCGCATTCAATACCATCAACTGAAGATCGCTCGACTCACACAGGTTCGAACGGGACTTTCAAAGCATCGCATTTAATATCATCAACTGAAGATCGCTCGACTCGCACAAGTTCTAAAAGATTAGAAGATCAAGCTGCCACAGCAGCTCTATACGTCACGAACCAGAACAATCGAAAGCCCAGGTCGGGCCATGAATTTCTCGACAGCGATAACAAATTATCATCTGCTGGTAAGTATCGCTTTACTGCTCACATACACCATATATCATATATCATCGCTAATAGTTCTATCAAATAGGTGCAGCAGCATCCCTCAAGTACGCAAATCCCCGAGATTTACCAAGTTATCCCTCTGCGGGTCTGAAAAGAAATCAGTCGGCAGCCGGGGCAGCAGCTTCTTTGGGTTGGCAGAATCAGAAAACATTTGAACATTGGAAGCCAGATCCATCCATGTCAGCGTCTACTGCTGCGATGTTAGCTAAGGATTACAAGATGAAGCCTCTTTGGCAGCCAGAAGCAAGTTCACATGGCGCAAAAGCAGCTTTATTGGCCCACAAAGCTAACAAGGGTGTCGATTTGTGGAAGCCGGAGCCTACGACATGGGGAAATTCTGCTGCGACTCAAGCTATGAAGAAGGGAAACACATTATCGCCACAAATAGATTATGGACATACTGCTGTTGGACGACAAGGTTCCCTTCAGGCCGCAACTGGTGCTATGGCTAGCAGCAGGAAACGTGCAAACTCAACTCCGTTGAAGGCACCGAGGCCTGAAACATATCCTGATGAAGCCAATGCTTCTAGTAATGCCTTGAAGGCCGCAGTTGCCGTTCATAAATCCCAGACTATTCGAAAATCTAACACATTCGAAAAGGGTGTCGGAGCAGTACCATTCACAACAATGCCACGAGAAATGTATACATCCCATCCGCCTGTTGAACAGTTTGACCAAGATCTGAATAAAGACCAACATCGAGAAGATGTCTTGAAAGCATCGGCCATTGCTATGGCTAAGAAGATGTATAACCAACAGCAAAAACAATCCAATGATGCTTCCCATGCACAATCTGGCGCAGCGGCTGCTCATGGTCAGCGACGACTTTCCATAGACAGTGACGATGAACCTACGCCAATGCGCTTTAATAATCTTCAAGAAAAGGCCCAACAGCTCGCCAACGAGCGACTATCGAAGATGTACACTGAGGATAGTCAAAATCGTGAATATCGAGATTATTATGGAGGCACTTCAAATGTATCCTCGAGATTATCCATACGAGGTCGAACGAGACGTCGATCTTCCAGCTACGATGAGGATCGCAACCAATCCGACAAAATTCGGGCTCAGATGAATACATTCTCAAGCAAGCTCTCTCAAGTGGATGAGAAAAAGCGACAACAAGATCGTGAAGCGTTGATTGCCGCAGCTCAGCGCAACGTCAACAAAAGTCTTCACGGTATGGACGAACGAGTATTTGCTGATACCGGCAAGGTCGCTCCATCTCTACTTAACGAATGGGAGTTGAAAGCACATCAAGCTGCTCAGGCCAAGAGTGAAGCTAGATTGGAAAATTTTGGCAAAGTCAACATTGGTGGTGGTAAATTTGTCGATCAGAGTGTGGTTGATGCTGCCGCTGCTAAGAACGTTCAGCCAATATTGAATGAGATGAATACTAAAGCGGAAGCACAAAAGTATCGAGATGCCGAATCAAAGATCGATGAAGACCGCCGAAGGAGAAAATCCCAAGAAGCTAAGATGAGAGAGAAAGAGTCTTCAGATATTTACAAGAAATTAAAGCGTGAGTTATTTTATTCATTTAAAATTAATGGAAGCAAACTAATACGTACCTGTAGAACGAGAGAAAGAGGAAGTGAAAGAGCGCAAAGCCAGCGAGACAATAAATCAAAAGGAGCGTCGTAAATCCATTACGAAATCCGAACCTGACGTTCCAGTCTCAACAACATCTCCCACCACTATAACTGGTGAATCTGAACGTCCTACTACAGCCCCAGCCATAGCCTCAGCACCCGTTCGTACATCTTTGGAGGACCAAGCTGGTGTCCGCATGTCTGGAGCTGTAAATGATTCCAACGCACCTCAACAACCTACACCTAATACTCCATCACCAATATCTGAAAGTGGTTCCAAGGTCAAGAATTGGCTCAAGTCTAAATTAGGAAGAGGATCTGGTCGTCATTCAAAATCCCTTTCTGAATCTAGCGCTAAAAAAGACGCGGCGGGCACTGAGAAAGGATTTGTGGGCGGACATTCTTATACAGGCGCGAGTATTAATGATAGCAATACATCACTTAGTCGACACAGTGTTCAGGATGTTGCGAATGCCACTCTTGTTCCGGGGATTAGTCCTATTGTTTCTGCAACGCAGGAACCGCAAGAATTCGAGACAACAGGTATAAATAAGACGAAAGCAGAAGATGATGTTAGTAACCTTAGCGAATATAGCGATAAGGGCAAGGGCAAGGGCAAAAATAAGATTCTGAGCGGCGATGAAGACGAAGATGAGTTTCAGGAGGCGAGGGATAACTTTGATGATGATTTGGCACCGCCCAGACCATTTTCTTCTCAGGAGGATGCTAGTGAAAATCTAGGTAGAACTGCTAGATTTCATGAGGAGATTTAAGAGAAGGGTGTATGTGAGTGTGAGTGTGCTAGTATTTTTGCGGGTGGTAAGAGGGTGTGGTGATGATGATGGGTACTAATATTGGAGGACACAGAGAAATGAGACAAGGCAAGGCAACAAATACATTCTTCTTATATGGGCGGGCGGCGCTATGATGTCTAAATCCTCGGAGATAATATCATATATCATATATCATACGAGTATATGATGGTATCTCGTTTCCTTGTGAGAGGTCATGGGGGAGGCAGTAATGTGGCTTAATGTTAGTTTGGGACGTTTCGATGATTGATTCTGGATTTTGGGGTTTGGGTTTTGGGGAATGAGGTTTGAGGAATGCGGTTTTGAGGTTAATTTGTAAAGTACACAACACAATACATGCGGAGAATGAAGAGGGGGTTATATATATGAGAAGGAGAAGGAGAATGGTATGGAATGGAATGGAAATATGTAGTAAAGTAGTAGTGGTGGTGGTAGTAGTGGTAGTAGTGGTTATATTGTTAAAGTTTATACTCGAGTATTGAAAGTTACATGAGTATGATGCTATAAATTACTCTAAATGATAATATGAACTCCCTACCCACCCTTCACGAGTAGAGCGGAACTGAGAACTTCGTTGGAGCTGTAGAACTTGCTATTGTAACTTTATGAGTATATCATACAGTGATATACAGGTAGGTAGGTAAGGTGCATTTGAGAATGAGGTTGAGATTGAGATTGAGATTGAGATTGAGATTGAGATTGAGATTGAGATGAAAAGAGCGAGAATCAAAGGAATTCTGAAAAGGGAATAAGATTGGAATTGGAATTGAGAATCAAAGGAGTTTCTTTGCGGGGGGGAGGGGTGGATAGTGAGTGTTGTTTCAATGTTCTTTTTTTGAGTTGGTATTTTAGTCGGTTACTTGGTTTGGTTACTTGGTTAGTTAGTTGGTATTTGTAAAATTACGTTAGGTTAGATCAGATTAGGGTCAGAATATATCAGGTTAGGTTGGGCTGGGTTTGTTAGATTAATTTATACCCTCAGAGGCTATAAAGGGATTTCCATAAGATTTGAGATGTGAGATATGGGATATGGGATATGTAATATGGAATATAGAATTGTGATATAGGATTGTGAATCTGTGAATTTCTTGTGGTTTTAAGATTTGTGATTTTGTTGATATGGGTTTGTAATATGGGCTTATGATGTGATGTGATTGATATGAGTAGTAGTTGAATACTAGTACCAATTCATATATACTCGAGTATTGACACTGTAATAATGATTCTATTGTAATTATAGAGTCATAATCAAATCTAATCAACTCTACTCCACTCCACTCCACTCCGTACAATGCATACAAAAAAAGAAAACTCGCTGAAGATAATAATAATCCTACTCCAGACTCCAGTCTGCCATACTCGTATATATGTATGTATCGCTAATGCACATCTTCGTATTTCCAACACCATCCGACCAATCGCTTTTGACTTCATTTCATATCATATCATATCATAACATACCGATCCGTACATAACAAATAAACAACTCAACCCGAGTAACGCGCCCAAATACTACTATCTATCCCCGGTAGTGACGCCAAATATTCCTCCACAGAAGTTTCCCTGAGCCTAGTTCCCCTAGTCACCCCTCTCGAGCTCGCTTGGGTTTCCCCGCTAGTCCTACCGTGACCCCTCGCTTCGCTTGGTGACGAAGCCGTGCTCCTCCATTCTGCCTGTGGTATCCCAACCACAGTCCCAACACCCAGAACCTGTTGCATTGCTCTGGCGATTGAATAATCGTTGTTCGACTCCGTTCTTATAGGAGGGCTATTTTCCCCTCTTGGTGGCACTGCTGTTCGCTCTCCTCTGGGCATCCCAACTACGGTTCCTACACCCATGGCGAGTTCCACTCCGTTACTTATTGAATGAGGGTTTCTCGTGCTTCTTCTGTCCCTGTTCATGTTGGTTCTTAAACGATTCGCGGTTGAGACGTAATCCCAGTTGCGCCATGCTGTGTCCGAGGGAAGATTGGCTGGCTGTCTAGCGGGGTAGGGATGTCGAGTATCGGTATTGCTGGCTTCGTTTCTTAACTCGTAACTGGTAATATTGACACTTTCATAGCTGCGACGCACATATTCTGTCGTAAACACGGTAGTGGTGGATAAAGGGGGATGACCATGTGTAGTGGGAGTAGGTGGCAAACGAACTCGAATGGCACGTGTATCTTCGGCGGAGTCTGCGCGAGTAGGTGGTACATTTCTAGGATCGTTGAAGAGAGGATTTGGGATTCCTGATCGTCCCATTCTAATATTCCATCTCTGTTGTTGGAATGTCGTCATATCTCTCCCACTGCTGGAGGTTGCTGATCGGTCTCTAGTAGAGTGAAAGAGGTCCATAGTGGGGGCAACTTCTTGTAAGGGATTTACTGAACGGGAGAAGGTATCAATCAGAGCTCCGGTAGAGTGAGCACGCTGGATCGATCGAACATTTCCATTTCTTTGGATTCCGTAGGAGATGAGCTCCCTACGGCAAAGAGGACAAGAATTGGAAGTCTTGAGCCATGTTTGAAGACAGACACTTCCAAATATATGCTTACAAGGCGTGATGACTGAAAATTCGGGAGATTGGTGATCATGTTGCAAAGAAGTAGGGTGAGTATCCTGGCCATTATCTATTCTGGTCGAAGCATCTGTTATGTTTCGTTAGCTTGTTTTCTGAACATAAATTGATGGTATGTGTTACGTACATGTCTCGAAACAAAGGGGACAACTCTCTTCTCCCTCCTCATCATACGTTGCCCAGTTCATCAAAGCTTTGACAACCGTATTCGCACGACTGGTTCCATCTGGCACGCGTTGATGGCGAGTTTGAAGAGCAACAGGTGGAGCAAGAGGCGCTGCATCTTGCAGGGTTTCAGCAATGTCCGTCATATCTCTGCTTTAGGAAATTTGTAATCAATAAGAAGAAACAGACAAGGCAACACCACTCTAAGAATGATTATGATCACAATTAATAGCTCAATGAAATCTGTTAGACAGAAGCGCACCCGACGAGCCATGTGAGAATGCTGTTGTGTTGGCTATCACAGATATCTGTCAGGAAAGAGCAGAGACTCCAGACACTCCAACAAAAGAATTCCGATATAAATTGTGATGAAAATTCCTGCAATTGCTGCGAGGGGGAGGAGATACAGCGGAAGATCCATGTAATGATTTTGTTATGTCAATTGATAAGTCAAGTTGATACAATATGAAGAGAGTGAGTGACCGGATTTAGAAGGCAAAGAGCTAAAAGGCTACGAACGAATATCGTTGTCTTGAATAAAATAATATTGCTTTATGGATATTGTACGAATATTGTGAGAAGAGAGGAGAAGAGAAGAAAAGAGAGATATGAGATTGAGAGATATCCTGGGGAGCATGGTCATTCGCACCTTCCAGACTGAAAATCGTTGTATCATGGTTGCCACTTTGCTTCCCTCTGGAACGTTTCCTCCTTCCGGTTTTATATTCAGCTGTAGTCATAGATGTTGTTGACCTCGCCAAAATACTAAATAACACGCCGACGTAATTTGAAACGCAAAGGAAACTGTCCCTTCCTAACATGGAATCTGCAAAGAAGCTCTCACGACATTGATATAGTCACTACTAGGGAAACCGTAATTATCGAGGAGAATTTGATGAATGATACCGGCTTTTTCCAATGTCGCTCATGTGTATCACAAACGATCAAAAGAAGCTTCAAAGGAAATAACGATTACTCCCCATAAAGCTTTTCGGTGTCAAAAATATCATAAACAATTGCAAAGACGCTCCGAGGGGTGTAAAAACAAGGAGAAGCTTTCAGAAACAAATAATACTCTATTCGAGTAGTACTCAGTACAGTAACGAATATCTGTGAAGAAACTAGGCGTGGATGAAGATGCGATTGACAAACAGTATCTCTGTATATCGCACCAGAATCATTTCATCTCTCAATCTTGTACTCGAGTAGTTCTCATTGATAAGTTTATAAGCTTGGAAAAATTAGATGACCTACCGATATCGGTATCTTGACAACAGCCAGTCGTCTAAATTGCAGCTTCGACATCCTCAAGTGGACTGAATCCTCCATAGTTGGTTTCTGAGATGTTACAATTTGTGTGATGTAAACGCAATGACAATGTACTATGTGTCTTGAAGCTTTCCAAGAAGCCTTTGCAGGTACAGTACAGTAACCCCAATAACTCCAAGATAACCACATCCATTCCCATCCCACCCTATTACCACTCCATATCATCCCAATCTATAAGGTTTCCAATCATCAAATCCTCACTCATCACTCCATCCAATCCAATCCACCCATCAATCAATCAAATCCCTACGATAAACAATCCTAATTTACAAATCCTCAACAACACCCACAACCCATACTAACCCCAACCCTCAAAACACAATATCCATATCCATATTCAAATTCAAATTCAAATTCAATTTCAATTTCATACTCAATTTCAAATCAATAGACAAACAAGCGGGGTAAATCGCGTGCTGCAGGAGGGGTAAATAATCCACGAACGTGGATTGGTAAGATTGCAATACCCAGATCCCTGGATGTAAATGATGTGATTCATTCCCAATACCACTTGTGAAACTCTTATCATATCACAAAAGAGAGAATGAATGAATGAATGAATGAATGATACAATGAATGATACAATGAATGATACAATATCTAGGTATGGATGATGTTATATGTGCTTCCATTTTCCTAGTATTTGATTGGAGGATTGCGTTGTGTTGGTAGCGTACTGGCTAGTATATATATATAGTACCGTGTGTATAACTTCCAAGCGTATTGAGATCTAATTTTATTAGTATTTTTATAAAATCATATCTTTGAGTTCTGAGCTTAATTTGATCGCATTCCATAAACACAGCAAATAAAAACCTCAAAGACAAGACAAATCATGGCTCCATCAGCAACCACAACCCAAGATCTCGCCATCCACCCTTCAACCACCATCAAAGACCTGGTTTCCCCCCTAAAAACAAGCCTACCGATCCCCTCAAACACAAGAGCGAGATTGGAAAAAGCCGGTATTGATCTCTCGGATGGTTATCCTACGCGTCCAGGACGTCCTTTATATCGTATGTTATTTCCATTCGTCTCCCTCCTTCCTACTCCCTACCCCCTACTCACTACACACAACATCGATACAACAAAACAAACCAAACTAACCTTCTCTCCTCCAATAAGTGCAAGATGTCCTCGCCATCCGCAATACCCCACGCGAGCATCACGATGCCGGATCCCGCGCCGATAAAACCAAGAAAAACCTCCTGGAAACTATCCACAAGAATAATGGGAAGATCGTGGATTTGACTAAGAATATCGGGACGGAAATATCGGGTCTTCGTCTTGATGAATTGACGGATGAGCAGAAAGATGAATTGGCTTTGTTGGTAGCGGAGAGAAGTGTCGTGTTTTTGAGGGGGCAAGAGGGGTTGAGTCCGAGGGTTCAGAGGGAATTAGGTACTTGGTGGGGAGAGGTCGAGGTTCATGTATGTTTGTTTTGTGGTTTGTTTTTTGGGGATGAGGATGAAATGTGTGCTAATGATGTGATGTATAGCCACAAGTACCGCATGTACCAGGACTACCCGGCGTCACGGTGATTTGGCCAGCGTTGCAAGCGAGTGAGAAATCAGGAAAGCCGAATTTCCGAAATCCAGGCGGTGCGAGTCGATGGCACTCGTATGTTTTCTTCAATCCTTTCTTTACTAACTCACTCGAGTTCGTCTGAGAGACAAATTACTGACATGAAAACTTTCTAAAGAGATTTGGTGCATGAACTTCACCCTGCAGGATTAACCCACTTGCACAATGACACTGTTCCAGAAGTCGGAGGCGACACACTCTGGGCATCGGGTTATGCAGCCTACAGTAAATTGTCCCCCGAATTTCGCAAATTTATCGACGGGAAACAAGCCATTTATGTCTCGGCACATACATATCTCGATCGGGATGATCCGACTGCTGGTCCAAAACATGTCGAACGAGCACATCCTATTGTGCGTGTTCATCCAGTTACAGGATGGAAGACATTGTGGGTGAATAGAGCGATGACGAAGTCGATTGTCGGATTGGACAAGGCGGAAAGTGATTTGATTCTGGGGTATTTGTATGATGTTTTTGAGAAGAATGTGGATATTCAGGTGAGGTTTCGGTGGACGGCTGGGACGAGTGTTATTTGGGTGAGTTTTTCCCCCAGACTTTCTGGGATCGAGTTTGAAAATGAAGGGGTAATAAGCGAAGAGATGCTAATAATGATTAAATAGGATAATAGAAGTACAATTCATAACGCGAGTTGGGATTATGAGGGGACGGAAGAGAGACATGGGACGAGAGTTACGAGTTTGGCAGAGAAACCTTATTATGAGGAGGGAGCAAAGTCGAGAAGAGAAGCTTTGGGTCTGAACGATGAATAGGTTGGGAGGAAGGAATGCTTTCGGTGATTAAGAGACTGTCTTGAGAAGGATATAGATTGAATAAAATTCGAATAACTTGCTTTGAATTGTAGGTGACGGATCCTGGAATAATTAAGATGGCTAAATTAAACAATAGAAAATTATATTATCAGATAAGGAAGCGCGCGCGTCTGATCTGATTGCAACACTGGAGGCAATGATTAATTCTGAGAGTGGCCAGCAATACTGGGCTTGATATATGGTTCGTCCATAATTTGCGATTTATATCGGCGTGCTGAGAACTCTTTTTGGCCTCGGTACGTATACGAAATTACACCTGCTAGCTACGACCGTATACGATACCTTGCAGTGCTCATCCTCAACGGTTTCGCGGGCATGAGATAATGTTCGAGACCACGCCCTATTTTCACTTTTGTGTTACAGCAACACCTGGAGTATGAAAGTAAGAAGTGAAAGGGAAACTGATAGTGAAGATGTAGGAACGGAGTGTGTCAAGGAGATATCTTAAATCCATCCCGATCGGTGACCTTCACCGCTTCTTTTTCAGGAGAGGCTTACTGCACGATTTGAAAAATTGTTATCTGGAGACCGGATTGGGAATGGGAAAGGTCATGAAGGAGATTCCGATCCCGACGATGTCATGTGATTAGAAATGGGAATATCTTTTTATTATGGATATGACGGCATCATATTGTGTGTATCATCGAAGGAAGAAAGGAAAGTCAACGGTTAGTGCAATACACCGACTGGTTCGTACTTTGGAGGATTTGACGAGTCAAGTAACTGAGATGACTGAGATGGCTGATTGGTAGTATTTGGATTGGATTGAATAGGTAAGCTTGGTATCCAAATGGGTTCTGCTTAAGATGGTAAGTTTTAGGTCCCGAAGGCCGAGATTGAGAATCATAATCTGGGGAGAGGTTGGTTGTCGTTCGTTAGGCACGAATTGTTGATAAGCAAAGTTTAAATAAACATATCCATGTTGATATCCACCCACTTGAAAGACGTTTTGACCTTTGGAAGGGGGGAGGGAATGGAGGTTCCGTCGAGGAAAGACTTCACTACGTATGTGTCATTCCTAGTAGTACTAGTAGTAGTACTACTAGTATACTGGCTGTGAAAGTTAGACCTGTCTACTCACACCGTATGTAGCAGTTTAGCAGTTTAGAGGTCTAGCACTGCCAGTTGAATAGTTGAATAGTTGAGTAGTTGAACAATTTCAGATTAGCTTTTCTAATACTCCATAGAAGATCTTGATAGAATGCTTGTTTGGTATCCACAAGTTCTGTCTAGATTAGATGACTAATATTCTGATGAATCATCCAATCATCCAATCATATTGTATATGTATTCTTCCTCGGTATTTCAAAATACCGATTGGTTCTCTTATTTCCACTTCTCTCTCCACCACTTCCACTCTTTTGCTCCTTCTTCACAATCAATAAAGCTTCCATCACTTCCAATTTGTATTGCTTATCCCCGGTCCCGGTTATACACGCTAGTACTTTGGATGTCCTGATTTCATACCCTTGTCTACCTGGCTACCTAGGTGAAGTCCAATTGGAAAGGATGCACTATCCTCGCTCTGATCGCATCTGGAGGCGACGATCGAATGAATGATAAGATGCACCATCTCCCCTCTGTAATGTTTTGGTGATGAATTTGCGACTTGCAATTTCTCACCTAATACCGATATACTTCCTTGAAGTAGCATTCTTGTCCAAGAAGCTTTAATATGGCAGATCCGCCTGATCATGAGAAAGAATTCGCCCCCACGGATCCTGCAGCCGCACTTCAAGATACAGCTCATGATGAACCACGAGATGAAGATGGATCTGATAGGGAATACTTGGAAAGGCATGGAGAACTATCAACTCAGCAAAACTCCCTCGAGGTTGGAGATGGCGAGAAGGAATATATGGAAATTTCGAGCCCAGACAATGTGGACAGCCATTCATCCGAAGGTGGAATCGATCAAGATAAAAGACCAAAAATGAAGCAGGTTCAGAGCTATGCTACATCGAATAGTGCGGTAACGAGAACAGATTCGAACATAGATCATCCCGTTGTCAAGAAAGCATGGTACCAGAAGATCAACCCATTAAAATGGGGCGCAATTCCTCCCGTTCCAGAAGCCCGAATACCATCCAGGGAACACACAGCTTCTTTCTTGTCTTTAATTTACTTCCAGTGGATGGCACCCATCATGAATGTGAGTTTATGGTCCAAGGCAACTTCATGCGCCTCAGATGCTAATAAATCTTAGGCTGGATATCGGCGGCAACTCGAGCATAACGACATATGGACGGTGAACCCCAATCGAAGCGTAGACCTATTATCGGATAAATTACAAGCATCTTTCAAAAGAAGAGTGGCGAATGGAGACAATTATCCTTTGATATGGGCGATGCACGAAACATTCAAATTTGAGTTTTGGGTGGGGGGAGCATGCCAATTTATATCCAATATCCTCCAAGTCGTGTCACCTTTCACGCTACGATACTTGATTACATTCGCCTCAGACGCATACACAGCAGCACAGGAAGGTCTTCCGGCGCCACATATTGGAAGAGGATTAGGACTTGTGTTTGGTATTACCATAATGCAGATGTTTCAATCTCTGGGTACAAATCATTTTATCTATCGTGGAATGATGGTTGGAGGCCAATCGAGAGCCGTTCTTATTTCGGCCATTTTCGAGAAAGCTATGAAAATCTCGGGACGGGCCAAGGCTGGAGGTCGTTCAATCAAGAGCCAAGAAGATGAAAAGGATGCCCAGAAAGCTCAAGATCTGGTCGAACAAGCTCAGAACAAGAAAGGCAAGAAGAGTTCCAAGGTAGTTGGTGCCAAAGGAGCACCAGATGCCGGACGAGGCATAGCAGGTGACGGTACAGGGTGGGCTAACGGAAGAGTGGTAAACCTGATGTCAGTCGATACGTACCGTGTTGACCAGGCAAGTGGCATGTTCCACTTGATTTGGACGGCCCCTATCTCTTGCATCATCACCCTCATACTCCTTCTCATCAATTTGACCTACAGTGCCCTTGCAGGTTTCGGACTCCTGGTCGTCGGTCTTCCATTATTAACTAAGGCTGTCAAGAGACTTTTCGTTAGACGAAAAGCTATAAATAAGATCACCGATCAAAGAGTCAGTCTCACACAAGAGATTCTGCAGGCAGTTCGATTTGTGAAGTTTTTCGGTTGGGAGACCGCATTTCTAGACAGACTTGCTGCCATCAGGAACAAAGAGATTCGCTCCATTCAGATCTTATTAGCGATAAGAAATGCGTAAGCTTGATCGATTTACAATTTCACTCCCTAACATCCACTTCTGTTCCGCGATCTCAAACTCCATTATTTTATTTCTACATTAATTCTCTATTTCCCTCTCAGTCTTCTTGGTAGGCAATTACTGACTCTTCATTTTTGTAGCATCAATGCAGTTTCCATGACTTTGCCTATTTTTGCTTCTATGCTAGCTTTCATCACTTACAGCTTAACGAGTCACGGGCTAAGCCCAGCACGTGTATTCTCGTCTCTCGCTTTGTTCAACTCACTAAGATTGCCGCTGAATCTATTACCTATGGTCATTGGGCAGGTTATTGATGCTTGGTCGTCGATTTATCGAATACAAGAATATTTACTCAGCGAAGAGCAAGTGGATGATGCTAAGCCAGACCACGGACTAGAGGGAGCAATAGTTTTACAAGACGCCGACTTCACTTGGGAGCGAACAGCCACTCAAGATCCCGAAAAGGCTGGACCACCTGGGAAGAAGCAGACGAAGACTGAGAACAAAATTGAAAAGGCAGCCAAGAAGCAAGCGGTCAAAGATGAGAAAGCCGCTGTCAAATCTCGGCCAAGCTCTTCGCAAAACGGCGAAGGTACCCCTATTGATGATGCTAGCACTGTCAATGGAGATCGAGAGCCATTCAATTTGCAAAATATGAACTTTACTATCGGGAGAAACGAACTAGTAGCTGTTATTGGTGGAGTTGGAAGTGGAAAGAGCTCTTTACTCGCAGCTCTCGCAGGGGACATGCGAAAAACCAGGGGAGAGATGACTATGGGCGCTGAACGAGCCTTTTGTCCTCAATACGCTTGGATTCAGAATGCGACCGTCCGAGACAATATCTTGTTTGGAAAAGACTTGAAAAAGTCATGGTATAATAAAGTCATTGATGCTTGCGCCTTGAGGCCTGATCTGGACATGCTACCAAATGGCGATCAAACTGAGATCGGTGAGAGGGGTATCACTGTATCCGGAGGCCAAAAACAACGAATGAATATTGCACGAGCTATTTACTTTGATGCTGATCTGATTCTAATGGATGACCCATTGAGTGCCGTCGATGCACATGTTGGTCGTCATATCTTTGACAATGCAATCATGGGTTTACTAAAGGATAAGGCTAGGATTTTGGCCACTCATCAGCTATGGGTACTAAATCGTTGTGACAGGATCATATGGATGGAAGAAGGCAAAATTCAAGCGATCGATACATTTAGCAACCTCATGAATGAACATGTTGGTTTCCAACAACTCATGGAGACAACTGCAGTCGAAGAACAACGAGAGCCAGAAGTCGAGGAAGAAGAGGTCGAAGAGGAGAAGAAAACCGAGAAAAAGAAGCATAAAGCCCCAGCTTTGATGCAAGCTGAGGAGAGATCCGTCAAGAGTGTTTCGTGGACAGTATACGCCGATTATGTGAGGGCTTCCGGTAGCCTCCTGAATGCCCCGATTATCTTGTTGCTTCTTCTACTTTCGCAAGGTGCAAATATTGCCACTAGTTTATGGCTTTCGTATTGGACAAGCGATAAATTCGGATACTCTAATGCTGTGTATATTGCAGTGTACGCTGCGCTTGGTGCGAGTCAAGCTTTGCTGTTATTCTTCTTTGCTCTGTAAGTGCATTACCTTACTACATTACAAATGATAGTGTCAATCTTGCTAACCGTCTCGCATCAGATCTCTTACAATCTTAGGAACAGTTGCCAGTAAGGCAATGCTTAGCAAAGCCATTACAAAGGCACTCCGAGCACCTATGTCATTTTTTGACACAACTCCGCTAGGGCGCATCACCAACCGATTCTCAAGGGATGTTGACGTTATGGACAACAATCTCACTGACGCCATACGAATGTACTTTCTAACCATGGCCATGATTATCTCGGTATTTGCCTTGATCATCGCCTACTTCTATTATTTTGCTATTGCGCTCGCGCCCCTATTAGTCGTATTTGTATTTGCAGCCGGATATTATCGAGCATCGGCACGAGAGATGAAACGTTTCGAATCAGTCTTTCGATCAAATGTCTTTGCCAAGTTCAGTGAGGGGCTTTCGGGAACTGCTACTATTCGAGCATATGGACTACAAGATCGATTTATTACCGACTTGAGAAAGGCCATTGATGAGATGGATTCCGCTTATTTTCTTACCTTCTCTAACCAGCGCTGGTTATCGACTCGGCTTGATATTATTGGAAATCTACTGGTTTTCGTAACTGGCATTCTAGTGATCACTTCCAGATTCTCCGTGGGACCATCTATTGCAGGATTGGTGTTATCTTACATTCTCTCTATTGTTCAGATGATTCAATTCACTGTTCGCCAACTAGCAGAAGTTGAGAATGGGATGAATGCTACAGAACGCATTCATTACTACGGCACGTCTTTGGAGGAGGAGGCACCACTGCATACAATCGAAGTCCGCCCATCATGGCCTGAAAGCGGCGAGATTATTTTTAATGACGTCCAAATGCGATACAGGGAAAACCTCCCACTAGTTTTGTCTGGTCTAACAATGCATATCAAAGGAGGCGAGCGTATAGGAGTTGTTGGTCGTACAGGTGCCGGGAAATCGAGTATCATGTCCACTCTCTTCCGACTTGTTGAAATTTCGGGTGGTTCGATCACTGTGGATGGTGTGAATATCAGCAACATTGGTCTTCATGACCTTCGATCTCGTCTTGCCATTATCCCACAAGATCCCACACTGTTCAAAGGAACCATCAGAAGTAATCTGGATCCATTCGGCGAACACAGTGATTTGGAACTATGGTCCGCACTACGGCAATCTGATCTCGTGGCCTCGGACTCGAATCTCGAAGATGAAGTCACAGGACGTATCCATCTCGATTCCATAGTCGACGATGAAGGGTTAAATTACTCCCTAGGTCAAAGACAATTGATGGCTCTTGCACGCGCTCTTGTCCGTGGGTCGCAAATCATTGTTTGTGATGAAGCTACTAGTTCCGTTGATATGGAAACCGATGAGAAGATTCAAAGAACTATTCAAGAAGGGTTCAAGGGTAAGACGCTTTTGTGTATTGCTCATAGACTTAAGACGATTATTGGATACGATCGTATTTGCGTGATGGATAAGGGCACAATTGCGGAATTAGATGAGCCGGTTAGGTTATGGGAGCAAGGGGGGATTTTCAGGGCTATGTGTGATAGGAGTGGTATTCGAAGAGAGGATTTTGCCAGAGCGGCGATCCCGACGGCTACAGTAACGGAGGGTTAGAATGATCCGTCAGTGGATATATTGATGGATTGGTTATTCTTTGTGAATACGATGGATGGTAGATGAGATATGGTACATATGCATTGCATGGGCATTCTTTGGAGCTTAGGAGAAATATGATATGAGATGAGCATATGATTTTTTGGGTTTGATACTTTGCTAAAGCTCTTGCACGGAGTATTATAGTATGGTGTAGAAAAGGAATGAAACATAAATTAATAGCAAGACAACAATTGCTCAAGTAAGCAATTTTTGTTGTCTATTTAACATGAATTCTCCATATTTTGGGCGGGACATTGAGTTAGTCTCGACTTAGACTCTTCTCCGCTCTATGTCGTAACAACGGAATCTCTGCGTTCTGGATCAAAAAGATGGTCTGGAAGAGGGTGGGGTACGTAAGATGACCGGGATAAGATCCCTCACAGAACCCGGTTCAGACGGTACAGATTGTTACGAGCTTCCGAATACGTCGTTGTGCAGAATCTTAGTCGCGGATTCCCACCTAGGGGTCGGCGAGGTTGAGTGGAAGATTGCGAATTAAGTTGTAACTTGGATGTTATATGAGTGAGAGGATTCCCATTGATGGTTTTTGGTTTCATTTTTGAGTTTGTTTGTTTGTTTATGTGAAGGTTTTGGTTTTGTATTCACTAGATATACTTGTATTTTTGTACTTTTTAGACTTTTGGTGAGATACTGGTACTTCCTTTCTTGCTTCTACTGTCGAAAATCTTCATCGATAGATAGACCCACTTCACTAGCTCGCTAATCGTATGGAAACAGAAGATCTCCATCATTACATCACGATCACGATGAATCCGCCCCTCCCTTTCCATTCCTCTTCCACTTCCACTTCCCAATTCCCAATTCCCATCTCCCATCCATCCCCATCTAACCATGCCCTGCACCGAACTAGCGCTCCTCCCCCTCACAACCCCCTTCTCCCCGCGCCTCCTCCCCAAACTCCGCATCGCCAAACACGTGCTGGAAAGGGCGTCGGGATATCCCTGTCATTTTTATCATCAGGTGGAAAATCCTTCGCTGCTCTATATCGTGGGCACCTGGCCGAGTCCAAGGCATCATGAAAGGTTCCTGCCGAGTGTGGAAATTTGGGTCTTTTTGATATGTTGATGGGGGAGGTGGTGCTTGGGATGGGGATTGGCGAGACGGTGGAGGGGAGGGGAATTAGGATGTGGCATTGTGAGTTGGGGATTTTTGTTTCTTTGGGATTTGGGGTTTGGATTTGTGTGGTGGAAGTGCGACTTGTGTGATGGAATTGGGTTGTTGGGTAATTGCTAATTTTCAACGATACTATAGTGGAAGGCGATATGCTCAATTCCCTACGCACAGAAATAGACGAAGGACTTGGGGATGAGGACTCGAAGAATATATCTCCCTTCAGCGCACCAATCATATCATGCAACAGACTTAGCACCACATCCTTCAATAAAGAAGGCTTCAGCAAGAAATTTGAAGAGGCAAAATATGCGTTAGAAGAGGAAACGAAAGAGTATGAGATTGAGGGAGGGTGGAGAATAGAAAAGGAGGCCGAGGATAAGGAGTAATGGGTTATGTTTTGTGGGTGAGATAGTGTGGAGCATCATATGCAGTTCAGGGGGAAGGAGGGCTTTAGGACGTGGAGTGGAATTGTGGATTGGGTGGAGGGGTTTGAGGTTAGGCATTTGAAGGGGATTCAGGGATTATGATTGTGGAGAAGAGGGACTAGGGATTGGGATAGGAATAGATGGAGGTTATTGGATTGGAAGGAAGGGAGGAACGATTCATTTTTTGGAGGAGTAATGGATTCACTTTGCTCTGGTTTTGCATCGATTGGGTTAATTTATGAGATGATGTTCTCGTTTGATACATTCAGTAATAAAACAGCCGAGATCTCTCTCTTCCCACGAATATTGAGTTACAACACTAGAAACATGATTTACACTCACTTTAATCCTAAATATATCCCCTCTCTTCCCCAAGTTGCAGAGATCACGTGAGAAAGGCCTATCTCCAAAAATTCTCTCGAGGTTCCTCGAATCTCCACATTTTATCCAGCTCTGGTCAACAACACCGCAAAATTCAAAATGTTAATCAATAAGAACACAGGTATATTGTCTTCCGTAGCTCAAAGTAGCTTATCGATAGACTAATATCTGCAAGCCGTCTCTACAAACAAAGTATTTTTGGTACCTTATGAAGAATCCCATGTGATGACATATCATGAGTGGATGAAAGATGAGGTATGGTAGATATTTGTGGCCATTAATCCTATTCCAATTCTCATTCCCACTTTTTGTTCATACATACATACATAAATTACATGCAAAGCCGAGAATCACTTATATAGAAACCAAAATGGAAAATAACAAACACCCCAGGAAATCCAACAAGCAACCGCATCCGAACCCCTCTCCCTCGAAGAAGAATATGCAATGCAGAGGAGTTGGAGAACAGACCATGATAAATTAACGTTTATAATTTGTTTACCGCGGGAGGAAAGTGGAGGTGAAGAGGATAGGGAGGGTGGATGGAGTGGGGAGGGAAAGATGATTGGGGATGTTAATTTATTTTTGACGGGCGCGGATGAGGATGGGGATGGGGATGGAGACGGGGATGGGGATGGGTATATGGGGGAAATTGAAATTATGATCGCGGAGGCAAGTGCTAGAGGGAAGGGATTGGGGAGGGCGGCGGTACTGAGTTTTATGGAGTTTTTAAGGGGGAATTTGGAGGGGGTGGTGGGGGAGTATAGGGAGGGGATTGGGGGGGAGAGGAAAATTGAAGGAGGGGGAATGAAGGGACTGCAGTTGAGGGTTAAGATTGGTGGGAAGAATTTTGGGAGTATTAGATTGTTTGAGAGTGTAGGGTTTGTGAAGGTGAGGGAGGAAGAGAATTATTTTGGGGAGCTGGAATTAATGTTTGAGGGGTGGGAAGGGGATGAGAGGGTTAAGGGGTTGATGGGAAGGTTTGGAGTGCAGGGGTATGGGGAGTTTGGATATAGATAGATGGTTTATGTGGGGATTGCATAACAGAGCTGCTTTTTATCTTGGGAGATGTGTGGAGTTGGTTGTGGGAGTGAAGAGGCATATGAGACTGGATGGGGTACTGACTACTATTTGAGAGTTGGAGGTTGTTTCCGTTCATTATTGGTTTACCGGACCGGGATATACTTGGTATTAATATGTGCGTGATGTACTCGTAGTCAGTTTGGTTTATTCAAAGGTATGGATGGGACTGAGCAGTGAGTAATAACTGTGAAGATGATGTAAGTCATGAGATTCTCTATTACCCGATCTTTCTGTTCTCAATACACTCACTCACTCTACTACTTAAACCTAAACACAAAAACTACTGTACAACACGCCTTAATTACGCCTTAGCCATACAAGTAGGCCCCCTTTTGTAAAGTTGTGACAAAAGTAAATACCCCCAATAGAAATACCATGAGCTCACAAAAAGCATGTAGTCCTTTCCATCACCATTGGTAATATGGTATCCAAAATTGCCCCATTGTGGGTTTACTAATGAGTATATATACCAAAGCTAGAGGGAGATACTTAATATTCTGTTAAGTTGATGCTAACAATGTTCAGATTTGGAGATATAGTTATGAAGATGATCACTGGTAGCGAATTAGCGATGATTCATCGTGATATCGCTATGGCATACCGGTATAACATGTACTGAGTAGTAGATGCAACATTCACCAAGACTACAATCACTAGCAGCAACACCAAAACCGAAATAAACTTTTTAGTCGAGAAGTACTGTGATACAAGAGCAAAACTTGGCAAAAACAGCTGGTCGAAGCCGATTCTGGTTATGAGATCATGTGGGAGAAATATTTGCTGGTATTATCATTACTCTAAAGACGAAGATATAGGTGACTAGAGAGAGTAGTATTTGTGAATATTAATATCCCATATTGGAAAATGTGCCGGTAATTGCATTTTCTAGAATTATGGAAAGTCTTAGAAGAAATCGATACATGCGGTGTTCGATGATGTTTCATGATGCTAACATATCTATATGGTTGATAGGATGTCTGTCATTGTTTGGTATACTCCGATTGTATTGGAATTTTCCTCGAGATGGAAATGTTAGTATTGTCTTTCCTCGGTAGAAAAGGGCACTTCTACTCATCAGAAAGATTAAGTCTGTCTTGCACGGGCTTTCGCTCAGGGCTGTTATCGAAAATATTTGAATACCCTAGAACGAAATTCTGGAGAGAAAATCGGGAATAGCAAGGCTCATGAATGACTGCAGCGAATTGGCAACCCAAAAATAAACGCAAAAGAAGAAGAGACCAGGGGAATGTGAAAAAAAGGGATTGACACCGTGACGTAATGAGGAAAAGATAAGAAAGGAGGGGAGTGCACAACTCAGGTTACGAGGATGTAGATTTCGCGGCAAAGTCGGTGATCACAACTCTAGATGCAGTTTATTTGACAAAGTAAAAGCTTAGCTGCTATTAGTTTCAAATTATGGATATTGGCGATGAGATTGTGTGTGGGATATGTTGGATACTTGTTGGTCGAGGGGATACATCTGCTGTGTGCACCGGCGACTGTGCATGGGTGTGGTATCTATCAAAAGATCGCTCGTATCTACTTACCAATGGAAACACTATACTTCATTGTTGTCATGTAGGGTTATGTCAACTTTTCAAGGATGATCAATATGCATATTGTAAATCAACTGTTTGTTCGCTAGCAAATATGATCTTTAGTTGAGATAAGCATTCTAGAACTTCCATCGGCCTCAGGAGAGATGAACTTTCGCGGTAACCCCCACCCCCAGCGTATCGAATGTTCCTGCAAAGTAAGAGTAACACTCGGTCATGTATGTCTGCCGTAAATCTAATGCATCGGCTTCCCTCTTTTGATGAAGGGTGTTGTTGCTGAAAATATGACGATAAGGCACGGGCCGGAGAAATCTCCCCATTTCGCTCGAGTTGCATCCAGAAATCATATTTGTGAGGCACAGCATATCAATCGAGTACAGACAGGGGTAAGAAGTATAAGCGACTCGGTACACGTTATGTTGCCACTTTTAATAGACTCGTTCGTCTCTGTAAAGCTTGCGTCACATCAATGTCTCACACGTGTTGCCCTGAAATGTCAATCATTTACTTCCAAACCTGCAAAATATCAACAAGGACAGGAAATCTACAGTTCAGCAGTTTCGTCCCGAGCTTGCTCCCTTTGAGGATATTCACCGCGATATCCGTCAGAATCTTGAACTTTCCCTTCAGAAACTTCAGACGTCGCCCTCGTTGCCGGATTTTTGGATTCACTCGATGGCTACAAGAGCATCAAGGGAATCGGAGATCATGATATGGTTGATATCCTAGCAGATGAACCAGGAGCTACCATTCTACGTCGCGCTGACATGGATGCTTGCCTCATCTCGAGAACACCAATCTAGAACATGCGGGTGTTAAAAAGTGGTGATGGGAAAGAAACCCTTGTAATACATGTCTATGGACGTTTCAAAAATCCATCCGTTTACACAAACCACATATAAGCGCCTGATCGCAGCTGTCAGACGCGTCGTTTGCTCAAAATGCGAGAATTCTAATTCTCTTGCCATCCGAGAACCCAAATTCAGCACCATCATGGATGCCCCATCCCCCTTCAAAGACATTCCAGCAGTAGAAATACTCAAGAAATCCATTGGAGATCGTTTTGGTGCGATTAGAAATTTCTCGTATTTGGGGTTGGGATGTGATGCACCTCATGCCTTCGACAACTTTGGTTGTATTGACAAGGATATTTGGGGAAAAACAAAGTCTAAAGGAAAGATGGAAGAGACTTTCTCGTAACCACTGGGCACTCTTTGTACCGAAGATTTAGCCAACAATGACACTGCTGTTGATGCATTCGCACTTGCGACTTTGACTTCGGCAGAGGTAGGGTCAATTAAAGGAGTGTGAGGCGTGAAGGATCGCATGGGAAATTATGTACCTTTAATTTCTTCGGGAAAGGCCAATATTGCACTCGAGTAAATCTATTTCATGTTGTACAGTACTTAATAGCGTAAGTGTAATTTATCTAACATTGACTTCTCATTTGACATCTCCACCACCAAGAATATCTTTCATATTGATCTCTCCACTACCTCGAGGTAATGGTTGTGCTTGATTTGGTCCTTCCTTCCAACCAATCATGTATATCAACCTAAATGTTGCAGGTATTGTGCCATCCTTATTCCCATGTAACTCTCGATATATTCCCTCGTTCGCGAGAAGAACATCCTTCTTAATTGCACCTGGCTCTCTTCCCAGTGTAGCGTTACTCTCACCCATCTGTTGCAAATCTTGCATCAGGGCAAATGTATCGGGAAAGTCGATAATGATGTCGTCAATGTCCACGGTTAACATTTTGAACCCCGCTTTCTGTAATAGTCCTCCGACGTCCTTTACATCTGCTAGAGGAGAAACATGTGGAGAAACTCCTCCTCTTCGTTCCATATCTGCGAGCTGCAATGAAGTTCGTAATTCAAATAATGTATCGCCACCGAGCATTGCAGCTATGAAAGGTGCATCGGGTTTCAATACGTGATTGATTTGCGCGAGTAGTGATGGAAGATCATTGATCCAATGCATACTCAATGAGCTCAATACTGCATCGAATGTTTCTGCTTCGTAAGTTAACCTTTCCTCATCGTCGAGCACTTCGCGTGTGAGGTTTATTTCCTTGTTGAATGGTAGATCTTCGTCTCGGTATAGCATGTTTCGAGATGAGTCTGCGGCTGTGAGATGGGCGATACGAGAGGAAAGTGGAGGGGATGTAGGTTTCGATGGGTCTATATCTGGATCTGGTAGAGTGAGAGCTCTAGCTATATTGCATGAATTTGCCCCAAGGTCTAGGACATGCTGGAAATGTCTGTTGATGTCCTGTATATTATGAGCTACTTGATCTCAATTAAAACAAAATAATCTCACCAGTAACCTTTCCGAGAGTCGCTTGGCTACTTCATCCTTCAGATAATCCACCTGCCTGCTTTTCTCCTTGTTCAAAGCTGCACGTTCTTTTTGTAGATATTTTGTATGTCTGTCAAAGACTTGTAGTGTAGGTGATCCTGGGGATTGAACGGCATAGTTTCGAGATACACATGGTCTACATGTTATCGAAGGTCTCAGAAGAAGAGATCTTAAAGTCAAAGGCTTCATTATTGGGAATGAAGTAGTAAGGAATTTTATGGTAAATTATACAAATAATACAAGAACATAATTCCCAATCCTCAATGGGTTGAGACTTGTATAGAGTTTTATGGTTGACGTTAATGACATTGGCAAGGCTAAGCTTAAGGCTAAAATGCCTTACCTAAGAAATTAAACCCATGTTATTTCTTAGCAGCGATGTTCCTTATGCCGCGTACGGAACGGACCTTAGAAGTGCAGTTGAATGATTCTAAATTCCAACTTCACCAGGAATCGATCAACCTTGAATATCTCTGTGTCTAGAATTTTGAAAGAAAGGAGGCGAATACGCCATAACTATTATGCTGATGGCGAATCACGAGCAAGGCTAAAGATTCCATAGCCATCAGCGCATTTCGAGAGGTACCAGCAAACTGGCCCAACACAATCCCGGGAAGTCTGTGGAAAGAAAGTACCATCAGGAACCGACAAAGAAGCCCGCCAATAGTTTGCAAGCGCACGCCGTATCATCGTCTCAATTCGTTCTCCGATCACAAATACATAGAACTCGACGCAAAAGGTCAATAGACAGATAACAAGGATGGCATCTTCCGCAGGAAGCTTTCTGGGCCGTGGGAGCTCAGGAAACAATTCGAATATGCGGGGCCTCGTACAGTTCATTGCGGATCTTAGAAACGCAAGAGCAAGAGAGCTTGAGGAAAAGAGAATCAACAAGGAACTCGCGAATATAAGGTTGGTCTTCACTCCTCTGCAGGCCCAAGGCTTCTTATGCAAGGCTGACTTTTGTTCCTCGTCAAAGGCAGAAATTCAAAGGTCCGAAATGTTGCCCAGCATAAAGGGGGTGTAGCTAATTTTGACAAATAGATGGGAGCCTGAGTGGTTACCATAAGAAGAAATATGTCTGCAAGGTAAATTGTTCAATTGCCTCCCACAAAATTCACCTCTAATCAGTACTTCTCCAGCTCTTATACATCTACATTCTTGGGTGGAATGTCGATTTTGGCCATCTCGAAGCAGTCAACCTCATATCTGCGAATAAATACTCGGAAAAGCAAATCGGATACTTGGCGATGACCCTGTTCCTTCATGAAGGACACGAATTGATACATTTAGTTGTGAACAGTATTAGGAAAGACTTGACAGACCACAATGAATTATTTAACTGTTTGGCATTGCATGCAATTGCTAATGTGGGTGGAAGAGAAATGGGAGAGGCGTTGAGCGGAGAGGTCCATAGACTCCTAATATCACCGTGAGAAAGCTCGTCTCATTTCTGTTCCGTGTCGTGTTAATATCATAGCAGGACATCCAAATCATTTGTCAAAAAGAAGGCAGCTCTGACTCTTCTTCGACTCTACCGAAAACATCCCGATATAGTGCAGCCGCAATGGGCGGAACGAATTATATCCTTAATGGATGATATTGATATGGGTGTTGCTCTCTCGGTCACCTCCCTCGTTATGGCTCTTGCTCAAGATAATCTCGAGCAATATAAAGGATGTTATGTTAAAGCTGCAGCCAGAATGAAGAGAATAGTCGTGGACCAAGAATTCACCCAGGATTATCTTTATTACAAGGTGCCTTGCCCATGGCTACAAATGAAGCTTATAAGGTTATTACAATATTATCCCGCGTCAGGTATGTTCTATTACATGTAGACATACAATTGCTAATAATATTTAGAGGACACACATGTAAGAGATTTGATTCGGAAATCCATACAGAAAATTCTGGACGATGCCTCCGATATGCCTAAGAATGTTCAGCAGAACAACGCACAAAATGCGGTTTTATTCGAAGCCATCAACCTTGTCATTCACCTCGATACCGAAGTAGATCTTATGAAACAGATCTCAACAAGACTAGGAAAATTCATTCAGTCACGGGAAACCAATGTTAGGTATCTTGGTCTGGAAGCCATGACACATTTGGCCGCAAGAGCTGATATCTTAGATCCTATCAAGCAGCATCAAGCAATCATTATTGGATCCTTAAAAGATAGAGATATTAGTGTGCGAAGGAAAGGTTTGGATTTGCTATACAGCATGTGTGATCAGACCAACGCACAAGCAATCGTTGGCGAACTTCTGCAATATCTTCAAAATGCAGATTTCGCTATCCGAGAAGAGATGGTCTTAAAGATTGCCATCTTGACCGAGAAATATGCTACTGATATTCAGTGGTATGTTGACATATCATTGCGACTTATTGCAATGGCCGGAGATCATGTCAGTGACGAGGTTTGGCACCGAGTTATCCAAATTGTTACGAATAACGAAGAGCTCCAAGTATATGCAGCACAGAATATTTTACAGTATTTGAAAGCGGAGCACTGTCACGAGACACTTGTTAAAATTGGCGGATACCTACTTGGCGAATTTGGCCACTTGATTGCAGAAGATAAAGGTTGTAGTCCAATCGAGCAATACCTTGCATTACAAGGCAAATTACAAGGTTGTTCATCGAGTACCAGAGCTATCATTCTTTCATCTTTTATCAAATTTGTCAATCTTTTCCCTGAAATCAAACCTCGACTTTTGTATGTATTCGAAGCATACAGTCATACCTTAGACTCCGAACTTCAGCAAAGGGCTTGCGAGTATTTGGCTTTGGCAAGTCTACCAACTGATGATCTTCTCCGAACGGTCTGCGATGAAATGCCACCTTTCCCAGAACGTCAATCGGCATTACTTTCGCGGCTGCATCAAAAGCATGCTGGAACTAGTGATAAGCGGACTTGGATTGTGGGAGGCAAAGATGCCAATGCTAATGAGAAAGATTTCGTGGTTGCTAAGAACCCAGGGTTGAAGCGCACGTTTAGCACAAATGGAGCAATCGCCAATGCTGTCGGAGCTAACGGGGGTACTAATGGTACAACTGGAAAAACCAATGGCTCCAGTAACGATCTCGCTGGCTTGGATCTCATGGATCAAGGACCGTCGGAACCAAAAACTCTCAAGGCGCCAAACCTTGCAAGTGCGGCCCATCTTTCGCCAGACTGGGAGATTGGATACAACAAACTTCTTCTAAGAGCCGAGGGTGTACTCTATGAAGATGGACAAATACAGATTGGAGTCCGATCTGAATATCGTGGCCAAATGGCATGCGTCATCTTATATTTCTCCAACAAAGCCCCAACCTCCATCAGCTCATTCACCACAACACTCGATCTCGAACCAAACGAAAAGGAGAACCTTACATGGGAAGTTAAAAGTTTACCGGAAAGCACAATTCACGAAGGTGCACAAAGTCAACAAATGATAATGTTTGAGTCGAGAAAGGTGTTTGAAAAGAGTCCAACGATTAGAATCAGTTACCTGGCTGGAGCTCTCCAAGCTTTGACCCTGAAGCTTCCAATCACCACACATAAATTCATGGATCCAGCAGAATTATCTGCAGATGATTTCTTCAAACGATGGAAGCAAATTGGAGGAGAACCACGTGAAGCTCAACGCATTTTTGGCGTTAAGGGTGGTAAAGGTGGAATTCGTGAATTCACTGATGGATTTATTCGAAAGACTATTGATGGTTTTAGATGGGGTATTTTGGACGGCGTGGATCCTAATAAGAAGAATTTTGTCGGTGCCAGTGTGCTGCATACTGGTGATGGAGGCAAGTTTGGCTGTTTGTTGAGACTCGAGCCAAATTATGGGACTCAGGTTCGTATTTCTTTATACGTTACTATTCTGTTGGGAATTCCTAATGCTAATATAATGTCCAGATGGTCCGTCTCACAATCCGAGCGACGGATGAAAGTGTCCCACTAGTTTTAATCAAGCTCATGGAAGAAAGACTTGCTGTCGGTATTTCAACGCAGCCGGAAATGCTATCACCACCTACACGAAGAGAAATATCTGACGTATTTGGTAATGTACTTGTTGAATAGGGCCACGGAAGATCTCACGATCAGAGAGATGGGATGAGAGATGAGTAAGAAGGAAATAAAATAATGTGAGGAAGGGTCTGAAAGATCGATCTGTAAGTGAAAGGAAGGACTTTTGGAATGATAGTTATAGTGATAAGCCATGCCAAAGCAAGGCAAAATTTGGAGCGCAATATTCCTTTCACTCCTGTTTGGGGGCCCCTGTAGAAAGGTCCATTGGAGTTCGGTCTGTAAACACGAGGTAGTAAGCGGGTAGCCGCGAACTCGACAGATGATTCATACATTTATAGAGATTTAATTTCGCGGTCACCTCACTATGATTATGGAAGGAAGTACTTCCTCATGTGACATCCTGTATTATGATGATTTGTTGCTATTAGCTGGCATCGGACTTGGTAATTCCGCTGAGGTTTAGCAAAGGCGTGGTTGGGTGAGCTTAGAAGTCATGAAGTTTAGCCCCAGCAGTGACTTAGTTCTTTTTCCCTCTTTTAGCAAATGAATGCTTCAGGAAGAACGAAAAACTGTGTGATGGACATATCTTGTTTACCTTTCGTCTCACAAATTGGCTGTAAATAATAGATGATACTGGAGTACTCGAGTAGATTAATTGAAGTATCTCGGGTCTGTAAGGGGTTTTCGTTGACTCCTTCAAACCTATGATATATACTATGCGAGTAAAATGCTTTTGTTGAAGAATAGATCGATAGTTCGATTTAGGAGGAGGGTTGCACAAGCTATATGAAATGTAATTGCAGGTATGGATAGCAGACGCAGTGATAGACACCCGTGATGACAGAATTTGCGGGAAACGCGAGTAAGAGATAGTTTCTCTGTATTTCGTAGAATACTAGACTTACTTGTATAGAAAATGGAATTCATAGTTTTCCTTATAGCATTTCTTTTGCGTCACGGTCTTCTAATAGCGAGCGCTCGGTCATATTGTCACGTATTTGCCACGTTTACTAGCTTTTTTGTTCAATGTACCATAGTAGTTAGTAGTTCAGACATTTCTGGAGATCCGGTTCATTGATCGCGGAGCAAGCAAGGAAGTCTCCAAGAAAAATTATCACATGAAAGGGATATGAAAACTTAGTTTGAATAGCTGTCAGCATATATGTTTCATTTACTACACCTAAACTGAGCTCATAACCCCTAGATCTGATAAATATCTAAGTTGGAGGCATATACTTCCATATTATCCTGGACCAGCTCTCTTTCGATTATTCCTTGTACCCACAGCTTTCTAGGATTCCGAAACTTTTTCTTCAAAATTCATGACTTTTCTCATGCCATCCATCCATTTTTTACTCAAATCCAAATCATTGAAGAATCGATACCCGAAAACATATTGTTCCAATCCACACTTCCCACCTCAATTCCTTGCTCAAAACTCTGTGCTAATTCATTAAAATACGTCGACACATCATCACCGTTGGTATATATTCCATCTGCTAAAATTATATCACTCCCTCCCAGCGCACTCGACGTCAACATCGGCAGTGGTAATTCACCATAGAGCTGTGGAGGCGTATTGGCTACATTAGGTGATACGAAGAGCTGCTCAGCCGGCCTCGGTGCCGGCGAGACTTCATGCTTGCGCAACACATGCGTGAGGGAGTCGAGAAATTTTGCCGCTGTTTCGGATTCATGTTTTGCCTCTTCGAGGATTCGGAGCGCTTCGGCGAGTTCTTCGCGGTGTTTGGCATGATTCGATGAGGTTTTACTATGATACAAGTCCATGAGCAGCACAATACTTGCCATGAATAGTGGAACCAGGAACCCGAGGAATTTGTAGCGTGTTGCTGATATCCTCGACGTTCCCAACTGTGATTCTGTTTGGATCACGAGGCGGGCTGACTGTAGGCATATTTGGCTGGAGGAAGCGAAAGCGGGATCGGTGAGGCCGCGGGTGAAGTATGGGATGTGGAGTGTGCACCGTTGGGCATAGAGAAGGGAGTAGAACATGTAACCTTGGTGGACTATTTTTGAGGCGCGTGAAGGGTCAAGTTGGTAATTCGCGGTCAGTTCCGCTACTGTCATTGAGAAGAAGGCCGGAGTATCATTTAAGAGCATTTGAAGCTCGGTATCGATATTCATAACAACGTCGTGATTAGGGCCGGCAAGACCCATTATGAGGGGACTGCGGTCAACCATGTTGTGTGAGATTTCTGATAGACGGAGTTGTAGTAACTGGAAAGACATTGTGGTCGGTTGAGATAGTACTTGCTCAGTGCATCGCATGCCATCTATTACGTCCTCGTCGTTAATATTTAGAGGTTTTCTGACTAGCATATGACGTGGATGGCAGTGATAAATATTCTGTGACCCGCAATTGAATCGTCTGGAAGGCAGTGACCTAAGACTCATTAGTGTGGGCTTACTATCAATTGAAGATGAGCGCAAACCAATCAGCTGCAACAAGATACCACCATACTCTTCGCCCAATTTCTGTCTGAGCTGAATTTGCCAACTTCATGTTAGATGGCTGGTCTAAGAAATGCAGTCCAAGTTCTCGTGCTAGCATGAACGCCATATTGAACAAAGATTTGCATCGTCGAGAGAATCCTTCCATGTTCAAAACTGTAAAAATTGCGATACTAATTCCCTGTATGCCCTCTATCGGTACCGATGATGTACGATGGAAAATATCAAGCACATCCTCTATCGCTTTCACCCACAACACCGCTTGAGCGTTGGCTTCCTGCCACGTAGGGAACAAACCACGAGCACTATCACATTTTACCCAGGCATGGGTCGAGCTCGCAAATATGCCCAGGAGGAGCATTATACTACCAGGCTTTACTTGAACTTGCTGGCTCAAACAAGCATAAACCTCGTCCAGTATCGCTGGAAGTGAAGGGCTGTGGGTTATATGATGTACATGGTCAATGTCATCAATAAACTTTTGTAGAAGTATCTTAGCTTCTGCGTATTGTGGTAGCCAGACACATCTAAATGGCTCAAAACGTGCTGAGGAAAGATGCGCACTTTGGTCGATATAAGATTGCGCTTGTGTAATTTGCTGGATTGAGCAAACCCTAAAGGCGATTTTACTGGAGGAAGTGTTATCCTAATAGGATATTCATTAGATTTCAGTTATGCGATTGAGTAGAAAAGACTAACCGAGAGGTTTTGCGCAGTGTAGATACTTTTCAGCCAAGCGACATCTTCATTAAGGTGCTCAACATCAGGTGACGTCGATCGGCTTATATGCGTCTGTAGTGTATGAGGAGTACCAAAACTCTCAGGGCTCTCAGGACCCTGCCGTGGGTGTTGAACTGCACTATTGGTGTACAGTTTCTGACTCTCCACAAGCTCCTCTAGCTTTCGAATGCGTTCAAGAAGCTCAGGCTGCGAAGCGTTAGGCGTGGTAGACCGAATGGTGTTTTCTACCGCCAGTTGACAAATAATACCTCGGGAAACACAGTTAGAGCATGGTGCCTCTCTGCTACAACGCAGTTTCCGAGACCTGCAAAAACGACAGGAAACTGGTCTTTCAAGTCTGTGGCGGGCACCTCGCAGTTCTTTATCTTTCGGCATTACCATTACAGGATAGGGAGAGTGTGGTATACGGGCTTCCCACGGACGTGGAGATGAAGATGGAATGAATGTATGCCAAACGGTTTTCCCATGGGTATGAGGGGATGAAGAAGGGGTAAAAAAACAAATGATACACGGGATTCCCACGGATGCGTGTTGATAAAAATAAGATAATTCTACAACAAAACGGATTTCCCACGGAGACGCGGGGGTTAATGTAACCTGAAAGAAATGTAAGCTTGACTTGATTCGTGCCTTGTGGCGTATCCGGGGCGGAAATTCCGCGGCGACAGGGTTAAAGTTACAACGCTTACATATTATCGGGGTTCAATCTACCACCCTCTTTTGATAGATACATCATAAATACTCAATACAATTTACTAATTTAAAATGGCAGCTTCCTATGATAAAATCTTTCATCTTCACATCTTTCTATATCCCTTATATCTCACAAAGATTGAGGAAATAGAAATATCTCGTTCCATACCGAGACGATGACAACGCCTAAAGCGGAAACCGATGCAGGCCATATGTCGACCGATTCAACCAACAACTCTGACACTCATCATGAAACACACGATGATCTCGCAACTATCGATAACGAGACCGAGTTCTTTTATTTGGAAGGCTGGCAATTGTGGGCTATTATGTGCACTCTCTATTTGAACACTCTACTCGCAGCATTGGACGTTGTAAGTAACACCCTTTGCTCATATATTCGATCATCACTTCAAATAGTCACATTACTAACACGTTTAATTTGTAGGGTATCGTCGCTACAGCAATTCCTGCAATCACGGATGACTTCCATCAACTGAATTATGTTGGATGGTATGGAGGTGCCATTTTCCTCACTCTAAGTACCACCGCGCCAGTTTGGGGAAAATTGTACAAATACGTCTCAGCCAGATGGGTTTATTTTGCCTCCATCCTTATCTTCTTGGTTGGGAGCATTATAGCGGCAACTGCGAAGAGTAGTATCCCCTTGATCGTCGCCCGTGCCCTTCAGGGCTTGGGATGCTCCGGTAGCATAGGTGGTTCTGTTCTCATGATCAACTATGTGGCACATCCCTCGAAACAACCAATGTTCATTGGTCTCTGGGCAACTGTTTATATGATCTCAACTATTATCGGTCCTCTCATTGGCGGCGCTTTCACCTCTCATGTATCATGGCGGTGGTGCTTCTGGATCAACCTACCAGTCGGAGGTCCTGTTCTTGTTGCAGTGTTCCTCTTCTTCCACGTGCCAAAGCACGTCAAGTACCCTAAGGCCACCTGGACAGAGATATTACTACAGCTGGATCTCCCAGGTTTTACCTTGATATTCACGTCGCTAGTATGCTTCTTCTTAGCCTTGCAATGGGGTGGCCAGACTAAGTCGTGGAGTGACGGGAGTGTCATCGCTACATTGGTCCTGTGGGTTGTCTTGACAATTAGTTTCTTTGTTGTCGAGCATTTCCAAGGCGAACGTGCTATGATACCCTTGAGATTATTGAAAACACGCTTGCAATGGACCAACACATTGTACGCTCTGGTGTAAGCATCCCCTTTGATATTTCGGCTCAGATTATTGCTAACCCCGTGATTCCTCTAGGGTTAACTGCGCAGAATTTCAGGTTCTATTTTATCTGCCCATTTATTTCCAATCGGTTCACAACCAGTCGGCTATTGCGAGCGGTGTCAATACCCTTCCATTTATTGCCTTTTTTGCTTTAGGGTCCATGATGAGTGGTGGTATCATAGGAAAAACACGTATCTTTCAACCTTTCTTGTTGGTAGGTGGATTGCTTGCCACTATTGGCGCAGCTTTACTCTATACTGTCGATCTCGACTCTTCCAAGGCTCGATATCTTGGTCCCCAGGTTATTTTTGGGTTTGGCATTGGTCTTGGTTGTCAAGTTCCATTGATGGTGCTCCAAAGTTTCTCTGCCCCTGAAGATATCGCCTCGGTCACGAGTATCATCGTTAGTAAGTATTCAAGAACATATTCTATAGCAAGTGTTCTTTTCACTAATTGGATATCTAGTGATGAATTCCATTAGTGGTGGATATTTTGTTACAGCAGCTCAATCTCTCTTCGCCAACCGCCTCTTAGTCTCACTTGCTACCAATGCGCCAAGTATTAGTGCAGGTCTTGTTCTGTCCACTGGTGCAACGGAGCTTCGCAGTGTCTTCAGTGGCGCAGATTTACTGGCTATACTTACTTCCTACATGGTTGGAATCAAGGATGTATTCGCTTGGTCTCTAGCTGGTGCAGCATTCACTGCTGTCTTGGCTCTTGTGGTCCCTTTTAAGAAGATGCCTCCCGTAGATGACGCTGCTACTCAAGAAAAGAGTCTAGATGAAAAGGCAGTGGCTGTCTAGGCTTGGTGATCATTCGGAAGCAACCGAAAGGGCTGGGAAAAGAGCGAGGGGTTGATATGGACAAAAGGTCTATAGGATACACTGAGATACGAGCCATGGAATACTGAACAGATTGTACACTAAATCAGACGATGCTTTATTTAATAACACACATACAAGCTAGAAAGAAAATCAGTATCACTATTTAATATGAGATATACATTCCTTTTGAGATTTGAGAAATCTTCGGTTGCTTTTGAAAGTACTTTGCGGAAGTGAACCTACCCCTCAAACTTCATCCATCACCTCCTTTGACATAGTCCCAGAAAATATAGATAAGTGATATTCAATTAGTATTGAATGGCCCACATACCGTAAAAGCCATAAGGCCCATGATTCCCCCTAATGATTGTTTGAACTTTCTAACTCTAGTTTATATTAACAGCCTTTTTATTCTATACTAGATTGCTAATACACACGCCCGGAACGATTCTATATGGTGAATTCCATTTACTGGTTAGTTCAAATCAGAAGAGCGTCAAATTAGACGGAAATTAGAAAGGAATCACACTGTATCATCACAATATTCGATTTTCAAACTCTGTAGTTCTACCAGATTACTGTGCAAAGGACAACGCCCAAAGAATTACTAATCTTTGCATTCTCTGACTATTAAAATCCCCTCCTGAAAATACCCCGAGACCCGAAGCCCGAAACCCGATCATGTATTTACATCGGATGTTTTATGATAAATACTGCACGACAAAGGTATAATCATAATAATCTTACCTGAAGAAGACAATATCTCTCAATCAACTTTTAACTCGAATAAAAACAGCATGTCAGAATTAAACATCCTGTTATCCTACCCGAATATCCTCGATGTTGCGACCTTCGGAGTGAGCACACTCCTGATCTATTCAGGAGTAGTAGGAGCTTACATTGATCCTCTCGGCTGTAAGTACTTACTCCAACCGCTCAAATTTTCTACAGTACCGGTATATTCCTAGAGTCCTCACTAACATACACAATATCTAGGGGTAAGAGGTTTTGGTCTTCCAACAGCAACAGCAGAACAAGCACTCCTTTTCCCATGCGCGACGGGCCGGAATCTAGGCGCAGGCTGTTTCGTCTTAACAATGACGTTTCTGAGCGAGAGAAAACTGCTGGGTATATTCCTCTTTTGTTGGGGGTTTGGGGCTGGAATCGCGGATTCTAAGGTTATTTATGATCATCCGCAGGGAAAGGGGGTGGGGAAACATATGTTGTCCTTTACGATTTGTATGGCTTTAAGTGCGCTTTTAATGAATTCGCCGGTGCGATGAATTGAGTAGAGGGAATGCATGTTCGGAATTGAAATATGGGATTGTGAAATCAATATTTGTGCTCCTTTTTTTGGCTTATTTTATTAAGTAATTGTTGGATTGTGAATTTTGTGAAATAGCGTGACTTGTCACGGTATTGGCCAAGTCTCTAGGTACTCGTACTTCTATTGTATTGTATTCCGGCCGCGGAACTTCCGCTATATTTCCTCATACGAGCTAGCTCTTTCAATATTCTCGAGTGATTGAACAACAAACAACAAAACTACCTAGGGCTTACGCCAATAGTAGCTTTAGATTTCGTGGATGCTATCGTACTGCCAATTTTTTTACTACTGGAAGAAAATATATTGAAAATTTGAAATGGAGTAGTTAGGTTTGAGGTGTTTCAGACCTCGTATAATGCCTTCGATATGTTTGGTGATGGTATTATGATCACGGTAATTGGCATCAAGATCTAGACGAGAATCCACGGACGGAAACTCCGCGGCTCGCGAAATGATATAAGGATGTTTTCAAAGAAGTACAGATCCCATATCCATCCCGATAAATCAATCGCATGTATTTCCTTTCCATACTGTGTTACGCGCATCTTCTGTCTTACGCACAAGCAGAACGCTGCTCCGGAGCACCTCTTCCAAAACTTCCAGAACCAGCTCCAGATAACGCAACATTTTTTGATCCGGAACCTTTTATGTTCCGACCCATAACACGCAGAATGACCAACTTCAAGATCGAAATTGTCAGTGATCCGGTGTGTCCCTGGTGTTATATCGGAAAGAAGAACCTCGATAAGGCTATCGATACCTACCAGTCTTCGCACCGGGAGGATACATTTACTCGATCATGGAAACCCTTTTATGTCAAACCTCACTCTCCTGAAAAAGGTTACTACTTCGACATTCATATAATATAAATCATGGCTGACAAAAACACCTCTAGGAGTTCCTGTACTTCCCAACTTGAAAAAACAGTACGGAGAGACAATGGCGAATGTGATGACGGAGAGAGTAAGAGGACTAGGCGCCGAAGCAGGCATAGATTTTAAATTCGCCGGTAAGACAGGTAGAACGCGAGATGCACACCGTCTTATCCAGCTGGGAAAATTGAAGTCTCCACAGATGCAAACTCGGGTAGTAGAAGAGCTTTTCTCAGCCTACTGGGAAGGAGAGGCGGATATCACTAGTCACGCAGATCTCGCGCAGGCTGGTGTCAAAGCCGGGCTTGATGAAGAGGAAGTGAAAGAGTGGTTGGAGAGTGGTAGTGGGGGAAAAGAAGTCGATGCGGAGGCTGGCTCGGCACATGTTAATGGGGTGCCGAATTACAGAGTGGGGAAGTTTACTGTTGGGGGTGCACAAAGTCCAGCGGCTTTTTTGAAGATATTTAACAGGATTAAAGCGACGGAGAATGGAGAGCCCGAAGGATGGGGCTCATGTATTGGTCAGTGATTGGAAATAGGGTGGATGGATTATAGTAGATGAAAAGGTTGCATTTCAATGTCGATGTAGAAATGGGAAAATGTGTTTGCTTGGAATCTATATGCTCTTCTACGTAGCGGATTTCCTTCAACAGGCTATAGCTAGTTTACTTGAACCGCATACATCATGTCCTACAAAATGTTACCCTCAGAATGACCTAGGTAGTCATCTCTAAGTAGTTGAGCATTTTGGAGGACATCTGATTTGACACTGGGAAAATAAATTTATTGACTGAATATGCATAAACTCTGAAGCAGTAAGCATCACAATACTGTAGTGACTGCGACATGTAAAAATTAAAAGGTGCCAAATTAGCAAGTGTGAATGTCCTATCGTTCTTTTTAAATACAGCTAACTTTAATTTAGACCGAGGAATTAGCGGCATTTCGTGCTCGAGACCACTCGACTTCCTCGAATATCAACATGGCATCTTTGATCTGCTCCTCTTGGTCGTAGTTCCACATCCAATCCTGACGACCATCCATCAGCTCGCTCATAACTGCTGCTCTCATTGAAACACCAGGCTCGGTACCAGTAAGAATTCGACCAGTCTCAGAGCTAGTTGTTTGAACTTTTTGACTTCGATGCCGACGTACCGTGTCAAAAGCTTGGAAAATTAGATGCGTAGTCTCAACAGTGCTGAGAGGGTGTTTTATTTCTCTTTTAGGATCGAAATATTTTCCGAGTAGTCTCTCCATAACGAGCGAATCCTCGACTGCAAGATCGGGGAGTCAGTAATTGCCTATCAACAAAATGTTTAATGAAAAGAAGGAAAGTGAAGAACAAAACACTACATTTGAAAAACATAGAACAAAACTGAAAAATTGAATTTGAAATCAGAAAGAGAATCGGGTATTGAGAAGAAACAATCTAGTGAACTGAATAAGCATACTGGTCTGCCCTGCACCTGCTCCTTGATAGGGCGTCGACGCATGAGCTGCATCGCCCATGATTGCTACTCGACCCTTGTAGTAGGTTGGTGCGGGAGGCATCTCCCAAATCGACCATCCCAGAGTTGTACCATCGTCAGGTACCAGCTCTACTTGTTTCCGCACATAGTCATCCCAATCTGTGAAACGTTCCTGAAGACCGCTAAGGTCTGGTTTCACCATCCACTGATCATGTTGAACTGGCCCGTTCTTGAAGGTCGTAACTCCAATATAATAAAGAGTCCCATTAGCCACAGGGAAGCCGTACACCATAGCGTCTTTGCCGCATCTAATAACAAACTTTTGTTCCGCTGCATCGAAGTCACCCAGTTTAGCTTTTGCCCTTTCGATTGGAATCACAACCCGGTAAATGATGGCACCTGTAAAGAAAGCCTTTGCAGCTGGATGCTCGGGGCCAAGCATATGCTTGCGGACCATTGAATGAATTCCATCGGTACCAATAACTAAGTCCGCCTCCGCTGTAGTACCATCCTTGAAATGCAAAACCACAGGGTCTTTATCACCACTTTCGGTGATTTTGGCTACGCTTTTACCAAAATGAGCATGATTGGGTTCAATGAGTTTAGCCAGCTCATCAAGGAAATGAGCTCGGTGTACAGTAGAACCTTTAGTCTCATGTTTCCACTGCATAACCACTTCACTAATATCCGGTGCCTGGCCTTTAGTCATAGTTATCCATGGAAAAAGACCATTCTCGTCGGGTGAATCGACGCCAAAAGCCGCGCGTCGCTGAAAGCCTTCAAAGATACGAGGATCAATCAATTCCATTGCGCGCTGAGAGTTAGGGCTGAGAACAGCACCAGCGCCAAGTTCGGAAAACTTTTCGGCAGATTCGTATACATCGGACCTGATATGAAGATACTTTTGAAGGCCGACTTGAAGGGCGAGGCCGGAGAAACCACCGCCTACAATTGCAATCCTCACGGGCTTGGGTGGAGCACCGCCCAATATTGGTATGGTAACAGGCTTGGATAGATCAGACATGACTTTCGGTGTATTTAGATGAATGATGAAAGTCGACGTAAGATATTCGTGGTGTTGTGGCTAACAAAATAAGATCTGTGACTCGAGGAGATGTGTTGACATATACTAGATTTACGATCGAAATCATATTGCCGAAATGAAGCGTCGGAATTCGTTTCAACTTGGACTTGCTTGATCAGTGTGTCATACTATTTGCCGTGCATCATTGGATGGGAGAGTAAGATTTCGGGAAATCCCTCTATACCGCATGTCTTCTCGCTTATCCTCTAGCAATCCCCCGAGATATTCGCTTATTTTTAAAGAAACGTCGGGAATCGGAGTCTGTTTTCTCGACCCCCATTTGTATAATGTTCACGTGCTTATGTCGTGACCGAATGTGATAAGTTTGATTTTGGCTTTCAATATATATTCCTTCGAATATGTGAAGGGTACGCTTTTTACACCTCCTAACCTCATCAAGTGTTCGAAATCGGTTTGTAAGTGCCTCAATTCGTGCAGGGTCACTGAATGCATACCGGCATGTAACAAAAGTCATTAGGACAATTCCGCAGAATATTGATATCGGGTATGCCTCGCATTGACTTCGGAGGAAACCACCAGACACTCTGTATCAATGAGACATGCCTTTCCTGAGATTGAAATTTGATATTGGGGTTTAAAGAGCGGCTTTCTCTCGATCCAATCCATATTCTAGATAAAGCTTTCCCACGTTGTTTTTGTCATATATCTCGTAAATGAATGTGGTAGAAGGGCACAACTTCAAAAATTAGAAACTTAGAAGAAGCAGTGCTGAAGGTTGGTTCTTCCCAAGGTCTTCTTCTCTTATGCAGGGATACAAAGACTCTCACCTGTACGTGGTGTATCCTACGAACCTTCGACCTAGTTTACTAGTGTTCGGAGAGCTAAATAGAGTCATTGGAACTGAATAGTGGTCGTACACTTATCGGAGGCTTTTACTAGTACTGAAGGTATTTGCAGCTGAGCGCAACGAAAGCATTCGTGATGAGCCCGGAACAGAGAACTACCAGCGAAATGGAGATGAAAACCATCCGACGATAAAAGCTACAATCGATAAATTCAAAGTGGTACCGGCCCTTACGAGTCTGTTATGGGAAACAGAGCCTGACAGGGTATTCACTGTGAGCCCCTGAAGCGGAACCAGCCCTTTCGAGTCTATATGGAAAGCAGAGTCTGCGAAGGAAGCGATTGTATTGAAAGTCGACAGGACACCTCTGGAGTGTCACAGATTGATTCGGAATCTTACAACAAGTATAATATGAGGGTATACCATATTGGAGGTTATTATAGATGGTTAGGGGAATAGTAGTATAGAATAGGCAAAACAGAAAGCGACCCGACCATAGTTCAACAAGGGATTTAGAAGAGCAGAAAGCGTCTGCAAAGAGTCCACGGAATACAAGGAACATTGTATATACTAAGGGAATGGTGTGGAGGTTTCTACGGATTTCAGAGAAACGCCCTGTAAAGATAGGTCTAATGACAATATACGGGATTACAACTCCTTTCCGATTCCAATCCGATAAATTTTAAGTTTCCACTTCGATTATTTTATACAACTACAAACTATACATTAAAAGAAAAAGAATACGAGAATGTTTTGGTTAGTGGGTTGGAAACACTGCGATTACACTGTTTGGTTAAGGGTATGAATGCAGCAAGCCTGCGAGATATGGTTGGCCTTGTAGAAAGAAGAGATCCGGTAAAGTAACACGAAACAGTATTTATGTACTGCGGGGTGTAGTATACAATAACAGCGATAATGATATTATCTGTATAGCTCAAAAAGACAGATACATGTGTTAGTTTACAATAGAGTATTAGACAGTTGGCAAAGGAGATACCGGGTAGGCTTAAAGAGCAAACAGAGGTAAAAACGTGAAACAAAGGTTTAATACGGACCGGAGCCTCCGAAGGCATTCACATGGGAGATGGTTTATATGTAGTCAGAAGATTCTACAAAAGTCTAGTACTAGTGGCTTTATCATAGTGGGCCGGGAAAGCGTTTGTAGGCGTAGCGAACCTACTTTGTATTATAATCTTATTCTAGTAAATAGTTGTAATATAATCTACTTTTGCACCGGTGACCGCCCTCTACCGTGAGGCAGGTCTCCCCTCAGCTATGGCAGCCCTCGAGGAAGCCAAGCTGAGGTTCGCCCTACGCCTCCAAAGCGTGGACGCAGACCATCCGCTCACGAAAAGAATAGAACCTCCCATGATCACACACGGTCGTGGCACGGGCACAAAACAAAGGGCGAAGACCAAAGTCCAACGACTTGGCCTCCTCGTCCCCCCAATCCCAAGGCCCACACTCGAGCCACCACGGTACACAACCGGGTGCCGAATAGACCCAACGGAAGGGATTGACAAGAAAACGGCCGCAAAGGCCTTCAACACCTGGTGGGAAAACCTGTCAGACACGGACATCACCATCTTCTCAGATGGATCAGAAAATCACGTGAAAGGCAAACATATCGTGGGCTACGGGTATGTAACATACCTGGGCAAGAATCAGATACTGGCGGGCTCCGGCTCCATCAACACCCAGTCCCATGTTTTTGACGCGGAAGCCATCGGAGCATGGAAAGGCCTGGAACGCACACTCAACGATGACAGGTACACCAACCAGAAAGTCTGGATGTGCATTGACAGCGCGTCAGTGATCTGGGGCATGAGGGCAAACGCCTCCATGTCGTCACAATGGGCGTTCAACAATTGCCATAAGGCCATGGAAAAGCATGACATTCGAGTCAAGTGGTCACCGGGACACGAAAGCATAGAGGGAAACGAGGCGGCTGACCACCTCGCGGACCTTGGAGCCAAGAAACCCAGCTGGGACACTGGACCAGCATCACAACCCACGTACAGTGGGGTGAGATCGATCGCACGCACCCTTAGAGAAGAAGCCCGCCAGCAATGGTGGGAATCATGCAAACCAGCCCTCTCGCTGTGGTACAAACAGTGGGACCCGGTCTATAAGGTCAAATCACCACCAGAACTCCTACTCCCACGAGTAGTTCTGCACAGACTAATAGCTATCCGAACCTCACACGGGGACTTCGGATGGTACCACCGGAAATTCGGACACACGGGAGACACAGAATGCTCCTGTGGAAGGCCCAAAACCCCCGCCCACTTGGTGCACTGCCGAAAGGCAAGAGGCACCTTCGAACAATGGCCAAACAAGCCACCCAAACCACCAGCGACAAATGAGGAAGGCATTGAGTACCTTCGTCAAGTCCTAAGCAACCCCTCGGACTTCGCCAAGCTACTAAAGCTCACGAAGTTCTACGAAGACATATGCTCTAGGTAGGGGACCACAAAGTCCGCACCCTACACCCAAAACAACCCTAAAAACCGAGACAAGCCACACCCACTACCAGGACCGACTAGCAACGTACGACACAAACGAAGCAACAAAAACTCCCTCTGCAGAGCGTATGCAGAGAAACATTATTATCAACAGGTATGGAAAACCTGGCTGAATACCAACAAGATGTGCGAAAAGCACATCTGCGAACGCTCCCCGGAGTATAACACATATCCATTGCTACACCAAAGTAGCCTACCTGATCGCCTAGCATACGCGATGGCACGCCCACAACCGGGCACAACCGCCCACACCAGGCAACATAGCAAGACCACCTCAACCGGCGGAGGAGAGAATGCACAAATTGGAAGGTAACACACGATTACCGGGAATGGCCATATAAGGCTTTCACTTTTCTTTCTAAGGCACTCTCATTTCATGTATCGTAAGACCATAGCTTAGAACATCTGCATACCCCCAGGGAGGTTCTGAGGGCAGCCTGAAGCTGCCCTCCTGATGTAAAATAATACTACTACTACTACTACTACAAGTCTGTATTTTATATCCAAAACAATCTAGAAACCTGCGATAAGCTATATCTATTACCAGGACCGATTTGCAATGTACAACACAAACGAAGCTCCAAACTCTTTTTGCAAAGTGTATACAGAGAAACAATAATAGCAATAGATATGAAAAACCTGATTGAACACCAACAAAACGTGTGAAAACATATCGGAGAACACTTCCCGGAGTATAACAAACATCCAAGTAGCTACACCAAAAGCAACCCATTAACTCGTCAAGTGTAAGCAATGGCAAGCCCATAATAAGAGCACACCCGCCTACACCAGGCAAGACAACAGGACCACCTCAACCAGCAGAGGAGAGAATGTACAAATTGGAAGATAACACACGATTACCAGGAATAGCCGTAAGGCTTTCACTTTTCTTTCTAAGGCACTCTTATTTCATGTATCGTAAGACTATAGCTTAGAACATCTGCATATCCCTAGGGAGGTTCTGAGGGCAGCCATAAGCTGCTCTCCTGATGTAAAATAATACTACTACTACTACTTCTTCTCTTATGCAAGACATCTCGATTCTCGCACGAGCGAAGCTCAAGTGTGGGTTTATGTGCCCGTTGTATTACTTGTAGTTGCACTGCTCCAGTCTTTGTCCTATTTGCGAAAGGTTTAGATGTGGTATTGTAAGAAGATTGTTGGAGAGAACTGCAGTGGTGCGAGATCCCTTGTCGACCCCCACCTTACTACGTTATTCGCTAAAATGTCACGGTAATATCACGTGATCGTTGTCAACCCCACATCTTAGAATAGACATCATCTCAACTTTTCAACCATTGTTGTCCTCAGAAAGGTAATGAGGCAATGTCTTGGTTGTATCATCATAGGTATCTTAACTAATTATACTGATTCTTATTATGATCATGAGTCTCACGCGATGACCAGAGCACACCGGTGGCACACCGTGGACTTAAATCATTGTATGGATAACCTTAATCATGTCTGCATTTCGAATATCTTTTGTCCTCAATCTTTACGAAACCCAAACCCCACAATCCGAAGAAGTCAGTAAGTACAAATCAAACAGGTGCGCTAATACAGTATCTTTTATGAAAAGCAGACCTTCCCTATCACAACCGTACTCTATTTAGCTGTAATACTCTAGCAACCAAGCCCGCAAATCGCCCACAGTTGGATATTCCAAAAACAAACTACCGTTGACTGTAACTCCAAGCTCGTCGCGGAATTTCTCGGCTATAACAAGACTCATGAGACTGTCAACGCCAAGACTTGCGAAATTGATATTGTCTTGAAGTTCAGAAACATCGAGTCCTGCTTCAGTAGCCACAAGGACCATGGCTTTTACTGCAGTACTATTGGAGTCGTCAACTGCCAAAATAGCGATAGCCACTGGATTTGTTGCGACTGGAGCTTCCTTGACTATCTCAGGCGCTGCTTGGGAATCAGGAATTGGAGATGGTACTGGCTTTGGTGCCAATGCCTTAATTACTGACTTGGGCGATTGCACTTTTGCGGGCGCAGCAGCAGCACCATGCTTAGTCGCGTCCTCATCTGGGGCCGAGAAGAAGCGATTCAGGAGCAGCCGTGGATAACGGCGGAACTTGATGGCTCCACACATGCCAATTATGATATAATTCTGGAGAATGAATATATCGCCATGATATATGTTCGGGTCCTCAGGCGTTGGGATCATCTTAACGTAGGATCGATATTTGCCACCTGCAACAAGTGCTTTCGCAAATTGCAATGATCCCCATCCCGGTGTTACACAGAAGTTATTCTTGATGTCACCAGCGTCCGAGACGTTCATGATGAATCCCGCGAGATGCGCCAAGCTGTCAATGAAGTAGGGAGGAATGGTCCATACGCCTCCTTTTTCTGTTGTGAGAGTAATGTCGGCGAATGCTTCGAATCCGTGTAAGACTACAGATTGCATCCCCCGATACTTGTCGGCGTAGTCGACAAGATTACTAGCGAAGAGAAGATATGCCATGTTGTGAGAAAGTCGGTTAGCTACACCTTCCTCTGCGAGGCGCTCGAGCGTCTCGATACGACCTTGGATAAGATGCGTCATGGGAACCCAACTTGCGAGCGCAGTCTCGGCATTTCCGAAGTAGATGTTGGCACCGGCAAACTGTTCATAAACTTCCCCATTGGTGACGTTATACCATGCGATGTCAGCCACTCCGGAGTCAATATCTTCAACGGTAATCGAAACCTGGATAAGTTGTGGCGTTGTTGTGTCTTTCTTCGCTATCAGACCTTTGAGCACTTCCAGGTTGGCTACATTCATGTGGGTGTTCTTTGACTTTGGCCGCAGCTTCTTTAGGAGATATTGGCCAAGGGTGAATGCGATGTCCGCATGTATTGACTAGATTGTCAAATTAGCTTCACCTTCTCACAGCATTAAAGTAAGAATAAGGCAATCCTGCTTACAGATGTCACCACACCACAGTTGTTCATCTGATGTCCCCATGCAGCAGCTAAGAATTCTGGCTGCATCAAATCTGACTGCATCACAACTCTACCAGCAGATGCAGAAAAGGACTCTTCGGTGATCGATTGAACAGTCGATGTTCTTAGACAGGAAACTGGTTTGGCCACAGGATATGCCTGGATTGCTTTCGCTGCGGCTTTTTCTGTATCGTAGAAGTTATTTCCCTTCGTGAGCGCCCAGTCTCCGTTATACTGGATCCAGTGGTTTTTGTCGTTCCAAGCATACGTAGGCAAATCTAAGAGGCGCAGACTTTGCTCGAATGGTCGATGGAACTCTTGCCAGCTAACCTCCACCCCAGCACAGTGTAATTGTCCCAGAATCTGTGCCAAGCTCTTCCAGTTATCTTCTCCTCTGCGGATCGAAGGAGCTGCGACATTGACGGATGGCAGTATGGACTTTACGAATCCTATACAAACGGGATGTGGACCAATCTCAATCCATACCATGCTCTCATCGATGATCGACATCTTGTGTGCGACCTCAATTGCCGAGAGAAAGTTAACAGGTTCCCGAGTGGCTCGTCGCATGTAGTTTCCGTTGATTGTCTTCTCATCGAAAATTACTTTCCCAAGTAAAGGCGAGATGACTGGGAGATTAGGTGCCTGGAACAAGACGCCAGAGTTTGCAATCTCTTCAAATTCTTCGAGAATAGGGTCCGTCTGTTCTGAATGGAATGCAAATGCGACGTCTAAACTGAAGCATTTGAAACCAGCAACTTGCAAGACCGTAGATACCTCGTCGATCTGATGACTAGTGCCACTGAGTACCGTATCCTTAGGGCCATTGATGCATGCAACTTCGAATTGTTTACCCCTCGCGTTCTCTTGGATCTTGGCAAGCGAAGCCCGCACAGCAAGCATCTTGTGTGTGCCAACTTGGCATCTCTTCTCAAGCAACAGTGCTCTTTGCCCAACTAGGAATATGGCATCGGTAGCTGATAGAACGCCGGCGACGTGGAGTGCAGCATATTCTCCCAAACTGTGTCCAATTACGACATCAGGTTTTACACCGAGGGATTCCCAATACTTGGCAAGCGCAATCTCTATACAGCATAGAGCTACTTGGGAGACGATTGAGGGATGTGTATAATCTTGGGGATGGCTGCCATCGACAGCGGGGATGAAAGACGGGAAACCTTGTCCCTGTGAGATGGAATCAAGGTGCAGCAATTGTGCCTTAAAAAAAGGAGAATCCCGGAAGAGCTCCAAATTCATGGATCGATGTGAGGATCCTTGACCGGTAAATGCAAAGACAATCGGAGGAGGACCAGTTGATGGAATGGGCTTGTGGGTTTCAACCGAATCAAGGGCAGAACCAAGTTGCTTTTTCAAATGGGTTGTATCGGAAGAAATTACCACTATTCGGTGGTTGTGGTGATGGCGTCGAGCCGTAGTCGTATATCCCAGGTTTGACACGGACGCATCGGGTTTTACATCCAAATAAGCAATCAGCCTTTCGATATTACCCCTCAGTGACACCTTACTCTTGGCCGATACGGTGATGAGATGGGTTGAGCGGGAGTCCACAACTTCACTCGCCTCACGAAGGGGTCTACCAGGTTTCACAGTTAGTCCTATAATATTAAACATTTGGATTTGAATTTAGAGATAGCATACCCTTCCTCAATTGCGAGTGTGGAATTACCACCGGCTGCACTGAAGTTGTTCACAACAGCAACACGCTTCTGCCCGGGCACCCTAGGCCAAGGCTGTTTCTCGTACGGAATACGTAGGTTTCTTCTATCGAGATCCTTTGGGAAGCCGGGGTTGATCTTGTTCTTGATTCCAACGTGTGGGGGGATTGTCTCTTTCTCAAGCATAAGTAAGACTTTCAGCAGGGCAGTCGGACCAGCAACAGCTATAATCTAGAGTCAGCAATATTTCTTTGCGATGAATTGAGTACAGAATGAAAATGAGAATGGTGAGATATTTCTCAAGGGAATGACAACCTACCTTCGCCATGGCCTACATTAGCTTTCACGGATCCAATATGCAGAGGCTGCTTCGAATTGCGACGCCTAGTAAGAGGAGCAAAGACATCACAAACTGATACAATCTCTTGCGCGTCACCAGCCTGCGTGCCCGTCCCGTGCATCTCCACGAAGCTAACATCAAGGGGATCAACACCAGCCTGGCTCATCACCTGTCTCGTGAGATAAGCTTGCGCCCCAGCATGCGGGTGCGTAATAGAGACGGCATCAGCTGAGTGATTTGTTCCCGCACCAAGGATAACACCGATGATGTTATCGTTGTCCGCTTCGGCATCTTCAAGTCGCTTCATAACGATCGAGGCAATACCATCAGCACGGCAGTAACCATCTGCTTCAGCATCCCAGGTCTTGCATGCGTTGGGAGTTTTGGTCAGGAAGTGACCTTGACTCAGTCCAGCGAACGCATCAGAGTTAGACAGAATGTTCATTCCTCCAGCTACTGCCATGTCGATATCGCCGTTCCAAAGTGAGGTGCATGCCGTCTACGCAAGAGTTAATTTACTTGTTCATCTGTAATGGGAAGCTGCAACATCCTATATATTGCAGTTGGTGGAAGTCGATTACATACCTGTATTGTCGCCAATCCTGACGAACAAGCCGTGTCAATACTGTAGCTCGGGCCCGAAAATTTAAAGAAATAGTTGATACGTCCCGGGCCGAATGCACGACAACCACCTGTGATAAAATAGGTACTAATCTCTTGGGCTGTATTTACCTCGCGGTAATCATCGCTAGCTTGTCCATAATAAGTCCCGATACGGTGAAGGTCAGTAGCAGCAGTACGATTCGCCACATATCCCGATCTCTCTAAGGCTTCGTAGGCAGTGACTAACGCTAGTCTCTGCATTGGATCTGTCTGTAGAGCTTCCCGAGGAGACATGTTGAAAAATGGGGCATCAAAGAGACCTGGTTCATCGATAAAGCAGCCATAAGGAGTATGGCTGGCGTTCATTCGCTTGCCACTTGGGTCAAAATGTGTGTTCACGTCAAACCTATCGGCAGGAATCTTTCGATGCACATCTAGGCCCTTCTCTAAGATCTCCCAGAACTTCTCAGTGTCTGTTGCACCTCCTGGCATTCTGCAGGACATGCCAACAATGGCAATCTTAGACTGTGCAGTGCCTCTTGGTACTCCAGCTCGCGGATCTGGCTTCACAATCCAGGGTACGAGATCGAGTGTGGTTGCCTTAAGTTCGATCGGGTCTGAGTCAAAGGCCGTCAAGAGATCGTGAATTGGTAGAGATGTTCGAAATACAAGGATTTGGCATTCCGAAGCAGCAGTATCCTTGGCTCGTTGGATAATGCCCTCGATGACATTATCCCATTGGATCGTCTGTGTTAAGATTTCTTCGATAATATCATGGAACAATCCTTTGGCGCTTTTTGCCTTGAATGGCATTCCCGTGCTGGTTGAGAAAACCGGTACCCGTGGAAAAGACTTTGCGTTCAGTACGTCCATAGAAGGGGTTTGGATTACGCTTTCGACATGCTCCTTGGTGTAGACATGCTTTGCATGGCACAGCCCTGCAAATACCGGCAAAGCAATAAACTTGCAGTCCCGGAGGACATCAGACTTATAAAAAATGTGCTGTAGTCTTGCTGGCGGCCCGCTCACTGTAACAGAAGTTTGATTGAGTGCGCTGATAAATATCTTACTCGCCGTGGGTGTTTTCTATGATTTTAAAATCAGTAAGCTGACTCGATACATATAAATAGGGACCTTCCTTACCTCAGCCGCATGTATTGCATCAAGTTCCTTTTGAACCTCACTAGCTGCAACATTTGGCACAACGTAGGCCCAACTGTCTTTAGTGCTACCGTCTGAGACTTGGCGAGGTTGCAGATTTTGTGAGACCTCAGTAACAAGAACACCAAGCCGAAATGCTACTCGAATGGCCTGTGCGCCAGCCAGTGGTAAGTTTGCCAACCTGGAAGACGAATGCGTCAGTCATTTCTCTTTCAAGGATGTTTCACTCTGAATGAAGCAATTTTCATGTCTTTGAGCTCATATAAAAGTCCAATGTACATAAGATGAGACAAGACGGAATCGGGGTTCCCAATAAGGATTCATATTCTTACGTTGGAGACAACGAAAAAGCAGCTGTGGAGATAAGACCAGTGCCTAAACCAGCGAGGCAGTGGAGGTCAAATTCGTCCTCTAAGTTATTCTCGCAATATCTGTTGATGTGAGTTAGAGAACGGCAAATGCAACTTTCTTTAGCGTAAAACGAGATGCGACAGGTACCTACCCAATGAGCGTCGCTATCTGAACTGCACAAAGCAGCACACCGTCTATAGCTCCTCCAAGAGGGCCGTCACGGAGAGCAGTCTGGTCGGCAAAGTTGAAGACCGTCTCAAATGGCTTAACCAATGTTCTCAAAAAGGTGGGTAATAAGCGCACTTCTTCGCGAACAGCCAAAGTCGCCTCATTTATGAACCTCGCCAAGGTAGTGTGTCGCAAATCTTTACTATGGACCCGAAGTCGGCGAACAAGATCTCGTAAGTCATCATGTGGAAATTCATTGCTGAAGTAGCCAACTTTCATCTTGAAAGGCTCCACTAAGGAAGCGCTGGTTGAGTCTGATGGTGTCATAGTAAACTGTTCACAAACGCGGTGACTAGTTTACTTCACGGCTCTTAAGAACAAATTCCCAGAGGAGATGGCGGCAGCTTATATTCTAAATAGATTATATGTTGAAATAAAGCATAAAAAGACGTGGAATAAGCAAACCTAGTAGTATCTAATAGCCATACACTTCACATGAGTAAGATTTCTCGCAGCAATTGCGGCGCATTACTCAACGGCATCGGGTTTCAATTAGATAAACTAAACACTTTTGTCCGTCACCAGGTCGGGCAGTTAACCCGAAGCCTAGCTGACATACCGAGCCCCGGTCATTCTTCTTGATTTCAAATGTTTGGCTCTCCTCCTATTTCGATCTGATCTTAAGTGTTTCTGCCAATTTGCATTGAGAACTTTTTGCTCTCGACTCAACTCTGATCGTGACTTCAGCAATGGCGCCTGGACAAGGTGGCTATCGCCAAATAAACAAGGCTCTCAATATTTGTGTCTTTGAAGATTATCTAGATGGACAGCAAACATATTTACCAAAATTAGAGAATGTCGTACAACTCAGCCCGCGGGTTATTCGCGTTCTTGGGCAAAATCCAGGAAAAGTATGCTCCCATTCGAATTTCACTAGATGTTTACTAAACCCAAAAAATCAGTTTACTCTTCAGGGAACAAATACATATATCGTCGGTACGGGAGAGAAACGTCTTATTATCGATACCGGTCAGGGTATTCCAGACTGGGCTGATCTGATCTCCTCTACCCTAACCGAGAATCAAACCTCACTATCCCATGTATTTCTTACGCACTGGCATGGCGATCACACGAAAGGTGTTCCCGATTTGCTTCAGATGTACCCCGATCTCTCTTCATCAATTTATAAGCATACACCAAGCAAAACCCAGCAACCTATTCTAGACGGCCAAATTTTCAAGGTCGAAGGCGCCACTCTCCGCGCAGTGCACTCTCCAGGTCACTCAAAAGACCACATGTGCTTTATTCTCGAGGAAGAGCAAGCCATGTTCACTGGCGACAACGTTTTAGGCCACGGTACCGCTGCGGTAGAGCATCTCAGTACTTGGATGGCTGCTCTGCGCAAGATGCAAACCTACAATTGCATCAAAGGTTACCCGGCTCACGGTACTGTTGTCGATGATCTACAAGCCAAGATTGGGATCGAATTATCGCAAAAGATACGACGTGAACGACAAGTTTTACACAATCTGGAACAGAGTAAACGCAAGGAGAGAGCTTATGGCGGGCGTGGCAAAGGAAGTGTTACAGTCAAGGAACTTGTGACTGCTGTCTATGGAAGTAATATGGATGATGAGCTCCGCGAAATGGCGCTGGAGCCTTTAATGGATGAGGTTCTGCGGAAATTATCTGAGGATGGGCTCGTAGCATTTGAAATGAGGGCGGCGGTTAAGAAGTGGTTTTCAATAGAAATAGTCTGAGATGCACAGAGACTATAATCCTGATTTCGCACACTTCCTGCCCCTCAATCAAAATTTTATGAAAAGTGATAAGCTCGAGAATAGTTGGAATCAATCACAAGTCGGCGTTTATATTATTTTTGAATCAAGTTAAATTTGTCTTCGCTACTGTCCCCATACCACTATACCCACTTCATAATCAAGCTGGTGTGAGAGAAACGAGCACTTTGAGCCCGTCTGTCTTCAACTCAATATTGAAACTATTGTAACAAACAAAGGAGATAACCCTAGTTTTGTTTAGATGGCAAAATTTCAATCTTTTGATTTTTGGGGGTTACACTGAAGATGACAGATATCAACAAAATTCCCTCCCTTATCAAGGTAAATAAATCCAAAGCATTCAAGAGGCTTTTCGGGAGCTTGTTAAGAATGATAGTATCCGAAATTCTCGGTACAAAGATATGCGTCAGATTAGTCACCAGCTTAACAATTAGCCGGGCTTTCACTGATATGCACCGAGATCAAATCCTCCGATCGGGACAAAACAGAAACCACCCGAGACTGCTGACATCTGGCCAAAAAGATCCTTCAGAGTCCCTCCCAATTCTTGTTAATGCACAATATACTGAGATCTCATTGATCTTGTACCCCGAGACCCGCCTATAGATGACGCTCCTGCAGAATTCCCGTAAAACCTAGAACCGCACCAATAAACGGAAATACCGAGCGAGCAAGATGCAACCAAGCCCATTTCACCACAACCTCCTGCACGGAACTGAGTTCCTCTCCCGAAGTCTTTGTCGTTGCCATTTTCTCCCAACCAAACAAGATATTATTGGTAGGTGCCATGAAGATCCATGTGAAGGGTACCATTGCAATTGTTATCGCAGCGGCAAATGCGTAAGTGCGCCATTGCTGACTCTTCGAAGTCCGTCCTTTCAAGGCAGAGTATCCATAAAGCCCGACAGTCCCAACACATAATCCGGGCATGTAGATATGCCCATAGTGATAGAGACGAGCCCAGTGGCGGAGTAGATGGATAGATTCGGCGTCGGTATTGAGGAAGACGGGAATTACCACTCCTGTGAGACAGACCATAGCACCTAAAACCGGACAGTTTAGATGGTGCTAGACCTAATGCTAGCGAGTAGAGTGAAGAGACTTCATTACCTGTCAGAAAAGAACCTGTAACCACGGCAGTGGCCTGTACCCCAATTGGCGGTGGTTTAGAGTTATGATTTGGAGCCATAGTTGATTTGTGAGTGAGTAATCTGAAGAGACAGTGCCGTAACTTTATATGTCAAATTGATTCACACCGCGATCATTTGTAATCTGCAATATTTCCGGGTCCATCGGGTCGGCTAACGCAAAAGATTAAACTCTAACATGCTACTTACCGTATCTCTGAACTTATGTTAGGCCTAAAAGATCAAAGATAGACAAGAACATCATTACTTTTCCTCTTTCGTGTAATAGAGTAGCTCTTTCTACTGCTATTCTCGCATACTCTGAATCTGCTTTCTTACACTGTCGAGAGATGGCGACGTTTCAAGAACCCAAAGTTCCTGATCTACATGAATCGACCAAAAAGCGATACCTCTGCCTTACTATCTGTGGTTACCGTAAGCCAGGCATGGAAGAAGAAGCCTATCGCAATCACATGATCAACGTGTCTGCACCTCTCACAAAAAATCTCATGGTCAAATACGGTGTCAAAAGATGGACCCAAGTGAGCTCTTTCTGTTCTACAAAATTCATAATCTAGATCCGAAATAAACTCCAACTAATGGAAAATAAAGATCCATAATCAGCAGGCTACAAAAGCTTTGATGTCACAGCTTTTTGACCCGCAAATGTGCAATATTGCCGACTTTGACTGCTTTAGTCAGGTGGTTTTTGAAAGCCTCGAAGACTACAAGCGCATGAAACAAGATCCGTGGTATAAGGAGCATTTGATAGGTGATCACGAGAAGTTTGCAGACACTAAAAAGAGCCAGTGAGTTTTTTTTTTTTCAATTTTTCCTCATCGACGAATGAGAATTGATTCCTTTCAGAATGACTATCGGGTGGATCGAAGAGTTCGTAAGAAATGGTGAGGTCGTGGATGGATTCAGGGTGAAACCTACTTCAGCCAAAGATAACAAGTATAATTATGCTATTATAGCAGGTTTGATTGTACTAGGTGGGTTGGGCTGGAGAGGCATTTATAATAGGCGTTGATTATGCTAGAGAGATCACTTTGATGTTGTGGGAGTGCATAAATCAAAACACTTGTTAAATTACCAACTCACTTTTCAATTGAGAAGGTATTAGTGGAATGAATCGATATCTGATAGTTGTTTCAATGCAATTACCACTACTTGGTCTGAACAGTGCCGAAATGAACATCTCAAATAAACTCAGTCTCCGAAATAAAGTCATTATAAAAAGAGTTTGGTCTGAAGCGATACAGATAGGCTGTCATACATGAGGCAGTAGTCAACGTTCTGGTTTTTCTGACACTAATACATTTTGGTTTTGGTTTATACAAGTATTTTACCCAAGAGTATCATACTTGACTAGGCGACCTAACCCAAATTTGGGATCTGGAACCACGGTGGCTCAAATCCAGCACCCCAGACCCACTTCTTGGATAATTGACCTGGGATGTCTGTCCCAATAGTTGCAGTAGAATCATAGCAGATCTGTGCAATTTTGAGCCACATATCCCCATTGATAGGGAATGAAGCAGCGCCCTCTTTCTCCACGTGAGGCTCTACCATACCTTCGGCATGCTTCAGAGCTCGCATGAACTTGACAACATGACCATCATCATGAATATCAATTGAATTCTTGTAGATAGCACGCCAATCCCACCCCTTGCTTAACGAGGGTTCGTACTCGAGCACATTTTCAATCTTCATCTCAGCCGATCCATTGGCCGCGTACCACACAAGATCCAAACGTCCCTTCCACTCAAGTAGACGCACCTTATCTTCGGTCTTGAGCCAATCCTGCTGGTTCAAAGCACTGAAGAAGATGGAGCAGGTGACAATGTGCAAGTAGAAAAAGTCAATCTTGCGAGCCTTCCCAGCTTTTTGGGCTGCGCTAGTAAGTGCACCACAGCTCATCATCTCCGCTGTACTACGTTCCAAGTCTTCAGGTCTCACCTGAAACTGGGCTGCAATCTTCACTAACTCATCATGAGCACGATTTACTATCCCCTTTCCACGTAATGGCCCGTCCTTGAGCCATGCAGCCTCCCTTATCTTTTGATTGGCGCGAATCTCGGCGTATAGCTCGACAAGAGGCTTGGGCTTTACCGAACCAGATTTTGCGAGCTTTTCGGTCTCTAAGAAGAAGGGTCCAATTTGGCTTGAATCATGGGATGCCGCATGAGCGAGGCCTTCAGCGATAAGACTAGGTTGATTAAATTCAACACCGAAGCCCAGGTGAAGAATGGGATGATAGAGACCCTCATAGAGCTGTGAGAGCATATTATCGGCAAATGGGGTGCGGTCAAAGCAGTATTTGTTGAAAACAGTTTTCCAGCCTTTAGCGTCGATTTCCTGCTCAAAGAAGGCTAAGAAGTTGGAATACTCGGATAATGTGTACATGTGTTCTTTAAACTTCTCCTCATCGCCCAGCTGCTTGGCAAATTCACCGTCCGCAGGAGCTAATGGACGCTGATACGTGTATCCATCATCGTATGCTCTATTCAGCTCCTTTGGTCCTCCACCCATTGCCAGAACGGTCAGCAAAGAATGCGGAATGTGGTTGTGGCCAGCGACATCTCGAAAGTACATGTGGTACCTCTCATGATTCTTTTGTAGCAGTTCGCTTGTCAGCTCGAGGGATCCAGGTGGATTTGGGTCGAGACGACCTAAGCCAGAGTACTGTGGGGACAAGAGAACTTGCGAAGAACTTGGAGCAGCCATGAGTTTGGATTAAACACGTGATATATTATATGGAGGAGTAAGCTATCGTGAGCAGAGATTGACGTGAAATGGATGAAGTGAAGACCTTTAATTGACATTGCAGCAACGGCTTTCGGGCGTGTGTATATATGGAAAGATGCTCGCGGGTCTCAACGTCACCTTGTTGGATCGGGGCATTTTTGAAACCCAATAAATATGCAGCTTATAAGGATTCCTCAAAATACCCCGATGTACTCGGGCCGGAGATAATTGTAAACTAGCTAGTTCCACAGATCGCAACCCATGAGATAAAAAACAGATACTAGAGAAAGTGTTGCAACTATTGGCATATTCATTCGATTGTAGAAGTAAGGAATTGATAGAAAACAGCTTTTTATGGAATTTGAAAGTTGGAATTTCAAAGCTGTTGTCTCGGTTCGTTGATCAAAACATAACCCACTTAGTAACCAATGGATGGATTCTTATTCGGCCTCAAAAATTGTCTCATCTTATATGGATCCATTTAATGGGTTGAAATCTCAAACTTCGCTATGTGACCGACACAGCGTAGTTAGAACGTCGATTGTATGGCTTAGAATCTACATGTAAAGAGTACTTGTGTGTATGGAAAGAAGAGTTATAAGATACAGAAATAAAGCCCCTAGGCCTGAAAGCGAACAGTCGAAAGCATGACCAATATCGGTCAATGCAATCTGGCATATGAGCCTGTGGCGGCAAAAGCCTCTTCTTTTCCGTCGCACATCCCATGGACACGCATCCCGCAATCTATACATATATTCGTCTCAGATCTGCCGCAACATATTGATGATCTCCGAAGACAATGTCTCGAGACACTTGCGCATATCTAACTCTAACTGAGCAAATCTTACGGCTGAAAAAGGAGCTGCTTTGATCAAGTGATCTGAAAGTGTGGAAGCTTGACTCTCCCAAGTCGAACTTTTCTTCACCAAAATTCCTTGGTTATCACTTCCTGTTGACTCACGCCCATGAGCCTGGAGTTTCAACGATAACTCATTGATCAATCGCAGCACGCGATGTAGCTCGCGCAAGATCGACTGAGCGGCCATTCGCCTGGGTCCCTCGTCGTTGGGGTCATAGTTGCTGGGTCTTCTTTTGTGCTCTTTTGTAGAAGTGCTCACGCTCGATCTCTCACTTCCCTCCCCATCTTCCTCAGGTGGTTTCAATGCTGCGGCTGCATATCGACCCAAAATCCGGAATACAATCATCGACATCACCATCAATAAATACCCATCCCCCCCACAAGAGCATTGTAACATGGTAGTGAGCACATCGATAGTCTGTTTGTTCTCCAAGACAACATTCTGTGCCGACGGTACCTCAACAGCGCAGCTGGAGTCTACATCAGACATATTCGTATCGTGTTCCCTACTACTTGATTGAGCAGAGCCTGGAATTGTGTTTGACAAGATTTTCTTCATAATATCTAGAGCTTGGATCAAGCAAGGGCAGGAATGCGAAGCACGGCTCACACTTGTGTCACTACTCGATAGTGACCAATCGTTTGACGGAGATATTGCCTTCGATGGATTTAAAAGTTCGGCTGGGAAAATTTCTGAATGAAGTCCAGAATCGGTGTCATCGTTCATGAGAAGCTTCGAAATATCACTGTGTCCTTGAGCAAATAACTGATGGTCTGAAGTCTCCGACCCAGAGAAATTTATAGGCGAGTTAAAAAATTCATCGAAATCGTTGCCCATTCCCATGAGCTCGGAGGGATAATGTTCGAGGGGCATTAAAAGACTATCGAAGATGTCCGACTCTGGGCCAGAGACATTATACGATCTGGGAGATGTTGTGTTAAGGTTTAGCGGGTTCAAGAAGTCAGTGCTTCCAGATAACGTGGAATCTGCAGTGGTGGGGCCTGTCATACCAAGCCATGTATGTTGTGTAACGGAAGAACTTGGTTGCAAGACCTCCGTCGTGTTACCATTGCTGTCTTTATGGGCGTTGGCGTGGTTATTGTCCCGTTTTCGCCCTGGGCGTTTCGTTATAATATATTCGCATGCTATTCCGCGTTTGATGCATCGTGAGCATGTTGGTTTCTGCTTGTGACATTTGACTTTAGACAAAGCACAGGCATGGCAGCTATCCCGGAGCTTGAAAATTGTTGTTGATGAGCTCGACTCCCCGCCTCCTTTTGATAAGGAGGCTCTGGAGACTTGGACATTAGAATATACACTATTTGACGTCATTGCAGAGCGGTTCTTCACTCAAAGAATCAATCAATAAATTCAAATCTTTGAAACAAGAAGAGGGAATACTTTTCATGAAATAAATCCGTCATTAAAGTAAGATCTGTCATATTCCTGGTGTGCTCACGTACATAGCATAACGATATCACTACAACTCAAATATAAGAACTTAAAATACGTCCAACACGTTTAAACTCTTACCCCGCATAATACCACCCTGCTTAGGTATCTTAGTCACGGAGGTAAGCTTCTGATATTGATAACAGCGGTGGGAAGCGCGCAAATTTCTGTACGGGCAGGATTCGAAGGCAATTTTATAGTGCTTATGGATGTATAAAAAGGGTATTGACAGTCAATTTCGATTTACATGATAACGACTATGAACGAAGAAGCAATCGGTATTCGAACCTTGAAATATCAGCAATAATATATTGATTAATATCGAACACCCAATTATTGAAGTTTAATCAAATTGTAACTTTACATCCTGCAAACTGGAGCTATTTGCTGTTATGGATTGCTTGGCCAAACTTGAACGCTATAGCAACGAACTGGCTTTGGCTGTCAAAAGTCTCGCCACTCACTCTCGAGGCACTAATGCACAGCTGTTCACTGATCTCGAAGCTGCCCCGGAGGTACAACAAGCCAAACAAAACGTGTTGTTGAACGTGGCTAAAATCAAGACGCTTGTCCTTGAGCCAACAGACTTTTTGAAGCATCTTGCGAGCCAGGTTTGTATTCCCTTCCAGAATACGATGGTAGCCAATTAACTGTCTAGGGCGGAATCCTTGGGTGCCTTCGATGGCTCGGCGAGTTCCAAATTCTCGCCTGCATTCCTCTGACTGGGAGTGTTCCCATGAAGGATGTAGCGGATCTCTCAAGGGTATCAGAGAGACAGCTAAGCCGTGTCGTCCACCTGGTAGCCAGTGCTGGGTTCTTACAATTACAAGGATCGCAGCCTATGCAGCACGTCGTACACACGGCTCTATCAGCATCGTTCGTTACGAGCCCTTCTTTATTAGATGCTGCAATGTTCCTTGCGGAGTATGCAGCACCAGCTGTACTACAAACCCAATCATCTACCCTCATGCTGACGCAAAAAAATGTCGCAAATCAATCTCCGAAACTCCAGCGTCAGCTATCAGCTTATCTGACGTATGCAGGAGGATTGGATACAGAGGATTCTGTTGTCGATAATCTCATGCAGCTAAATTGGGCAAAGATTGGCAGTTCTGTGACACCTACAGCAGTACATGTCGTTGAGGTACAGTCATATCTCACTACCTTATCTTCTGGCTTGACCTTACTAGTATAAGGCTACGAGCTAGCAAAGTTGCTTCGACATCACTAGTTAGTAGTAGATATCGGAAAAACGCCACTCCTTGATGAGATAAATGCTAAGCTAACTAATTATTTCCAAAAGGTGGGCGCCGAATCAACGATAACTGCACGAAGTCTCACTGCTTTAAATCCTATCCTGCACTTCCATATGCAGCTTGATGCTCCCAAAGACAGAGACCACCACATGGAGCGGCAGCGTGAAGAAGTGTTTGAGCGGGAGCTTGGCACTTCAGAGCCACGGATTACCATTACCCACAGACCAATTGGTGTGGGGTGTCCCCAGATAACGACCGATGCTGCTGTTTACATCCTACATTTACCCGAAACACCGCTAGCAATCTTAGCCGAGTTGAAAGAACATTTCGGTATTTTACGAGCGGGAAATGCTGTAATGTTAATCTTGACAGCACGTCTCCTGCCTGAATCAGGCAGCATACCCGACACCGAAGCCGAAGTTACTGCTCGCGCACGGGAACTAGCTTCGCTGAACTTGCAACTTACTACCACGGGTGCAATGGAAATGGTTGAACTGTTTGAAATGATAGAGACAATAAGCGATAATTTGGGCAAGCTGGTGGTGATGAATAAGCTTCGTTCGCGCAATAACATAGTCGTAGCCTTAGCTGTTAAGTATGTCGACCATGGTCTAGACCTGTGGTCTGGGACTGGAAGTCGAAATGGAGATGGAGATGGTATTTATTACGGGCTTGGAGGCTTGGCTACAGAAAACTCTCAGTGAATGACAAAACGGAGAATAACAATGAATGCCTTTTCTTATCGGGTCGGGGTCTTTTGGAGTTTGGGGAGGGTTCTGTTCTCTACTTTAAATTCGTCAGATATCACAGGTATGAGTCACGCGAGCCTAGTCCTAGTTAGCAATCCCCAACTTTGTACCAATAATGTCATACAGTTAGTTATATTGTCAGAAATTAGCGTGAAATACCCCAGCTTCATGTAAGCGGGTAACCATCTCTTCAGATCTTCTAATAAGCTTAATATTACTAGACAATTACAGTATTACGATGTATACAACTAACTAGCTTTGAATGAAAACCACCTTTTCATTTAATATCTTTTTCGAAAACCCCAATCCTTCAGAATGTACGAGTATCCTTGTAAACACTTGTTTAATCTAGAAAACAGAACATAAACCTTTATATTAGATGACTAGATAATCGTTAGATCTGTTTCTTCAAATCATACTTCGATTTGATTGAAATATCTTTACAGTTATGAATTCATAAATACAGTTGTATACATCGTAATACTATTAATAAAAAATATCAAGAAATATTGAGAAACATTTTACTTTGACTAAATCGAAAAGTTTGAAGTATATTCTTGGAATTACTCAATAGGATTCAATGATTAGAATTATACATATTATCACATGCCAGTATCAGCTCTTAGATAGGCTACAGGCTATCGGCTTTAATGTCATACTAAAGTAAAAACCCGGATATGTGAGATTCGTCAAATGTGGGGGTTTTTTGAGCTAATTGCACTTGCGGTTATAGTACGGGGTTTGTGATCATCTTCCCGGATCGGCGCCACGAGAGAATTGAACGAATAAAGTTAGAGATCAGATTTCCAGAAATATCCAAGGCAAGATCAGTTACGAGACGAAGAAGAGGCAAGTGCTGCTGTCCTACGTAAAAATAGAGACTCGCGCTTCCTATCACAGTGGTACCACCCAAAGGCTTACATTTATATCACCCCGTTCTATGACCCGAAAACATTCGTGCACTACCTCTAGTGTTCTAATTGGCCATGGCTCGAGAAATTTCCGAAATTTGCTCGGGTCATTTATCAACATAGCCTCGATTTCTCTAATTACTAGCCGAGTCCGCTAAATGCCAATGCCGAAATTTGATCACAAAAGAGGCACGCTACATGTCTAGAAACGTGCACCCCATCAACCTTCGTTTCTTTTGCATAACTACCTATTTGCAGGCAAATCGATAGCACCCTTCATGTATTCAACCGGCACAACCTCAAATGGCAAAATCTTTGCTAAAGATAAGAAATTCTGGAACAACTACCTCAAAGGCAGACCCCGTGCTCCTGATGTCTTCTTCGATCGTATATTCAAATATCACAAAGCACAAGGTGGTGAATTCGGGACAGCTCACGATGTGGGTGCTGGAAATGCCCCTTACGCCAACAAATTACGGTTCAAATTTTCTCACGTTATCGTCTCGGATATTGTTGCTGAGAACATTGAACTCGCTCAAGATCGCCTCGGAACTGATGAATACAGTTACCGAGTAGCAAAAGTGGAGAAAGCTGAAGATATACCAGCAGGCAGCGTGGATTTAGTCTTTGCAACGAATGTGATGCATTTCGTGGACCAGAAGAAAGCTATGGGTGCTATTTCGAAGCAGCTGAAGTCTGGCGGAACCTTCATCTGCAGTGTATTTGGACCTGCTCGCTTCGAAAATCCCGCACTACAAAATCTATGGGCACGTATCAGTCATGAGGGAGGTCGTGTGCTTTTAAAAAATGCAGATCAACCTGATCAGACCATCAGTATCATGGCAAGAACTCAGGGCAGCTACAACGTAGCGCCTCTAGACCCCGAGCTCTTTCAACTAGGTGCGACGCGTGTGCACTTGAACATGAGTAAAGGCGGAATTATTGAGCTCTTGCCTCCAGAAGAGGCCTACAGAAACAAGGAGCCCAATTACACAGGGCTAGATGATGTCGAAACATTTGAAGACGAGGAGGGATGGGATTTTGAAACAGACTTGGAAGGCGTTAGAGAGCATATTGGCTCGTTTCCATTCATCGAAGCAGATCCTGCAGCCTTTACAAATCTGTTCAAGGAACTAGAGGAGCTCGTCGGAGACAAGAAAGTTCAAGGATATTGGCCGGCGAAAGTCATTTTAGCCACTAGGCTTTAGCAAGTAAGAAACTTAAAGCTACAGATAGGACGAATGTAGTGTAGACAATAAGTAGAAACTTTGAGTTGAATATTGAGCAATATGTCTTGTCGCGCTGAGTGTGCCTTTCAAGGCCTTAGTTAGTCGTACAAAATGTTGTACTCACTAGATCCAACTGGCTTGAAATTACATTTCACCTAGCCAAGCTTCTTTCTACTTTTTACGTACCCCTGATTTTTGATGTGCATGGAGATAACTATAAATTACTCGGTGAAATCAGCAAGATGATTTTCAGTACTACTAGTACGCGTATCGTTTATTCTGCTTTTTTCTTTTTGTCTTCTTTTGAATGTTGTCGTGATAAAAAATTTGGTCCCATGGTTAAGAGTTCGGGGGAATTGACAGTCCGCTCGTTCTTTCCGAGAATTCGGAGGGAATCTATGTAGTCGGTACATCATGTCTCCTTGATTGGATGAAATGAGTATGCCGAACCTATCGTATAGCAAATACTACATACTAACATTCAACACTATCAGACCTTTGTGTTGTGAAAATTCTTCAAAAGCAGAAGTTTAGCTGTACAAATCTTCGTAATTTCTTGCTGATTTCAATCGCTACCTTCTTCTCTAGCTAAGCTACAAGTCAAAATCATGTCTTACACTAATGGTCTTCCCCACGGCAATGAAGTCAATGAAGAGATCAAGTTCTTTGTGAACGGCGACAAAGAAGAATTCGATCCAAAGAACTGGACTGGTTCCCAGAATCAACTCCCAATACGTGGAAAGGAGACGGGTATCAATGTACTGATAGTGGGAGCGGGACTTGCTGGATTGACGTGTGCATTGGAATGCTGGAGGAAGGGGCACAATATCGTGGGAATCTTGGAGAGAAATAAAGGGCCAAACTATTCTGGTGAGTTCAATGGAGTAACGGAGTTAAAATAGAAATTTTTCTGATTAAGTCTCTAGGTGATCTCATCTTTATCCAGCCATCTGCTTCAAACTTCATGCGCTACTGGCCCGATATGTGTCGAGACTTAAAGGAGGACAAAACTGACATTCCCGAATACTACCGAAAGCACAACGGCGAGCTCATCTATGGGCCTTCGGAACCGCACTTCAACGATCCCGAGGACATATCCTTCCGCGAAAAGATTGGCGCTCCGCACGTGGGGGCATTACAAATTCGCAAGAAGTTCTACCGAATGTTGTTGCGGCAAGTGGCTAAATTAGGCATCAAGGTTGAATACGGAGAACGTGTCGAGAAGTACTTCGAAGATGAAGCCGCTGGTTTAGGTGGCGTTATGACAGAAAGTGGCTCTATTAGAGTAGCTCACATAGTCGTTGCTGCCGATTCTGCTAAGTCCAAATCCGAAATCCTCATTGCTGGTGAGCATATGCCATCAGTATCCAGCGGTATGTCCGTCTATCGTGCGTCATATCCAGGATATCTGGCCAAGAAAGATCCGATTCTTCAAAAGAGATGGGGAGGCGAGAACTCTGTATCACATGAGCTTTGGCTGGGACCTGGTATGCATATTGGGCTCTTCTTTTCATCTGAATTTGTTGCTTTCGGAATTACACCCCGCAACAACTTCCTAGTAGAAGGAAGTACCGAGGCCAAAGAGTCGTGGGATCCTACCGTCGATCCCGAGGAAGTTATTCAAGTCCTCAAAAGGGTATCCGACTGGGATGAAGCCATCGTAGCTCTCGTGAAGAATGCACCCAAAGGTTCTGTGATACACTGGCCTTTATTGTGGCGCAATCTTCGACGCGAATGGACTTCCAAGAGTGGCCATGTTGTACAGATCGGCGATGCTGCGCATTCCAATGTCCCAAGCTCTGCTAGTGGGGGTACCCTAGCCCTTGAGGACGCTATAACATTGGCCTCATGTTTACAGTTGGCAACACATGGAGGTGGATCTGGGGCTGCGGGGCTCGGAGCGAAAGTATATAACTTACTGCGATGGCAACGTGTGAGTTGCAATCAAAAAATGGCCTTTGTTAACTCACAGGCCACGAATACGAAGAGTATGGATTGGGATGCTATTGGAAAAGATCCCAAGAAGGTTCGCCTTCGGTTCTGCAAGTGGTTTTTTCGACATGATCCTGAAGCCTATGTGTACGAAAAATATGGGCAGGCTTTTGCACATCTAGTTGATGGTGCTGATTTCCAGAATACCAATATACCTCCTGGCCACAAGTTCGTGCCTTGGACGGTTGAAGAAGTCCAAAAGGATATCAAAGAGGGGAAAAGGATAGAAGAGTTCTTAGACGGGGACTGGTCATAGGGAATCTAGAATATATCCTACACCCCGGTAGACCTTATTTCATGGCTGTTTCTACTTCAAAAGATGTCCAAGAAAATGGGGTTTGATTTCCAGTGATGTGTTTTGAAAGTTTTGACACCCTCTACCTTCTTCTAACGCTAAGACATATTTTGTTCGGGATCTTTGATCCGGCAGGAGAAGAGTCCTATAAATATCAAGGTAAATAAGAGACAGTCCGCAAAATAATACTCTTTGGCTCTCAACTTCTACCTTGTCAAATATTTTATACGATATCTCAATATTAAGACATGGTGTTCTGTTGTATTTGTTAACGTAAAAGGTGTGTATGTAGAACTTTGGTCACTACTCCCTTGGTCCGCTTCAAAATATCCCCTCTACTAAATCACATGGTATTTCATCTACAGGAATCATTCTCCAGTTGATTGTATGTACTCGAGTACTATCAATTGAAACTCAGTGATGATTCATTTACTTCATAATGGCACACTTTTCGTCAGAACGGTTAATCTTGCTTATATAAAATGGGTGTTCATTAAACTATTCATGTGCTTCGAAAATCTTATCATGGTCGTATTCTCCCCACCGAATATCAGGCTCAATTCCAGCAAACTTCCAAACCCCACCTACCTTGCGATACCACATTGTACCCTTGCCGTGGGCGTGTCCTTTAATCTCGACTTCCTTCAGTTCATCATCTTTGTATCTTTGGTGGGCCACCCGCATCTGATGATATCCGGTGATTTCATTTTCGCTTGTTTGCACCCATTTGGTTGCGCCGACAAAATGTTGCGTCTTGAGACGCTTGTTCCCAAGAACTTTCTGATCGGAAGCCATGGCTATGAATTGTTCTGCAGGCATGGCTTCCCAGAGCATATTGAGGAAAGACCGGTAGTCGATCTATGAATAACTATTAGAATATGGCTTTCTGATGGAGATCAAAGCAACTTACACGAAGAACAGGGGCGACTATTTTCGAAAGACGTTCCCAATCTTTTGTGTCGTAACTCTCAGCCCATTCATATAAAGCGGCTTGGCAGCCGGAGACATCTAGCTGTCCTGTTATGAACGACTACCATACAGCTTTAGATGTAAACTTACCTTCGAAAGAAGGTTGTTTCGCCATGCTGGAAAAGTTCAATGGTTTGAGACGTGACGTATTGATTCAACGCAGCTGGATGATATTGATATTGGGGAAAGAGGAGTGTTCTTCACCGGCTTAGTATGAATATGTACCTACTATTGCCTTATTTCAATTTGGGAATTCTCCCGACTCCCGTACCCGATCTACGGAGATAGCCTCGGAGAGCGGAGAGCCTAGTTGAAGGATCAGCACTCCGTTCCTGCTCTTTTTTTGCATACATAGACGAGTTCATACTTGCATCACGAGCTTTTTAGTAAACCAACTCCAACTTTATACACCGTTCTTTCACTTTGGACCTAAAACTGCCCAGAAATTTTAACATACTACACTACTCTCTCATATTACTGAATACCATCGTCCATAATGGCCACTCCTTACATTCCATATCGCCTTGATGGGAAAGTGGCTCTCGTAACGGGCTCCGGCCGTGGTATTGGTAAGGCTATGGCCGTTGAGCTCGGTCGATTGGGTGCCAAGATTGTCGTCAACTACGCAAACTCAGCCGAGTCGGCTGAGGAAACTGTCGCCGAGATCAAAGCTCTAGGATCTGACGCAGTTGCCTTCAAAGCCGACGTTCGTCAGGTTCCTCAGACCGTCAAGCTATTTGATGATGCGGTTGCTCACTTTGGTGGGTTAGACATCGTGTGCAGCAACTCGGGGGTGGTCAGCTTTGGACACTTGGGAGATGTGACTGAGGTATGTGTAGTCATCCTTCTACTTCTCCCAATCAATGGGGATCTAACCACATCATCCCCATGCAGGAAGAATTCGATCGTGTATTCAGCTTGAACACGCGCGGACAGTTCTTCGTTGCCCGCGAGGCATACCGACACCTCAATGAGGGCGGACGTATCATTTTGATGTCATCCAACACCGCAAAGGAATTCACTGTACCCAAGCACTCATTGTATGCTGCTTCTAAGGGTGCCATTGATTCCTTTGTGCGGGTCTTCGCTAAAGACTGTGGTCACAAAAGAATTACTGTCAATGCCGTAGCACCTGGTGGTACTGTCACCGATATGTTTCACGCCGTATCCCAGCACTACATCCCCAATGGCGAGAAATACACACCCGAAGAGCGACAGCAGGTGAGTTCGGGTATTATTTCGGGAATAGGGGTAATGCTGACAACAAAAAGATGGCGGCACATGCGTCACCGTTGGTTCGGAATGGATATCCAATTGATATTGCACGGGTTGTTTGTTTCTTGGCTAGCAACGAGGCCGAATGGGTTAACGGGAAGATTCTTACGCTTGATGGCGGTGCTGCATAAGCGGGGGTTTCGGAAATGTTGCAGTACCAATAGTTTAAAGAGGAATTGCAAGTGTCCAAACATGCAATACCATCCAAATAATTTCAATTCCGGTGATCATAAGCCAATCTTTTTGAAAATACCGGCACGATTCCAACTCAGGGGGCTCAACGCCAAGCCGAATCCCAAGAGTGTGGGGTTTGTTAGGATCAAAACCCTTTCGGGAGGTTTTTTTGGTACTGAGACCTTGCGAAGCACCCTTGCTGCATTCTTATTCTAATCGTCGACCTTTACGCAGAGCCTATGAGACGAAATAACTTCAGAATGCCTGCTGCCGGTTTCTTACAATATCGGTGGAATTCTCTTTTTAGCGAGGTCTGTCGGACCTCGGGTCTCGGGTTTCGGATTATTTTCCACCCCCTACAGGAAAACCAAAAAGGTCTACATGTCATTTCCGAACGACACTTTTCAACGGAGTAATTCAACAGCCCGAATGTGTAATGTTTGTAGTGAATAATCATTTACGGATCCAAGTCTTTTCTTACTGAAGAAAGACTTGGTGATCTAGTCGCAGATCTATAGCCTTTGATAGACTTCTGATACATCCACGAATAAACCCAACTCACTCCATTGATCTACTGTCTGTCACTTGACTCCTTGTTAAAGATAAATTTATTGTAAAAAGTCAATATGTCTGCACCGGTCGAAATCCAGGCGGCTACCCTTGACAAATTCATTGCAGGATGGAAGGAATTCACTCCCGAATCTTGGATGGCGACATGGTCTGGAGATTGCACCCAAAAGATGTTACCTTTATCACTGGGAGTACCGGCGAGATCGAGAACCGAAGTCTTAGGCATTTTACCGAAGCTCATGAGTATCCTGAAAAACTATAAAGTAAGTAATTTAAGAGACAAGCGGTCACTTTCTTTCTTCTAGTACTCATTTTCTGCGTAGCTAGATATCTACGAGATTGTACACGATGCTCCCAGGAGTAAGGCGGTCATATATGCAACCTCTTACGCCGATACGCCTTTTGGAGATTTCAAATGGACGAATGAATACGCTGTTTTTATCACTTTTACTGAGAATGGGACGCAGGTTAAGAGATTTGAAGAGATGGTTGATACAGCATTCTATCAGCAATTCTTTCCCAAGTTCCAGCAATACATGAAGGAACAAGGAGCCACTGCTCACTAGTTAGAACTCAAGACGATTCAGATTTCTGTAATTTATGAAGTTTACGTCTCTGATTCTGTTTAGTCTACTCGAGACATAATGTAGTAGAGATAGCTCAATACTTCGTTTCTGGTGAAAATGTACCGATTCAGAACTAGTGAAGCACTAGAAGATTCATGTTCCAATCAACGGCGCATCATGCCTGTGAAATCAACGTAGTTTCATAACTAAAAGGCGAACAAAGGTGATAGATCCCCCGGTCCTTGAAAAAGTGGGCTTCGGGCATTCTAAAATTCGATTTTTCTTTCAATTATCTAAAACCTCCTGTAAGATTTAGCTTCGGGGGTAGTTGATTATGTATCGGCTTATAGGAAAATCTCACTCCGGCAGATAAGAGCCCTCTTCAATTTCATGAGACGATCGTACAAACTTCGAAGTGATTAACGAAGCCTTGTACTTTGTTTTTCAGTGAAACATTCTGCGCATCCCATCTTCACATTAGACTGGTCCATTTTTTCAAAGTCGATCCTCGACTCGAAGTGGCAATCTTCGAATAATGGCTGTTTACGCAGTTCTTGGCTCTACTGGCAACTGTGGTACAGCTCTTATTCAAAATCTTCTAAAGCAGCCGGGTGCCAAAATCAATGCCTATTGTCGAAATAGATCTAAGCTCCTGCGACTTATTCCTGAAGTGGAAAATAGTACACAGGTGGAGATTTTTGAAGGTAGCATTCAGAATGAGGAGCTACTCAAAATTTGTTTGAAGGGGTGTCATGCCGTTTTCCTGGTCGTTTCTACCAACGACAATATTCCAGGATGCCATTTAAGCCAAGATACAGCAATCAGCGTCATCCATGCCCTCGAGAGCCTCAAGCAAGCAGAAATTATGAAGCTGCCTAAACTCGTTCTCCTCTCCTCAGCAACCATTGACGACCACTTCTCACGCCATTTACCTTGGATGTTACGGCAAATCTTGCTTCGTTCTGCATCCCACGTCTACAACGACCTGAGAGAGACCGAGAAGCTTCTTCGGTCCCAGGAGGATTGGTTGACAACTATCTATATCAAACCGGGAGCACTATCTGTGGATAAGGAACGGGGCCATGCGTTGAGCTTCACAGATGAAGGAAGCCCTCTTTCGTATATGGATTTGGCGGCTGCTATGGCCGAGGCAGCTGACGATGAGGAGGGACGGTATGATTTGCGGAATGTCAGTGTAGTGAACACGAATGGCAGAGCAAAGTTTCCCACAGGGACTCCGATGTGCATTCTGACAGGGCTTTTGAGGCATTTCTTTCCTTTTATGCATCCGTATTTGCCGACAATGGGGCCTTGGGACTACACAGTCAGCTTGGTGTGGAGGAATGAGGTAGAGGAATGAGCGAGACTATCCTATTTCAATGTTACTTGATTTTATTCGATAAACTTGGCGCTGCGACTGTCGTGTGCTACGAATCTTCGTTCTCGTGAAAACAGAGTGAAATATAGCTTTCTTGCTCTGAGTATACATTTGTAGTATTTAACAATTTACGAGATCATAATCGAAGAGGTTCCAGAACATCACAGTAATATCCAGTTATTGTTTGTGACATTCAAGTCCCAAAGCTAATTTGTTGAAAAGAGAAGCTATTTGGAAGAATTGGGACATTGGAAATGAAAGCCAAGGGAGAATAATGGTTAGATACCTTCTTATGATGAAGATTTTCTGCCGGCTATACAAGGAGATGTCTCTGAAGAATAAACAGCTCTAAGGGTATTCTAATTGTTCGGGGCATACTATGTATCCACAACGAAAAGAGGTTTGTGTATAAAATTTCAATCTCTTATATATGTGAAAGTTTTGATTGAAATACAAATGAAGCATCTTCTAACGAGAGTGGAAGTAATGACTGCTAAGCTCTATATCCCTACGCCACAGACTTGATACTTTCGACAGCTAGCATTTCCATGGTCGCAGTAGTCTCAGGTGTAACCGTCTTTTTCCCCTTTCTGATGAGCCCCAAGTCACCACGCACGAGGTTCGCTGAGAGTCCCTCAATTACATCGCCAGTGAAGCTAGTCAAGTTCAGCTCATCTTTCTCCCGCTCAAAAGTCCGTGTCACGATGCCACCCAAAATGTGTACCTCCTCGGGCGTGAGTTTTTCGAGGGTTTCGGGTGCTGTCTGGGCTTTCTCAATCTTATCGATGACAGCACGTTGCTTCTCGGGTGTGACCTCAAAAGAGTCGAGTGAGAAATCGACCGCCTCGGCCGCATTTTTCTGAACTCGCGCGTCATCCGTTTCGGTATCAGCGACGCCTTGAATAACGGGTTGGATCTTCTTGAAAGCCATGTCGAATCCTTCTTCCTGCTCGGTAGTGATGAGATGAGCTTCCTTCATTCTCAACTGCCGCAATACTGTCATGACCAACAACAAGAAACGTGTATACCCTTCGGAGACCTTAGTTGTGTGCCACTTGGCGGCGCTCCACTCATCAGCTTGACCTCGTCGAGCAGCCTGAACGGAAATAGCTGCGGAAAGTCCAGAAGTCAAAGCCAGATGAACACCGGAGGAGAAGTATGGATCGACGAAGCAACCAGCATCGCCGATAATACGGAAGTGAGGACCAGCATAAGCAGAGGCGCTGTACGACCAATCAGATGCTTGCTTCAGTTCCGACACAATTTCAGCATTCTTCAACAATTGCTGGATACCCGGCGCGAGGTCGAGGTACTCCGTATAGAAAGCTTTGCCTTCTAGTTTGGAAGTCTTCTTCCTCTCGAAAAAGAAATCCTGGCGAGCCGCAATGCCGACCGACAGTGTGCCGTTGTGAAGAGGTATTGCCCAGACCCAGCCACTGCCATCTGTCACATCCTTTATTAGTAATCGTTCTTTTGGAAGCTTCTATTTATATCTTACCAGTTAGAGCCTCGAAGAAAGGGGAGTTCTCGTTATCCTCGCCCTGCTTGTAGCGCTCCGCACCCTTCCAGTAACTCCAGATGGCAATATTCTTCAGACCCTCGTTAAATCGACGGTTCTTCAGATACTTTGTAGAAATAATACCGTTACGGCCACTGCCATCGATGAGGTAGTCGAAATTGATGGTACCGCTGGTGCCATCCTTGCGAGACCAAGCCGCGGATACAGGGCGTCCTGGGTTGGCTAAGTGGTCTTCTGCAGTAAATCTATCGCGTGAGTACGGCTCGAATTGAAGTGAGTCCACCTTGGTTTGGTCGAAAGTTTTGGCGCCACTCTTCCCAGCGTGCTTGAACAATAGCTCGTCCGACTCGGAACGAACTACGTTCCAAGAGTGGCCTCCTTTTCCAAGAGAAGCAGCGAAGTCGGTATCTAAGGCGAGCTCGTTAGTGGTTGACTCCTCTCCATCTAATGAAAGCATGCTTACAGGCTTCTTTCTTGGTAGTTATCTTGAATGTCGCTCCGAACTAGAGGCCGTATGCTCAGTACAATCGATATATACACATGTAGCAGTAGCACGCACCTTCTTCTCAAATCCGTGATCATCGAATGTCTTCTCGAGATCGATGAATCTCAAGAAGAAACGCATAGATGCAAGCATACTCTCTCCAACATGGTATCTTTTTACATCGGCTCAATTAGTCTCGATTAGATTTCTGAAGAGTGCCGGGGTATATACCTGGGGAATTTGTCGGCTTCCAGAAGAACAACATCGACACCTTCTCGGCCTAACAGAGAAGCAGCGTACGACCCGGCGGGACCACCACCCACAACGAGGACAGAGGTTTGAGTAGGCACAGACATATCATATAATTCAAGGTTATTCTTAAAGCTCAGAATATTCAACAAAGTCTATGGAAGAGATAAGACAGTTGAGCATTGAAAGGAAATACTAGCGAGGTTGATATAAGAAGTTACCGGGTGATTATGTAAAGTAGAAAATGGGGTAAAAGACAAAAAGTACATGGAACAGACGCTGATTCATTACGTTCTATTATTCGTTTGACCGAATAATGTATCTCCGGGCAATATATCAGAATAGACCGAAGTAAGACTTCCGATTCCCGAAACCGAATCATCGGGCACCCGATTCTCAATTAACTTGTTGTTACAGTAGCAAGATTGCTGGAAAGTTTTTTTGGTGATCATGTACCATTTTTGTATGCCGTAAAAACTTCATGCGGTGGTTTCTATTATCGACTCAATACTAATGTGTTTCATCAGCAAAGCAAGGGCCCTAAAGCCAGTATGTGCAACGCATATGTCAATCCAGAGCGGTAGCTCTTTTTCAAATTCCGAATCCCCCTCCCTGCATATATTTATATCGGGGTTGAAAGCGTTAAACATTGTCTATTTGAATATGATAGATATATAGAAGGTATCTCGAAAGAAATAATATCTCATTTCCTTTGCCAGGATATGAAAATGTCACACTGTCAATGCAAAAGGCATTCATCGTGAGAGATATGTTTCCGATAATGTATCCTGTGCAACCTCGTAATCGGTCAGGGTCAAGACTGCCCTAAATAATCTCATCTGAACTGACAATAGCTTTGTATCATTTAGTCTCGCAAGATAGAAAAAAAAGGAGCTCATTACCACGAAATCTCATGCCAAAGGACGATTAGCGCTTATGTCAACTCAGCGCCAAATCGAGATCAAAGCTGCGAGAAGTTCAGAAAGACAATTTTAAAAGGTATCAAGTTGTTAGAAACTGCAGGGACACCACTCGACACAGCTGCACTGTCATCCATACACAGTATCTGCAGATGTGTTCTTTCAATTTCTGGTAGTACATACTCAAATAATCTCCCCACTTTCACCACCCACACAACAAGCGCGTTTGTGGTTTGGTCATGATATTTATTGTTGCCAGGAATCCGATTCTTCATAGACTCACAACTTTAACAACCCTCGATAGACACAGGTAACAATCTTCATGGAACTAGTTAGCCAAGTGCCACTAGTTACCGTTTGGTGGCACATGTGTGAATGTCTCCATGGAACATTGAGCTTCCACTAGGCCCGGAGGGCTTCAAGATGCCCAACGATAACCCTACTATTATGGCTTCCGGTAAACAATAGGATAATTCATAAGTGAACCAACGGGACAGGTTCTCCAAGCTAGATCTCCTGTAAATGATAAATATATCTACTGGACTGCTTTTTTGGTCTGGCAAAAAGCAACTAAAGGATTGGTTCGATCCCCGGCGAATGTATCAACTTTTCGCTCTTTAAAAAACAGAGATACAACAGATGGTCGTTTCATTTTGAATACTTTGAAGATGTAGCTCATGGTTGTAATCTGACTGAGATAGGCTACGAGAGCGAAACAATCTCTGCTATTGTATTTTCACTGCCTACATGAAACATCATATAAACAACAGCGGTCACGGTAGCACAAGGTATCCAAAAATTGTCTTACTTTCACCGTTGCATGCTCAATACACATATGATGCGAAATCAACATCTGGCCACTTGAGCCTATCAAATGCAAACAATAGGACCTTCCTATAAATAGTCCAAATAATGTTCTCATGCAGAGATTCTTACCCTCAAGAATATCATTGACGTTGTGCCCAATGAATTTACGTATTGGGCTCAGAGAAATGTGTGAGTATTAATAAACAATACATGAGCCTCGCTCGATGATCTTGAAGGGGCTCACCGAGTTGACTTCAGGTCATTTGTCTCATTTTCTTCCACATGCTGCAGAATTAACACTGCGCCGCAGTTTTTTTTCGAGAACCAAAGAATATCAGTGTCGAATAGACAGTCTTCGTCCGTTGTGCGTCTCGAAGAAATGAATATGATGGTTTGATATCAGCCATGATGAACTAACTGCGAGCTCCAGAGATGAATACTGTAGCTCTTCACGCCATTTGTAAGAGATACCTACAATCCGACTTTCTTGAGCTCGATACACACAATGAGTAGGTATACTCGTTACTTGCCATTGACATTGAAGATAATTCCGATAAAGGTAGGATGTTCTAAAAAGTGTTGAAGATCTTGAAATATCCTTAGTAAGGTTAGGCGCCCGGGCTAACATCGGGCCGGTCGCCAACCAGTGCGTGCAATCTGATTTTCATCCAATCAGAACGATCATCTCGTTTAATGGTCGGCTCTCCATTATAACGGCCGCCTAGTTCCCACATCCTCCTTACAAATAAAACTTCCATCCACAAATAACTATATGTGCCAGCCAGCCAGATTATCCCCAAGCCCTTGATTCCATTATCGCTTTCTTGATCGCTTTCACACAATTCTATGGTCTACGGCATTTCTTTTCCATGCATTTCCTGGGTCGGCTCGGCTTGTGCTCTCCAAATCATCAAGTCTCCGTTGTTGCAGATATGGAAGTTCTTTATCGGAAGTACACAGTTCAGGAGACGCTGCTGAAGATCTTCCACCCCTGAGGAAATACTTCCTGTGCTGCATCCAGAAGAAAAGGAAATTGCTACCTCATTATAACTTTCGACTTGGAACACATATTGAAAGATACTGTAGTCTTGGAAAGTCTTGGGAAGTCTTTGGACCCACGTTGTATAGGAAGGACCTGTGCATAGGTATTTCAATCTAACTTAAACTTAAGCTTGATTTTGTACTGCTTATTTTTGCTTGGTGTGGCTCAGACTCTAGTTCTTGTCGTCTTTGCTCGTCTTCTATTATCCTTCGTCTCCTCATGTTGTGAAATATTCTCTCTCGTTTCTATTTTCTTTCTTTGTGGAAAGGAATTGCTGCAATCTTCGACGCTCTTTATTCCAATGGTATCCACAATATTTCCCCATCAAATTCTCCAAACCTCAAGTGCGACGATCACGACTTGGCTGCCGTTATCTACAGCATGGCCTTCTACAGCAGCGTGTTCGAGTCTGGTAGTTTTTGGTTCCGGGAATGATGCAAGGAAGCTCTTTGGATGGGATCCCTTGTATCAAGTTGTTCGTGACACAGGTTCTCCCAGATGTTTCGCCGACGAAATGGCGAGTTGGTGGCTCGAACTATCGAGTGTCACGATATCATTGGGACCAAATTTTAATTGTCCTGCTGCGTATAGCACCGTAGCAACTTCCGTCCATAGTGCTGGAGTTACACAAGTCTTCTGTTGTCCCACGTATGTATACACAATAAATTTCTCACCTTGCCCAAGCAAATCTATCTATCGAGCAACGAAAAAATCACTAACAGTCTCAGCGACTATAAACTCTCAGTTCTAATTCCATCCCACTCCTACGGCGACTACCCCACCCAATGCATGTCAACTCTCAAACCAGGAGATGTACTTAAATATCAAACTCCCACCGACGGCATCTACCAACCTGCCAGTTCAACCGTCAGCGATACAGTATTTGTCTACGGTGAACACATCAACGGATGGAACATCGACGATGCACTTTTCGCCTCCATGACTGGCGGTTCACAATCTTCATCAAACACCGCATCAACTACCTCGACTACTCCAACCACCACCACAAGTTCCTCCACAAATGGAGAAGGCTTAGCCACCACCAAAACCCTAGAATCTGCAACCGCCTCCTCAACCCCAATAACCAGCAACAAATCCAGCAATACCTCCCCCGCACTCGCAGCTGGCGTAGGCGTCGCCGCAGCCATCATCATCCTGGGTCTTGCGGCCGCTCTATTTCTTTTCATACGGCGACAACGACGCAAGAAGGATGCCAATCCCCACATAAATACCATGATGGAAATAAATTCCACCGAAACCTATCCATCTCAATCCGCATCCGCATCCGCATCCGTATATCACCCCATCCACCCCGCAACCGAACTATCCAACGAGCGACCTCTGCACGAAATGGACGGAGGCATACATGTAGGAACAAAAGGATACTATGATCCAACTCCGCGACTCAGACCACAACATATGTATGAAATGTGAATGCAAGTACCGGTAAGGAAGTATGTAAGTAATTTTGAAAAGTGGGAAAGAAAGTGCAGTGTAGTGTTTGATATCGATCGGGTTTATATGTATATATGTATAAACTCGAGCAGTATTCGTACTCGTATTGTAAGTGAAGTGATATTATCTTACATCATGTATTGTAATGAAACCATACCCATTCTTTTCTTTCTCTTTTCTTCACTTGACAGAGATCAATAACAACACAGTAGATTCATTCTCTCTACCCATATTCCTGATTAGAATTGCTATCAACATATCGAGGGTTATTCTCATTCCCCATTTCCACAACAAATCATCAAACATCCAACTTCAAAACTTCAAAACTTCAAAACTTCGAAACTCCAAAACTGGACAACCACCTATTCTATTCTACTATACTCTACTCTACTCTAATATATCACCATCCCATCACCTATCACCACCACCACCATATTCCTCATTTGTCATTTCCTATTTGTCATTCTTGACTCGACTCAAACCCACCTACCACCCACCTACCACCCACCTACCAATCCAAACCAATCCAAACCAATCCAATAATCCAATAAACACCCTCAGCCCCTTCCCCTTTCCCATCCCTCCATCTCTTCATCCCCCCATCCCCTCGCAATCCTCACCGTCCTCACTATCCTCACAGTAGTAAATCAGGGGACCCCCTCCCCCACCCATCCTTTGATACAAGTATCCAATACTCGTACATTATGCATATACTGGTAGTATATAAGGAAGACTACCTACCATATAACAATATCTATCCAACCCGGGTATGTATATATGTATGTATGTATGTATGTATGTATAATAAATATACTCGAGTATATACTTTTCCCCGACAAAAACAACTCGTACAATCATTAATCGTAAATCATCGTAAATTATAAACATCTATTTTGCAGAATCCAATTCAATCCAATCCATCGAATTTCTGCGACTCTGCGCCTTTGCACTTGGAATAACTTATAGTAGTATTCTATTCTATTTCATCAAGTAACTATCAAGTCAACGTACCTACCTACCTACCCCTCTCTCTCTCTCTCTTTCTCTCTATATATAGAACTCGAATTACATCAAGAAATCATGAAAAACAAGAAGAAAGGATACAAAGTCAAACTCAAACATATTCGATATTCGATATCATTTCATTGAACCTCACATAGACACAAAGAAAGGCTTATTGTGTTGACACACATGCGTCTAGAGGAGCACGAGCCAAAAAAGGAAGACTAGTACGAGTACCATGAGTACCATGAATTCTGTACAATAATACATCTTGCATCTAATGCATCCAACCTAATGCCCCCGCAGCGATCATGTATTTTTGTCTCAAGTTATGTCACCTCCACTCACAGCTACATTACAAACACTCCATCCTCCATACACCATCTTTACAAATCTATTCTCCCTTTAACTTATCCTGTGTAACAGTAAAAGCTGTCTCCAACAACTTCGCTTCCTCCTTTGTATGGCTGGCCTTGAGACCGGTGGCCACACTAGCGCTTGGATCTCTGCCTGCATACATGACGTGCTTTCTATCGTGGTGTTTGGTGTTGTTCAACAACGTCTCGATTCTAGGTTGAGTAAAACTCCAAGCACCGGCGTTGAGGGGTTCCTCTTGACACCAGACGATGGTCTTGGCGTTAGTGTACATATCAAGATTCTCCTTGAGTTGTTGCCATGGGAAGGGGTTGAGTTGTTCGATACGAGTGAAGGCAGTGTCTTTAATGTTGTTGTCGGCGCGGTACTTGCTTAAGGCGGCATAAACTTGTCCAGTGCAGAGAATAACACGCTCGATTTTCTCAGGCTCGTTGATAGTTTTGCCATGTTCGGCATCAGGGATGATCCAGCGGAATTGCGAGTCACCAGTAAATTCTTCAATTGGTGAACGAGCGATGGAGTGACGGAGGAGAGATTTTGAGAAGAAAATGATAAGAGCTAGTCATTGTTAGTAGATGTTTATGTCATGAAAAAGGCAACACTTACGTTTTCGGAATTGTCTGTTCATTTGTCGTCTCAAGACGTGGAACAAGTTAGATGGTGACGTCATGTAAGCGATCTGCATATTACAATCTTGATGTTGACGTTCGAGCTTCTCTGGCGAAGGGAAGATACGAGGATCTTCGTTGCAAAGTTGAAGATATCTCTCCATACGACCGGACGAATGCTCAGGTCCTTGACCATCATAACCGTGAGGCAACGACATGACGAGACCGGATCTTTGCATCCACTTGACCTCACCAGAGGCAATGAATTGATCAATGATACATTGCGCATTGTTGGCGAAATCACCGAATTGAGCTTCCCACATGACAAGAGCATCTGGCGAAGACAAAGAGTAACCATATTCGAAGCCAAGACAACCAAACTCACTCAATGAAGAGTTAGAAACAACAAACTTTCCTTGGTCTTTACTAATGTGTTGCAAAGGTGTGTAGGTTTTCTCGGTTTCTTGATCATGGAAAACAGAGTGTCTTTGCGAGAAAGTACCACGCTCAACATCTTGACCCGAGACACGGACGTGATGGCCTTCGCCGACGAGGGTTCCGAATGCGAGAGCTTCGGCCGTTGACCAGTCGATGTTCTGTCCTTCACTCACAGTCTTGATACGGTTAGTCAAGATACGCTTGAGGTTACGGTGAACGTTAAAGCCTTCTGGGTATGAACCGATTGTTTCAGCAATGTGCTCTAAAGTGTGGGCTGGTACACCTGTGGGGTTGTGTGGAAGAACTTCGGTAGCAAGTTCCTTCGGCGACTTGAAGCCGTTCCAAGCGGATGTGGTCCACTCCTTTGATGTCGGTTGGTAATCCTTGCTCTTGGCGAAGCTCTCCTCCAACATTCCCCAGACCCACTTTCGATGCTCATCGATATCATCCTTGGTAAAGCTACCGTCTTTGAGAAGTTGATCAATGTAAATATCAATTTGAGACTTGTGCTTCTGGATGCGCTTGTACATTAAAGGTTGTGTGAAAGATGGTTGATCGGTTTCATTGTGACCATGCTTTCTATAACAGACGAGATCAATGACAACATCACGTTGGAATTCGGCACGCCAATCAGCGGCCAGTTGACAAACGTAGTTGACAGCCTCAACATCATCAGCATTGACGTGGAAGACTGGAGCATCAATCGACTTGGCAATATCGGTACAGTAAGCTGTTGATCGAGCGAATCGTGGATCGGTGGTGAAACCAATTTGATTATTGACGACCAAATGGATTGTACCACCTGTGGAGTATGCAGGTAAAGAGTGGAAACCCAAACATTCATATACAATACCTTGAGCAGCAAAGGCAGCATCGCCGTGGAGGAGAACACCCATAGCAGTCTTGTGGTCTTTCTCATCATTGTTGTAGTGCTGGATAGCTCGAGTCTTACCGAGAACGACAGGGTCTTCGGCCTCGAGATGGGAGGGATTGGCAACCAAAGAAAGTTGTACACGTTTGCCAGAAGGAGTTGGTCGCTCAAAGTTCATTCCCAAATGGTACTTAACATCACCGGAACCTTCGTCTTCGGCAGCGGCAGTACCACCAAATTCACTGAAGATTGACTCGTTGGGTTTTCGGACAACGTTACTGAGAACGTTCAAACGACCACGATGGGGCATTCCAATGACAATATCTTTGACGCCAAAGTCGACACTTCTGTCAATTAGAGCTTTCATTCCAGGAACCAAGGTCTCACAACCTTCCAGACCGAAACGCTTGTCGTTGGGGTATTTGGTGGCCGAGAAACTTTCGAAACTTGAACTCCAAATCAAACGATCCAAGATTCGGCGCTTCTCATCGATTGAGTATTTGAAAGGCCTTTCGACCTCAATGCGAGCTCGTAGCCAATCACATTGTTCTCTGTCGGGGATATGGATGTATTCGACACCGTAAGAACCGCAATAGATACGCTCGCACGCCGCGATAATCTCGCGCAGTGTCATCTTCTCACGGCCTGCTTTCTTGAAATGTGGCAGGATACCAGGTCCCAAAGAATATTCGGTATCAAGATCTTTTTCCGTGAATTGATAATGTTCGAGTTGGAGCTCCTTGGGTTTGCTGTAGCCAAATTCCTCAGCCTCGCGTCTAATTCCGAGAGGATCGATATCTGCTTTGTGATGTCCACGAGCTTGATATGCACGGCACAAAAGCTGGACCTTCAAGTGATTTGTGATTTCTGATCCCTCTCCGCCACCTGGGCCTGGCAAAAAACTTGGTACACCTCCGGTAGGTGTGGGAACCAAAGTTGGAGGAGGAGTGAAAGCTTGCGACATTGGCATATCGCCACTTTCCATATTCCTGAAGTAAACCTGCCATGATATATGCACACTCGGTGGGTCTTCCTTCCACTGCATATACATCTCATCTATGTAGTTTGCGGTATTTCCGGACAAGAAACTGTCGTTTGAGGATGGGGCACTTGCAGTTGTCGATTCATGTCTCTTTTGGGATACGATAGCTAGAGAACGTCGTTTCGATGATTGGACAGATCTTGATGTGACATTCGAGATAGAGAGAGGAGATCTTGAGGTTGTGCATAGGGTTCTAGCTGAGCAGCCACCTCTCAGAAGCTGGCTGCTCGATTGCCGCAGTGAGGTTCGAAGCATTGCGGCTGCCAATGTAAATAGGAAAAGATCGAACCTAGATGTATTGATTAGGGTAGAGGAAGAAGGTTGAATTCAACCAGATGTTGAAAAAGGAGAGGCGGAGTAAGTCTTTAATTTTCTCAAAATAACAAGAACTGCGTAACAGCTTCGGATAGAAATGCCAGTCAAATGATCGCACCCGATCAGAGTTTGGGTGGAACAAGCCAAGAATTCAGCATTAACCTTGAAATTGAGGCAAATTTCCAAAATACGTAGATAGATTCCGAAGAAGAATTCCGAAGTATTCATCCGGGACGAATCAAATAATCTCAGAAGGATAAAGCGGATTTTATTAATTCCGATTCTTTCCATTAGATACACTAATCTACAAAAGGTTTAGCTTATATTTACGTCCAAATAATTGATGTGTCAGCATTTTTTGAAATGATTTATTGGTGGATGGATGAACAAGATGTATCAAACCAAACATCAAAAGGCTGAATATCAACAAGCGTATCAAGATCTTCTACACGAACACATACACATACACGTACATTTACCCAGCTTGAGCATCTCGTCTATTCATTCAAGTACATTCCAATATATGGCCGTATATGGAATAATATAATACAAAGTCACAAGGGACTCAGGGACACAGAAACACAGAAACACAAGAACGATTTGACAAGGGAATAAAGGCTGAAGGTTAATAACGGCCTTTTCACCAAAATCCTTGAAGAGGCGGCTTCCTTCCAATTTTATCTCGTTTCTTTGATCTACTATCTCCCTGTTTCTGGTGCCGACAAACTCCTCTCCTGTGTCCAAGAACCAGATACTCATATTCTCTTATTTATATGTGGTAACGGTAACGTGCACACTCGGGTCTTGCATGAAAACATGGCGCCACCTGCGCTTGCCATATACAAGAAAAAAGATGGGACATTGAACATATCCAAAGATGAAAAATCGATTCAATGGCTACCTTTGAAGGCTGATGGAGGAGGAGCAATGATCAATATTGCTGTAGGAGATATTACCAGTGGGTTTACTCGGCATTCGAGGTTTCTTTGACTTTATATATTGACATCTTTCAGATTTGCAGCAGACCCCCGAAACCGCTGCAAAGGTAATGCTGAAAATATTTGAGAAGTCAGCAAATGCTCCGGAATCTGTGACCCATGTTTTTAATTTCAATTCCCCTGCAAATCCACGTGGGGAAGCAAATGCCATCAAAGATGCCTTGACAAATTTGATCAGTGCATTGAAAGCCGCCGATTTAAATGTGCCCAAGACCAATGGTTCGGGTGCTACTTCGGCAGCTATGGCAATGGCCAGCGCTGTAGCTTCGAAGCCTAGCTCTGGAAATGCCAGATTCTACGATGATGCTCAATTGAAGACGGACATTGAATTGCAACAATCACTCATGAAGAAAGATCCAGCGTTGCAGCGAACTTACATGGAATCGAGGCGGACAAAACCAGACACGATATCAGATTCTCAATTTAATTCTCAATTTTGGTCTGCACGAACGAATCTTTTGCGCGCTCATGCAGTCGAATCGAGCCAAAAGAGGGGTCCTTACAATGTTCTTTCTGCCGTAAAACCACGTCAAGTCGATGGAGAGCTTAAGATGAACATTAGTGCGGAGCAGGTCCAGCTGATCTTTAGCCAGCATCCACTAGTCAAAAGGGTCTACGATGAGAACGTTCCTAAACTCAATGAGATGGATTTTTGGTCAAGATTCTTTCTCAGTCGCCTATTCAAAAGACTCAAGGGAGAGCGCATTAGCGAACAAGAAAGTCTTGATCCAACTTTTGATAGGTATATGAATGCCAATATTGATGATGGACTCGACCAAAGACTGCTTTCTACTCACATTCCTCACATTATCGATCTTGAGGGTAATGAAGAAAATCAAGGGGGTATCAGAGCAGGCAATCGAAAAGACTTTACAATGCGGCCTGAATCGTCAGGCAGAGTACCAATCGTTCGAACTCTAAACAGCTTGAGCGAGAAAATCATGGCTCACGTTGCTCCATCTGATGTAGATCCTGCAGACCCTATTGGCATGGACGAGGAAACCTTCAATTCTCTAGCATTGAGGGATCTTCAAGGCGACCCAGAAGAGAATCGGATCATGCTCAATATCAAAGAACAAAGTCAGTTCTTTTCGAGTGAAAAGTCTACTATATCCGAAGAAGCCGCCCTTTATGCAAAGCAGATTCCTTCCGAAGTCTTGCTCGGTCTACAGTCTGATCTTGACCCCACATTAATGAACACCGATTCCGCTGGAGGCTTAGACCTGCGGAAAGCTATTGGGGTGAATGAAGAAAGCGACAGCGAGGAAGAGGACGAACAAAAGACTCCTCATGTCGGAAGCAAAAGCAGTCTCTCGGATGCCCAGAAACAGATCTTCGAAGGGATTGCGGTACGGCGGACAGAGATGGATGGGTCTGGTGCTACATCAGCGTTAGCGGGGTTATCGCAGATGCTGTTTGATAGACTGACGCTAACACATGCTACTACTGTTGAGTTTCTTCATCATTTCTGGCTTATATTCCTCTCCGGAGATCCGGATCGGGCAGGTGAGCTAGCAAAGATGGTCGAGACACTTGACAGAGCCATGGATCGGATCAATGCTGTCGCAGCTGATGCCGAGTATGAAAGAGATGAGATCATCGAGAGACAAAAAGCACATTTGAGGGATGTTTGGGAGAAGACGGGGAAAAAGATAAAGTGGAATCCTGAATCGGTTGGCGGAGGCTCAAAAGTAGTCGGAGAAATGATGCAACCTACCATCAAAACTTTAGAGAAGGCGTCGAGAGAATATAGAAAAGCGTTAGCTGCAGAAGGGGTTGAGGCAACGTAAAAATTCTTCTCTTGTCTAGAAAAACATATCATAGCGACGGAGTTTAACTGGGAAGGAATGGCTTGGTATGTGAAGTTGAGAGGTTCCTTCCATGATAGGATACACACTTTGTAAAGTTTTATTTTCTACACATAAATACTTACCTAGTAGGCTCTTACTTCATCTTCTCCTTTGTCATGACATTACTCTTCATGTATATGAGGTTTTTCTGATTATCCTCTTACTCATTCGCTACTCGTATTGCTTCTATCTTCATGCTTTTGGATATATTCCCTTACGTCATGGATATCACAACAGTTGTACACGCAAATCCTTCGTCGCCAACAGGTGCTAGAAATCCTCTACTGCCAAGAACAACATCACCTCAACCGGCGCCGGCAAAGAATATTCGCCGCAAGGGATCTTTCATCAGACCGACCGACTCTTCGGAAGAATCTCCAATGAGTTCTAACAATTCAATATTCGAAGCATTTTTGTTTTCCAACAGTAATAGCGAGGATAGTGTATATAAATCTGATACATTGCTACCCTCCAAACAACTAGTTTGTGAGGCGTCTCCACCCAACGACGAAAATATGAGGCAGTCGTCAGTCTCTATTCCATCCAAACCCATAACAAACATCGAGTTTCTCTATGGCCATGGCACTGTCCTCGATACCATAACGGAACAAAAGAGTTATGGTACCATGCGTAGCATCACTCGCACCAAATCTGCAGACGATATATCCACCATTCGAAGTATCGCCCGTACCAAATCCGCCGACGATATCTCCACCAGTCCACTTCTCGGTCATCGCGATAGCTTCACACAAGCAAAAGATTGTCCTCGACGCCAGCATTCCTTCAGTCTAGACGATATATGGTCCATCAAAGATTCGTACCACGACGCATGCGCCATGATCGATCAAGTTACCCGACGTCGATTATCCATCCACGAAGTATACGCTCAACCCAAAGAGCCTCTGCTCGCTCCTCCCGAGCGTCCTGATACACCCCCAGGATGTCCTTCGTGGACCGAAGCACAGCGACCCGGTCCACGCCAACATCTTGTACCCCATCATACTCGTCTGCAACGACTGTTGCGAATGCCCTCTTCGGGACTTGTTTTTTCGCCAACTCCCTCGCGATCTTTCTTTTCGGGTAGAGTCGTATCTGCACCTGGACTTACACGTCTTCCTCCTCGCTTTAGGGTTCCCAGAAGCGTATACTCAGCCATCGACACGCATCCCTTTAGCGACGCTCCCATCCATAAAACCGACTCCGAAGCACCCATCGAAGCACCCCGTCCAATCGCTGCCCCCATCCTCACCGAGTATCCCCGCACATCTTCAATTCCCTGCGTCACTCCCATCACAACCCCAATATCAATATCCAAAGCCAAAAAAAGATCGAAATCCAAACTCGTGCGCTTCACCCCCTCAGCCACAGCTCGCGATTCCGAAATGGTCAACCTGCAACATGCCATGGAAGCAACCATATCGACAGCTCTCCATCCTCTTGTCGATCGTTCCTCATACAATCAACATATCCTCTCACCCTCAAAACCCAATTGTCCCCATCGAAAAGGTAGACAACAAATTATCAAAGACATGAACGGCAGATTTTCACCCATGAATATCAATGCATACCATGCTCCCCCCAGCAACGAATATGTCCCCCTCTCATCCGTCGCTTCGCTTCCACGTCTTACTCTTACGCCCAGTATCCGCGGTATGAGATCTCTCGGAGATTCCACCACTTCACTCTATCCTCCCTCTCAATTCCCCTCGCGAAACTCCACTTCGCTCGATATCAGCATCGCAGATCAAGATCGAGATCGCAGAATATCCATATCTCCTTCATTAATCAGTGATATGAATGCAGAATATACGATTCAATCCGATGATATCGATCTTGGCATCATCGATTTGGAAAATGAATATCGTACGAATTTGAGTGGGTATTCGATGATGAGTACACCGTTGACACCGCGTCCTGTGAGTGCGGGTACGAGTATTTCGAATGGGAGTAGGAATGAATATTTCATGACCGGCGCATTACATGTTCCCGAAGGAACGCAAGCACAAGCACGAGCGGTTCATGTGCCGATTATGACGGGAGCTAGGATGTTGAATGTAGGCTCGGGGAGTGGGAGTGGTAGTGGTAGTGGGAGTGGAGGTGCGAACGGAAGTCCTGAGTTGAGGGGTATGAGAATGCACAGGAATGGGAATGAGAGATTTAGGATGAGTAACGAAGTAATCAACGAAAGAAGAGAGCCGCAACCGCAAACGCAATCGCAGAAACAAGAGCGGGGAAAAGATGCAGAGGCGGGTATCTGTTGGAAATGTAAAATCTTGGGTGTGAAAAATAGGGTGGAGGGTTGGTTAGAAGGAAGTGCGGAGTGGCTTTGCTTTGTTTGTTGTGGGGGTGGGAGGTGTAATGAGGAGTTTGTGGGGGAGAGTGAGAGTGAAAGGGAGAGAGAGAGGGTGAGGGAGAGTAGGAGGAGAAGGATGAGTGTACTGGGTGGGGTGCCGGGGGTGGGTATTTGAGTTGAAGTGGTTGGGTTGGGTTGATGTGAGGACTTGGAGTATTTATTATGGAATCACGAGTTAGATAAAAAAAAAGGTGAAGAACGATAGCACCGTGGCTGTACCGGTAGTTGATAGACAAAGAAATAAGAAAATAAGATGATTATAATGATAATGAAAAAAGAGAATAAGAGTCAGGAAATCGAAAGATAAGAGGAATAAAAGGCATTGTTTTTGGGGGGTTTGGATAGATAGTATAACTTTATTTTCCAAGTCATTGTATTGATATTGATATTGATATCGACATCAACATCAACCAAAACTTTAGTATTCATTCATTCAATGGAAATATTCCACTCGACGCTCTTTTCGATAGTTAGTTTGAGTTTAAGTTTGATGTGTAGATAGATAGATAGATAGATATGTTTTATTGTATTTTTCTTTTCTTTCTTCTTTGCTATCAACTTATACGAGTAAGGTTACTCGACTTGTATCCTTACTTTTTATTTGAAACTTGATTGCTTGATAGCAGTATTCTTGATTTCCCCTCCTATCATATCCTGCCCTGCAGGAATAGATATGCATCCTGGTGCCTACGGTTATAGGGTTATAGTAGGAATAGGAATAGGAAAGAGTGGTCAAAATTCTTTTCAGAATAAGAATACGAATAGAGAGGAATAGTTGAAAATGAGGTCAGGAATGGATAGGAATAGTTTGGATTCTTAAAGAATTAATAATGAAAATAAAATTTAAAAATATGTATATATATATAAATATATCAAAGATTAGATTAGATGAGATAAATATAAAAATGAATCTTCTTAAAAATTGATTAAATCTTCAGTAAATACTCAGTATTATTTTTTTCCTCCTTAAAAAAGCTTACTACCATTTCCTTCTTTTCCCATTCTCTCTCTCTTGCCATCTTTGCAAAAAGTCCCTTTCTTCCTTTCTTCCTTTCTTCCCCTCCTCTCCTCTCCAATCCTAACTCTAAGAATAGGAAGGAGTGCGATATCTTTAAGATTAGGAGCAGGATAGGAAAACCTTCAATTTTCAAAGATTAGGAACGGGATAGGTGAGGGAAGGAAGAGGAAGGGAGTAGTACTATTAAGGAAGGGAAATCAAGATCACTGCTTGGTAACTCGACAGCTTACAGTACCATCTTAATAACTTCCTGGCTTCGTAATTCCAAATATTTTCTTTTCTTTTCTATCGGCGATGAGCTCGTAAATCTTGAGTCCTTGCAGTATACAGTAATCTCACACTGCAGTACACTCAAGTATAAAAAATCAGCAATAAAAACATCACCACAAATCTACAAAACACCACATATAAAGTTTCCCCATTGACATTTCATTCGCCGAGGACTATCTACTAATAACTAACTAACTACCTATCTACTCAAGTACCAATCAAATAACTTTTCAATTTTCCTCGCCTTCCTCGCCTGTACAATAATAGTACGTGCTCATGCTACGAAAATTGAGTGTTTTGAAAGAAAGAGAAAAATAATAAGAAAAATAAAAGAAATCCCCCAACTCCTAAGAGTATTATCATTTTGCATAAGCATTCCTCCATTCGTAATTATTCATCCCATCATTACTCATGCCATCATATCATGACCTTAAAACTCCTTTTCAGCTAGCTCACTAAACAATCCATCTATCTCTGCGATGATATTCCAAAGAATAAAATCGAGATAGAATTGAAGTATTAGCAGCAGCAAAGAAACCAAACCAAACCAAACCAAATCCTCCATTCCATCCCTAAACGCCACCAGACCTTTCATTAATCATCTCTTACTTTTTCGCAGTCTCGAAGGAATGAGAAGATAGTAAGTAGGTAGATACATGAAAGCTTAGAAGCAAAAGATAATCCGCCACCGATGTGACACTGATAAAAAGTAAGACGACGAAAACCTGTCGAATATCGCCCAAATTTGAGTTGAGAAAAGGAAAAGAAAAGAAAAGAAAGGGGTGCGCTGAGCAGTGTGTAAAGAAAAAAGAGCCAAGGAAAAGTCGAGTGGAATAGAGTGATTCTGAGCGGAGAATGAAGTTGTCGATCTTTCCAATTCTTCCAAAGTATTCGAGAGAAAGATAGCAAAGGAGCTAGTTTCAATTGTATACAACAGGGTCATTGATTGAAGAAAGACCGGCGAGAAAAATTGTGACAAGATTTCCGCAATGAGCTGAATTGAAGACGAGTTTTCGTTGCAGAAGGCCAGGTAGAAACTTAAAGCTAACAAAGTGAAAGGTACGTAAGATGCGATAGCAACAAGAGAACCGATCTTTAATTGTTGCTGACGTCTCTAGCCATCATGTTTCGAAATCTCATGCAATTCAAGGCAACGAGTGAACCTTCAGCAATCATGGACTCATCGGCGATTTGCAATAGCAACATAAGCTGACGGTTCTTGTTGATAGCCTCAATCTTGTTTGTCAGTCTTACACAATAGCCGCCGAGAACAATTCGTCGGGATGTGTCAGACTCAGCCAGAAGTGCAATTCGGAGCTCAGCCAATTCAAGGTGGAGTTCAGTAAGCATTTCATCGGGAGTTGGTGGTGGAACCACTTCGTCAGCATGACCTCCATTACCAGCCTGGTTGGGTGGCGGATCTGAAGCACCGTCTCCAGCAGCGACTTGAACATCAAGTGATGGGGTGTTTCCGCCAATTTGTTGGACACGTGCATTTCCTTGTGTAGGCAATGGAAGACCAGGCGTAGACACATCTTGAATTGCCAATTTTTGGATGCGATCTGCAATTTCCGACTGCGAAACTGGAGAAGCCTCAACGATGGCATTTGTTTCAGCCTCAGACATTGGAGAAGATTCCTCGACCGATGCAGGGCTGTTGATCATCTCCTGCGATGCTTCGATAACCTGAGGGCTAATGAGTCCGCTTTCACCATTTGAATTGTTGACAGTAGGCTCAATAGCACTAGTCAGCTGTTCAGCTGGAGCAGTTTTCTCGGAGGAGTATTCCATTTGACTATAGAATGCCGCGAATTCCTCGCTGACGTCGCCTTCACTGACGAGCGGAGCAAGTTCTGGGACCTTCTCCAAAGTTTGAACGGGAATATCGTGTTGAGTAGCAGCATCTTTGGGAACGTTGTCAAAAGAAGGACCGGCAATGTCCATGGTACCAACAGACTCAGAAGTGCGACGGGTACGCATCATTCCCGAAATTCGACTCTTAAGGCCCTTTCCGGCATTCTTAACTGAAGTCATGGTAGTAGATTTTGCCAAGGGAGCCGACTTGTGTGACTTGGCGCGAGCTGCACTAGAAGCAGTTGGCTTAGACAAACGCTCGGTGAAAGACTGTCTCTTTTTTTCAACCGTGAGACTAAGTGGTTTAAGAGTCTGATTCTCTGGCGAATCAGGCAAAGAAGATTTTCGGCGAGCAAACTTCGTCTCGGCGGCGTTGGTCTCATCCGAAGAATGAGCTGCGTTGTTGTCGGCTTGAGTTTTTGAACCACCAGCACGAGGAGTAAGTACACGCTTGAAGCCCTTGGGCTTTGCCGTAGAAACCTTTTGTGTCATGGCTTGATGACCAACATGTGGCAGCTCTTCCTCAATTGTGTCTTCCATGTAAACACGTGTGGTGACCTTGGAATAACTGTAAATGAGAGTTAGTTTGTATCGAGGAAATATGAAGCGCGAATAAACTTACGATGGTGAAGTGCCTAGGATGGTACGGTCTGCGTCCCTAGCAAAACGCTTGGATGGTGGTGGAACCATCTTCTTTTGTCTACCCAAAGTCGTCTGACTCTCTGAGCGACCCATTGTACCGCTTTGAGCAATAGCTCGAACGGCACTATGGATGGCTCCTTGAGTAACATCTTCTTGATCGGTAACTGGGGAAGGACCGTCGATAACATCTTCAGTGGCACTCTGAGTAATATTTTCTTGATCGGTAACTGGGGAAGGACCGTCGATAACATCTTCAGTGGCACTCTGAGTGATGTTGTCTTGATCGGTATCAAGAGTTGTAGCATGAACGGTAACTTGGGTTGAAGCACTCTGAGTGATGTTTTCATGATCGGTAACTAGAGCTGTACCATCAACAGTAACTTGAGTTGAAGTGTCAGTTGGACCATTGCTGCTGTGATTAATCTCAACGAGAGGTTCCTCATCAGCTTCCATAGATACTCGATCTGCAGAAAAGTGAGAAATGACCTTGTCAGTGGACATGAGTGAGTTACCTTCACCATTACCTAAGCTCGATCGACCACGGCGATCTTTCTTCGGCAATGGACTACCATCATTTTGTGGCGAGGCAATATGGCCATGGGACGTAGTGCGACGATTACCACCTGTTGGAACGTTAAGATTGAAACTCTCCGCCTTGCTAGAGCTAGGAGTAATCGCGAACTTGGCGTGATTAAACTCCCGTCTCTTCGCACTCGAATTGGTATGACGAATTGGTGGTGAAGCCATATTTGCGTTTGTTGAGAGCGGTGTAACCTCTGATATTGTCGACGCGTCGTAAGCAGTTCCGATTTGAGCGATTCCGACTTCAAAGTCAGAATCGGCGTCAGAATTGTTTGAAATTGATGGAACAACAAAGGTAAGATCTTCAGCAACGAGTTTTGTAGAATTGAGTTCTGTAACAGGAACCTCTTTAACAGCGGATTTTGGCTGAAGAATAGGGAATTGCAAAGAAGAATTGAGATCGGTGGCGTCAAGTAAACCGCGGCGTTCGGGAGAATCTTCTAGGCGAAAAATCGGCTTCGGTGGTAATTTCTTGTTGAGTGCGAGTTTGGTAGGCTGCTTGTAATTAGATTGGTTGAATGAACCGTGGGGCACTGACAATGAATATGATTTAAAATGAGATGATGATGGGGGTGTGTATTGTATTAAGATGATGACATACCATTGTGAGAGGAGGTGTATCAATGTCTGGAGTGTCTGCAATGGCTAGGTCGTACTCAGCAATCATTACTTGGGAGAGCTTCGAAGGTGTGTGTGGGCTTGTATCGTATGGACTGCGGTTGGCTCGAGTCTGATGATAACGAGCAATGCTGCGAAGTGCTCGAGTACTAGTATTGCGTCTCAATCTTCGATGAGGAGATTGAGATGAATGATCACTTGAGAAATAGTGTTGGTAATGGTATTGGTATTGTGGTTTTGTGGTGAGGCTTTTGGTGCGTTGCCTATTGACGCGAGAGCTTGCATCAGTCAACACACCTTGATGGTTCTCATGACCACCGCCACTACCACGCGTAGGAGTGATGAATTTGGTAATCATGTTTGCTTGTTCAACAATTATCACCTTTGATTAAATTGTTTTGAACAGAACTTCTCATGAATGTAACCGAAGCTGAAGAAGGTGATGTTTTTGAGAACAAGTAATCAAAGACAAAATAATTAATTCAGCACAGCAGAATCAAGAAGAAGATGAAGAAAGCAAGATGATCGATCTATTACCACACCACAGTCGGACAGTGATGGGCTGCTTCTGAGTATAGTGTTTTGTTTGTGTTTTGTTTATTTGTCGGATTGAAAGAAAGAGAAGATTTAGATCTGAGGAAGAAGATACTCAAGGAATATGAAGAAGTCTGTGGTGCTAGCGTGCTCGAAGCGAGGGCCGAGATCCGAGAGCCGTCCTCCAATACTATCCTGTTAATACTGCCACTGCCCTCCGAGTGGGATATGGGATTGGGAGATGAATTATTGGTTCATACACATATTGAAAAGAAGTCTGCAACATGGATGCCAGGAGGCAGTAACAGTGACAGCTTGCTTGTTGATCATTGGAGTAATGTATGTATGTACTTATGTACATAAAGCAGAGAGGGATTGTCTATTCTTGTATGTACAAAAGAGAATAGGACAACAGCAAGCATTGTAGAATCATGAGAAATGAGGGGACCTATAAACATTGGCTGGCACAACAGAATTGAGTACTAAAGAGAGCTATATAATCTTATTCTCATATATCATCCTTACTCTAATGTCATATCTCTGTGCATATAGCAATTCTAGGAGTTTTGATAATGCTGACTACCAGTGTCTTTGAAAAGGGTATAGAGTAATGATAAGAACTAAAGTTAGAGATGCTTCATAACCAGAGTAGTAATACACCAAACAACACAACACAGTACAATAACTTGATTAAACATTGAAAAATTAAATGTTGATACAAGGACACATTGGAAGCTATATGATTGGTATGCCCATCAAATAGGAGGGGGATTGTGAATTTGTTGAGCAAAAAGGCAAAAAGCAGTACAATATAACTGGGATGTAATCAAATTTGGTACTTCTTGGACCTGACCTGGTCTAAGTAAGTATCACTTGATTCTTAATTGACAATTGTTCAATCTTCAGTTTTCTCTATAGCTAGCCATCACTTGTATAAATAATTAAGAATGATGAGGTGAGGTTGAAGTGAGGTTGAAGTGAGGTCTGAGGTTGAATTATGATATTTTGCCAAGAACCAATTAGATCAGGCATTATTAATACTTGTGTTGCAGTAAGCGTATCTTAGTCATCATTTTCACTACTTAAACCTCTACTAATTTAGGTCCCGTTATACTCGTATAACGAAACTTTGTATGCATTCTAGTATTATTTAAGTTAACCCCATGGATGTTTTGGTAAATTTCTATATATTGTCTCAATACTCCAATACATTACCGGTATATCTGCGATTCTGCGCCAACCAACATATAAATATCTTAAGTCCGAGAATCGTAAATTATAATCTGCACGGGCCTTAGCTCCGAATGAAGCCCGTACGTCACTTGGTGGGCAAATGGTGAAAGCTTTATTAATACGGAGAAGAAGGTTGCTCAGGTTAAGTTTTGAATTCTCAACAACATACTTGATCTTATCTTTCTGTACATTTGTGATACCCAATTGACATTTAATTATATCAATTCTCATCATGTTTGCGAGACAAACCCTCAGAGCGGCTCAGCCGTTCAAGAGTGTAAGTCAAAACCTGCGGCGTATTCATTTTTTCACTGTCGTTAAGTCGAAGCTCCAAGCAGATTGTTTTTTGAGTCACCATGGCATAATAGCTCACAATAGTTCGATTCGATTATAATTATTGGACTACATAAGCTAATAGGTTGATATACAGCAATACCGACGATATGCCACCGAATCCCCGAGCAGCGGATCACATACTGCCTTGTACGCCGGTCTCGCAGCTGGAGCAGGTGCTGCAGCATACTATTTCTTGAGCCAGGGGGACAATGTCACAAAGGTCAAGGACACAGCAAAGGATGCAGAAGCTAAGGCAAAAGAGGCTTTAGGACAGGGTAAAGCTAAGGTCGAAGGAGCTGTTGGGAAATCTGCCTTTACTGGTGGTGACCAAGGCTTCATCAGTCTTAAGCTGGATAGCGTGGAGAACATCAATCACAACACCAAGAAATTCAGATTTGAGCTACCTGAAAGCGACCAAGTCAGCGGATTGCACATTGCGTCTGCTCTTCTTACCAAGTATAAGGGCCCAGAGATGCAAAAGCCTGCGATCCGTCCTTATACGCCCACAAGCGATGAGAGTAAGAATTTTAACCTTCTCTATTTCATCAAGCTTTACTAACTCTTCACCAGGTGAACAGGGCTTCGTGGATCTTCTTGTGAAGAAATACCCAAATGGTGTCATGTCCGAACACATGCACGAAATGGTTCCAGGTCAAAGATTAGACTTCAAGGGACCTATCCCCAAATACCCATGGTCAGCAAACAAGCATGACCACATTGCTCTCATCGCTGGAGGAACTGGTATTGCGCCCATGTACCAACTTGCACGAGCCATCTTCAACAACCCTGCCGACAAAACAAAGGTTACATTAGTATTCGCCAACGTCACCGAAGAAGATATCTTACTGAAGCACGAATTTGAAGAACTCGAGAACACATACCCGCAACGATTCCGAGCATTCTACGTCTTGGGACAGCCACCTGCATCATGGCTTGGTGGAAAGGGATTCATCAACAAGGAACTTTTGAAGACTGTTCTTCCAGAACCCAAGTCGGAGAATGTCAAGGTCTTCGTCTGCGGTCCCCCAGGAATGTACAAGGCGATCTCGGGTCCCAAGGTCTCTGGTTCGGATCAGGGTGAGTTGGCTGGTATCTTGAAGGAGTTGGGATACTCCAAAGACCAAGTTTACAAGTTTTAGAGAGATGCTTGACATCGTATAATTAGATTAAAGACCTGTACAATAGAGATACCTATAGATAGACAAGACTCAATATATGGAATTGATGATCAGATATACACGCAGTAATCGCAAACATTCCCGTGAATATCCTCTATCTTCCAAACATGTAAATTCCGTCTTCTGCCATTTTGTTCCCGCCTAACGAATTCGTTTCTTCTATTTTAATTCCTATTCAGTAGTCTAAGATATCAGTACTAGTATTTCACAACATATCAGATTAGGGATATGAAAAAACGATCTTTTTAAAACGCATTATCAAACATCATATCACATCACGCCAACCTGCTTTCCTTATATATCGGCAATCTTTTCAATAATATCAATAGAGGTGAAATATAAGGGTTTAAAAACAGGATACTCGTATACTAATTATATAAAATCACAATAATAAGAAAAATCTTGTGAAAACCCCCATTATTCGAGTATAGACTTGATATTTTTATGTTAGGAAGTGTGATAATTGTGTGATTTGAATAATAACAATAAAGCTCTTTGGATTTGTCATTTATATACGAGTACTCGAGCAGTGTTACTTCATGTTTTGTAAAATAAAATGACATAGTCACATCATCAAGATATCCAAGAACCTTTTGCCACTATAACTCGACTTGTCCAAAACGCCTATATAAACGTGATGTCTTTTATTGCCCTTCCAGGAAACAGGCATATATTGGGAACTGATAGGTTTAGTATACCGTATCATTAAAAAGCAAGACGTTAAGATGTTATGCGTTAAGATATTATACTATGAAATTGATAAATTGTAAATATAACGCCGCGTCTATTATCATTATCTAATATCTCATCATATAAAAATCCGTCTACAGTATCCTTCTATATGCCCCGTTTATCTACTCGCACTTCTCTGGTATTGTATTGTATTGTATTGTCCAAACCACCAAATCCAAACTGTGATATATATCCTAATCGCAAAATCACTCCACAAAACCACTACCCCTCTTTACCACAAGCCATCCACCCTCCACCCTTCCCCCCTAATCCGTAGCCGCAAACTTACTCCACCCCCTAATCTTGGCCCCATACCAATAAAACGCATACGGCACCGGCACCATTAGGGCACTAATCCCCCCCAACACCGTCAACGTCCAATGCACCCCCAAATTCTCATAAAACGGAATCCCCACCTCGACCATCCCCCCCGCCGCCACGTACCTTATTAGCGTCAACGACGCCAACGCCGACGCCGCATACATTTCATACGAATCAATAATATACTGATAGGTCGAGATAAAAATACACAAGATACCATAACCGAAAAAGAGCGAAGCCACCAGACCCGACCACGGCGATATTGACGCATAGTTTGTCCACCCCATCCAGAAAAGCGAAATGGGTACTAAAGGGGCGCCGAACATAGCGAACCAGAGGCGTTTTTCAGGCGGGAGACGCGCTTCGGGACCATGCAGAGCGCGCGCGGCGGCGAGATCTTTTTTGGCCCAGTGGTGGATCAGTGGGACGAGGAGAGTGGCGAAACAGAGTCCGATGGCTATACCGACGAAGGCGAGTCCCGTGAGTCCTTCGCTAAATCCGTAGGTTTCGCCAAATATATAGGTGTAGCCGTCGAGGAAGGTGAAGAGGATGATGTAGACGACGGTTAGATAGAGAGCGAAGAGCATCACGATTGGTTCGCGAGTCACGAGGATGAAGGGTCGATAGAGCGCATGTAGTAATCGGGTGAGGAAAGGATCTGCGCGAATTTCTACTTCGGCGACATAGCGATCGTCTCCGGTGATTCGGCGCAAGTGCGCGGCTTTCCATTTTAGGAGAATGGGAGCGAAGGTTTCGGGTTGGAAGAGCGTGATGGAGATGAGGATGCAGCCTGAGAGAATAAGCGTGATCCATTCGCACCATCTCCAGCTCACAAGCTTGGATTGACCGATGAATCCTCCTACTACAGGTCCAAATATCGGTCCTAGGAATGCGGCATTGGCGAAGACGGGGAAGGCAAAAACACGCTCCATAGGGTTCCATAAATCCGAGATGGATCCCCCAGCGCAGGTTAGGGGAGTGGAACCAAAGAAACCGGCCAGGAATCGGAAGATGAGTTGTGCGGCGAGATTGGGGGCTAGTGCGGATGCCATGATCCATATCATGTATATAAATAGCGTAGCAATATACACGGGATTTCTCCCAATAGTTTCTGATATCGGTCCTAAAGTTCAATTAGAATTTACCCTGAAAAACGATTCGTATATCCATCATATGGATATGAACCACATCAAAAGAGGGAACCCACCAGCAAATAACGCGCCAAACCCAAATCCTACAAGAAACAACCCCGTCGCCAAAGATTCCGCAACCTCACTAACTCCAAATTCCTCCGCGGCTTGCTTCAACGCAGCACTATCGATCGAAGATGCGAAACCCACTACAAAACCAATCGAAGCAATCATGATGGTGCAAAAACCGCGACGCAACAATGACCAATTATGTGGATTCATCGCATCCTTCTCACTTTCATATCCTACCACAAACACCGTCTCTCTTTCCCCCTCTCCTTTCTCTTTCCCAGGATCGCTTTCCGTAGATTTCCCTTTCGACTTCGTTTTTGTCCTCGTTCGGGTCAATCGTTCGGATAATTCGCGAACTTCGATTCCCGTTAATGCATAGCCCATTCGCGTTCCAAAACTCCTATTTGTGTGTGCCGTGGCTCTTGAAGCCGTCCTATCGAGATTTTCTGGTCTCTCATTCTCATTCGCTTCTCCATCTCCACCTCCTTCTTCATTAACATATACATTTTCTTCGGGGTTATGACCCGGTGAAGAAGCATTAGATCCAGCCTGTTCCGCCTTTTCAGGATCGCGAGTATCGAACGTCGAGGGGGAATCCAAAGGGGATTGTGTAGCTGAGGAATTGGTATCGATAGAAGAAGGACGATGTGCAAGATCTTGCCGTCCATTCGATTCCAAATTAGATGATTGTGCATGAGAGATATGTGCATTTCCTCTCTCGAGTGCCTCTGCTCTCTGCTTATCTCTTTCGAATTGTGATTCAACCAATCTTCCAAATCGTTTATATGCCAAATATGACTGCATACTGAAAACTTCCTCGTATGCTATCAAACGTTGGGATATGAAAGAGAAAATTCAAGCATGGAAAGATGTAAAGATATGAGAAATCCCTACCTACAAGTACCTGGAGTAAAACTCTTTATGGCAAACTTACAAACTTCACAAGAACGGCTACGGGCGGGACTTTGGATCGCCATTGGTTTGTCATAGTGTGAGATGCGAGCTACACGAGTGTGTTGCCGGTACTAGAATTGTGAATTCCATTAGATCTACAAGAAATCTTTCAAATCAAGTGTAAGTCCGCGAGTATCAATGTGCTTCTTTTTTGTAGATAGTGGATGTTGCGGTAAACGATAGAAAAATGACGCAGATGGATAAAGGGCGGGAGAGTTGATTGGCCTTCTGGTGATTAAAGTGTATGCAGTGGTAAGGAGGACCGGGAGCGGGGCGAGCGGGGGGAGTTATCGGGAAAGCTAGTAAGGCTCTTTCGGATATAATTCCGGGAATGAAGTTAGCTTTTCATTTTCCAGAACATCTACTGGTGATACCTAGCATTGATTTATACCACATATTGTTCAAGCTTAAGAGATTAAAACTCTCAAGTATTGACCAATTGATAGCGGAGGGATACGAACCCATAAAATAGAAGTGATTTGGTGTTTTGCTACTGAGATTTGTGACTATTGCACATTCGGCAATATACTATGAAGCTTAAACGACTACCTATATACAACACGCACTATACTTCAACATTATGGATCATATCCTCTTTAGCCCAACTCCAATATACCCAAATCTGTCCATATTCAAGAGTCTTTACCTGGACTGCTTGACCTCGATGAACATTACCGTCAATTGCCCCAATCTTTCACCTACATGTCCTCCAGTACTGCAAAAGTCGTAAGTTGATTAATTGGCACTTCCCAGTGCAGAAGTAAACTGCCCAAACTCTTGTCCATCCAGAATTCTCAAATATTCTGCCGCATTTCTCCATCTGGTTTGAAATCTTCTCAAACAATTTCTGATAGTTTCCAACGCCTCCTGAGATTGAGCATCGCGACTTTCTTTCCAAACCCACATATAATGTTGACCTGCTGCCCACAAAGAATCCATTATCAAGGGACTAACTTTATCAAGATCTTGTTGTGTCTGTGCTTGGTTGTTGACACGCTCGGAAAATTGAACAACGCTGTGTGAGAAATCCTGTAGGCCTTTGATTGCTTGATTCATCATGACTCCTTTTTCGGAGGATGATGGCGCGCCACATGATCTATCGGCGGGGCAGGAATATACATCGAGGAGAGCAATGATTGCACTATATATAATAGCGAGTGGAGTTGCTAACATAATATAATCTCTAGAAGCAATGGCTTCTTCATTAACCTTGCGAGCGAGAACAGAACAGTTTTCAAAGAGTTGATATGCGATATCAAAACGGGCTGTCTCCGAGGGAATCTTCTCTGTGTAATGGTGGCGGAGAACATTTCCCAACAACACAGATCCTTGACAGAGGCGAGCAAATGGTGTTACGGATTCAGTGAGCGAAGTAGATACATATCTCTGAATGGCTTGAGTCATATCGCCATTATCCTAAACGCTGATTAGTCAAAGGAATAGAAGCTTATATTTCAGAGCTTACCCATGCAGCATCATCAACAGGCAATGGATCTTCTTCTTTTGGTTCTTGAGTCGTTAATAGGTGGTTTTTACTTCCTATAGAGACCATCCTATTGTATGTCAGCTCCTAACGTTAGTACTCATGATAAAAAATCTTACCTATCAAGTATGAGAACACCCCACCAGGATCGAAATCGTTCTTCTTGTTCGGTCCAGGTATCCTGAAGATTATATTCAGTTAGATATGTAGCATGAAAAGGACACACATTGCTTACAACTGAACCGATCAATTGAGGAGAGGTGTCAAAGCCATTGATGCCTAGTAAGATGGCGTATCGTGAGCACCACCCAGCGGACATCCATGCTGCAGGATATATTGCTTGTCCATACTCAAAGAGAGTAATAAGGATATTAGCTTGCAATAAAATCAAAGATACCATTCCGGAAGCTTCCAATAATGCGACGAAACGCTTTGCTGCGATGTACATTGGATTTTGACCACATTCTTGTCCATCTACTGGCTTGGATGTAATGAGCTTCATACAGAGGAAGAGCAAAGATAAGTCTGCACCACCATCCCAGGGAGGAGTACTGAGAGTTCGTTCCAATCGCTTATGAGAGATTATTGGAAGACAGTGGTGAACAGTTCCGAAGTATTCTAGGATGACGGTAGGTACAGATGGTCCACTTGCTAACATGTGGTTGACTTCCTATACCACAATTATCAGCAGGTTTCAAGGAGGTATCACTGCCACACAATTGATATCCACATATAGAATAATCATACACTCCGGGGAAGAGCTGATGTGCCAAGGCCTTGGCAAAATATATACAATAACTTACTGCTGGTGGGTTCACCGAAGGTCTGGGTACAGATAAACTGAATTCTCGTTAGCATATGAAAAAAATTGGCATTTAGAAATATTATGCCTACCCTTCATTCCTGAAAACTTCATTGTCGAGCACAGCCATAACCGGAAACCTATTTTGTATATTATTGAACGGACTTTCTTGCGAACCTGCATATGTAGTCATTTGTGGTTGCATGTATTCCGGGCCATTATTGGACATAGATCCTGAAGGTGTAGCATAGGCAGGTGCATGCATAGTTCCACCATTAACCTTTGCTTCAAGTTCGATTAACTTCAAGCGTAAAGCATTGATATCCTCGTGTGTAGGAGCAGGAGTCTGTTCGGTATAATCACAGTGTCGCTGCATTCTGGAGCAAAGACCACAATGCGGGAGTACTTTATCACACTTTCTTTTTTGTTTTTTACATGTTACGCATGCCTGCGGAGCCTTCGGCTGTACACTCTGTGGAATGAGAGGCATGCCATTTGGTCCATTGGGTTCATGTGGTCCATTCGGGCCATGGATCGGGCCATTCGGATGATCCATCTTTGGTCAGATCGCTCAGACGGCTTTGAGAAAGCTACTTTGTTTACTGCGGCCGCAAAATCACAGACCCGCTTGATTGATGGAGAGAAATAGGGATTCTGATTGTTACATCAATTAGTATGTCTTTGATGACAAAAGTTAGGGATATGTTCAGTGGATGTACTTAGTGAATTGCTTGCTTGTTTGTAATAGCTCTTTGGTATATCTGCTGGATGGTGAAATAATGAGTATAATAGTACAAAATAGATGAATGGAGAAGAAGAAGCGGTGTTGTCGGCCGCAGTAAGATGTTTGATCTTGGGCACGGACCAGGATAGCTTCTTTGTCGGGTAAACCCCGGGATTATGTGTTAGACATCAGATTAACTTCACTTCACTTCATTTCACTTCTCTAGACAGGTTCAATGAGTACTCGAGTACAATAAATACCATTAAAGAAAGTCACTTTGGTGTTGCAAGCAGTGGATTTGAAATCAGCCTGCTGTACCTCTAATTTAACTTGTATGTTGAAGTCTTATAGTGAGCAGCAGCGTGGTTCAATGCTGATGATATTTAGTTGCTGATGCCATTGGCTACGTTCCCGAGGAATCATTGAGCAAGACTGTATTCTACAAATGAATACAAGCTCTTGAGCATTGTTATTACTGTGGAAGATGGCTCATCATACCATATATCAATGCCAGGGACCGGATCGCAAAAGGATAGTTGCCGCCATTGCTTCCATTTGCGTATATTTCACTCAACATCAGGGAAACAGTAAGATGACGAAGGAGGCAGGGACGATGATTATATATATATCTATACATAGCCTATGCTTCTCACTCTGGTAAAACATTTCTCCCATCAGCATGGCTTAGTATCATGTATCATCTTGATGATGAGAGCCACCTTGGTTCTTCGCCGTCAATATGGTATTTATCACACTGGATCTTTGCCGTCAATATCGTATAAATCACACTGACCAACCAGACTCAAATACTCTTCCCCAGTACCAAAAATAGTGCAGCATTATGGGCATCAAAATGCGGAAGACTCATACTCAGTAATATCTGATACATGAAGCGGAACTTGAGTTGAATGCATGTGTACTCAAAATCCTAGGCATTCGAACTAAGACCTTTGTAAAATGAATCCTCCAAACTACCGGACCAAGCGAGAACTAGAATGGGAAAAGTTGCATGGCTATATAGTCAATCACCACAGAAGAGCTCTATAACAAGGGGCTAGGCATCCGTATCCATATCCATATCTCTTGGATCAACCAATGAAAGAAGAGAGCTTCTGGAAACACCGATACCACCCATCACCATATATAAATGCATACGCCGCGTACGAAACCTGGAGACGAGAGCGATCAATCGCTATATAGATACAACATAGGACTTAATCGTGAAAAGAATGTCGTGGATCGTGCCTGGTGGCTAGAGCTGGGACAATTCAAATCATTTCATAGAAAAGACATCCTACACACTTGAAAACATCCTGGGCGTTTAAAGATGCGCAATCGGAATACAAACGATGGGGATTGATGAATACACTTAGTGGTCTTCACAATCATCCTTTCCATCGCCCGATTTAGTACCTCGTAACGAAGGTAAATCCGATGGCCAACTCAATGGTTTCCCAAGTAGGCTGCGGTGTGCATATTGACTGCCAAATTCTTCGAAACTCCGTCCAACAATAACGATAGTGAGGAGGCTTGTTCAACATGGTGGCACCGAGAGATGATAATAAATAAGTCAATACCTCACCTTACTCATGATTTTGATACTTTATCCGGACGATACTCGACAAATAGGAAATAAATACTGTACAAGTTAGAGGGACACTTTCATACAGACTTGATTCTTCCCATATTAAAATGAACCATCTGATTTTAGAATCAGTAAATGCACTACGACAGTACAGATATTATGCTAGACCAAGATGAGATATCACAGATGGAAAGATATATTGTACGAGTCTACGTATGACTTTCAGAATACCATGGGATGAGAGGCTAAGGACGGAACTAAACAAATCACCAACCTGCCGAAGGAACTCGATTCATGATGGAACCAGACACGCGAAACTAAAACCAGCGAATTCACAACAGCTAGATAGTCATTTACATGGTCTCATACGAATTGAACGGTACCGCATCAGCCGATGCCTGGGGTAATATTCTAAATCCATAGTATGCTGGGAGGAGACCCTTTCGACTAGAATCAGCTATTGTGCAAGAATATCGAATGTTTTCATGCCACATTAAGACGAAATGGTGAAACGAGAAGCAGCCAGTATGCAAGTATTGTAGGAACCATTCATACAATACCGGGACATTACAGGACAAGAATCTGTCAATCCACAATGTCAATTTGGACAGCTGCTTGATCTAAAGAGGAGATAATCGGCCAATGCCTAGCTAAATTTGGATTTCTACAGAAGGTTGGGACGATTTACAAGAGATGATAGAAGTCAATCTCTCAATATATATCGAATGTTTGCCAATATTGAGATGAAAAATTAGGGATAGAAATCTGTCAAATTTCAGGCACATTTCGATTTCATAGCATACCTAGGCGATACACAAGAGACGGGAGAAGCTAATATTTGATACATTGTGAGTATTCGCTTAGCTTCGGGGCAACGATCAGGGATCAAAGCTATCCAAGGTGATAATAGGTCACAGCAATTCATTATACTAGGACGAGAAATTCGAGACGAAAACACTCTGATGTTTGAATATGGTTAGGCCATTCAACTATATAGAACGAAATTGAACATCTGAGAGTACACGTATGGCCGAAATCTCTAGCAATATTCTTCCTAGTGGAATAGAGTGTGAAGGATGATAATAGTCTTATGTTTGTGCAGATCAGAAAGATTGATATATTATCATCTCTTTTTGTTATTATATTGCCCTGAATGCTCGAGAAGATCTAGAGAACATTTTGATTCTAAGATGATAAATGAAGGTGAGCTAATTCTAAATGAACTACTCAATTAGAATTTCATCATCGATTCATCACACATTGTCAAAACACCTAAAATCACATAAAATCACATCATTTAGGCCTATTTCCAAGATTATCAGAGTCGCAAAGTGGTATCATTTATAGTAGCTAACTAATCAGAGCCCCAACCCCCACCATCCGCAGCAAAAGAAGAACCCTAATTAGTCCCAAACTCGTCTAAAACCCCCAAACCCCAAGCTAATTCTCAGGCGAATCAGCCGAATCAGACGAGGCTGTCATATCATAATGATCCATCGTCCTCTGGCGTTTGTTAGACGGCGTACGCAATGGGCCTGCAGGTATCTGTCCACTAGGCGTAGACGTCGATCTCGTAGGCGTAGATGGCAACATAGTACGAGGAGCCGAGGAAAAACTACTCGAAGGAGTGGCTTTTGTAGGGGTTTGAAGCGCCAATGCGCTGGTAACTTCGTCGATTGTGCGTTCCTTGGAGTCCTATATTGATTTTAGCTTCGATCTGGGTACTAATTGTAAGAATAGGAAGGGTAGAACATACGATGGACTTCTTGATATCCCAGAATAGCGCCAAGAGAGTTCTTTCCTGGTCCACAAACACCGATTTTCGATTTTTTTCTGCCTCGGTGTCCTTGGCTCCTAGCACAGCAGTGACCTTTTGTTTCTTCTGCTTGAGCTTGATTTGGAAGGTGGAAAATTGTTTGTTATGCCACTGTTGGGAAGAGAAAGTTAGCTGGTTCTTTCTTTGATCGATTCCTCAGAGGGAGTACTGAGTAGATATAGAAAGGGAAAGGCTACTTACATCCTCCATCTGCTGAGGCCAATCCTCCGGAATCGGCTTTCCCTTCTCCAGACTCTGAATGCGCGTCTGCAAGCCCAAGGCTAGATCCCCAATAAACTTGGAAGTGTCGGTCTCATATCCATCACACTCCTTCTGAAATCTTCTCTGTAGATCGTGGGTAAATTGTCGAGCATCGTTGTCGTTGGACTCGTACATCGAGGTTAGCTGTTTGGCGATTGCTGCGAGACCTGGGCCAATGGGTTCGTGTTCGATGTGCTTGAGGAAATCATTCATGTTCTGGTGGATATCGACTGGGTTTTGTGCAGCTAATTCCCAGGATTTGAGCTTGCGGCCACCCAATCCCTTTGTAGGTGTGTTATTAGCAGACATGATGAAGGTAATTGTTGTGGTGGTGGTGCTAGAGGAGGTAGTTGATGGTTTCGGAGTTTGACAGGATCCGCTTAGCCGATCTAGAAAGGGGGGAGGGTGGAGTGTAGATAAACGACCCACAAAACAAAGTATGAATAGTATTGGTTCGTATAAAAACAATTCAGAATGATCAAAAGACTGTCGCAATAGCCAAAATAAGTCTGCAAACAATCAAGAAGAAGCTCAAACCAATGTTCAAAATCAAAGAAGTACAAGTAGAGAGTGTGTAGATCGGTTACAGATCTTAAATACTTTTGATGTCAAGAAGAAGAAGGAAGAGAAACTCTACCCTACAAAGGGATCCTTATATAAAGGATTATTACCCATATGGTGAATCCTAATGTGCTCAAACCACGTGGTTTGGAGAATAGGGTTGTGAAAATGGGTGAATTAACGAATAAAAATCGGGGAAGAGTTCGGATGAGAGTGGAACTTTGTGTTCAATCTTGAGATGGTACAATAAACAGGTGAATGAATCTATGTACAGTGGTAGAGTGATAGATATTAAGATTAATAAGGTAAGTTGATGGCTGTGTGCTTGTGATCAATAGAAGCCAAGCTTCTAGTATATACGTGAATCCTATCTAGAATACTTCTGGTGACTTGACTAGCGATCTCTTGAGTAGTATGGCAATAGCTCAAATGCGTATGCGCTCAACACCACTGTCTATCTGGAGGCTATAGTAACAAGCGCGGGCTTCCAAGATCGTGTTTTGCAGCTTTCCACGGTCAACCCGGGATCCCTCAAAGGCTCATGATCTACACCTCCCCACTCCAGTTTCTCATTATTGTGAATAGTGCATGAGTACTGTATCCGAATTGGCTTTCTCCTCAAATATCTCGAAGCGAGGATTCCCTATCGAATATTCAGTATAGTCTCTTATGAAAAAACCCGTTATCAGAGCTTTCATCTATCGAGCATGACAAGGAAACCACTCACGATGATACAGATTGTATGGAACTCACGGGAGCACCTGCTACGCATACGCTACTTTCCACACTTTCTCGCCAACACCTTTTCTTGAAGAAGGCGTTCTCCTATCTCTTCCTCTTCCACCCCTTCCATATTATCAATTCTTCCAGGGCATTCATCGGATCATCCTTTGCTTGGGTGGATCCAGGCAGATAGATAGCTGTCTAGTCTCTTGTATAAAGATTTTTCCTTTGTGGTGAATGGCTATATAGCCATACCATTTTCTTCGTTTAGTTGGCTTGGTTGGCTTGGTAATTAAATAGATTCTCTCATGAATATATAGATATATATATATTGGTTCCCTCGTTCCATACATATATCCCATCTCAAATCCACAGACCCCATCCATACAATTCAGTACTTTTCCCTTCCTTTATATATATACTTTTAGCACTGTGTTCAAAACCATCTTATTTCTATCAAACTTAACTCCAACACCATGTTCAACAACATCTTATCTCTATCAAACTTAACTCCAACTTAACTTCAATTTGACTTAACAATGAGTCAGTCACCTCAGACTCATCCATCTCACCATCCTCCTCACTTCTTCCCTCTTCCCTCATCCCTCATCCCTCTTCCCTCCACACCTCCTCACCATTTCCCTCTTCCATCCCCATCCCCATCCCCATCCCCATTCATTCACCACAATACTCGTACAATCAAACTCAGTCCAATCAGACTCAATCTAACCAGGAATCGACAAAGTCAAATTCACATTCACAGTCACAATCACAATCATTACTAGAATGAATCAATACCAGTACTCAGTACTGTACACCATCTCATGAATTGGGAAGATCACATCCAGTATGCAGACGCAAACTATCTTTCTCTCACTCTCACTCTCACTCTCACTTTCATTGCTATTTATATTTAGTAATGATCATCATTACGAGTCATCAATCAAGTAATTGAGTAATCAATCAATCAATCAATCAATCAAATATAAGTGAGTACACAGTACACATCAAGAACGGAGGAAACGTACAAGTACACGTACAGTACAAGTAATACTTCATCACATCACTATTTCACAACAGCTATGAATATTCCCAGCAAACATACATATAGTAGATGAACTCACAACATACAAGTATATCAATCACAGAACCAACACAGATATCAAACATGAAAATCATACAGATGCACATACTCAAAATTTACAATTCAATTATATGTTCATAAATGCATTCATGGCAACTAAGACCATCTTATCTCATCCCTTTATCTATCTCATTCTTCATTCACCCATTCGCGTTCTCATTCTTATTTTTTCCTGTCCTTTGCTCAAAATGACATTGTGTGTGAAATATTTCGCGTGCATGCATCCATCACCCAACCATCCTGAAAATCAGCCATAATACAATTTTGGGTGGCTGTAAAATAATCTAAAGGAAAAATTGATACGAGGCCTTGAAAAGTTTCCCATAAACGCCACGGCAAGAATATGAAAAAAACCCCAATGCTAATGCACAAATCTTCAGCTTGAAAATTATGAGCAAGCAGACCCAGAACGCCCGAAGACCATATGCATATTCTTTTTTGGAGCAATGTTGATACATTAAAGGAGAAGGAGTATCAGTTGTTTCCGCGAGGGGACCTATATCATGTTAGCACAGAATAATGTGGTTCAAAGAATGTTGACTTGACTTACGTGGGAGAAAATTGAGGAGAAGTAGGAGAGTAAGAAGGACTGGTTGGAGAGTATTTTGGAGAAGTACCGCCTTGGTGTTGAGGCGAAGATGGACTCCAATTTGGAGAGGTTGGGGAATAAACAGGACTGGTAGGCGAGAGACCTGAGCCTGGAGAAGTTTTATTTCCAGCGAAATTTGGACTAGATGGACTATAGTTGGGAGAAGTTGGCGAATATGATGGTGAGGTAGGGCTATATGAAGGACTAGTTGGCGAGCCATGAATATTAGGAGAGGTTGGCGAGTAGTTTGGTGACGTCGGACTATATGAAGGCGAAGTCGGAGACACGAAACTAGGACTAGTAGGACTATAGGCAGGAGATGTAGGTGTGAACGCAGGGCTGACTGGCGAGAAGCGAGGCGAAACTGCGTACCCGGGGCTTGCACCACCTCCCATCATTGGTGAAGTTGGACTGTAACCAGGACTGGAAGGAGAGAACTGTGGTGAGACTGGAGATGAGTTGAAAGGACTGGTTGGAGAATAACCACCACCCGGGCTTCTAGAACCAGCTCCATACGGACTCATGCCACCACCAAAGCCAGGAGTTCCACCGTACTCTGTAGCAAATCCACTTGGCGTATCAGAACCAGCACTTTGGATGGGTGAAAAGGCAGCACCGTAATCAGGCGTACCAAGATAGCCACCCTCATTGAGTGGAGAAGCGCCATCATAAGGAGTTGCAGCGCCACCTTCACCACCCTTGACAGGAATTCCTGCCATGAGACCCATTCGACTGTTGTCAGAGATGACAGTTTCCAGCATCTTTGGATCAAGTAAAACGTCCATCTCTCCAGTTCCCATAGGAGCAAGCTGACCAAGCATAACATTCTCAGAAATACCACGACAGTCGTCCAACTCACCAACGGCAGCGGCTTCGAGTAAGATCTCAACGGTTTCTTCGAAAGAACATCTCATCAAAGCTCCTGTGTCTGCGCGATTGATACCGTGACGAGTGATAGCCATCAAGTGACCACGCGAAGTCATAATGTCGGTAAGCAGAGCAAGATGGCGATGATTGACATAAGAACCATCGAAAGCCAACACCATTGTCAATTCGCGCATCAACGCAGACCGAGCAGCTTCAATTCCGAAGACCTCGAAAACCTGAATGAAATGATTCGAATAGGTTCTTCGAGGGTCAACGCCCGGTACGGTCAAGACGTCCTTCAACGAGGTTCCACTAGTATCGAGGTACCATTCCTCACAGTCCTTGTCATCCCTGCTTGCAACCAATCTACCATCGGGTTTCTCGAAGAGTTTGACATCCTTGTTCAAGAAAGCTCTGTCAATACCCAAAACTCCACGAAGAGTTAAGGTATCAAGGATATGTGCTTCGAGACGCTTAAGCATGATATCTTCTTCAATGTCATCATCATCATACTTGGAATCATGCTGCTTGATCATTCGAATGCGAATAACTTGTTGCTCGGCATTGTTATCACTGAAAATGACAGCTAAATCCTTGGGGTAATTTTCCTTGATCTTAATGGCAACATCATCAACCTTTAATCCTTTGTCCAACATCTTTTGACGGTCGAGGATAAGACGAAGAAGCCATCTGGATTGGTTATCCGGAGAATCATGGTGCTCTTCAGGAATGATGAAGTAAGACTCGACCATGTCAATATCATCTTCAATGGTAGTGGATTGAATGTCGGGATCATGGTAGATCTCAGTAGCATACGTAACGGAGCGTAAGGTAGTGTGTTCAACGGCACTACGCAATAACTTGGCAGACTCTTGATTAGCACCAGCGCCCTCTTGATAAACAATCATGGACGGGGTCTTGATATTCGGAGCGATGTTCAAGATTTCCTTAAGACGTGGAACACCGAGAGTAACGTTCTTGGATGAAATACCAGTGAAATGGAAGGTGTTCAAAGTCATTTGTGTGGCTGGTTCACCAATAGACTGTGCAGCAAGCACACCAACCATCTCGCCGGGATTGACCAGAGCCCTAGTAAAACGGCTCTCGAGCTCACCAAGAATGTGCTCGAGCGCGAGCTTATTGAGGTGCATACCGAGTGCAATACGTTTGTAAGCAAGTCGAGATCGAAACTGTGCCTTGATGAAAATTGTGGCATTATATTGAGCTTCAACGGAAAGTGCGTCGGTACCACGGACGATGATCATGCGGTCGAGCAATTGTTGAACTCTCGGAATAACATCTCTGGGATGTAAGTCACTGCGCTTTCCATCATCTGTCTTGAACAATCTCTGTGCGCTGTCAATAATTCGAATGATATTCAAAGGAAGTTGGAAGTGATCGTCGTCCTTCTCCTTGGTTCGGGTGTGTACAAAATCTCGAAGAAGTCTTCTGTCCTCTTCTAGGGCAGCAAACTCTGAATCAAGCAATTGTTGCGTCTCAAGATCTCCGTAGAGTTCGTTAGCATGCTCCAGGACATCCGTTGAGATCCGCTCAGACATAATTTCGAGTTTGAAGAGATCATTAAATGCCTTGTTGCTGATGTTGATATGGTCCATCTTTTGATTCTCAAAGATGACACCATCTAGACCATCTTCACCATAGACAAATTGAACGATGTCACCGAGGGAGTTACGGACAGTACCGTCATATTTAGCCATGACATCCTCAAGAGCTTTAACAAGACGACGTTGAATGTAACCAGTTTCTGCAGTCTTAACTGCGGTATCGATCAAACCTTCACGACCAGCCATCGCGTGGAAGAAGAACTCTGTTGGGGTGAGACCTCTAAGGTATGAGTTCTCTACAAAACCTCTTGATTCTGGTGAATAATCGTCCTTGGTGAAATGTGGAAGAGTGCGGTACTTGAAACCGAAAGGAATACGTTTACCTTCTACAGATTGTTGGCCTACAAGGGCAGACATCTGAGAAATGTTGATAGTAGAACCCTTAGAACCAGAGCGAGCCATTTGTACAGCATTGTTGATATCAAGCAGACCATCCTCAGTCTTTGTACCAGCTGTGTTACGAGCCTCGTTCAAAGCTTTGGAGACTTGACTCTCAAAGGTTTCACGAACGTTCATACCAGGAAGAGATTCAAGTTCGTTACTAGTAGCCTTCTCAACAAGCTCTGTGACTTCAGCCTTCTGCTTGGCGATAGCCTTCTCAATCTGCTCAATAGTCTCTTTGTTGGGAATTGTATCACCAATACCAATGCTGAAACCATTGTGAAGAAGCCAATAATTGATGACTCGCTGGCAACCGTTGAAGAAAGCCATTGCAGCATCTGGACCCTGTTCGTTAAAGACAATGTGGACAATGCCATTACCAGAGGCTCCGACGTTCTTCTTAGCCATCAGACCATACATGAGCTGTCCCTCTTGGATCAAGCAGCCGTCATCGTTCAATGGCGCATGCATATTATCTTTATCCTTGCTAGCATTGTAGGAGTTGACAATCTTAGGAATGATCAACCCGACAATTTGCTTTCCAGTCCATCTAGGCCGTGGCTTAAGGATGGCAGGTTGGGGAATGACACCATCCCAGTCTGGAACCCATAACAAGATGTTCATTAAATGTTCTTTTGTGATGAAGACATCTCTTCTGCAAATCTTGTAGACACCAGCCAGTGTATCTTGGACAATACCCATAAGAGGACCGTTTCTCTGGGGAGACACGATGTTGAGCGGTACCATACATAGATTCATGACCTCGGCACGAGTCTCATATGTTTGTGGAACATGCAAGTTCATTTCGTCTCCATCGAAATCTGCGTTATATGGTGAAGTAACAGACAAATTAAGACGGAAAGTGGAGTAAGGCATAACTCGAACCCTATGGCCCATCATAGACTCCTTGTGCAATGATGGTTGACGATTGAAGATAATGAAGTCACCATCAACAATGTGTCTCTCAACCTTCCAACCGTACTCAAGTGAAATTGCACCTGCACGCTTGTGATGACGAAGATCAATACGTGTACCATCAGAGCGGATGACATATTTGGCACCAGGATGCTCATCTGGACCATTTTTGACAAGCTGATGCAATTTATCGATGTTCAGTGGTGTAACGGTTTCCGGATATGTGAGGACTCTCGCAATGCTTCGAGGAACACCAACCTCATCTAGGGAAAGATTGGGGTCACCGGTAATGACAGTACGAGCAGAAAAGTCGACACGCTTTCCCATCAAATTTCCACGAAGACGACCTTCCTTACCCTTAAGACGAGCACGAATGGATTTGACAGGTCTACCTGACTTCTGTAGAGCTGGTGGTTGTCCAGCAATATCGTTGTCCATGTAGGTTGCGACGTGATATTGCAGCAGAGTTTCAAAGTCTTGTAGAATGTGCTGAGGCGAACCTTCTTGTTGTGCTTGGCGAACATTACCATTCGCGCGAATGATATCACCCAATTTGTATGTCAAATCATCTTCTCCTCGCATACCCTGACCAGTGCCATCCATGGAAATACTTGGTCGAACTGGTGGTGGTGGGACAGGAAGAACAGTGATAATCATCCATTCGGGACGAGCATAATCTGCGTTCAATCCAACATCCTGAATTTCTGCAGTGGACATGCTGCGGAAGACGTTGAGAGCCATATCCGGAGTGATTGATCTCTTATCAGGTTGTACAGCCTCTCCGTCTTCATCCTTCGGCGCCTTCCACGTACCCGTGAGGGCCAGAGCAGTTTGACGGACTTCAGGCTGAATATTACCACATCCTCCATGCGGAATTTTCGGAGGTTCATTTGGGTCGATAATCTCCTCCTCGACTTGAACGTCACTATCACAGATCATCTTAGTCTTGCAGAGCTTCCATATCGCCTCGAATCTGCGCTTAGGATCACGAATAGAAACGGCTGCCTTGTAAGCTGGATTGCCCTGATGTTCTGACGTTAGCATCAAGGTGCATGACACAAATCACCTCAAGTAAGTAGCAAACTGACCCTGTCTAGTTTTACTTTACCACAATTGTGGCAGACCATTTCCAAAAGTTTCTTCGTCTTTTTCAAGAAACCAGGATGGAAAACAGGTTTCGCCAATTCGATGTGACCGAAATGACCTGGACATTCCGACATATTTTGATCACAAGTAGCACATTTGAATTGTCTGTCAATTGAACCAAGTCGGGGATCGTTAAGACCTTGTTCTCTCGGCTTCATCTTACTCTCATCCATAGTCTCAGGATACAAGATATGAGCGACACTCATACTTTTGATCTCCTCGGGAGAGAAGAGACCAAATTGTATCTCCTGGATTGTTCGCAACGGCGCATCTGAATGCGCAAAATTAAGATTCGCCATATTGGCGTTTTGTTGTTGATATTTATTAAAATAAAATTGTTGCAAAGGTTAAAGGTTGAATTTGGGTGTGGCGACGAGCGGTATAAGCAGTGTCCACCGTATAAGAAGTAGTCCACCGCAATACCCAACGTTGAGACGCGATTTTTATCTCAAGAGTATCTTCGCAGTAATTCGTAGGGAGAGATATATCGGGAAAACAAACAAGTCTATGTGCAAGGTGGGTAGGGTCTCGATGATGCGATCGATGAGGAGAGGCCAGGCCTTCCGCCTACTGAAGGACAATTTTAAATTTCTCCGACCGTGAGGACTCGATCGTTTTGGCGGCTTTGTCTAAATGAGTGTATACAGTTTCTTTCTCTTTAGAAAGACCAGTGATGAGGAATCCACGTCTTTGAGTGCGATTCCACAAATTGTCGAGTTGTTGTTGATGGGTGGTGGATGGATGGATTTCGGAAAGACGAGTTTCCTTTGATCCATTGCGAAAGAAAGCTGGCTGATGAGATGAGGCTCCGGGATAATGGCTTTAACCAAATATGGTTAGTTAGTAGATTTAATATTAACAGCCAATCATAAGCGAGATGTGGCTTGATGATTTGTTTGAGATAAAAATATTTCTTTGATACAACTAGAAAGCCAAGATTCAAGAGTAATTAATCTTTTGGTTATTAATTCTACTTTAATTGCTACTCTAATTTGACAACCTTCAGAGAGTCCTTCATCAATGAATCCTCTCCTATTCAAACAACTTACCCCAAGGCTCGAAAGTTACTAGCATAAACTTCTACTCTAGCAGTTGATCACCCCATCCATTCCATTCCATTGGGTTTGTAATCTTACATTCATTCATTCATTCAGTCCCTCATAGTCCCCAGAAACAAAACGGCAAAATCTCCAATTGGATTTATGATTGACTCTTGAGTCTAGATAATAGGTAGATGCTTCGGATTTGGTGCTACGAGCTCGAGTACATATTCACATCAACTACTACTACCATGTAATTCCATACCAACTATTCTAGAGTATATTTCCATGAGATCAAATACAGTACTCATATTCATGAATTAATCATCAGCAAAAGCATCAACAAATTGTCGAGTGATGATCTAGAGGTTAGAAGAGCTTTATCAATCTTCGATTGAGGATCCTGTCAACACTGTACTCCTATCAAGTTTCTGTCCAAAATTCCAATGAATATCTTCGGCCACTTCATAGGCCATCATCAACATCTTCATATCAAACGATTGCTTTGGTGTTGTCTAGTGTACATCTTTTAATTCTAGACTATCCAAGATACCAAATCCCTATGTCCAAAAGTCCATTATACCGTTCATCCTTCGCCTATTCCAGTCTATCACTGCAAATTGCATCCTTTTCATCCCCCTTTGCCTCTCCTCCCTCTCCTCCCTCTCCCCTACTTCATCGTAACAATCTCCTCCGCACTCGTCGGATGAATCGCCACACAGGCATCAAAATCCCTCTTCCTCGCCCCCATCTTAACGGCCACCGCAAACCCCTGCAACATCTCCCCTACCCCCAACCCTATCAAATGCAACCCCACAATCCTCTCCTCCTCCCCCTCACAAATAATTTTAAACTCGGTCGGCGCATGTACCTTGTCTTCCGCGGGGAAGAAATCATAAAACATGGCCGCAAACTTCGTGTGATAGACGTGGAGATTGCCAGCCCCGTATTTTTGCAGCGCTTCAGGTTCCGTCAGCCCGATCGTGCCGACTTCTGGGTGCGCGAAGACGACGGTTGGGATGAGGTTGTAGGAGAGCGCGGACTCTGCGAATTGCGGCGATCCGAATAGTCGGTTGGAGAGTAGGCGACCGGCTGCTATGGCTACTGTTTGTTTGTTAGATGCGGTCGCATATCACCATTTCAAAGATCAAGGAAGAAATGACATACCAGGTGTGAGTTCCAATTGACCCGTCACATCTCCCAACGCATATATACCCCCCGCACTTGTATTTTGGAATTCATCCACCCTAACATACCCCCTCTCATCCGTTTGCACTCCCACAACCCCTAAATCCAACGCTTCCGTCTCGGGACTCCGGCCCACCGCCCACAAAACTTCATTAACCACTAATCCCTTCCCATCATCCCCATCCGACCTTAAATTCAACACTTTCTCCTCCATCATCTTCTTCCCATTAAACATCTCTATCCTTGCAAACTCCTTATACCTCCTATGAATCACAATCCCCGCCTCCTCATACGTTCTCGTCATCGTCTCGGAGATCATGGGATCGAATTTCCTCAAGAATGTATCCCCACGGATAAACATATGTACCTCAATTCCCCCCATAGCATTCAACATTCCCGCCATCTCCACTGCAATATATCCCGCCCCCACCACCGCAATCTTCTTGGGCAATTCCTCGAGCCCGAAAAATCCATCACTGGTAATCCCGTACTGCGCTCCGGGAATTTTGGGTACAATGGGTTTTCCCCCAGTAGCTATACAGATATGTTCGGCTTCAAATGTCTCAACACCGCTTCCATCTTCCAATGCAACAGCGATGGTTTGCGGGGAGATGAATTTGGCGATTCCGCGTACGACGGTGATGCCCTCGCGCGCCCAGTTGGCTTCGTAACCACGATTCAAAGAGGCGATGTTGGCATCGCGTTTGGCTTTGAAGGTGGCATAGTTGAAGAGGATATTGGAGGGTGTTTCGTAGCCGTAGTGTTGGCTAGCGCGGAGGGCTTCGGACATGGAAGAGAAGTTCCAGGTGTGTTTTTTGGGGACACAGCTGCGGTACTGTTAGGTTTGATGGGATATGAATGGTTCTTCAAAGGCTTGAATGTGAGGTGAAGTTGTGAAGGCAGTTTAGGAAAAAAGCAATCCTCCGCAACTTAATGAAGACAAGCAGATATCCGGATAGCAAAGAAAGGTAATGCCCAATAACTCAATTTTTTAAATGTACCACATTTCCAATCCTCACTGCACTCTAGAATGGCTTTCGATGCAGTATCTCCAAGTCACTTAACTCGCCCATCATACTCCAATTCTTTCTAGGATCAGGATGTATCCCATCCCATCCCATCCAATCCAATCCAATCCAATCCAACACACACAAAAAGAAAGGCTCCCAAAACTCACCCAACATTAACACAAGTCCCCCCACTCTTCCCCTCCTCCACTAAGAGTACCTTCTTCCCCCAGCCCCCCTTTTCCCTCGGACCTGCGGCTCTCCTCGCCGTCGCACTCCCGCCACTTCCACCGCCAATAACAATATAATCGAACCCCCTCGGCTTCCCCGTGCCCGTACCCGCAAGCTCCGTCATTTTCCTCGTCAATCCCGCTCTCGAAATCGGTAGTGCCGATTTCCCGATCAAGGAAATCGCTGATAACGTGGTTGCGGACGTGGAATTTGATATTGAAGATTGTGCACCACTACTTGATGAATTAGAAGAGACAGCAATAAAATTGGTGGGTGGCACGAGAGTCGTTGTTGTGATTGTGAGGGGAGGGGGACTTGGACGATTTCCAGACATGGTGGGAGGAGCTTCTTTATCACGTTCTTTATGTGAGTGAATGTGGAGTGAGGGGTAGATTCCTGGGAGCAGCCACTTTTCTCGAAATAGGCAAGTATATGAGAGGAATGTAAGACAGATCAACAGGAATGAGTGTTGGTATGTAAGCGCTTTGCAGGACGTGGGCGGCGAATGAGGCGTTTTTGGTATGACCTAAACTCTGTAACTCTTTTGAAACGGGAGATGCATGTCTTGTATAAATACAATTCGAAAAATCATGAGATAAGATAACAAACGGAAGTGCTGGTTGAGTGTTTAGCTAGACCATTTTACTCTTAATGTGTAAGCTATTAATTGGTTGTACAGCTGCATATGATATGCAAGTCAGTCGAGGTACCCACCCACAACATATCTTTCCCACCTTAAACTCCAGACCACATGTTTCCTAAAAACGCCATTTTGTCAACAAAAGTAAAAGGATGGATAATTCAACGTCTTCTGCCTCTTTTCTTTCGAGGTTGTTCGTCTGCACTTCCAATTGCTTCCGAGTCAAGCTGGTAATTACGACCATCCGAGGGACTTTTCCTTCTCATTTCACCCCTTCCCACAGCTACAAACTCTTCTTCGCTTTCGGTGTCGTCACAATCGAGTTGTACTGGCATCCTGAATGCGTTCTCTTCATCTTCAACTACATCACCCTTGACTGGTTCTTCCGTTAGGACATCTATATCGTCGTCCTCAGCATCTAATCTTCTCTTGTGAATTTCTTCCTGTGGATGGATATCGAATTCGTCCTCTCTCTCAATATACTCTACATTTTCCTCGACTTCCGCAAAATCCGGTGCTAGTGCCGACCATCTCTGCTGCGGAACGATCGACCAAATATGTATTCTCCCCGACTCTAAACCACATGCCGCAATCATAGGCTTGTGAGGATGCCATTCAACCACTCCATGTTCTTCCTTGGGTCCCTCTAGAATCTTTACTAAACTTCCGTGGTTTCTCTCCCATATATAAATATCGTGATTGTTGAATGTCGAAGCCGTTACATATTCGCCCGTCGCACTGAATGCTACATGATTCCAACTCAGCCTGTTAACGACGTCTTGAAATTTGTGCTCGACCTCAATATCTATCGTATCAGGATCCAAATCCTCTGCTGATAAATTCGGTATTTGTATCGTCCTGATGATTCTATCCTGAGCATTGACAACCACGTCTCTTCCAGAAGTCGTAAGTCGCATATAAAGCAACACACCGGTGCATAACTTTGTAGAGTAGATCGCTGTCCTCGTAGCCACTTCTATTATGTTCAGCCATCCCTTGTTAGTGCCCGAAAGTATATGATCTCCCGAGGCGGTAAAAATCGCGACTGTTGTAGTTTGTGGTGCGACCGGTTTTGATTCGTCTTCCCCATACACTGTTCGTTTCTTGATTGTGGAAGGCAGAATGTATTTCACCGCTTGTTGGTTCGTGAGATCTACTAGTAATGGCGGATCTTCAAATAATGAGACCAATATCTTCAGACTATCATGCGCAGAAATGATCAGTCTTCATCCAAAGAAAAATAGAAACCGTATTATTTGACTCACTGTGTCCAAGGATGAAATTCTGCCAAATATACCGGTGCCTCAAACCGTACACTCTTTACAATACTCCCATCCATCAAATCCCAAATACTGCATGTCCAATCCTGGCTCGATGTGAGTAGGAATCTACCATCGCGCGACCAACTTAATGATTGCACTTGTCGCGTATGCCCTTTGAGCTTCCTCGCTATGCCATTGGTCTCGACGTCAAAAATTACGACGGTGCCATCAGTGCGCCCTACAGCAAGAAAATCGCCTTTGCGGTTGAAGCGTACGCATGAAGCATGACCACTGCGAAGGGTGTGTGTAGATGATTCCGGATAATCTTGTGCGAGAACGAAAGGATCAGTTAGTGACAAATTCATAATGATGGTATTGAGAAGCAAATAATCTCAGAAGCTCGAGATGAGAGGAACTCTCAGCCTCGCTTCAAGGGCTTCGGTTCGATAAGGCTAGCTAACATAAATTCATTTACTGTACCGAGTACTCGACAACAAAATTAAAATATGAAGTTCATCGTTAGGTAATAATATTCAAGACGTAAGTTCATTAACAAAAGAGCTTTTTGAGTGAAAAATAAGTTAATTTAATGCAAAAGTGTATATTAACTTGCATGAATAACAATAAGATATATATCCACTAATCTACGCCAAATACAATGAATATGAGACCGATAAGTCCAAATCTATGCAGTCATTAATCATCATTTTCCACCAATCGTACATGCAACCGATTACCAAACTTATCTAATACGATGAACATCCATTCTTGCATTTAGTGTAGCCTGGAAACTTATCGAATGACTTTTGATCAATACCTTCCAGTTTTGGGCAACCCAAGCCAAGAAGGCGCTGAGCTACGGTATCGGAGAATGGCTGAATGGAATTGCCAATACTTGTAAGAGTGCCACCTGCAATGTCGGGAATTGCTGCTTGTGCAGCCTGAAAGACGAAACATTCCAAATTGTTCCCTTCGAGTAAAGTTCCGCTTTCGAACACACCCTTGGTCAAGGATCCAAGATCAACGGGCGTGAAGGTATTGGGCTTACCCGTGTTTCCACCAATGTCAAGAAGAGGAGGATATTGCTCTGCGTAGTCGATGACGTCGGCAAGGAAGCCGGCGATAGAATATTCATCGTCAGTGGCTCTCTTGTACCAATTATCTGGGATGCGTTCATGGCCGGGGGCATATTGAAAATTGCCAGACTCGCCGGTGATAGCGAAGAAAGACATCAGATCACTCTTGGTCAAAGAGCCCTCTGGAAATTCGGCAGATTTGTTGGACATCATTCGAACGGGGAAATTGTAACCAGCAGGTGAGACGAGAACACCGGCGAAAGGTGAAGAGAAGAAGTAAGGGTTGGTTGTTTTAGAGTTATTATGGCGGTCGATTCTGAAATCAAGAAGTCCTTGATATTGTGCGTCGGCACCAACGCCTTCAATCAAAGCATCATAGTACTTCTGAAAAAGAGGAACCTCAACGTCGTAGGATTGCCCGGCTAAGTAGAGATCCGGGCGAGTTGGAGATGTGTCACTTTCGTACTTGTTGTGCGATCCGGAAAGTCCTTGAGGTGGTCCGGTAACACCCAAAAGATTACCCAAGGGAAGGGCGTTGTTAGTTGTTGGTCCGCCAATAGAGTAAGCTATGAATTGTTAGCGTAAAATATACAAAAAGAAGAGGCATGCGGGCGCACCTAGCAAGTTACCGTCAAACACGGCGCCGTAGACCCCAAGAAACCCCCCAAGATCCAATGACATGCCATAGGCAACATTGGTACCGTCTATGAAATCGCCAATTGTTCCAACACCATTGTGGGGAATGTATCCATGGTTTGCTGCGGCATTCAAGCCAGGGCAGGGACCTCGAACATCTCCTGCACCGTAATTGGGTGCAACGAACGTATGCTTTCCTGTCGTGCTAACATACTGCGAGGCGGCATCAAAACCGGCTCGTTTTTGCAATGGATCTCGAGCAGCTGTGCTTCGCTTTCCACGTTGTGACTTTGTAAGTCTTTCTGCATGTTCAGCAGCCATCTTAGGATATGCGGCGACTTCAGTCGCAGCAAACGCCAGCAAGGCAATATTAGTCGCTACTTTCATGATTGTGCGTTTGTGTTCGATTATATAAGTGTAGGAATCAAGGGATGAACTTGGGAGTAAATAAACTGATGTAGGATAAGTATGTCTTCAATAAAGATCATACTAGAGTAGAGACAGACAGGAAAGGGAAGTTGATATTTATATATGTGTGTATCCCCATACTTCAATCTCTCCACAGACTCGTGATGTAACGCTGTACAAAAAGTTTCCCAGCTCTGATCAAAAAAACCTATCAGAGGCAGTCGATTTGTCCCCTCGCCCGCTTGAAGCAACGCAGGGGACAAAATCATCATTCTCCAAGAGAAATGCACGACCCAAAGGATCGACACAGGCACAAGTAATTCGGTATTCCCATTTAGATGCTGATCACTTGAAAAGACACAATTGATCACTGACTCCCAGAGGACCTTCACGTTGAAGCCTCAATAATCAACGGCTGGCAACTCATGGGTTGTCACCGCTGACGTCGATTGAATATTTGGGTGACAATACCAAAGGAGATTTGACATAAGACATCCATTTACCGGTATTGTAAATTCAAATGCTAAGCACGGGTGGCGCCCGGAAAATGTACCAAGTGACCTGGCATTTGGTGGCTTGTGAAGCATCATATTGTAGTGCGAGCGTCGCCGGGATGTTTGACGTAATTTTTGGCGCGGGGGTATCATTCCAAATGACTGACAGCATAGATCAAGGGCATTCAGCTTGACACACACTAGTCCTGCAGAGACAACAGTAAAGCAACCAAGACCATACAGATAGCTTACCGGTGTGCAGGGTGTGAAAGCAAAAAGCGAGCTGAAATGAAGATCACAAGATAAGAGGCGTAAACTAGTTGTATCCTTTTATTTCGATATACCGGTAGGCAAGTCGTCGGTGGTCTCGACGGCAAAAAGAAAAGATGAGCGCAAGGGGTAAATACTTGCATTGTTTTCTAAAAGATGGAGGTACGACCGGATCACGGGGTAGATGGCTTGGCTCACACTCACAACTCAAATAGATGAGATCTAACCTTTTCGAGATTAGTGCAAGGAACAAAACTCAACCGAATTTGTATCTTGAAATTCCATCTGATAGAAACACAGAAAACAAACCATCGCAAATCATTTCCTACTCTGATTCAATTCCGCAGCGGAACAGACTTATACCTTTCAGCGAGTGCTAGGTTCTGCACTGTACCATCTTGATAGGTAGACTTCAGACTTCAGACTCCGCACAGTTACTTCCCTTGTCCCACATTTTTCCTGTCGCTCAGACTCAGAGATATTCCAATGCTGTTATTACAAGTTAAAAGGTTCAAAGTTACAATCTATAACATACAACAGTGTAATTCAAATCTTGCTCTGACCTTTGATGACGAGATGGCATTTAGGCTTGGAGCTCTGAGGACCGAGATACTTTGGCAAGCGAGACACGGTAACCTTAGATCATGGAAGTTTCCTCCAATACTTAAAGGACAAATCCAGATGCGGAGATTTTAAGCTGGTGAGCTTGCCTTGCAGTAGTAACTCCATTTTTCACTCAATATAGTTCTTATTTCTGCATCTGACCGTCCGATCTGACGACTGTGGCTTTCCCCCCCACCATTCAATGTTGATCATGGGTAATTCTGGTATAATGAATTATGCTTATTTGGTTCCGACACCATACTTTTGGAAGTTTGAAAGTTTTAATGTTGTCTCTAGTTTGACCTACCGATATATAATATAATACCATAGCAATAGAGGCCCATCGGCGAGCCATAAGATGATCTGTTGATCTTTGTAAATAGATTCATTATCGCTCAGTATATCTCTCCAGTCACCACATTGAGCATGTTGATGTGATCTTTCCACAAGAGATCAACTTGGACTTTTGGGACAGCCTCTTACGACACTCTCTAGATGCGTTCGAGGATCTGCAAATCTGGAGTACTGGCTTGTAGGTCAGGTCGTTTTCTCATTGTCGACATTTGTTTGGAGGATTGATAGAAGTTGTATACATCGAGTTGCATTCCTTCAAGGAAAGTAGAACAACAAAACATTTATCAAACATTCTCATTACATAATCTTCCATCGTACCAACTTTCGTCATGTATACGAAGAACATTATCGCGCTCGTCGCTCTCACAGGCTCTGTTATTGCTGCTCCTCTACCCTCCCCTGCGCTTTCAAGTCTAGGTTCGGCTGTTGACAACTTGAATGGAAACGGGGACTCGAATAGCGCAGGCAATGGAAACTGGGGAAATGGAAACAATGTATGTTATTCATTCTCTGACTCCGAAACTCTGCTGACCCTAAACTTCTAGAACGGTGATGGATCAGGTTCCAATGATGGAAATGGCAATGTTTTCGGAAACGGAAATGCCATTGGGAGTGATAATTCGGAAATAAACTTAGCAAAGCGTGGATCTGGCTCAAATATTCTGGGTAGCGCTTTGGGAAACCTAAATGATAATGGTGGGGGTAATGCTGCTGGAGATGGCAATTCTAACAATAGCAATGGCGTATGTATCTTTGTTCCTATCCCAAGTTCTTACTGACCTCTTAATTAAAAATGGTGATTGGTCCGGTTCAGGCGATGGCAACAATAACAATTTTGGGAGTGGTAACTCAGGAATAAACCTCAAAAAGGTAAGAAAAGACCGTGCTACCACCACCCCCAAACTTTCGATTCGAAATCCTCCGCTTTCATCATCATACGTCAACGGTGTATGGGTAGCCGCCATCAACCCCATCACCAATTCCCTCTCATCATCAGGAGACATCGCAACCACCGTCGGTACAGCCACAGATTCTCTAAACAACAATGGTATCTCCAACACCGCAGGTTCCTCCAATTCCAACAACGGGAATGGGAATGGAAATGGTTCGGGCTCAAATAATGGGTTAATTTCACTTCATACTCACCTCTCATTCATATATGAACAGTCCACTAATTCAAACTCTAGAAACGGCAATACATTCGGCAACCACAACGAAATCCTCTCCAACAACGGCGGCGTTAATGTTGATCCAACCGTCAATCTCACATAAACGCTTTATTTCATTACACTGCATAGCATAGCATTGCATTGCATTACAAAAAAACCAAATCCAAACCCAATAACTAAACAAACACATACCCCTCCTCCTATCAGGTACGTCGCCAATCCGACGCCTTCGATCTCATCCCCAATCAAACAATCACTGAACTCAACAAAGTACGTACACAACACAACCATTCTTCTCCCCTTCGTCCCTTCATCCCAATTCATCCTCATCCTCATCCCCTCCAAATCTCAAACCCCAACCCCTCCACCATCAGGACGCCTCCCAACTCCTCACAATAGTAATCCCAAGCACCGGTCTCAAAGTCGTCAAGGGTGCTCTTACTGGCACCGATACCGAACAATTCGAAAAGCGCCAATTGGTTCTTACGGGTTTGGGTGATATTATTGCGCAGGATGTCGCGGCTTATATTCCTTGATTGGGGATTTTGGGGGGAGGGGAAGTGATTGTGAATATTTTACTTTTTATTCGTATTTTGCTTCTGTAATTTATTGTAAAATATTGGTAGCTATACTCGAGTAGTACAAATGAAGTTATGTATATATGTACCTAGATATGTGATGAATGAATGGGTAGGGAAATATATTGGAGAATATGTCGGATTATGCGATTATGTGTTAAGCGATTCAGCATGGATTGTGTACGATTACAGCTAGGTTTAAAATCACATCAAAACTAAACTCCAACAGATAGATAGCCAACTAAGAAGCGCAAAAGATTAGAAGTGAGAAGTCATGAATTTATAGTAGAGCTGAGTATACAAACATCATCTCGCATTTTGCGTCATCTCAATCCCGACCTTCTACTCCAACTCCGCATCTCGAACTGCTAACCCTTCCAACCCCTCACTCAAAACTACCTCCAGCCCCACCTCCCCCAATGTTCCCACATCCTTCTTTCCCGCAACGTCCACCCCTTTCCGCATCTCCTCCTTCCTACACCCCCCACAATCACACTCAAACCCATAGAACCTCTTCAAGCCCTTCACCCCATGTCCATAATCCACCGTAATTTCCTCTCCCATTCCCACATCCCTCTTACTAAAATATTTCATCCTGCCTCCAAGCTCCCCATGCACATCCTCTTCCTCCCATTTATATCTCGCATTCGCCACACAAGCATGATTGAATCTACTCGCCGTTCCAAACACGCCCGTTGACAAACTTTCCACCTTGCCGACACCAAACCCATTACTATATAAAATGCTTCGGTTGCGGGATTCCCGAGGATTGGCCTGATAAGCATGAAGTGACAAGAATTCTGCTTTGCGAGAAGGGGATAACGCAGATACGAGGGCGTCGAGGGGGTCAGTGCGTGTTCCTGTGTCGGTGAGGATGACGAGAGGTTGTTCGCTCAAGAGGAGGGTGTTGATGGGTATGGGACAGAGAGCGAATACACCGAGACCACCTTTGGGAGAAGTGCGGACTTCAATTAGGGTGCCGATGGTTTCGGGAACCCGAAGAGGAGGTTCTTCAGAGAGGGTAGAAGGTTGAATGGACGATTTAGAGCCTGAGGCATCGATTTGTTTCGACTGGGATGTCACTGTCGAAAGCGTGGATGTTGGAGTAGTAATGTCCATCTTGTGGGGCTTTGGTGGTGATGGTGGCATGATCCTGATTGGATCTGAAAGTAGAAGATATTAGTAGATGTTCTCTGGATAGTCATGAATCAAAAATGTTCACATTGAACAGTAAGTTTCTTGAATGACGTTGTCTTCGATGATGATCGTGGAGACCCTATCGTTTATGGTAAGATATTTGAAACTCCGCAACAGTGAAAGATGATGGATTGAGCAATGTATCATTTTGTTCAAGTGGCGACGAACGCCATTTCGAATTTGCAGTGCATGAAATATACAGGACTTGCTGGATTTCAAAGACTATGCAGGTACAATAACGGGCATATCAAACAGGTTTTGAGTGATAGCAGCCCTTTAAACTCGGTACGCCTTGCCAAACATCACTCTACGTTCCAAATTCGCTGGGTCTCAGACGCTCGTTGTAATCGTCTTGTAATTGCCCCATAGGCTCTAAAACAAAGCGGGTTGGAATAGGATTATGTTCGGCTCCCGAGAGGCCCCGAGAAGAAGAAATGATTGAAAAATGATTCGACACAACATTGACGGTGGCTGAAACTTGGAAAGCACTTCATATTGCTCGCATGCGTTATGTCTAGATACTAGAATAACAATATACCACTGTACCACGCGACCAAAATCTTGGTCTTGACGTGTCGTTTCTGCTTTTATACACTGGTACTTAGCTAGCTAAAAAGTGGTCAAAAGATTATGGCACTTGCCTGAAATAGTTCAGTAGACATGGTAATCACAACCACTGATTTCCAATCAAGCGACCAAAGAAATTCGGTAGCAATTCTTTATCTACTCCGGAAATGCGATTTGATATCATATCAGTATAGTCGTACATAAATACTCCAGTCGTGCGTTCAATACACTGGTCAAAGATGCTGCAAAGAACTCCAACGCCTATGCTGCCTCAAAATCCGTCGAAATCCATGGTCACCTATGTCGGTCTTTGCTGAGTTGTCCCTCATCCCTCTTCGGAAATCCACCAACTCTCTCGGCGTTCCTCATTACTTCTTTGCCTTTCTCGCCCTCTCTTTCTTCGGCTGGTAAGCCCCACCATTCCCTATGGAACTTCTCTTGCTCTTTCCTTCTTGCTTCTTTCCCTTCACGGTCCTTTTGTCTCTGTAATCTCAGGGAAAACCACTCTTCTCTGGCTGCATCCTTTTCTAATTGTGTGGCGTGTGTTATCATGCAATTGTTCATCGCTCGATTTTGTTCTCTACACTTGAATGGGGCAGTGAAAGTTTTTCCGAGAGCGCACTCTGCGAACACTAAATTACTATCAGTAAACATTTCTTAAGGCATATCCATTGGAATACATACCCTTAATCTCTGCCGCACAATAACTCCGCACTCTTGCATGGTAAACTTCTTGGACTTGACCTTCTTGTGCTGCGGACAATGGCAAAGGGTTTCGTGATGGCATAGGTAGTCTAGGCGCCTTTTCCACCTCCTCATTTTGTGAAGTCATGACTACCATATGAATTAAATGAAATGTATTAAAAAACGAAGTTCCGGTACTAAATGGTAATCAACTATTTTGAACTGCTTCATGGGATGAATATGAAAATCGAATGTTCTGAGGTAGTTTCCCAAATCGAACTAGGTACTTTATCTTAGCGTGGATGGTCAATCCTTGTCGAAATTTTGACAATCAGAGGCTGCGTAATTCAAACTTTCTGAAGCAAGAAAAACATTTAAAACCAAGCACTTTCATCAGACACCCGCCAAATTACTTACAAATCACACACGTTGTCTTCAATTGAACCTGCGCAATATTGACACAATGGATAAAGCCAGTAAATCAGTCCGTGATGGGCGCACTTATAAGGAGAGGTCACAGCCTGAAGAGCGCAAACGATGGGGACTTCTCGAAAAGCACAAGGTATGAATTGCGTGGATGATATTATCTGCAAAATGCTAATCGGATATGTAGGATTATTCTGCCAGAGCGCGCGACTTCAATAAGAAAAAAGCAAAGCTTAAGGCACTTAAGCAAAAAGTCCTCGAGAAGAACCCCGATGAGTTTTACTTTGGAATGGTGAACAGGAAGGGTCCTTCAAAAGCCGCCAAAAGATATACAGGCACTGTGAATGGAGACCGAGGCAACCAGGTTTTGAATCAGGATGCTGTACGTTTGTTCAAGACACAGGATTTGGGTTACGTACGGACAATGAGGAATAAGGCATTGAAGGAAGTTGAGGATTTAGAAAAGAGAACCGTGGGTATTAAAGGACGTGGAAAGAAAGTTGTGTTTGTGGAAGATGAGGAAGAACAGCAAGAAAAGGCGGGAGGGGATGATTCGGACATGAGTATGGACATGGATATGGATTTCGATTCCGAGGAGGACGATGAACACGATGACGCAAGCAAAGATGGGGATATCAAGGAAGATGTGGCAGCCAAAAACCTACGAAAGCTTCAGGAAAAGCAGGCTGATAAGCTGGAAGTCAAGTTATCGATTGCGCGACAACGGTTGAAAGCTCTAGCGGATGCAGAGGAGGCTCTGGATTTACAACGAGCGAAAATGGCTAAATCTTCAACAATTGGCGGCGTTAATAAAAATGGGGTCAAGTTCAAGATACGAGAGCGGAAGAGATAGATTTATTTAACTGGCTTTCAGCCATGTCGAAAGCTGCATGCTGAATGGAAAATGGCCAAAGAGAACCATACTGGGGTCGAAAGCCGTTCATCGACCTGCGATAATAATAAGATACCCCTGGGATAGCCCAAGGAAGGGAACTATGTCCACATCCGAGCCCAAAATCATATCCAAGTCGTGATCGTATACCCAAAACGCCAATGTATCCTCTGATCTCGAACGCTGTTATTTCTTCTTGGTCAAACATTTGCTGAGCCCAATTATAATAGCTGCCATTGCTTTCACCGTCATTTTCATGATCCAAGACGTGGCCTTCAACATCATCCAGAGCAAGCCGCAGAACCCTGGTACCTTTTCTTTATCCTTATCCATTTCTTTTGTCGGGATCATCTTGTATCTTGGGCTCTCTTGACTTTCTATATCCATTTCCATTTGTTGCCCTTTCAAGGATTTCCTCTTGGACCTCGGTGTATCTGGTTGTACTGGTGCTGCCGGGGGTGCTTCGAACCTCTCAATATTCATCCTCTTCTCCTCGTCCATCGCGGCAAGCATAACGGCGGCGATCGCTACATCCACGATGTAAAAAGCGTCTATTCTGGCCGCTACTCCGGTATCAATTTCCAAAAACCCTGTTCCGCTACCATCTCTTACCAAACGCACAAGGTTGTGTGGTAGCTCTGGATGCTCGAGTGTATATTCGACCCTGGACCATGCTGGTGACGAATTAATCGCGATGATAAATGGGGTGCTGACTGCAGGGTGTCTGAGGTAAAATTTCTTGGTGTCATCATCCCATAATAATCGGCCACATTCTCGTTCTGCTGCTGCTAAAACCAAGGTACCATCTGCCACATTTGATCGTCCAGCAAGATCGACTGCCATACTTGATGCTGCATGGGGATATAGGAGAGCTACCAGTCCGTCATTTGGTGGCAAGCGCCGCGAATGTTCCTCGAGAGTCGTGATCAATGCTTCCATTTGATAATCACTTTTAGGGAACACACTGGTCCTCGGGGATTGCGATTTCTTCGGCGGTTTGGCAGGATTCTGTCTTGTCATCGTTACCTGAGCCGAAGTCGAAGTTGGATCCAGACGCAACGTATAGAAAGGCTGGGTCGCGGAGGAAAGTGTGTGTATAGGCTCTTCGACTGCGCTATTCATTTTCATTATGAATTTTTGTCCCTCGGATGCTGATGCTTTCCACCCATTTGTGACCTTCCACAGCTCCTTCAAATCGGCAGAGGTTGATGGTTCGGGCCATGTCTCGTCATGAAGTCCTCGTCCAACAAGTCCCGGGGATTGTGGGCCTATTGATATTGGACTACCCATACCAGGGCTCACCTCATTGATTCCTGGCGAGTATGGTTGTCGACTAATTGCATTCTGTGGAATGTGACGTGGACTTTGCTGCGTCGGGTAATATTGTTGGTATTCTAGTGGGAGTTCGGGATTGTATCTAGGGAAAATGGATCTCATTACTGGCTCTTCTCGGTGGTGGTGTTGGCTATGTTTGGACGAATTACTGTTGCTTCTCACAAGTGTAGGTGCTTCCGAAAAAGAAGTGTGAGATCTCGGATGCTCTGACACAAGCACTGCGGGAGGGGGTATATTCATGGGTGATTCTGGACCATCTTGAGGAGTTTGGCGACCACCAAATGGTGATTGCCGTCCATCGGCAAACATATCAAGCGACTGTGATCGATTGGCAGGATCTGGACCAAGTATGGACGTGGACGGATTGCGCTCATTGCTATTACTTCTCCAAGGCTTCTTCTTGGAGGGTGGAGGTGGAAATAATTGCAAACCCATACTGACTGGTTTATCTGACATCATGGAAACAAATCTTGCAATGGAACAACTTCGAAGGTCTATACAATTCTTCCCGAGCTCATATATCAAAATTATGAGGAGCACGACACTACACATATATACATCAAACCTTCATTTCTCGACAGCACCATAAACTTCCGGTTCATGCAGTCTTTTCAAAATAAAGATCCGGGAGAAAATCAAATGCTACGACCGTGCTCATTATCTCGAAATAGATTTCGGCTTGCCTTACCGCTCCAATTCGATGATTTCCATTGATTCGATTATTTTGTACGCGGGGAAGAAACCTTGTTAGCGCCAACATGTACTGTGACAGCTACCATGATTGGTGTTGCAACATTATAAGCGCTTCCATCAACCAACCAAAGTTCAGAAACCTCAGTAACCCCTTCACACAAACACGATTTTCTAGTGGATCAGAAAATTCTTATTTATGGAAATGTGAGGGGTTTGCCTGTAACGTGATTGAAGCGTTATCGTGTTATCTGCTGATTTGGTTGGTTTGGTGAAACATATCCATTCATTTATCCAATATTGCTCACCAAAAGTTATTGCGAAATACCGTGGGGTTTGAATCCATGGTACTCGAAGGTAATTTTGATCATTAACCTTCGATGATCGTCAGTGAGGCTGAGTGTACGGAGCACTTGTGGATTCAGTGGACAAATATAAAGAGCTGCTCTCCCCCAAAGAACTTTCGAGGATTTGGCCAGTGTATAGCGAAACGGTGAACATCAATCGTGATTTTTCTGATGCCACCTAAAGTACCGGTATTGTACAGAACGAGCATTGAGGATCTGCTTCATGATCAACAACACCCAGCCATCCATATATTTGGATACCTAATGGTTCGCTATCGAAGTACATTATGCAGCAGACGGTCACTCTTCCGGCCGCGTCAGACAGTCGTGCCCCCACCATGGTGTTCGTCGGTGACTTGTCTCGGTCTCTTTCGAACATGGTCTCGGCGCTTAAACATGTACCTCATAGAGGATTGCCAAAACTCCTAGGCCGATGATTTCGATTCCTCATAGCCTCATATTTCTAGCATTAGACCTACCCCTACAGCCGTGTATATTCAGCAGGCTATTCAGAATCACGAATGTGCAACGACACGAGATTCGGGGTATATTGATCGCGATTCCTGTCTATTTTCGGCAATGTGCTTTGTGTCTATAACAAAAAGAGACTCTAGATCTTGGAATCCATTTGGAAAATTGCATCCATTTTGAAACCTTATTCTGTGCTAGAAGATTATAGCACGTCATTTTAGTAGTAGGTTTCATCTCAAAAAGTTTATTAAATCTAATTAAAACAACAAGCAAGTCCTCTTCATTAAGATCTACCAAACAACAAGCAAATACTCTTCTTGCTTCACATTAAATCCTCACGTCGATTTGAGTCAACACGCCACCCACTACATTTGCGTTTGGTTGTCTCCCCAACAAGAAACGCTCGGACTCCTCTCATTTCATCATCCAATTCTTTTTTTTTGTTGCACATCTCAACCCGCAGATTTGTGGGTTATCCGCGGGTTGGTGGGTTATTTGAGGGTTGGTGTACAGTTTGTTACTTTGACTCGCCTGCCGATTTGATCTACTCATATGTGTATTTATCAACAGTGAATCCAAAACTGTGACCGATTGTGTAATGGTTTCCTTGAGCATCGTATTGCCCGGTTTCGATTGCTCTGTCAGACCCGTAAGAAACGGTGAAGTATGTGCAAGTACTACAACATCGATGAGTTAGTTATGGCCAGCAAGGAAGGGATTTGAAGTAAAATGAGGAAGCAAGACTGAATCAGGAAGTGAAGAGGATACAGAAGATTTAAAAAATAAACTCACAATACTCCGTTCTGTCCATTCTCGTACAAGATATAGGATACGAAGAATGCGCAACCAGGATTGCTCTTTGACTTGCATGCAGCTGCACAGACAGTTGGATCATAAGGCTGAGTCTGAGGGAACACCTCCAATCCCACTTTTATGGGTTAATAAAGTTCTACCAGACTCTAGTTTCATGAGTATTCTTTTGCACTTACTATATGTTGTAGTGTTTGCAGGGGCATCGATGGTGGCAGTTCCAAAGCTTTGTACTCCTCTATACCCTGGAATCGATGGTGAGGAATTCGAATTATACGCATTCGAACCAGCAATAACAACTTGGAAATCGGCTTGCCATTGGCCACTGTTTGTAGCCGACGAAGCGTCCAATAGGCCACCGAAAAGTGAACATTTTATAAGTGTTTGGGAGGGAGGATTTGGACAGTCTTCTGTGTCTGGAACGACGGTTGGATCTCGCTCGAAGACTAGAATCATCAGCTTTTGCGCAAAAATTAGGAAGAGGAAGACTTACAGATATTGAAAGAAGTGCAGCCTTGGATTTTATTGCATTCATTGGCACAAATGACAGGATCGTAAGAAGTGATAGAGTCTGAGATATATGTCAAGTATGTTGCGGATTGAGCTGTGCTATGAATATTTTGGAAGCCATCAACAAGAACATAGTCTGGAGGAGTCACAGCTTTCAACGCTGCATCAGCGAGACTCTGGTCTGCTTCAAAAGCTGCCGCAGTATCTGGACTGTTGATACTGGGACCATTTCCTGCAGACAAAACAGCGCAAGTGCCTGGGCAAGTGCTGCGCTTGTGTCTACGATTGATAACGGCGGCAGAAGAAGTACCGGCTGCGATAGCAGCTTTCGCTGCAGAAGTAGGATTGTATGTAATACTCGCTGTCGCGGTATTTCCAACAGGAGCCCCTCTAGCGGGAGATGTGGGAACGGCTTTATACGCTGAAATGTCAAGACTCCGAGCTTTGAGGAAAGGGGTCGCCGTGGCCACTGCCAGAAAAGCGGAGAGAGCAACTGCCGATTTCATTTTTGCAAATTCTGGAAGCCTTGCAGTGTACGGAGGGAGGTCTGATTGCAGAGAAGATAGTATTATAGAAGGGAAGATTGAAGCTTTGTGATGATTTGATTCTTTCGGGGAAAATCTGCAGATTTGAGGTTCTTTATAGGTTTTTCTACAAGACCATACTCACCTCGTTCCATCTCAATCTTCATTTTCCAGCTGAACGCCCCCCCCCCCCAGCTTCAACTAACACTTCCACGAAAGTATCTAGCCACTCAGACCTTCATAAGACGATACTATTCTCATCATTTCACCCAAGCTTATTCTCAATTGAGTATCATTGCTGCGCCTCGGAACTCCAAGATACCCCTAAAAGGAAGCCTGGAGATAACTTGGGCCAAGAATCCCCACGAGTCAAGAAATGACAAGTCTTCAACAGTCCACATTTTGACCCATTTTGATCATTGACTTCGTTTTCTCGTATGAAATGACAAGTATCCTAACGCCACATAAGTTAGGAAGATCTGAAAGGGTATGTCTGACACGGCTAAGTCCAGCTAGGAGCGGGTAGCGAGCCTACGAGGAAGTATGGACATACGTTTTATTGAAATGAGTCTTGGGTGCACGTTCATTCTATATTAATGTACAACGTGAAAATTCGAGTCGAATTTTACTTCATTGCATGTTGCTCAATACGAGTATTCTTCATCAAACATATCTGTAGAACATGCAGAAAATCATTTAACAAAGAGGGCATCACTCAAACCCCCTTTCTCATACTTCAATGTTACTTTGAAATGCAAAGTGGGGTCTAATTCTGACAGCCAAGTATTTCATTGCGGTCTTTCATAGAATGTAACATCCGTGAATAATGTCAACACATCAAAGTGTGGGTGAATGTTAAGGCTGAACAATATTGAATTTCTTGCTAATCTAATCTATCAATAGTCGTTCCGTGTAGACAGGGCTAGATATTTTAGACCAAGGGACCCTCCGATTTGACAACATCTTAGCGTTATCAGGGGCCCCATGTATATTGTGGGTCCTCAACATAGCTTCGCTACCATTACACATCGGATACGGAGACTTTGAAAGCTTGCAGGATGTCTCTATCTTATCGGGAAACAGGGAAACAGGTTGTGGTGATCGCTTGAAGTATTGTGCTATAATGTGAAATTTCCTCGAGTTTTTTCCAAGTCTTGATAGTGCAAGTCTTCACTTTAGCATCGATCCTTTTCTCTCTACCACGGCGAAAATGCAGAAAGCTATTTCTTACGTGAATCCTTCGAAGAGTACCTCTCACTCGGAGGAGAACAGCCGTGCACAAACTCCTGTCAGCACTTCCAACCCATTCGCAACCCCTCCATACTCAAGACCTGCCTCGACCATTGGGGCTCGATCTGGATTTCAGTATGCTGAAGTTCCTGGAACAGGATACTTTCGATCTCGTCGCGTTCGCAAAGGAGAGGCTGTAAGTCTTGCTGTCACCAAGAAAGCAAAGAAGGAGGCTCTTCTATGGATTTTCCCTCTTTGCGGTACAATCCTCGGACTAGGTCTCACGGGTATGATCATCTACTTGAAGATAGCTAGTATTACACACCACAAGTACTGCCCAGTTCTGTTAGAAGATTTTTCCTCTGGTATTTTGGATCCAAACGTTTGGACAAAAGAAGTTCAAGTGGGAGGTTATGGGTTAGTTTCATCCCTTGAGTACATGCTTTCAGATTCTAATGATCAATACAGAAATGGTCAATTCGAGCAGACCACAACAGATGCCGAGAACTTGTTCATTCAAGATGGGCAGCTGTATATCAAGCCTACAATGCAAGACGCATCGCTGGTCACCACCAACACTATCATCAATCTTACGGCCGATGGGACTTGCACAACCACTTCCAATATCCTTCTCAATTGTGTCACTTCTACAAACACGACTAATGGGACTATCGTGCAACCAGTCAAGTCTGCTCGCATCAATACGAAACTTGGTGCTACCATCAAGTACGGGAAAGTAGAGGTTGTAGCCAAGCTCCCAAAAGGAGATTGGCTCTGGCCCGCTATTTGGATGCTCCCGGTCGAGGATACCTATGGAGAATGGCCAGAGAGCGGTGAAATTGATATTATCGAATCTCGCGGCAACAACTATACCTACAGTCTTGGCGGCAACAATTTTGTATCCAGCTCTCTGCACTGGGGCCCGGATGAAGCGAGCGATGCATACAAAACAACTACCAACGTGAGAGCTGCCTTACATTCCGAGTTTGGTGATGAATTCCATCTTTACGGCTTGGAGTGGACCGAGAAGTATGTCTTTGCATATGTTGATAATACGCTGCGCCAAGTCATGTATTGGCCGTTCAATAAGCCATTATGGCAACAAGGTAATTTTCCCTTGAGTGACTCCAACGGAACAGCGATTGTGGATCCATGGTCACAAACGGGCCGAGATAATACCCCATTCGATCAAGAATTTTATCTTATCATGAACGTAGGTGTTGGGGGACAGAATGGTTGGTTCCTGGATGGGGCAGATGGAAAGCCATGGGTTGATGGAAGTGCATCTGCAAAGCTTGATTTCTGGAAAGCTCAGAACCAATGGCTTCCTACGTGGGAGAAGAGTGGACAAATGATTGTCGACTCAGTGCAGATGTGGCAACAGTGCGATTGAACTTAGCTTGACAGAGACATGGCAGAAATAAGTAACAATCGGAGTAATTCGGGATAGGAAATGTACCCTGGCGGATTTCCTTGGACTTTAGGAGCTTAATGAGAGTATGGTACATATTATTAGATCGGATCAACATAGCAACACCGTTTATTTCAATATATAGAGTATGAGATTTTGATTCACCATGCGCACTCACCTAATAGGCTAATAGAGTGCTAAGTAAACAAGCTCCACCATGCTGTCAGCCTGCATCGGAGCTAAAACGTAGCTTAAATATTGAATGCAGCTCCAACCAACAATCAGTCATCCTTGGCAAGGAAAGTCCCTCCCGTGTACACTTACGCGAGATTGAAATGCACATTGAAATATTGCATTCATGAAATCCCACCAGAAAGCGTCCACATCAACTCGTTTAGAAAGACGACATTGCTTTGAAAAATCACAGCACTTGCTTTTCCAACCGTTAGAGTAGTGTGTTATATTACAGAAAGCCACAGGAACACTGCAGACTAACTTCCGGAACACTCCCCCGTCTGAATTATTTCCAACCTACTACCCCATCTACATACAACAATATTCCGCTTTCGAAAGCTTGCATCTAATTTGCATCACTCAGGGACCACGACTTCATATGACCAAGGGTATACGTCGTATGTTCTTATCTTGTCATCATAGATTAATCGTCGTAAATTAGACAACCTCAATATCATGATCACATGTCAATTTATGCACTTGCTTCGTTTAAGATTTGTTGAGACCTCGTTCAGGCAGGTTTATCTTCAAGGCAATAAATACCCTAGATAGACGACATCCCTTTCTTATCATCAACGCATATTGTACTATATGTACCACGTCTGTATAATATTGTATTGTACACCTCGAATATTAATCATCCCAAATTCCTCCACTTCGATTCTTTACAAGGGCAAAGGTATCGAAATGTTATTTTCTGCATGTCAGAGCAAAATAGACTCAACAGGGGTTTTGTATGGATTGTTTTTAAAGCCCTTGTAGAACATCATCACACATCCCGCTTTATGTGGGCCATAAATGTGTGGATCACTACAAGCAAGCTGATAGTACGAGTGGCTGGATAGATAATCGTATTCCCCTCTATGTCGCTGGCATCCGAGATCGCGCATCGCACAACCAACTTTCGCAAAATGTCGCTCAACCTTGTTACCTAGGTACCACATAGAAGAATCGATTTCATGTTCAGCTGTACTTCGAAACGGTGTTGTGTCCAGATTCAGCCTTCTAGGTGGATTTAGTAGGACTACAGTACTGTTATCCATTTATCTAAACGGATAGAACCGAATATGACAGGGCAAGATATGGCTGCCACGTTGGATTTTACCATTTTTTGTTTTTCATTCTGGATTCCTCTTTTAAGGTTAATGGCGATAAGCTTCCAGATCAAGCATCTGCTGGGTCCATTTTGAGCGTATCATTTCCTAACTTGGGAAACCTTCCGACGGATGTAACCCTAATTTTGGAAAGCAACCCCCAAGCTAAACGACAATTAGCACCGTCTACTACCATCCAAATGCCGTCGGCCTGTCAGAATACCCTTATTTGTTGCAATATGCATTTCCAGAAATTGGGAGTCCGTGATGGATGCGACTACATCAGTGTTATCCTGATAAGCAACCCTGATTGATCATGTCTACCCTTGTTGTGAAGGTGCAACTTCAATATCTTCGTGCAGCCCAAATTCTCCTCGTTCATGTACGACAACTCTATATGCCAACAGCGCATTGGCTTACCTCTTTCTCGAGTCCCAACAGAAGCGACGTCCAGGGACAAAAAGCATGAGTTTATTTCTTCTTATCGGCATTTAGAGTTGCATATCCCCCTGTCTGATCCGAACTAGATCATCATCAAGCGATAGATCTTCTCATGGATAATTTCAAGAAGTTGACGAACCTCAACTCAAAACTTTGACACGCTTTCGAAGATTGGCCGGCCCGATATTGTATGCATCTCTTTGGGGGTCTGGGTGTGGTCTGCGAAAAAAAGTGGAAATTTTGAGAGAAATGTTCAAGGATAATACGTTTTCGGTGGACGGTATTCAAGAGTATCCAAGTATACTTTTGAGGTTATTGATTGGACTAGGGTCAAAACCCACGTTCGTGCTTTTCACCATCTTTGCGCTCGATCCTAGACGCTCTTCTGTAAGTGGTGCATCGATCAACGCCATGGGACCTTCCCGTTACGCCTGGAGGGTAGCTCTGTGTCTATTCTGAGCTGGCATACGAAAATGGTAGGCTGTCGGTGTCGCCTTCTTGTGATATCTATATTATGTGTTTGTCTTCGTTCATGTGTCTACCCGTTCCCTCTGCTTTCATTGTCGTGCAAACCACTTTCGTTACTTGAGCCATCTTACTTCACGCTCTCTTCATTATGGGTGTTCTTAGCTATTTCAAGATTTCAAAGTCTGAAAAGAAGTCTGAATCAAGCAAAGAGAAAGCTCCAGCTGCGCAAACTTCTGTCGTTGGCAATGATTCCCCTCAACATGGCTCGGAACCCTCACCTACGGGCTCGAGTAGGCAAAGTGTGATCAGCAACAATCGTTTAGATGATATCAGACATCAAGTTATTCTCAACTATCTTTGGCAGAAGCAAAGAGGTCTGATGTGGATTATGGATAATTCAGGACAACACGAGGGTGTTATGGTGCGCAAAGATAGAACAGAATATCTCTGTCGTCCTCCATCCCTATCCAGCTCCACCTTTGGCAGAGCGATGAAGATCATGAACGTTTCGGTCAGTGCTACTATTTAACCTTAATTTTAACCTTAGAACGAACAAATAACGCTAATGTGGGGTATAGGCTGCTATGACCATCAACTCCCCCGTCGTTGAACCATTTCTCACCAGATCGCCTGACGCTCTTGATGTTCCTCTTACAAACGGCCTTCGAATTCAAATTTTACCAACTCTTGACGATCTTCCTCGTGCTCGCAGAGCTCAGTATGCTGCCTTCATTGCTAGAGAAGCCCTCCTCGTCGTCTGGGAAGATGATCCAACACTCCTTTTCGACAGAGCGAAAGCAATCGAGGACGGTCTACTCCAAACTATTTGGAGTGCGACTGATCATGAAAAGAGTGAATCCGTACCTCGAGTTCAGATCAGCGAGGTTGATGAAGAGACAGGGCAGCGTGTTTTTGAAGAAAGGCCGATCATGTACCTCAACTCTTTCATGGTCTCGTGCTCAATTTGTCTTTTGATTTGCATTATGGGCTTGGGATACGCCGAACTTGCTTTAGAGGTCGTTGTCTTGAAGCATTGGATATCTCTTTGCTACCTGATTATGACTCCGATATACTGCTTCTTCACATTGGTATGTTAAACGCAATATTATAGACTCTCTCTAGCTCCACTAACACTACACAGTTCTTCACAAACGTCGTGATTGGTGTCCTCATGCAATGTTTTGGTCCAGTCCAGCAACTCAACAGGAACACCAAGTTCTTCTCTGCGACAGCACCACCTCGTCTTCTGACCTCCACCTTACCACATGTCACTATTCAGTGTCCTGTATATAAAGAAGGACTATCTGCCGTCATTGCTCCAACAATCTCCTCGATTAAGAAAGCAATTTCTACCTACGAATTACAAGGAGGATCCGCAAATATCTTCATTAATGACGACGGTCTCCAACTTCTTGATGAATCCTCTCGACAACAAAGAATTGACTTCTACGCTGATCATGGCATCGGTTGGACCGCCCGTCCTCCTCACGGTCAAAATGGTTATATGCGTAAAGGAAAGTTCAAGAAAGCTTCAAACATGAACTACGGACTCGCTTTGTCCAATGCTATCGAAGAGAAACTTCACGATATTGAGAGACCGATTACTTGGACTCAAGTTGATGAAGTTTCTGCCTTTGAAACTTGTCTATCGGATGTTCTCGATGAGAACCCTGAAGCATGGGCGGAAGGGAACATCAGAGTTGGTGATTACATTCTTCTTATCGATTCCGATACTCAGGTTCCCGAAGACTGCTTGCTTGATGCTGCTAGCGAAATGGAACAATCTCCAGACGTAGGTATCATTCAATTCTCTTCTGCCGTCATGCAAGTATCGCACAACTTTTTCGAGAACGGTATTACCTTCTTCACGAATCTCATCTACTCCGCCATTCGTTATGGTGTTGCGAATGGTGGTGTAGCTGCATTCGTGGGACACAATGCTATTCTCCGATGGTCTGCTATCCAGGAGATCGCTTTCGAGGATGAAGAAGGAGATGAACGATTCTGGTCCGAGTCTTGTGTCTCGGAAGACTTTGACATGGCTCTACGATTACAACTTAAGAGCTATACAATACGCATGGCTGCTTGGGCTGGAGAAGGATTCAAGGAAGGTGTATCTCTTACCGTCTATGATGAATTGACTCGCTGGCAAAAATATGGTAAGTTGAATCATCCTTTACGATTATGGCTCCTGCTAAACATCAAATAGCTTACGGCTGTAACGAACTTATGTTTAACCCCATCAGAACTTGGCTGTGGAAGTCTCCATTTACACCTCTCTTCCGCAAATTTCTCCGCTCCGGTATCGATATTGGTTCGAAAGTTCAGATTGTCGCTTATATCGGCACGTACTATGCATTGGGTAGTGCTTGGATTATCTGTGTTGCGAACTATGTATTCGTTGGTCTCTGGAACGGATACCTCGATCGAGCATATGTCGGTTCATGGCAAAATTGGCTCGCTATTACGGTGGTGTTTACTGGAGCAGGTAATATCGGTCTTGCAGTACAACGTCATCGTTCTGGTGAAAAGTCTTTCCTTCCTGCTAGTAAGTATTTCCATTCTCATCTTCTCCAACCGTTTCTCCGTCTATCTTACATACAGTTTTCTACTGCATTCAAACTAACATGCTCTTTCCCCAGTCCTCGAAAATATGAAATGGTGCTTCATGTTCATGATATTCTTCGGTGGTGTCTCCGTCCACATGTCCCAAGCACTTCTCTGCCACATGTTCGAGATTAATATGTCCTGGGGCGCTACATCAAAGGAAGTTGAATTCTCCAATTTCTTCTTGGAAGTGCCTAAGATTCTGAAGACCTTCAAATATACATACATGATGTGTCTCTTCGGCATCGTCGTAATGATCATCATGGCAGAAGCGCCGTTCCTACCGTGGAGTTACAACATCACCGAGTTCATTGCAATTTTTCCATTAGGGGTTATGTGCGCTAGTCATTTACTGTTACCGGTAGCTTTGAACCCGGAGATGATGACGTTCAGTTGGTAAAGGAGGAAATAGCTGTGAATGTGTTATGGGCTAATGATAGGATGGAAAATGGCACGTATATTGGAAACATGACACTCTTTAATGGTTTTCGTCGGAGTATATGGTAATCAGTATGATGCTCATGGTGGGAGGAACCGAAGTACACTTTAATGGTATAGACTGGGTGGAATTACAGTACATAAGTCTGGTACTTAAGATACCAATATGAATAACCTATGAATAGACGATTCTTCTCGAATATTGTTGATTTGAGTGTTGTTTGCCATAATTCTTTGTCATCAAACTGGGGTTCCACATGTATTCCACGTGCTTTTACGTGGAAATCGGGGAGGCACGAGAGTTGATGTCCCGGCCGTAAGAGCCACCCCCGAGTTTCCTCATCCTGTATTTTCTCGCTTTCCCATCAATAATCCTCTTACATGATCATTCCGAAGTCTACTTACTTGTAATACTTGATCCCATCGTGCGCGAAAAGGAAATCCCATTTCTTTCTTCTCTAGCTCTCAAGTGAGGCTTTGATAAAGATATGACCACACACTCACTTGTGTACTTGTGTGATGATAGTGATGCTTGCCTGGCTGAAAATCATTCGCGAGTATCAATACGAGCCGGTAACGGCATGGGATCAATGGGTGCAGTTATATGTATCGTAGCGGTGAATTTACCCGCTACATTTAAATATCTCTTTAAAATTGTTTCCTGACGAGATACATATACGAGGCTGTTCTTTGTGCTGTAGATTTTTCGGGAGCTGCAGTATGTTTCGTGTAGTTACGTTACTAATAAGGATAAGATATTTCGGGATCTTGAGGTAGGGGATTTGGTCACAGCTACGGGTGTACAACGAACGAGAAGAACTTCGGGTTCGTAGAAGGCTGAGGTTTATTACGCCGGTGGCAAACATTCTGATAAATGTGGTTACCCCTGGGAGTTTCGATACTTTTGAACTGCTTCCTAACTATTTTTTCAGAGTAGAATGTCTCACAGACGATAATAGATACCCGTGTGTGGATGGTAATCCGTGTACACGCTTTCGAAGTATCGATATTGATGTATTACTCCGCCGACGGGTATCTCGTCACATCGAATTTAGTCTCCAAATGGGTGTGGGATATTGAATTCCTCCTTAATATAATGAGATTGCATGGTTCTTCCATACTTCCGTTCTTCCTCTCTGTCGCCGGAATAAAGCTTTTAAATATATTCGTATAAGCGGATCCTACTTGATCAAAGTTGGCAATAGCACCAATTTCCCCGTCCTGTGTTTACTTGAATACGAAAGGGACTCGATCCAGGAAGACGGATATGTATCAATATTGCAATCCAGAGGATGGAAATCTTGAAAAGATATGCTATCACCTCGCTCCATCACATTTACTATAGGAACCCGTTCTTTTACCATTATGACAGCTACATGGTATCAGATCTTGGGGGTTCCAACGAAGTTAGCAAGAATAAGATCTCTCCTAAAATTAAAGCAGGTTTTTATGCAAACCGTTGGGAGCGTAGAATCAAAAGATTACTCCGGGTGGAATTTGACTAACCTCGAAAACAAACTACTAGGATGTTATGGGTTGCACAAATTTATTGATCGACTAGGAATGATAAGTTGCTGGGTTCTGGCGGAAAATGGCACTATCCCAGATTTGCTGGTACAGGTATGAAAATTCCAGTCGAGGGTTCGCAAGTCATCATCTATCTATTTATCACATTTTTTTCATGGTCATGGTCTGCCATAGAGGAAGAAGTTGACTTTTATCTTCTAACGTTTATGCAGTCTAAATTCCTTCTAATTTCCAAACTACTGCATGTGTGGATAGAAACTAGCAGTGTGTATTCTATGTGAAGCGTGAAAAGGGGTCCATCTCGGCTACATAAATACATGAGGAAGATGAGAGAGCACCGTACTTCCTCCGACAGAGATCTTATTGGCCAGGTAGTAGAGCCAAATCAAGAAGATTGAAAGAAACATTCGACCTTGCATGCCAGTTTGATAAATGTGAGACGACTACTTCAGTCTCATCAAGATCAATCCTCAAATATCCAACGACTATCAAAAGTCGTTTTTAGAACGCGACTTGCGTGCAACAAACCCCTCAAGATATCTCTCCCTTCAAGATTTATTTCCCCATAAGAAATCACAGTACCTCACGATCACTACTACTCCACTTGCTAATCCTGATCACAGGATGGATGCTAATTGTCTAAAGCTATTTGGGTAGTCGTCACTTGATCAAATAACCGTTGTGAAACCTCGAAGATGCTCTCGGCCGCGACGATATCCGACTTATTCTTGATGGCTTGATTCCCTGTCCAGCAATTCCTCGAGGGGTTTTAAAGCCACAGGAACCTCGCCTCGCCTCTGAGCTCTTTCTCGGTCGTGCTTTTCTCTGATAGCCCAATTAAAAATCTACGGACATCAGAGACCTTTCGAAGTCTGAAGGATATGTATCACCGGTTGGCGCCTACGAGTATCTAGTTCTTCGTTCTGGGTAACTTCTTTTGTACCTTGTTGTGTATAGCTTCATGACGAAAGATTGTTGATCAAGGTGGGCATTTGTTATATTGGTATCAGACCAGTCGTTCGTACTTGAGATGTTCTCCGTGAGTTCCCGAATTCATGTCACTGTAGAATAACCGTCATGATGTGCTTCTCGATGTGGAATCTCCCTCGAAAATATATGATTTATGTAGGTGATCTACTAAATGTAGACAGCTCAGTCTAAATACTGCTCAAATTACAGTAATTGCACACCAATTACCTTACCATATTTATTTCCTACCCAGCACTCGAATCCAAACATGTACTTGGCACGAATACTAATCTTCGTAGCTTCAAAGTCATCGAACGAAAGTGCAACGAAGTGCCATTGCTATCTCTTGGCGAACAAATTCTCTGAGGCTAGCGAGCACATCCCGACTTCCGTAGAAAGGTCAGATAAAAAAAACCGTGGGGAGCCTTTGCTGTTTTTTGGCGGAATTATCTCTTCGATATTTCAAGAGAAAAAAGGCTTCATACCATCTTCATGCTACTACTCCACCATTAGAACCGAGTTATCTATTTTCATATTCTTGAGGTGTGTGATTTAGCATCGGTGGTAGGCTTTGCCACTTTAAAGATTTGGGTATTGATGGACCTACTACTACTAGGAGCGGGATTGAGAAGCTCTTTCCTGTTTATAAAGAGGGTCGAAATAATGCATCGATGATACGATACCATCTGGACTTCAATCACAAGTTTATACCCCTCTTAAGATTTGTATCTTATGTAGACAAGATATATCCTAGCATATCTTCCACACAATCCGCATCCTACTAGTTACGCCTATGGGCCACAATTATCTATTTTCTTAGAATACACACCGAAATTTTTACAGTCATGTCATCGCAGATCTTCCCCTGCTATACTTTCGGGAGACTAGTTAAGATGCCGTTTTATACTGCATGTGCGATGTATGTTACCGGTAGCGAGGTCATCTACGACTTGGACATTCGATATTAACATGTTCCTTTCGCACTCCGGATTCCAAACCTTTCTATAGCTTTTTCGCACTGCATCCAGAGCCTTTTGCACTCCACAGCCTTATCATCGACGCGTGAATAGGATTCGAACTTTAAGAGATGTTGATCGTCAGATCATGGTAGATGGTAGAAAAGTGGCGGTATTTTCTTGCGCTTATAGTTAATTTTTCTGCTGAGTCTTTGTAGTGTCCATTATGATAAAAGCTCTGGCATTTTTTTGGCTGTGGTAATTGGCAATCGGACTTGGTGATTCAAAGATTGAGGGTAGAGGTATGTTGATAATTATAATTTCTGAAGGAGAGTATGATAGTTAGAATAGTCTGAGAATAATCAAGATTATGTTTTCCAAAGCTCAGTTTGTGTCTGTCAATGCTGGAGGTGTGAAATCATCATTGTCAGAATGAGAACAGGAGAAGTCCTTTTTAATGATGATAGAGATAAAAACTTACTAGACTTGTGAACACAATTTGGGAAATCTTTATATGGAAACCTGTTTAGTATCTTGATTGTTTTCGAAGTTTATGAGTAGAAAAAACAGGGGAAGCCCAAGATCACGGAAAATGAACCAATCGGATTCCACAACGATCCCAATGTAGATGTTTATCCGAGATATTGACTCAAAGAACTCTGTCTATGACCTGAAAGTGGAGGTTTGTTTAGGACTTTCATTCTTCAGACTCATTTGGCTAATTCCCTGATATAAGAAACAAAGTATGAGTTATTAGACAGAAATAATATCTGTAAGCCTTGAAGACTCATATACCCTCTGTCAATGCTGTTAATGACTCAATACTGGAGGTTTGAGTTCACAATTGTCAGGACACAAACGAGGAGAAACAGATAGTGAATAATTTCATTATAGTTGTTAGAATATCACTAAGATCATAATAGGTATAACAGTAGTAATATTGTATATGTATATCCTTAGAGGTATTCTAATGATATTGAATATATATATAAATATATGAAACACTTGTATATAGACGAAAATAAAAACGTACTATATATTTTGAACTAGTCTGCCAAATTTCTATGTAGATTCCTAGCTATCTTCTTTGTGGATTGTTAATTTCAAGTAACTGACAGAGCTCGTAAACCACTATCTGCTTGTACACCAAATTCAATCCAAGGCTTAGCATTTGAAACTTTCTCCTTTAACTAGCTGTTGTAAGCTTAGTTGTTCCTTTCTTACAGATTTGTGCAACTGCTAACTATCCTGCAAAAGCTCCAGGACCCTTTGTAGTGACTTCTACTCGAGTACTGGCCAAGCATTTGCCCTTTTAAGCCCATCTTGAGATTTAACAAGACCACTTCACTTCTGTAGCCACCATTTCAGGAATACCGTGGAATCAACCAATACCTCACACCACACACAATTCCGTCCCCTTTCTCGAATCAAAAACCTCCAACATGAGCAATCAGAACCCACCCATCGACATTGAAAGTGTCAACCAACTCAATCTCCCCGAACCCCCCACCATAAAGTTTGAGTACCAGAAAGACCACATGTTTCGAGGACTCAAGCTTGTGAAGGGACACACCGTAGCCATGCGGACATCCTGGAAGGATGACGAGAGAAGCGTATACGACGAGGGACACAATGGACAAATGATTGGGGACTGGTGGCCATGGCTCATCTGCGCTTTGCGAGACCGGGCACACGGATCCATCAATGCTGGGATCTGTGGTAAGAAGGGTGTCGGCGCTGTCTCTATCTATATGGGTAGTGCTTCGAAGAAGGGCTATATATATGACAATATCGATAATGGTAATGTAAGTCATCTAGATCCCCATGATACTACATATAAACAAGTCACTAATGGAACTATATATAGACAATTGAGTATTGTGGCTCTGAAGCGGGTACACCATTGATGGATTTGAGCTTTGAGAAAGGCACGTTGATTAGGGTTCTGCGTGCAGCCAACGACAAGTCGGATTGGGCACCATCTATTGGTTACAGATATGATGGTCTCTATAAGATCGTCAGTAAGGAACTCATTCAAGTGCCAGAGAAGGATAAGGAGCTCTATCGGTATAAAATGGTACGGGATAAGAATCAGAAGCCTCTCCGAGCGCACGCCCGCCCAACTATTGAGGAGACAGATGAATTTGAGGCAAAGAGAGCTTGGCTTGGTGGTGCTTCTAAAAAGTAATTTCGGGTGTTTGTACATAGATCATTGTAGAGGATTATCAAGATTTCATGAGGTTTGCTCTCCTAACTTGCTGTTCTCCTTCATTCATCAGTCTTGTAGGGCCGAGGATTCCCCGGTAAACGAGATAATCATGACTAGATAGGGATGAGTTGTTGTCCAGCATATGTTTGTGAAGTACTTTTACTATTAATATACTGTTTGAATATTTCCTGTTGTCTTGTCGGATTCTATTAGTCATTAGTTGTTGTACTGCTTGTCTAACATTGAAACACCAAAATCTATTATCGTATTCGGTGTTTGCAGTATTCTGAGTGTCATCACGATGCCAGAGTCTTCTTTCATATATCATCGGATACAGATTCTTTGCTGTATGTGAATTTTATCAAAATGTTTAATTGCTCTACAAGATATCATCGCATTCGGCCTCGGAACTACTCCTGATATCATCACACTATTTAAATCTACATTGATATGATATCTGATATTTGCTATTCACCACATTTGGCGTCATCAAGACAGTTTGTCTCTTTGAAGTATGTTGTCGGAATTTATTTTGAGAAATATCACTAATATGATGAAGTTTTTCGAATATTCATCTGTCTTTCGTCGGATCTGTCAAAATAACAACTTTCAATATACTACCATTCTATCTAATATATTGTGATCTATATTGTCTGACTATGACATATAGTAGGTTTGATACAATTAAGACTGTTCGTGTTCTTCTAACGTGGTTTATCAGTACGTGGATCATATCAGTACGTGGATCACTTTTACCTCAATTTATAACTTTCAACTTCAACACGCGATTTATCAACAATCTACGATGCAATCGAACAATAAAGAAGGTCGAATACTTTTAGCTATTGAAGCTATTCAAAAAGACAAAAAATTAAGCTATCGAAAAGCTTCTAAGCTATACAATATACCATATACAACGCTTATCCACAGAATGAACGGTTCTATCTCTTGTACAGAATATCGATCAAAAAATCATAATATTACAAAAATGGAAGAGGAAGTGCTTATTCAATATATTATTGATATGGATAATCGAGGGTTTGCACCTAAATTAAGTGGTATGGAAGATATGGCGAATTATATTCTTGAATCAAGAGGTGCGAAAAAGGTTGGAAAACTCTGGGCTTATTGATTCGTAAAGCGTTATATGGAATTAAAGATGCGTTTCAATCGTGTTTATGATTTTCAAAGAGCTCTTTGCGAAGATCCCAAGCTTATTGAAGAGTGGTTTCGATTAGTATCGAATATGTGGGCCAAATATGGTATTCAGGATTGCGATTTTTACAATTTCAACGAAACCAGTTTTATGATGGGTGTAATATGCTCTGGAATGGTTGTAACTGATGCTGAATGGTGTGGCAGAAGCAAAGCAATACAGCTAGGTAATCGAGAATGGGTTACAGCGATTATATGTGGTAATGGAGAAGGTGAAACTATACCTCCATTTTTAGTAGTGCAAGGACAATATCACCTTTCTAATTGGTATACTGAAACCGATCTGCCAGCAAATTGGGTTATTAAACCTACTAGCAATGGATGGACGAATAATGAGATAGGTTTAGAATGGATAAAGCATTTCGATAAACATACAATCTATCGAAGAACGGGCAAATATCGAATGCTAGTATTGGATGGGCATGAAAGCCACGAATCGATATCTTTTCAATCATACTGTACGGAAAATGATATTATATACCTCAAATTACCACCGCATTCAAATCATTTAATTCAGCCATTGGATATTGGATGCTTTAGTGTATTGAAACAATCATATGGTTCTCAGATTGAAGGATTTATTAAAGCTCATATCAATCATATCTCAAAGGTTGAATTCTTTATAGCTTTCAAAGCTGCATATCAACAATCGATTACAATTCAGAATATGAAAGCTGGCTTTCAAGGAGCAGGACTAATACCATTTGACCCTCAAGCCGTGCTCTCGAAATTAGATATTCGAATTCATACGCCTAGCCCTTTATCCATTCCCTCGGAACCTGTCGATTCTTGGGTCTCTCAAACACCTCACAATCCAACTGAAGCTTTTTCACAATCGACTTTAGTCAAATCTCGAATATATCGTTATCAATCAAGCTCTTCTACATCTATATTCGAAACTGTACTAGTTTTAGCTAAAGGCACAGAGAGATTAGCACATAAGAATACACTTTTAAATGCAGAAATCTGTACACTTCGAAAGGCAAATGAGGCATTAAACAAACATTGACATGCAAAAAAGACTCAATTACGTCAAGGAGGAGTACTTACTGGATAAGAGGCTATAGATATATTATCTCAGCAAAAGATTGATATTCAGATTCTATGTGATGAGCATCAAAATGGAACGAATTCTAATAAGGAAGCATCTTCTAGTAGATGCTGTAGTAAATGTGGAAAACCAGGTCATAATTCAAGAACTTGTTCTAGTAATGTAATAGATCCTAGATTATTAGATTTCTAATAGTTTCAATCAATTGATTCAATTGTTGTTGAATAATATGGTTTTGAAGTTGTAAATTGAGGTAAAAGTGATCCACGTACTGATAAACCACGTTATATATTTTCAATTTCAGTCCCTTGTCCTCAAAACAATAGCGAGTCTTTTACCCAGATTTACTACCAAAGAGTAGAAACAATTAAAAGATATGCGATACTGACCTTATTACTGATCTGTTGAATATTAAATTCATGGGTAGAAAATCAAAAGAAAAGCAGGCTCGAAAATAATTAGATATATTACATATTGCAACCACCTCAAGATCTAACGCCACTCAAATTAGCCATTTCAAATGTATCCCCTGATCCCTCTCGCTAATTGTGAACACCAACTCCCTCCTTTTTTTCCTTTTTTTTTTCCTTTTTTACTCACTTATCCACAGACTTGCATCATTCAGGCTCGGGTCAAAGCATCCTCTCGACTTAACTAACTCCATTCTATCCTAATCAGCTTTCTCAAAACCGAACGGATCAATTCATCTCGAATATTACACCGGAAAGATAGAAACGTTTCCGAAATTTGCCTTTAGGCTAAATGCTAATGTTGGGATTTGGATTCAGCCTCAGAGCGGACACTCGTCTCCGAAAGGAGTTCTGGTGCCATTGGCATTTTTACTGCAAGCACAAGTGTAAGCAAGTGTAAGGTATACGAAACGTTGATGTGGAAGGTAAATGGGATGGTTTCTTAAGATTAAAATTCGAAATGGTATGTGATGGGTATTGGTGGGGTTACATTTTCGTAGAAGATAACCCTCAAGATGAAGATGCATCGTTGCACATACAATCAATGAAGTGACAAATGGAACCCAAAACAGAAGTTCTTGTTCTTGGATCAATAATCATTCAATCTTCTCTACCAGTACTCTGGATCCATCCAAGCTTTTCCACGGGTTCTTCTCATTTTAATATTTGAGTACCTAGGATTTACCCCACCACCAGACCCACCCCCACCATCCCACCATTCAGTGAATCCCGCTCCCCAAAAGGAAGGCACACTTCTTCACAAAACAACCCCTTTCTCTTCAAGAATTCTCTGATCTTTTCAATCTGAACTTCTCCAAAGATTGATATCTCAAAACTCTGAAATACACAAAACATACCGGTATTCATCATGGCCTCCCCAACCCTCAAACTCAACTCCGGTTATGAAATGCCACAAGTTGGTTTCGGCTTATGGAAAGTCGACAATGCCACTTGCGCCGATACAGTTTACAATGCCATCAAAACCGGATATCGACTATTTGACGGGGCATGCGGTATTTAAACTGCTCATTTCTCTCCCCAAACCCATCAAATCAAATCAAACTAAACCAAACCAAACCACTAACCTTTCCATCCCCCTCCAGACTACGGCAACGAAGTCGAAGCCGGCCAAGGAGTCGCCCGAGCCATCAAAGAAGGCCTCGTAAAACGCAGCGACCTATTCCTCGTCTCCAAGCTCTGGAATTCCTTCCACGACGCCGACCGCGTCGGGCCCATCGCCCGCAAACAGCTTGCCGATTGGGGCATTGATTATTTCGACCTCTACATTGTGCATTTCCCCGTTGCATTACGCTATGTGGATCCATCCGTTCGGTATCCGCCCGGATGGGAATACAGTGGTAAAGAAGGCGATGTGCAGCAGAGCACAGCTAGTATTCAAGAGACGTGGCAGGCGATGGAGAAGCTGGTTGATGAGGGGTTGGCTAGGAGTATTGGAGTCAGCAATTTTCAGGGCGCGTTGTTGATGGATTTATTGCGCTACGCAAGGGTTAGACCGGCGACGTTGCAAATTGAACATCATCCGTATTTGGTGCAGAGCACTTTGTTGAAGTTGGCGGAGAGTGAGGGGGTTAAGGTTACTGCCTAGTGAGTTTTCCAATTCTTGGAGTGCTGATGCAGATGCATTGAAAATTCTTCTGCATGCTATATACAGTATACTAATTTAAACATCTAGTTCATCATTCGGACCTCAATCATTCATCGAGCTGGGATGGGACCACGCTCAAAAGACCCCTCCTCTCTTCGAGCACCCTGATGTCGTGAAGATTGCCGAGAAGACCAAGAAGACACCCGCTCAAGTTTTGTTACGGTACATTTTCTCCTCTTTCCCCTGTACTCTCTTTCCCATTGCTCGTACCGCAATACTAACTCCTCACCAGATGGGCAACTCAACGTGGCCTCGCCGTTATCCCCAAATCCAACAACCAATCCCGTCTGGAACAAAATCTACACGTCACCGATTTCGATTTGGAGAAGGAAGATCTAGATTCCATTTCCAAATTGGACCGAAATCTGAGGTTTAACAATCCTACTGATGTGAGTTTCACCTGTATTTAGCTTCCTCCTCGAAATTTGGGTGGAAGCATTTTGGCGAATACCCCTTTTACTAACATTCACCCTTCAGTATCTCGGAACATTACACATTTTCGCATAAGAATGATTAAGATTCATGAGAAGTTTTGCTGCGTTTTCAATTCAATTCATTGTCTGCAACTATGTAGAGATATACAACGTAGACAAGAAATCATACTATCCGTACACTTCTAACATCCACTTTGCAATGCAACAATGATAATTGCCCATGTAAATGCTGTCTGTGATATCAATGAAACCCCATCAATTCCCACCTAAGAACTCCATCGCCATGCTATGATATCTTCATGCTTGTGTGTGCATGTTTATCCTTCTGACCACTTTCCATTTACACACGCCCAACCCCCCTCGCTGTAATAAAACGTATTCTATGAAACCCTAACAAAAGCTGTCGTCTTGTTAGTACCTACACCATAGTCATGGCACGAAAGAAGAAAAAACTCACTAGCATCGATCTGCATAACCTGTGGCAGCGTCAAGCGCACCTTATTCCTATACAACGCTGGCCCCCTCAACTGCAATGGATTCCCCTCAAAATAAACGGTATTCAGCTTCTCCTTATCTCTCAGATATTCCTCTACATCATTAAAATCCCCAATCTGATTATAACTAGCCCAGACTTCTTCCAGCTCCTTTAATCCCTTGATTCCGGCCAGAGACGATACTTGATTATTCGAAATATCCAGAACGCGCAGTTGAGAACAGGATTCCAGGCCAGAAAGCGTGGTCAGCGCATTGTGTGAAATGTATAGTTCTTCTAGGGAAGCAAGTTTGTCGAGCCCGGTGATCTCGCGAATCCGATTGCTTTGTATACTCAGGATCTTGAGATTCTGCAGCGCGTCTAAGTTTTTAATCTCGACGATTTTGTTCTTGCCGAGCCAGAGTTCTTCGAGGGATACTAAGGTGTGCAGACCCTGGATCTCGCGGATTCGATTCGCGGCCAGTTCTAGGTTGCGGAGTTTGGAGAGTCCGTCGAGGTTCTCAATGAGGGTTAGTTTGTTCTGTACGAAGTAGAGGTCGGTGAGGGAAATGAGGTGCGAGATTTTCTTGATGTGTTTTAGTTTGTTGAAGGAGAGGTCGAGGGAGGTGAGGTGCGTGAGCTCTTCGAGGCCGCGGATGTGCGCGATTAGGTTGTCGTATAGATCGAGGTCGGTGAGGGTAAGGGAGAGGCGAGAGAGGTCTTCGATGGTGGTGATGGTGTTTTGTCGGAGACAGAGTCGTTGGATTTGGGGGAAGCGGGAGAGGCGCAGAGAGGGGATGGATGAAATACGTGCGTGAACTAGGTCTATTTCTTCCGTGTCGAGGGGGTAGTCGTCGAGGAGATCTGGGGTACGGAGCAGGCGTTAGTATGTAGATATAGATATAGACAGGTGCCTGTCATCTGGAATAGAACATGGGCAATGTACCTTCATCGGCATCTATTACCTCCCCCGGATGAACATTCTCCTCATCCGAATACTCGGGATCAGAAATTGCCTCCGGATTGGCAAGTTCTAACTTCTTGCCCTTCTCCTTCTCTACACGTAATTTTCCATCCCATCCACTGCTGCTAAGGGGTGTAGTGGATTCTTGCGCATCATGTCCTTCGGCGTCGTCTCGATTGATGGAGATATGTGAGAAACTGGCCAGAGCTTTATCTTCTTCTTCGGCAGACATTGCGATGCTTTGGATGTTGACGCGATGTTAATATGTGATGTGGTCTGCTTAAATAGGGTTGAGTGGTGTTTCGATAGAGGGGTGTTTGTTTGTTGACGTTGTTGACCGCGAGTGGACTGACACTGGAAATTTGATCTAGGTGATGGGAATTGGCTTTGGGAACTACAACTTTATTATATAGCTATTATTTATAAGGATTCGTTATATTGTACATGTTTATATTTCAATAAGAAGAAGAAGCTGAATTTCAAACTTTTAAGATTAAAAAAACAAAAGTCTTTAATATTTAATTTTGTATCTAATTTCAAAGATATATTTAATCCAATTCACATTCCGAGTTCATTCACTTTTTTCCCTTTGTTTTGGCAGTCGCATAATGATAATGGTGGGGCAAATGCGAGGGGTTTTGAAAGTGTGGCTCGTGGCTTGTGGCGTGTGGTTAATGGTGATGTGTGGCTGATAAATAAGTCAAGTTGGAAATTCATTATATATTATATTGCAAGAAAAAGAGCAACAACAGCGATAATGCAAATGAAGGACTTTATTAGTTCACAAGAGGCTTGGTAGCTCAAAGGAAAACACTGAATGAAACATCGAATCAGCATGTTTCGAACAGCTCGATTCTCTGTTCAACAGGCACAATGCATTTTGTTGCGAAGACCTCAATATGGATATGGACAATATCAACGCCGCTCGTTTTTTGAACTGCCCATGTTCCTGGTTCCACCTTTGTATTTTTTGGGATTGGGGGTTGGGATGTGGACTTGTGAGTATAGGGTTTTTGTGTTCTTTTCTGTTTCTTTTAAAAGTTCGATCAATGATTCTGGGTCATTTGAGAGGAGCACTGAAAGTTCGGTACTCCCTATCCAGATTGTTGGCTCTCTTCAGAAGACAAAATTGTTATTCGGCTGGGGAGTTTTATACTTTCTTGGGCTGATTACAAGGAGCCTTGCAATGAGTGTTGTGTTATGGCCTTTATAATGCCGTTGTACCAAAGTGATTCTTATGCTGAGTCGAGGTAGGGAAATGCTTTATGATGGTTACATTTCAAAATAAAATCATTTATATGGTAAGTACTCTTGCATTATTTCATACATATCTCATACTATAGAAATAGCCTGGACTTCCCCCAAATTCTCATCAAGAAACTATCGCCAATTATCAAAAGGAATGCCTGTGTATAAAATGGAGAGAAGAGAGGACAAAGTCTACAGATGGCACTGCTATCAGTCTATGTGTTGCAGAAGTATCTAGTGCTGCAAAGATTGAAGAAAGACGAAGAATAGTTTATGTGTTATATTTCCAAGGTTATTATCTTCTTCTTCTTACATACAATCATGAGTATTCACACAAGTGCAGGAAATGCATCATCTTTACCACCAAGACTTCCATTTATATCCTTTGTCCCATGGAAATTGGAAAAGCTACCATCTATTCCTCATGGACCTGTGCAATATGTATTTGTGTGCTGCAGCTACAGAGGATATTGGACATCTCGAGGAAGACCATCCGAAAAAGGAATCATGCGAGATGCAGAGGCTACAATGCGATGGGTTAAGAAAGATGTTGAGTCACGATCAGACTCAGATGGATGCGAAATTATTCTTTGGGGTCAAAGTCTTGGGGCGGGGGTTGCCGCGGGTTTGGCAGCGAAAGATGGAATATTCTCGAATGAGCTGCGTTTGCGGAAATTGATTTTGGAGACACCGTTTCTGGGCATGTAAGTGTATTAATAATATTCCTATTCTTTGATTTACTTGATGTTGATCGGGCAATACAGTAAAGCGATGCTGGAGACACTCTATCCGCAAAAATGGCTTCCATATCGATACCTTCATCCATTCCTCAGAAACCACCTTGATAGCTGGAAAGCTCTAGGCGATTTACATGAACGCACTGAGAGAACCGGATTGAAAGCACCGTATATTCATATTCTGCAGGCTGGCAAAGACGAATTGGTGCCAGAAACTCAAGGGCGAATGCTAGAGAAGAGATGTTTGGATCTTGGGTTGGGGGTGAGGAGAGAAGTTATTCAGAGCGCGTTGCATAATGAGGTTCTGGTTCGTGGGGGTGGAAGTACAATTATTGCGGAGGCGGTACGGGATGTTGGTTTAGATCAATATCAAGTAGAAAGGAGTAGTTTGGTATACCTACATTAGTACATTGATAAAACTAATGTAGTGGAACTAACCGAGAACCGGGAGGTAACAGTATAGCACAGCATGATTGCCAATCTAATATATCGCAATATACATATCACAACATACATATACTGTACTCAAGTAATTCATCTCGACTTTAAAATAGGCAGTCCTTTGAATAACTTGCATTATATATACTAGTAGTATGTATTCCTGTTCAGTTCATTCCCCTATCTCTCATCCTTCTATCCTTCTATTTCTTATTCCCCTATATTTTATTTTCACAAGTTTTCATATATTTTTATACAGGCAATCAATTCCGAACAATCGGACCACACCAATTACTGTGTACCAAGCCAACTCTATGCAACGCTAATACTTTACTGCTGTTCCTTGCATTAATTTTTCCTAGGCTTTCAACATTTTCTTCGTTTATCAATTCATTCATTATACACATTTCCCACTACTCAGTACAAGTAATAATTCTCCACTTCGACTTCGACAAAGTGTGAGAATGCATACAGATCAATTGGTATTATATATAGCGGTATATTAACACCCATCTCTCACAACACAATACATCAACATTTCAAAGCAGCCCTGTTTTTCTTTTTCTTTTTACAGCCAACTTTTCAGGGTGGTATCTTATACCTTGTCGTGTTTGCAATGAGTGGTCCGGGGAAACAAGGATAGAATCGATATCTCGTGCATTTGGATTAGGTAGAATGCTGCTTTATTTAAGCTTCAGTATTACATTGAGTAGATATTCTGTTTTAGGGCTCATATTTAGTGATTGAAGCCCAAATTGTTGCCTGGATGACTTTGTTTGCATCGATGGGAGTCATTAGATGGCGAGATGGTGAGATGGCGTTTTATTGGATACCTAATGGGAGGTCTGTTATCCTTGCTTCCCCTTCCCAAACCTTGTCTCACATATTTGCTACCACACCGAAAATTTGCTTGGGCTTCTCATGCAGCTTCCCTGACCACATACATGCTGGGTGTGCCAAAAGAAACGAGGCAATAATTAAGGCCATTGGGTTGATAGTCACCTGGTTTGGTGTTAAATTCGTACTCTATGCAAGCACATTGATCCTTGCTAATCGCGTCTCCCAGCTTTAGGGCGCGTCAGCCCACTTCTTGCCTGCTGAATACATATATATATATAATGACCACCCACTTCTCTCGAATACCATTCTTCTTTCATTTAATGAGGCTCAATTGATTCTTCGAAGTCGAAACTTTCGTCGATATCTCCAACATTCATTTCGTGATTGCGTGGTGAAAGAAAAGTGTTGTTATTTTTGTTCGAAATTTTCTACAGCGGCTGATTGAAGATGTTTACGAGAAGCTTGAATAAATCACAAACAGAGAGTGTATCGAGAAGTCGTCGTCATAAAGGAAAGTCTTCATTCAGAGATCATGCCGTGTCCAAGCATCGCCATGAGCGAACTGCTCGTAAACCTCCGACCGAAGAAATTTCTTCCCCAAAGTATGTTTATCGAACACTTTACCTCCACATATCACGATGACTAACTCTTGTCCTCAGCACATTAACATCCTCCATCATCACAATCGTCGTCGGTCGTGAACGACGATTATTTGCCGCACACGAAGATGTACTCTGCCTATCTCCATTCTTTCAATCGGCTTGTCGAAATCAATACATGGAGACAACCAATAAACGCATCTCTCTCCCAGACGAAGAACCCGAGATCTTCTCATCCGTTCTCGAATATTTATACAAGGGAGATTATTACCCTCGACTCCTGCACAACAAGCGAAAAAACACCTGGGAGTTAGAAAATAGCGGTGAAGGAGATGGAAAGGGATCAACCATCCATCAACATTCTGCAGATGGTGAGTTATTGAAAGACACGGTGATTTATTGCACAGCGGAGAAATACGGGCTAGAGGAACTCAAACGTGTGGCATTGAGGAAACAGGGTCTTCGTACGTGTTCCGTCCCCTTGATTCTCCTCCTACCATCACTAACAGGATTCAAAGAATCCGGTATTCAATGCAACACTATTCTCTCATCAGCACGCTACGCTTATGCCAATACACCCGATACAGATTCAAAATTGAGAGCTCATTATCTGGCGCTCATTATTAGAAGTCGAGACACGTTTAAACGAAGTGGGACAATGCAGTTGGAGATGATGCAGGGGGGATCACCGTTGTTTTTTGATTTGTTTGTGGCGTTGGCTAATCATATTGATGATGTTGTTGCGTGAGTATATTTTCCTTTTTGTTTTGTATTCTACTGTGTTGTACTGTGCTGTGTTGTATGTTGAGGGGTTGTACTAATGGTGAGGATAGGGCTTCTCCAAGGAATGTCAGAACACATTGATTGAATGGGTGGATGGATGACCCTACTCTCATCTCAACTGAACTCAACTCAACTCAACACCTCATGAGTTCCTTTCCTTACGAATTTCACTTGACGACATGATACTTCATCTTCTTTCACGACTGTTTCTTTCACCACATCTTCTCATCAACTTCACTTCAACTCTCAACATTCCCTCAACTACTTTGCCCCTTTTCATCTTTCTACTTTCCATTTTAGCCTTCACACACCTTACTTTAACTCAACACCGAACTCAAATCTGAACTCAAACTCAAGCATATGAACACACACCACACATACCCCTCAACATTGGAAACACTCACGAAAATACATCTAATTCTTTCTCCTTTGATTATTCACTTCATTTTTTTCATTAGGGACTGTCGATCAATAGGAATGGATGGATATGAAACGAAAGCAATTTTATGTTATGTTATGTTATGTGTATGATTATCTTTCATGATGACTTTTTATGTTTTATGTTTATTTGTTATTGTTTCTTCTGGTACTTCTGGTTGAGATACATAGGGAGGTACGGAGGTTGGGTTTTGTGTTATTTATTGGTTTGGGAGGAATGGGAGAGAAAGGAGAGAGAGAAAGAGAGTGGATATCAGATTGTATAGATGGATATGGGATGGAATGGAGAAATATCAAATTGGACAATTTAGTGGTATGAATGGGTATGGGATGGTACAATATTGAATAAACAGAAGTATCATATTATTTATCTATCTATTCCTTCTCTCTCATTCTCGTTAGTCTTCCTACTTCACCACATCACATCACATCACATCACATCACATCACATCACATCACATTACACATTACATATTACATATTACACATCTTATATTACACACATTCCAAAAAAACCCGAGAAAAAAGAAAACACTATGGTTTTCTCTTCCTTTTGGCTTTGAATCTTTAAATCTTTGAATCATTATGAAATAAAAAGCAAAGCAAAAATGGTAGGAGAGTTTGTGGTTGTAGAGAAATACAGT